GTTGTTTTTCAGTAGGATTTCCATCTCCAGTCTGGGGGGAATTGCATATAAGCTTACACGACTTTTACGTGAAGGTGAAGGAGGAGGAGGCGGCGGCGGTGAGGAAGATAAGCTACGTACGTATAGCGTATTAGGCATCAAGCACTACAAGGCCTCTGCATTTGAAGGTGTATGAATATCTCAGCATGAACAGAAGACGTGTGTATTAAGAAGAAGCCTGTCAGAGCCATTTTTCCATGTGCATGCCCCGCCCGACTGCTTTTATGCATTTATGGTGATGATGATGCAGCACCAATTAACCTTTTGATGATGATTCTTCCTCCAAGCATCTAATTACAATCAGTAAGAGTCAATTTCTCCAAATGTCAATAAAACCATTTATTCCCATCCCACAAGCTCTCTCTTCTCAAGTGTTTTGGTGGGTTCGAGTTGAGTGCGAGCACAGGTCTCTTTATTTTGCGGTTAAGTCACTTTTACAGCTATACGATCTGCCCTGCCGGGGTGAAGAATGGCCGGAATTGTAAAAGATTGGGAGGACAATTATTGACAAGTCCGAGAAGCAGCACTGTGGCGTTATTACGTCCGTATCCGTCTAGTACCACCACTTTTCTCCTTGGCAAGAGTGGACCATGCCACGATGATGATGATGATGACGGCAGAACTTGAAAAGCCTGTGAACAAAGCCTGGGAAATGAAATATAATTAACTCTGGCGCTTTATAAATGTCCCTTCAACCACACTCACTTTCCCGGCCTGGCCTGGAAACTGTGATGCCTGCTAAAATCTTAAGTATCCAAATGGATGGAGAGCACTCTCCATCCGACTTCTGCTGCTGCTGCTGCGGTGGTTCCATTCGCATTCGATATTATCGCATCGGTTCCTTCTTAGCTCTTTTTCATCTTCGTCAAAACAATAACCGACAAAAAGCAAACCAGAGCATACATATAGCACCAAAACCGTCGTCGTCGATACGGCGATGGTCCACAACTCTTGAGTCCATGTTACTTATACACTTTATCGTGACCAGCCAACCAGCCATTGGTCTGGTAGTAGTTGCAGCAGTCAGGAGAACAAGAAGAAGAAGAAGAGGGACTCGGAAAAAGAAGAACTTTGGTCTCGAGTGTTGAAGAGCTTGCTGGATCTCGGATCTGAAAGTGAAGCCAACTCCTTTCGTCCAGCAGCAGCAGCGCAGCGCTATATTCAGCAGGATAGCTTTATACACATATTTGGCTGGGATGAATGGCTGGAGAATAGCAATGCAATGGAAGTGGTCCCTTATTGATCAAACGGAGTGTGAAATGGAAGTGTGAATTGAAAATGACTTGTAGATATTTTGCTTTTGCTCTCTCTCTCTTTCTCGCCAAACTCTAAAGACGACGAGCTAGCCAAAGCAATGTCAAAGCAAGAAGAAGAAGGTGCGCCATGAAATTAAATGGGCACGAGCATATGTATATCGTCGCAAAGAGGCAGAGTTGTTTCATTCCCTAACAACTCTGGATACAATTTATTTATATAACGAAATGCGAAATGAGCCCAGTTTATCACGCAGAGATGTACGTATTCATGTGCCAGTTTTGCATGTAATGTTCAAAATACTCAAGAGTAACATGGTTTGCAAACAAATTAGATTGTAATTTCCTCCATGACGAAAGTTGGATTGATGTTTTTGACACTTATTATGATGATGTAGCCAGGAGAGAGGACGAGATGAAGAAATTCGACTCACGGCAACAACATATTCAGTCAGATCTACCCATGTTCAGGAGGTTGTGTTATTAGTATGTATATTTTTAATGTATTGTTGCCCGTACATACACCTATCTCTCTCCTCCTTTCTCGATCCTAGAAGAATATAATATGTGCTATCATGTCTTTCTCTCTGCTGCGTCCTTCTCCCAACATTGCTGTACATCTTTTACCCCAAACAATGCGGAATGACGGAAATAAGGAAGAAAAGATATTCATGAAAAAGCCTCAACTTTTTTCCACACAAAAGATTCCACTCGCAGCTTGTGCTTAGTCAAGCAGCAAATGGTGATAAAAGTGTTTTGAACTTGGTTTGTGCAAAACTTGAACATCAAAGAATAGAGTTAAACACCTTCTTGCCCTGTCTCGTCGTCGTCGTAAAAAGAGAGAAGAATCATTTCATATTTTTACATTTTAAACAAGAAAATAAGTATTTATAATACTGATTGCATGATCGCATTATGGACCTGCTCAACCTAAAAAGCCAACAAACCAACAACAGCACCACTTTGACAGCAGAGTCGTAGTAGATAATAGATTTTTTTTTCAATCTGCAAACACACACACAGTTTTCCTATGATGATGATGATGACGAGGGACAGTGTTGTTTTTCCGGCTGGATCGTTTTTTACGTCGGGTTAAAATTTTCGTTTATTTTTCAAGTATTTAGAAACATCTGGAGATTTATGTATATGCATATGTTGTAAGTGTGTGTGTAGTTGTAAAGTACATACATACATGCTTTTACTAGAGAATAGAGAGAGATAGAGAGAGTAATATCATCTGCCCGAAGGAAATTTCACTCACTGAGAGAGAGAGATGATAAATATATTATTAACTCACTTTAATAAACTCAATTTAATGTTGAAATGACGTTACAAAATTTCATTTCCAACGTTTCCCTGCTTTTTAGTGAGAATAGTTCTTCTACGTATTGTGCCTGTATTTTGAGTCGTGCATGTATTTATATGGAATGAAAGTGTAAATTCAGTGAAATTCACTGATCACATTATTCGCATTATTATTGACCTTGCTTGTCGTCTGATTGCTCTCGTTATGCAGCGTGAGAAACTGTTTTTTTTAAAGATCTATGCCTTCATGTTGAACAGTTTTGTTGAGAAAATAAAAGATGACAATTCAAAAAGAAGACGATACTCATGTCACATGTCACTTGGCATTTAAAAGAAGTCTAAATTCGATATAGATTTCTTTCATTCATGACAACTCGTCTCGTCCGCGTGTACAATGTGCATAGTTTGGTTTAGTTAGTTGCTATTCGTTCATGCTGCTCGCTCTGGGGTTTTCTATTCTTGTTACCGTTTGTTTCTTTAAACAATTTAGAAAGGAGTATACGAAGGATTCTCAAATTGAGTAGGTCATTCAGCGCTTGAAAAATAAGAACAAGTTGAGAAATGTCCTGGTCCATTAACTTTTACCAATTATACTTAGTGGTTGATCTATTGGTCTCTCTTTTTCTTCTGCATGAATGGGATGATAACTGCATAATAATATTTATTAACAACGGAAGGTTCAATTCATTACAGAAACCACCACCATCGTCTTTTTTCAGGTACTAAATTGAGATTGCACGGATCAAAACCAATGCACTGCTCTATTTCCAATTTAATTTTGCCTACACGAACAAAGTCACCGTTATATCCACACATTTTATCTGCTTTGTCAACCAAAATTCTTCTCCTATTCTCCACCAATCATCATTTTCTTTTACTGCTATTATTCCCACTCCTTGAACAACTGTGCACCAGCTAAATGAGGCTAAACTTTTCCTATTATTGTTCCACATTCATTTTCAGTCAGTCATCCATCCGTCCAGAGAGGGGTAGATGTCATAATGCCAAGCATAACTTATTGACGATTCAAAATTTTCTATATATATTCAGTTACACAAGTTGGAAACAATTTAATTAAAACTTTTCAACACAATGGAGAATTGTCACCTTAATTAGTATTATTATTGTATGCCCCGTAGTAGTGAGTAACCGTGCTTGACACTCTTTCCAACTTGTGCCCCATTACATTTAGACAGAATTTATCATTAGCAGCACTGCAAAAGGACTGGGCCTGGCCTATCCTTAATGGGCCTAGTCATTACGGAGGACAAGACGACGAACAAGCAGGACAACAAGAAGGGCTTAGTGCAAAAACTAGCTAGCAACAATTGACGACCAAGTGTACAACATACTTACGAATTCGTTAGAATGCACTATGGCGTATAAATAATAATGAACGTGCTCACAAACAAGCTCATCTCAAATTACCAAAACTGTGCAATTATTCAGGGAAAAAAACTTGAGGAAATTTTGCACCTTTATTATTATTATTATAACAACAATGTATGCAAGAATAAGAATCTGCATAATTTGAAATACAAGGAGGTACATATTTTGCGGATCGACTGACTGACTGCGTCTATCCAACTATTTATGTCAAGAGAGAAGAAGAATGTCATCACGTTACATTTTATTACATCGCATTATTCGCTAAATGTTCATTTTTTCTACCCATATAGCTCCGATAATATTTACACTTGTGCCGAAACGGACACAAAGTAAGAGTCGTAACTATAACTAACAACAAGTAAAAGGAAAATATGCACAGTAGTTGAGTGAGTGAAGTGAATGAGCTTAACTGCCGTCGTGTTTAATTTTAAGTCAATCAGTTGTCATTCAAGAACTTGCACATGTGCATGTACATATGCTTAATATGTATGTAATACATATGTGTATGCATGCATATGCATATTATGTCTGGGAGGAAGGAACCAAGCCAAAAGCCAGAGAGAGGAAAACTAATAACTCGTTCGTCGAGCTATTATTATTATCATTAATTTGCATAATAATTTTAATTTGAGTTTAGTTTATCTCCTCCCCACCCTGAGTTGAGCAGTTAAATATTCTTTTTGATTGCCCAGGCAGGTTAGTTTCTTTCAGTTCAATTGATATCATCACCTGAAATAAATTTTTGTGTCTGTGTACCTGATGATAGTTGATGATGTAAGGCAAATCGTTAAATTTGAACTAACCAGGTACATACAAATAAATTATATTTTGTGGGATTTTCTATCATTATTACGAAGGATAAATAATAATCATGGAAAGGATTTTTCGTTGTCGTCGGGGTCGGGGTCTTGTTGTATTTGTCATATTCTGTCCGTCTATTTTATTGATTGCTTCATGCCATGAATGCTTAATTAGAGGGGGTAATAAGTAAGTAAATAAGTAAGGGTGACCTACTTGGCAAGGGGAGGATGTTGATGAAGGTTGGGTGATGGAGTTTAGTCCTGGGGGGCGGGTAGACGCTGGTGGGTGTGGGCGCCGGGCCGAGGAGGGCGTTGAGTCGTAGCGTGTCGTCAATGAGCTGGGCACTGGTGACCGAGGGGCATAAATGGAGCGCACTAGTGGGAAATCCCGTCGTCGTCGTTGACGTGATCATTCATAAAAACTTACGGGGGGACAGTTTGTTTAACGAGGGTTCAGAAATACTCTCCTCTCTTTTATGAGTACGTAACGTATATGTATTTATACTTTTTGAATTCGGATAATTCACAATATTTATTTTAAACCACTTTTCTAAATTACGGTATTTATTGATAATACAAGCGGTGATGGTAGTGACTTTTTTTTTGTCTCACTTGCACTTAAGTTATGTCAATAACATAGTAAAACCTTTATCTAGTTGTGTTAGTATATTTATGTGCGACGTTGATGATAATTTCGAGATGTATTTTTCCACTCGCGAGACAAAAACTTTACAACTTTTACATTCTTTTACTTACATGTCGTTGCATAGAAGGAAACTATTACTCTTTCTTTATAGCTTTGTTTTTATTTATTCTTCAAGTATTATGAAATGATTGATTTTTGGTTAACTTTTTATCGTCGTCCGTCCTCCGCCGTATTATATTTCGGAATGTGTATAACAAGAAGAAGGAGAAGAAGAAGAGGTATTTATTACAAATTAGAGTCGAATTATTGACAAGAGAGCGATCAGGGTATTAGATTTTTTTTCGTGGAGAAATATTCTATAAAAATTTGTTATATTTTTCTCCTCCTCTGCATTTAGTTGATTCTTCTTTTATGTATTAATGTTTATTTTTGATTTCAGTTCAAGTCCTCCTTTGTTTAGGATAATCGTATATATATATTTTTTTAATACCTTCCGTTAATTTCTTCCTTTCTCCCGAGGTAGGTAGTAATTAGTTGTTAGTATAGAAATGAAGATAATACAAGTTTCCAAAATTATTAGGAAAACTCTTTCGCCTGGATTGAATTCAATACTGATGATGATGATTCGAGTTGTATGTGGTTTTATTTAGTTAACAAGAACAACAACAACTTTTGAACAATGATGTCTCCAAGAAGAAGAAGAAGCAGGAAAAGTGCTCTCCTCCTTAAACAACTCCGGTACTACGAGTAATAAGGTGTATATCTTTTGTGCAGTGACTTCCAGTCGACGTATATCTAGTGATGATGAGCCAATTAGTAATTGGCGTCGTCGTCGTATTGCGAACACTGGGAGGAGGAGTGTGACAAGAGAGAGAGAGATACATACACAAGTAGTTTCGTGTATAATACGAGAGAAGCTTAATGTCTTTATTATTGCTCACAATAATTAGTGGAGTACTTTGGACAGGTGGTGTTCCCTGGTGACAATTAGGGCGCGATTATTGGAATGATTTCGGACATAGGACGAGGAGGAGGAGGAGGAGGATGAGGCAAAATTATTATTGTTATTATTGCAGTTTCCTCTTTTCTTCAGTATTTTTGGGGAAGTTGTGGCAGAGAGAAGAAACACAGCGAGTCTGAAAACGGTATGTTCTCTTCTGCTCCTCTTAAAGAGTGCGGCAGCAGAAGGTTAGCCGAGTTTTAGTCGTAAGGGCAGCCAGCTCTAAAACACGGCATTTTAGTCGACCGTCGTGTAATGCGAATGCTAGCTGCTAGCTGCTGAATAGAAGAATAGAAGTGCAGGCAGGCAATGGTATGGAGTTTAAGCAGCCAGAAGAGAGCTTTAACGGATTGGAGAGACCAATGCTGTAGAAAAGAGTTGAGTTCCCACACAAGGACCCTCAAGCAAGCAAGCCAGCAATCCATACAATAAACCTTTTTGGTTTCTGTATCTGGGGGTATATGGCTCTCTGCTGATTTCCTCCTGTCTGCCTCCATCTAGTTCTAGAAGAGCCCCACAGTTCGGCTATTATAACGCCACGACTACCTGGCCAACTACGAAAACGTCACTTACTTACTTGCATAATAACTCCAAATGCAATTAACCTTATAACGACGATGACGAGAGGACGACGTCACCGCGGCAGAAGCAGCAAATCCTTTCACAATCCATCCCACTGTACGGCAAGATAGATGAGCTTGAACGTGTGTGTGCGTAACTCGGGATGAATTAAGCGTCGAATGTGGAAATCATTTGAGGAGATGAGATGCGACACACTTGGATATCTCGTATTCATCTCCGGAAGTCAATCTGCGCTTAAGAAAAGACGATGTTGGGACGTGATAAGAAGACAAACTTTTTGGGACTCCAGTCTCACATACGTATAACTTGACGTATTTATATGTGCATATCACGTGTGGATGGATATGTAGGATGATAAAGATAAGAGAAAAGGACCGGCATTCACACGGTATTGTATTTATATTGTGTGTTTGGATGAAATGAAGAGGATAAAAGTGGCGTATTGGGTTTCCAACTACTTGCTTTTCTCATCAGTCGGTCTTGTCTCATCAAATCTTTCGCACAGCAGCACGAGCTAATTGCTGGGCTTTGATGAATGTATATTTTGGCATGTGCTTCTTTCTAGTGGTTTTGCTTTCCCCAGGTGGTGGACCTCAACTACGTACGTATAATATATCTGCACAAACTTACATCTTTCCCTCTCAATCACTCACTTTCTCTCTACTTTCTCTCTCACATACACACACACACACATCGACAAACATCAACTTTCACCACTACGATAGGCAACTTTCTTTCTGGACTGGATAGAAAAAAACCATGCCATGCCTGCGACTACACGACGACAACGACGACGACAGGGTGACTAATTGCTATAAAGAGATTCGTATCATTTAACAAACTCTCGACGTTTTCATCAATTATTCACCAGCTATTTAATCATCGCTACTTTCAAATCACTACTTGCTCAATCTATCCAATCCTTAATAAAGTTTTAATCAAAACGGAGTTGGAAATTCAAAGTTGGAAAATTACCCCCATGTAAATAATTCTAAGAGACATGGTTTAGTTAGATTTATGATTTTAGTGAGGCTAATTCGTCTGGAGAGAGAAACTAATTGCTTGTTCCTACCTGATAAGAGTTTCTCATTCGATTAGCTTGTTTGGGTGATGGTGGTACATTTCAAAGCTTGGTAAATGGTAACAATACAATCAATGGAACAACGCATTATTATTATCATTATTTGTCTCAAGTTGAGAATGAATGGCTAGAGTTGGAGTCTAGGTCGAGGCGAGTATTCTGGTTTCCGAGTCGTGAAGAGGAGACGTACAAGTTTTGTCATGAAATTGGATTCGTTGGTTGGAAAGTCATATTCATTACGAGAGACAAATTGAGACAAGTTGAGACAAATGAGGACGAGTATCGAGGCAGCCGTCAGCGAGGAGGAGGAGGAGGCAGGATGAGATGCAATAACGAAATTGCGAAACGGGTAATATATTGGCACACACCCAGGAGGCACAATGTGTCAGGTTACGTATGCAAGACAAATTATCGGCATTTTAAACATTTTTAATTAAGTTGTGCTCTTCATAAAATCGTTTATTTTTATTTTTATTTCTTTGATTGGCATTTTTTCAACTAGACACGAAATAAATCGAGATCAATCTCTTGCTCATATTGTATGTAGGGTAACAATTTCTAATAACAATTTCATACAAAATCTGTGTAACAATATTTCTTTTTTATGTGGTCTTAATAAATCTGTCAAGCAAGTCTTGAACTCATGTTAAATATGTTGATTATTTAATTAGATATATACTCGACCAATCTCAAAAAGTCCAGTCTGTGACAAGTTCTGCATAGTAATATTTCATGTTTATCGTGTTTTTAATTATAATTATCAACTATAAAATTATAACAATAACTGATGTCTATAAAAATGACTACTAACTGTATTTCCACATTATTTTATTCCTGGAAAATTTGGAATCTGCTGAATTTTCGTGGAATGAGTAGTTTTTTTATATACTACTGTTAAGAAAATACTCAGTTTTTGGCTCCAATTTTAGCCTGATAGGAAAATAAAATTTGCTGGTCAGTCAGTACAATTTTGAATAAAATACTTTAGTTTGTAATTAGATCCATCATTATCAAGTGCATTTTTGCTGATTTTTATTTAATAATAAAGAAGGCAGATATTTAAAATGTGCAGCAAGTAGCGTTCAGTTTCTTTACAAGAGCACAGCAGCGCATAAAATTTCACTAACTATAATCTTACAGCGGAATAAAGTTACTAAATAGCGTCAATAAGATTATTTTATATTCATTTCTTCGTGGCCTGAGCAATTCTCCAATTTCTTTGGCGTAGCGCAACCGGGTTATGCCACACAGAACTGAATATAAAATTTCGGGTTAATACGGACAAATGTTTGCATGTCTTTTGAATAAACATACATATTTGCATTTCGTCATGTTATGTTATTTAAAGTAAATGTCTTTTCCAGATATTGCACCTCTCGAAACAATTTTACTGGGGAGCGGCTCCTTCTAAATATTTCCCTTTCATTTAATAAAATCTCCGAGTAACTAAAGCTTACTCATTTTTAGCGGACTTGGTGGGACAGATATTATAAGTAAAAAACGTTATGAGTGGGGGATAAAATCAATATGGGTTAAAATAATAGGCAAAATTACGATCGCATATATATATGTATATAACAGCAGAAATAAGTAAATAAAATTGGTAACAGAACAACATAAAAAATTAGGAAATTGTAAAATAGAGGTATATATTTATTTGATGGACTGTTCAAATAATAAATATCTACTATACCTATCCATTCAGCGCGTGCAGCATTCATAATAAATCACTCTAATTCAGTGTGTATGCATAATATGTGTTCTAAGAATCGAAACAATACAGGCGAGCGGAAGACTGGAAATTTTTAACAGGTAATGGAAGCATAATATTGAAGTTTTGGAAAGTAAGCCGGTGGTAAATTGATTAGCAACATTGTTTCTTCTTGTGAGGTTTGCCTCCAGGATTGCCTCCTAATTGAACTGTGTGGTCGTTACTGCGCTCGTCTGACCTTTGCTGCATTTTTTTTGAGTGCAAGACTTGCTGGGTGATGGCCATAAACATCTATACGCAAAATAAACATTCGATAATTTATTTTTTTAAATCTAATTACAGTTCAATTCAATGCATATACGTATACATACCTCCTCGACATTGATATTGTCCTTCGCACTGGTCTCAAACAACTGGATCTGCATTTGATCTGCGTATCGTTGTGCATCTGACGTAAGCACGACTTTCTTTGATGGGTCATCATTCTTGTTGCCAACGAGGACTTTATTGACCAAATCGCAATTTTGTTCAATTTCATGCAGCCAGCGCTTCACATTGGCGAAGGACTCTCCATTGGTCACATCGTAAACAATGATCACCCCATGTGTTCCACGGTAGTATCTGGATGGCAAATTCAAATAGTCAAATAATGTCTTTCAATAATTTAACTAAATTTAAAATAATTGCTTACGTCGACGTGATTGTTCGGAATCGTTCCTGCCCGGCCGTGTCCCAAATTTGCTGCGTCCCCAAAAATCAACTTTAACTTTCCAATGATTTGTACATTTTTAAATTATCGTCTTACCAATTTCACACGCTCTCCATTCACGACAAGAGTTCTGATTTTGAAGTCCACGCCGATAGTGGTAATGTAGTTTGTAGAAAAAACATTGTCAGCAAATCTCACAAGGAGGGCACTCTTTCCAACTCCTGTGCAAAGAAAGAGAATTTTTATGTATAAAATCATTAAACTATTAAAAAACTTGATCCACAATTTGCAACTCACCACTGTCTCCGATGATTAGAAGTTTGAAAAGGTGGTCATACTCCTTGGACTGTCCTCCCATTCGTGTAGCCATTTTTGGTTAGTGTTACGTAAATAAATTTTATAATCTAACAAAGTTGATTGAAAGCTCCCTGTTTCTTCCGACTATATCTACTAATCTGCTATTATTCTCCTCCCTTGAAATAAAAATATAAAATTTTAATTAGGACAATCTTTTTTCAATACTATGAACTACTATGAACTGGTTTCCATGACTCTTACTTGTCGCAGCATCAGCAGAAAACAGCAGCAGGGTCAACTACTAGAAAAATCCACAACCATTTCAAAATTCAAAATCAAAAAATTAAATAATAACTCGCTACTTTTAATTGTATTACTATACAAACTAATTTTCTCATATTTCGTAAACTTGGGATGGACTTATGATGATGACATGACAGAAAAAGAACAACGGGGTCATTTACTCTCAGACTGAAAATCGAATGACACCACCAAAAAATTATTGAAATTTCTCCAAATTTCAATTCCCCGTGGAAAACTTGAGCAAATTTCAAACCCAAAGTACTTAGAAATGGAAAAGATAAGCCTCAATAACATTTATATAGAAAAAATACCTTATCACAGCACGTACGCACCAGCCAAGAGACGGACGGCGGAGAAAAACTGATCAGACGATGACCTCACGATGAAAAAAGAAGATTTTGGGGGAGTGGCGACTCTCACCACAAACTAACTAGCCTCTGGTGGGGATTTACTGTGGGGGGAGCTGCCCCGACTACGAATTTAGAAAATATTTTGAGAAACTCAAAATTAAAATCTTGACATCCTGATTTTTTCGAGACTGAACTCTGCTCGCTCCTTCCTACCCACGAATTGAGAACTGACTGACTGACGGCCGACTACTTTCTCCCTCAAAAAAGGGAGATTGGAGACTGGATATTGAACTCTCTGCTGGTTTTCACCTTTGTAACTTCCTCCCTTCTTCTCTCAAAGTGAGAGAAACTTTTACCAAATCCACCACCGACCACGAACCACCATCATCACCATCAACAGCAGCATTGCGTTATTATTGAATCATCGTCGTCGTCACTATCGCACCATCATCATCTCCACCACAGAAGACTAACTATAACCAACTTATGGTTATATCTACTACCACTTGGTAAATGTTGTTGTACCCTTTTTTAGTCTAATAACTCAGCCTTTTCTGAATTGATAAAAATCCATGCATGATGACTCAGACGTGCGTTCTCACGCCCACACCTGCATGCATGGGATCAACTTGAGAAAAATTATGACGAAAAGTAAGAAGTTGTTGAAGAAACTGGTGACGATGCAGCAAGTTCCTAGTATTTCGGGTGAACAGCATGCCGTAAATTCATATGAAAATAACAAATTAACCAGGGGAGGTTTAATGTTTTAATGGTAAGGCAATTTGTGAGGACGATTTATTGTTTCTTCAAGTTTATTCAAAAACAAGCTTTTTTTAGTCTTTCATATAGAAAAATGCTATGTATCTATATATCATAATATTTTTTTTATTATGCCGGCGATTAATAGGAATTGAGAGAGGGTAAGAATTTAGGGAGAGTTGAAGACTCTTTGACATATGCAGATAATGTTATTGTACAGATATTTTTGCCCTGATACGGATACTGATGATGAGCAATAGTGAATGTATTTGGTAACAATGCTCTAATGACAATGTTGAAAACAAGATAATGGAGAGAGAGACATACATAAGTTGAGTGGGGAATATAAAAGGTGCAATAAAAAACTTGCGTATTACAAATGAAAAGGAATAAGTGTAATATTATTATGGGTTAATAATGAAAAACGGAAGAATGTGATGTAGTAGTGTATGGTCCGTTCATCTTAATAAGTAGAGATGTATGGATGAATTATTTCAATGAGGATAGACCAGCTCGCATGATTTCATCAGTTAGCAAAAGATTGGTGGCGACAACGATACTAAAATTAAAAATTAGAATAATTAGAACATTAATCAAACGTTATATATATATCAAAATAAAGTGTAGAAGAAAGGATTGGGAATTCACCTGGCATCAATCATTTGCCTCTTGGCAGCGTAGATGTCATAAATTCCAGCCCAGCCAGATTCTATCCACTTGCCAGTGTTAAGATCAACCCCGCGTGCCTGAAGTGGTTCACCTACATAGAAATCACCGCTGCCGTCCGAATTGTCCGAAGACATACAACTAAGGATGGCCTCCTGAGGGTCATGGCCTGCGTTCATGACTAAAGTTTTTGGGATGACAAGGATTGCTTGTGCAAACAAGTTCACGCCCAAAACAGAGCGATTCTTAATCTGTGAATTCATGTAATACAATTAGTTAGATTAGCTAAGATTTTAAGTTTTTTAATGAAAAGGGGAAAAATACTTACCTGGGAGGCTTGCATGGTTAGTTTTTTGGATACTAACATTTCAAAAGCACCTGCACCAGGAATGGCACAACCGTCCTGCATAGCGTTGTACACAGAACGAATTGCATCACGAATTGCATCCTAAAAATGGTAAGGCACACGCAAATATTTAGTATTAGTAATTGAATTGATACAAGTGTAAAATCAGGCAAACATTAATAATGATTACCTTCATTTGAACAATGCCGTGTTTCATGGGCCCTTTTAACAAGAGAGTGACACTCTTGGGGTTTTTGCATTCTTCCACAAAAGTATACTTATCTTCCCCCTACATCAAGAATGAACACTATTAATCCTCAAAAAAGGAAGTTTATTATGAACTCACTGTTTCCAATATCTTACCAAAACGTGTTCATAAACTAATCCAGCATATCCAAGACAATCTGCAGTCATGTCATCGAAAGAATTCATAGCCATTCCTCCACATGCTGAAAGGACAAATTATGGTAATTGAACTTTTGTATTTCATTTATTTTCCTCCTTCTATTAATTCACAAAATGAGAGAGCGAGTACTACAATGCAAAGCAAAGAACTAACGAGCATTTCATCACTTTTTAGATACTACATAATATAGATATAATATATGTATATATACATAACAACTATTATTTTCGGAAAAATTCTTAAGCCATACCCAAAGAAAGACGTTCCATATTTCGTCGTTTAGCCCGTCGCAGAGCGAGAATTCCATTCTTGGCCAAGATATCCAAACTGATGGGATCAATACCTTTTTGATTGATGACGACAAAAGACTTGTCACTATCCTTAGGGCAGACTTGGTTCTTTAACTCCACAATCTTCTTGACTCGTTGATCAATAAATTCACGTTCAGAAGACAACAACTTTTCCCTTTCTTCAGCAGTCTTGTAGAAGAATCCGGAATTCACTTCCCTGTAAAACGAAATATAGATTATTTACTATGGAATCCCATGCACAAGATATATTGCTTTTGAATAATTTTGTTTTTAATGTACTTACGTTTTCTCATACTCCAAAGACACATTACAAGTCAAAATGAAACAGTTCTTCAACGACTTTGGCATGTCTGGATGACGGCCACCATGATCCATAACCAATCCTTTAACTAAACAAGTATCGTACTCATTTCGATGTTGCATTTCCATCATTTCAATCATGTGCAGATCCGCAGTTTTTCCGTCCTCCTCAACTACACTTAACACGGCATCAGCACACAACTGAAAAGATATGTAATAATTATTATTAACTAACCAACAATTTAACAAAGATAAATAACTTTTATAACCTACCTCAGCAAGGTGATCTGCCAACTTTGGGTGAATCTTGGTTCTCAAAGCTGTTTGTGCTACGTCAACAAATACGGTACGACCCATGAGCAAATCCAATTTTAAACCTTCCAATACTTCTAAGGCCGACTCTTTTGCAATGTTCAACCCATCCACGATAATTCTGGGATGCACCCCCTCCGAAATGATGGCATCCGCCTGTTTCATGATCTCCCCAATCAACAGGACAATTGACGTCGTTCCATCCCCCACAACATCATCGTGTGCAGTTGAGGCCTTAGCGATCAGAGATGCCGTAGGGTGTTGGATTTGCTGTAGATAAATTAAAATCAAGCGTTACAAATCGTTATTCAAAAATAACTATACATAAATTTAGGGCAAACCTATAATAATAAATTTGCTCTAACTTACACTACAACTTAATTTCTTACCATTTCATGAAGAAGAATATTCCCATCCTTTGTCAACTTGATATCGCCAGCACCGGAAACCAACCTGCACATAAAAACAAGGGCTCAAATTAATTAACCCTGCATAATTAATCTCAATATCCTTCCCCCCTAAATTCTCCTCCCAGTCACGTAACTATTTTCATAACACTGATATTTCTCTTACATCTTCATTGTTCCCTTCGGGCCCAAATTGGATTTCATGACCTCCGCGATTCCACGTGCAGCTGAGATATTAATCGACAAGGCCTGAGCCGCCCGAGCGAACTCCGCCTTCGGGTTCAACATACTGATTGCAGACATAGTGAATTCCTCTCTTTCACACTAATTCACGAGAACAATTAACTTTTACTCGTTCAAAATTAACGTAACAATTAAACTTTCTCGCAGAGTCACACCGAGAATACGAGGAGAGAGAAGAGAGACACCGCACCGACCACACCGAACACAAGTTCTAGAAGAAGGTGAGTAAAGAATGGTGGCCGAATCTGCCGCCTCGTTTCTCTCATCCAGACAGCGAAGGGGTTATCCACACCACACAACTATTTTACAAAATAGTGTATGTTATTTTACAAAATTTTGGTTTATAATTTTTGTTGGGGTTGATAATGTCATGAAATATATGCACGGAAATTAGATGATCCATGGTTTTTCACTCTGAATCGTGTCACATGGTTGATGAGACCGGGAATATTTTTGGGTTGAATAATATAAATGTAAATTTGAGGGGTAGAATTTTTCTAAATTTTACAATCATTTTAAAATACAAATTTTAGAAACTTAAGGAGACAGTGGTGCTTTCGAAGCAATGCTTTAAAAGTGATTTTATTCATAAACCACCAAAGTGATTCTAGTCAATTGTATAGACAATATTGAATAATATATTCAATATTTATGTTTTACACGTTTAATCAATGTTGAAAGATAAGTTGAGGGGGTCAGGGTTATCATGTTCAGGTTTACACCGATACGACTTCCACTAGGGCTTAAAGATGTAAGTATTATAGCTGTAGAAATAATCATCCCATTTTATAAACTGTTGACAAATCTACAATTAATCTGTAATTATTTTTTGTTCACAGCACTTGGTGAAACGGAAGATCCACAGGAAGAATAGTTACTACGATCTACTCGGCGTCACTCCACGAGCTTCTCAGGCCGACATCAAGAAAGCGTTTTACGAATTATCAATGAAATGTCATCCGGACAAAACGAAGGTACGACGATTAATTAACCATCTTAGTATTGTTTTGTTATCACGACTAATCACGAGGTCGAATAATAAAGGATTAGAATTTCACGAATCAGACTAATTGAACATTTGTTTTAACATTGTAATAATTTTAGGCTAATTTTGTAGGGAGATGATACCAAATTCAGAGAGATAAGTACAGCGTACGAGGTCCTAGGAAATTTAAAACTGCGCAAAATGTATGACAAAGGTTATTTACCGGTGGGGACGTCTGGATCAACATACCAAAATATCAGAGATGACCCGACCAGAGAACCCGTGACGGATTTCGGTGAACATTTTCGTCAAGAGGTACATAATTTCAGTAACTCCTGTGAACATAAAATCTCTGTTCGATGTGCTAAGATTATTTTTTCATTTTTTTATTAGAGATCTGAGCGAAAACAAGGACAACCTCCACCAAGTGGTCGTAGTGCTGCTTACGACTATGACGAGTGGTAATTAGTTAGTTAACTTTAACTGGCTAACTTAATTTTTTATACATTTTATATTAATCATTTTCCTTGTCATTCACAGGACCCGGATGCATTATTCAGACACATTTACTCGATCCCGTAGTCGAATCCATGAATACCAGTGGATTGAGTATCAGAAACGAAAGGCGGCTCAAGAACAACAAGATCCTGTTATTCGCATGTTTGCAGCCATAACGCTCATCGTTCTTTGTTCAATAATGTTTAATTTAGCAGAAGATTATGACAATCCGAGGAGTCCTCCTAGGACTTCGAATGATTAGCGTGTATAAATGCAGAACACAACAATAAGTACCTGTCCTCGTAATAGAACGCAAATTAACGTGCTGTAACTCGATAAAACGATAGTATTTATATGATCCGATCCGAAAGTGGTGATTATGTATAAAACCAAGAAAAATAATATATACTTATTATGCCACGCTAAAACTTTCGATTTGCAATAATATTTATTTGCACACATATTACATTTAAATATAGTGCGATTAGTCAACACGATAAAAACATTATTATTATTACATTATTTTCAATAACAATAATAGGTATATTACCGCGTGATACTTGGCTATATTGTCTAAAGTCACCACATGAATGAATGAGTCAACTTAAAAACTACTACATTTCACTACTACTAAAAAAAGAATACCGTCATACATAAACAACGGTATAATAATAATAATAATAATATTTAAGTTTAGTTGGTTTAAAAAACAAGGTCGTGGTGGTAAACATCCACTTAACTAGAAGAACTACCATTGAAATTCCTAAATATCGCCAGCAGCTTGTTTCTCTTCTTTTCAATTTGTGAGGTTGAAGGGACGGATTCGGTAACAACTTTTGGGGGTTGGTCTTTGGTCTCTTGCTTCGACAGCTTGGTTCGCATCTGCTCGTCCAACAATTGTTGCATGTCCACTTGCCACTGTGCACACAAGAAAACCCGATGATTAGCATGATTATTTTATCATCATCAAATTGACTAATTAACTAATCAATTACCTGTTCCAGTTGCTGACTAAGTTGTATCTTTTGTTGGATAGCCTCCATGAGTTGGCTGTCCACCTGCATCATTTCAATCCTTGTTCGAGCCATGGCGATTTCCGCTTTATTTTTCCTCTGCACCGCTTGATCCCTCAGGTCCCAGGCTTTCTTCACAATTTCGTCTTTGGCAAGGTGCGTTTGACTCAGGTCCAATCGGGCGTTGTCTCTCTCCTCAATCGCCGCTGCGAGTTCCGCCTCTCGGATGGTGATTTGACCTGGAAATTAGTCACATTGGATTTATTAATTTCATAGAGTACAACTCCCCATTTCATTAAAGTCGGTATACTACTCACTAGCAAGTTGGGTGGCATGATCCTTCAACCGTTTATTTTCATCCGACTTCTCGGCAAGGACGCGTTCCATTTTGTTCACCGACTCGTCCGCAGAATGAAGTCGCATTTCGAGTTCGAGTTGTGAATTATTACTAAAAGCACCAGTCTGCATCCCATCCACATTGGCTAATTCTCGCAGCAATAGCTTGAGCTCTTCCACCGATGAGGAGAGAATCCCAGGCTGCAAAAATTAATTGGAACATACATAAGTACATAATATGGAAATTAATGGCATCTACACTATGTAAATATGTATGTGGATTTATACCTTGATAGCTGCAGAGGAATCATTAAGTGAAGTTTCCATACTGCTCGTCCCATCATCCACCCTCGTTTTCGACTTGGCACCTTTGAGCTGGTTGCACATGGACAAAATTGACAAATACGCCATCCAAATTTCTTCCTTGAGCTGTCACAAATAAGATGAGAGAATAATTGAGCAATATTCTTCCTCTATGCATAAGTTTATTTTTATAATGTTCCTTTTTGTCCTAGTGCTCGACATTCTTGTGGTATGCGTAACAGAGTCGTCGCATTGATTGTGGTCGTAGTCAGATTGCAAAACCGAGCTAATCATACATTCCACCACGACAGGGTGCACATAGACATTGCATAAATTTGCGATATTATTAGAAATAATTGAAAAATTGTCCTCGACTCTCGACATGAGTCACAGTCAGTCACGAATTTAGTGTAAAGTACGACGCTATATGAACTATTAGTCTTTGATGTGAGAGAAATTGTGATTTCATTCGAATCAATTGCTAAAAGAGGGATTATAGAATTTGCTCAAGTAGCTAATTTATCACGGCCTTTGCTTTCTTTGTATGTCATGGGTTTGATTTTTTACGCTTCTTGCTTTGTTTGCCTTTTTGCTCCATGCGACTGCCTTTTTACCTTTTAACTTAATAACATGTCCCATTTTTGTGGGGTACAATATTTATCCTCCCAACCCAATAGTGAGTCAAGTCGTCTATAACGAGAGAAAAAATATGAAAAATGTGTGGAAACCTCTTTAACGTGAGCGGATGAAGTTGGTAACGGTTCGTCACATTCGATTTCATCTTCCTCGGCCCCGATACCAGAGGAGGCGGCTGTAATTTATCAAGTAAAAGAAATATACATAAGTATATATTGTCATTATTAAGGACGACTTTTCATTAACAAGATGACGACGCCGACCAGAAATACATATCATAGTCTTAAAAATACTCTAATATATTTTACAAAATGTACCTGAGAGGCCTGACGTCGTACGAAAATCCGCAGATAACTCGAGCTCGTTCAGCAATGAGCGATTCACCGTGGCCGATCGGTTGAGCAATTCCAATCTGCAAGCATTCAGAAAAAAGTGTGAGTTTTAACGGATGCAGTTTTTGTAATGACGAGGATTCTTCACTTTTTGCCTGAATTGTACAACACAACCAACTAACAACTCTGTCAAGAGGGAATAAGTGGATAAAATAAAAGCACTACTATTATTATTATTATCATTATGTGGTCATGTCGCCGAAATGGTTTTGACGAGTCATTCTATCCAACGTAACATCAAATTCCTCTTCTAAACTACTGGTTACATTCATTCTGATTCATTCTTATGGGAAAATGTTGTATTGACAAAAAACTGTTCATTTTTCTAAAAAACATTAGAGAAGAGCAGGTAGGAATGAAGATCTGATCTCAATTTGCCTCCATGTACTCGCTTTGATTGATAGATTAGTCTTTAATTTTCTACTACCTAAAAGGACTACGTTCCGATGAGTGATGATGATAAGTTCTACCGCCTCCCTCCCTCCCTCCCGTATTTCATCATTAATATTATTCTAGGTTAGTAGTGTTATAAGCACTTAGGAAACAATATGGTTCAGCCATCGCATGATGTGAAGAGATTAAAAAAATACTAATATGGATTTGTTCAGAGAGAGTAGGACACCCACCACATCATCGCCGCCGTAATAAATAAAAAGCACCACGAAACGAACCTTGTACTCAAGGAATGATTTGCAGCCTTTATCTCATCAACCTCACTCCTGTATTGCACCAACTGCATCTCCTGTTCTCGATTTTGCCTCTCTAGGAGTAAGATCCGATCTGAAGAGTCATCCAAGTGATGGGAAAGACCTTCCTTCTCGGCTAAAATCATGTCGATTTTTTTCTCCAAGTCATACTTTTTCGCAGTGATGATAGAAATCTGAGGAAAAATAAAATACAAAATCGTCACCATATTTGTTCCGACAGCATAAATTAATTTAACTTAATTGGGTTGTAACATCGTTAAAGTTGTTCTTTCCTTCTAGTTTTAATGATTTTGTAACGTAAATATTTCATTGTGAAATTACCTCATCCCGCAAACTCTCGAGATGACTGCTGTGATCGGACATGGCCATTTTCCGGAGTGAAAACTGGTCACGCAGTCCTTGAAGTTGGGCTTGCAAACTTTCCTCCTTCTTGGTCGCCTCCTTCAGTTGGGTGGTGAGGCGTTGGTTCTGCTCCGTAAGTTCGTTGAGGATGAGGGTGTGGTCGCGATCGGACTGCTTCATCAACCTCTGCTGCTCCTGTACCAAGAGTAATTTAATTTTAAGCGTTGTATCCTAATTTAGTGTAAAAAATGCTCAATTTACATACCTCCAGCGACTTTTGCAACTCGGCCACGTCCGCCTGCAGCTCACCCACGCGTATCTCATAATCCGTTATGGCTGCGTCCAACTTTCTCCTCAATTGATACTTCTCCTGCTCCAAAACCTAGGGGAAAAAATGAAGAGTATTTTTAACAAAGATTTTCAATTTTATTACAATGAAGCTTCATCATCAACTCAATATTTCTCAACTTTTTTTTCTTAAAGATATGCACGCATTCATTTTCAACTATGTAGCTCTTGATCCATTTCTTATTATTGTTGGATTTCAGCAATGCATACAATCTGATTGTTGTCATTTATTTTGTTATCTTTCAATACGTGTGTGATTGTTGAAGAATGTTGCGTTGTGTAGTCTGTACCACCACAAAGTCAGTCAATGAGAAGAGATAAATTGTGCTTTTGTAACAACATTGATAGTTTCCTGACTTGATGATGGTGTCCGTCCCTATTTTTAACAGCACCATTTTTAACCAACTACCAACACATTGTCACGATTGAATAAACTTTCGTTTTCTTTCATTGAATTTGGCCATGCCTAATTTTACATTCTGGTTTTCTCGATGACACCACCTTGCCATTTTTTAAAGAGATGGGATTGACAAGGGTGGAAAATATGCTGGCTGGGCTTGATGTTAATATTGATGGAGATGATATTAAGTAATACTAGAAGCGTCATCATCATCACATGAATTGTAATATTATTCGTGAATCACACACACACACGACAAATTACTATTACACATTTCCCTGTCTTCTTTCTACACATTTCTAATAAACAAAGCTTACATACAATACTAATTGTCAATACATAATGTGAAATGGCCGTGTGCAAAATATAACCGCAGAAATACAACACTTTTTTCTCATCGATAATAATGCATCCAATAAACACAAAGTGAAACCAATAACGAATGTTGTCAAATAGAAAAACAGGACTTTTATTGCCAAAAGGCCAGAACAGTTGCCAAAAGTACACAGATTAGATTAATGGATTCCGCAAAAAAAAGAACATAAAATTTAATTTTCTGTACACTTGCAGGAATTTACATTGTTTGAAACATGCAAAACGTGTGTTTTTTTATCCCACATGTGTTTTTCGACCTTTCATTGGAAAGAAAGTTCGTCACACCCATCGTGCGAGTTGACTCATCGTTTGACATGCGATGATCATTAAATGAACGTATTTAGGTCCCGTTAATAGTTATAATTTGATTGTATTATTGAGCTGGTCATTGCTCATGGACTGTGTGTGACATTATTAGCTCTGCTCTTCGACAACATTATTATTCATCCATTTCCAACTTCCACGAACAACCAACAACCTTTGAAGAGAGATGCAATTTTGATTATTCTGTGCAAATAAGGGCATTTGGCGTGACGTGAGGAGAGACATGTGTAACGCTTGTCTGATGATAAGTCATTCGAGTGAGTGAACAATATCTGACGAGGGAACAACTGATAAAATTTTATCAAAACGTAGCTGTAATAAAGCCATCCAACTGTAAATGTTGTTTGAGGAATTCGGTGGTCCTCACTGACCATATGGAAGGTTGCCTGACAAATAATGCTGACTAATTAAATATTGGTCTGCACAAAGTCAACACGTGCATAATAGACAGCATCAAATATAGAACAGCAAATTCAATTCGTCACAATACAAAGTAAATAACGCAACCTAGAAATGAAACTAATTCGAAATGCCAATACCGTTATGGATGTATTTGTAACGCGTGAGAAAAACGATTTCTCGAGCATTAACTCCTTTCAATAGTTTGCTCAACGTCTCCATTAGTTCAGTTACTTTACTTTCAAGTTCTTGTACTTAACTTACTCAGACAAGTGTCCATGTCAAAGTAGCGTGCGCCCTAATAAGGATAAGGCTCAGATAATCTCGTTGTAATCTGATTGACATAGGGTGACAAAAGAAAAGTGATAGTCTTAAAACTCGAATTGAAAGTTTGCTCGCGATTGTAAAAATAAAATCAAGTTGAATTTTCTCATTGTTAGTAATAAAATGATTTGCTATGCAGTTTCTATTGTTCTAAATCTGTCCAATTCAAGCCAGCAGAGATGCGTTGCGTTTCTCAAGACGAGAGTTGGTTCGTTCGTTATTATGTGGACAATTACATGACAGGTTTTTATTTTGCAACTTTTTTTTTGTCCACCAACCATCTCAGTTAAATAAAATTGTCAACTTTGTGTCACTCATTTCTCACTATTTCCTTAATCTTCTTTCGTCACAGAGTGCACATTGTCTTAAACAATATGGTTGCGGAGAGAGAAAGAGAGACGTAAATACATTCACAAAACCCTGAGCTGTCGATTATTTCATTCCAATGCATAAACTTTTGATTAAAATTCGTATAATATATGAATACTTATTTAACAATGAAATGTAGGTTTGACTGAAAAAATGAAATTTCATTTCATTTCTTGACCAAGTATTTTTCTCTGTTCCATTTTTTAATGCATAGGAAATAATTATACGTTTTTTGTGCATTGTGGATGGAATGGGAATCCATTATGTTATTTATCCATTCACTCACTTTGTACATACGGTTGATGGTAAATACGAGTGGAAAAAAAATAATCCATTTAATTTTGTGCCATGCTCGCAGAGATCAATCATCATCCCAATTGAAATTTGAATTACATCCAAAACGAATTTGCACCAGTGGATGGATGGCATGTGGTTGGTTCGAAGCAATTGGTGCGTCGTGGTGGTTCGCTGATTGTAACAATAACGAAAGTGTATCTCTCTCTTGCAAAATAATATGAGAGAAACCAACCAAAAAGTGACAAAGCCAGATCAAATGGGTTCAATTATAGCGAGTAACTAACAATACGGCAATGTTGTTGCAGGTAGTTTCTGCTGAAATATAGCATCCACTAAATGGTGTGTCTGTGAGTATTAAGGGAAATCCCTTGCCTCAATTTCGCCTTACCTGAACAAGCACCTAACAAAATTAAACATGGATGGACTGCTGATACACATAGCTCACCAAAAGTGAACAGTATACATAAATAACACAATTGCGAATCAAGCAAGGCACAATATGCCCAGCTAAATACTTTACTTTTATGCACATACAGAATATTTATGACGACAACAACAACAAAGTCTTGACGTTGCTGGTGGATGGATGGATTCCAATTTCATGCAATTCTGAAAATCATCCACCGAAACATCAATGACGAATAAGACACATTCACGAAAAACGTTCTCGAAATGCTTGGAACCAGCCAAACTCGTTGCGATAGATAATTGGCAAATCTGCTGCTGTACAACAAAGATATGGATGGACTGCCCCACACGCGAAACGCCGCCGTCTGTCTGAGAATATGCAAGAGTGGAAGAAAACAGTTTAAGACTTTGCTAATAGCAAAGTCTTTGTAAAAATGGAAAGATTTGGCATGAGTGGAATGAACAACATTTTTTACATGCATCTCTCTCTCTCTCTATCTCGAGAGGAATGGTGGTATTTTATAAATATATTTGTGCTTAAAGTTTGCATCATTGTAATCTTTTTCTCAAAATCATGCCACTGTCGACCGTGTCCTTCCCTTTGTTCTTTGAATGATCATGAGTCACCACCATCATCGTCCGCACATACACAATTATAATAAACCCAGCTGCTGCAACCTGTTGTTCTTCTTGGCTCCCTGATATCTCTCCATATCTATTTCATTTCGTGGTTCGAATAAGCAACTCATTTACAAAACTCTCTTTTTCATAAAGGAAATTAAACTATTATGCAAAACTTTTTCACTCGATTAATTTCCCATTTGGTTGGATGGATGGAGTACTCGTGGAGCACTCTCAATCAAACCTTTTCCTCCTTTCTTTCCACAATTGCATGAATCTCATTCTCATCCATAAAGCAGTATCGAGAGACAAAAATGACGCTGGCTGTGCAAAGCTTCTTCATGTACCATTTGTCTCAAAAAGTCCACAACAATGGGGCTGCTGCTTCTCCTCGCAGGATGGCTACTTACTTGCAGTAATAATCACAAACAAGGAATATCCTTGGGAAAAACCTTGATTAAATTTGGTTTGACTAAAAACACTGATCTCTCTTTCTTCTCCTCATTGCAACAAGAAAACCTTAAAATATGCAAAGGGAACGGATGTGGCAAAACGAAATATTTAACTAGTGTAGGAGGAAGACTGAAATTGGAGTGCCTAATGTATGACCATTTCCAAAAGTGTGTGTTGTAAAGAGATGACGTGTACAGTGTACACCTTTTTTTTAGGTAATACATGCAAAGTGTTGTTATTACTAAAAATTTGCTGAGAGAGAGGAATGAAATGTGTGGTCGTAATTTTAAGAGCGACAATTTAACTATGCACCTAAATACGTGAAGGAAGATGCAACGAATCATTAATTGAACTAATGAATGGTATTGTTACATTGTTCGAAAAATACTTGAAAAAATGTGCACTCAATCCTACCATATCAGGACAAAGGGGGGACTTGACTACTCCGTAGAATAACAATATTAGCAATAATAATGCCGCATTTGTGCCAGAGTGTTCTATATTATATGCAAATCCTTGTCTAATCAAGCCATACTTGATGACGAACCGATTTCATATCTCATTTATCGCAGAGAAAGAAAGAGGAGACAGAGAAGCAGAAATAACGCAGTGCTTTTTTTCATCATATCATCGATTGCATATTACATTACAATATTTACACGGAAATGTGGTCTCCTTCTTCTGTTTGTGTGGCAACTTAATTAAGCGGAAACATAATTCTTGGTTTATCCTGAGTTTAGCCAAGTACATTCATACAAATTCTGCTAAGGTTGGTGCTGTGGTAGGGTGTCTGGTTTACTTAAAGGTGTACTTTTTTAAAAAGAACGCTTCCTGTTTCTGTTGGCGAAGGCTCACCTTTTTTGCCAAAATTTATAATAATCCAAGTAAGCAGGGCATCCCATAATAATAATCATGATGGTAATAATACTTCTTAATACTAAATAAATGCATGCCTACTGCCGCTGCTGTTGCTAATGTTCAAAGAGCATTGTTTTGTAACTTTTGCGAGATGATGAAGATGTAGGTCAGCTTAATCGCGCACACATATTTGGGTGTTATTTTGAATGACATGCATGGCTAAGAGTACTGATGAATGTAATGTAATGCGCACAAATTATTTACCATGAGCTGTGTCAACTGTGACGTGCACTTTGAAATATTTAGCAGAGCCTGCTTCCTTCCTAATATTTTTGATTTTATTACGCGTTCCGAAGAAAAATACGTAACTGTTTCATTGTTTTAAGACTTAATATTTACGACTAAATGTCATCTTACAATGAACAAAACATGAGCAGGACATTGAATTTTGCAAGGAATGTCTTGTTAATAAACTTGACGACTGAAATATGAGGCAATTGTCAAGTAAATTATTTCCACGAACAATTAGTCGTTTGATCATTGAATCATCACAGTAGCAGGATCATTAGCAAGTTTCAGTCACATGTGAGTAAGTCATAATCATGAATATTGAGACATATGTCAATTAGACAGCGACACCACAAGGGCTCAGTCCATGCAAAATAAAGTTTGTTTGGAAGAGTAAATGATGATTTATTCTTACTGTTATTACAGTATTTATTATTGGGTGGTGTCTGGCCTTGCAGAATTAATTGACAAGTATCTATGAATCTATAACACATTTAATTTAATGGTATGTAGCACGACCTGTCAAACCAAAAAGTACTTGGATATGAAACTGTGAGAACATCAATTTTTTATGGTCAATACGAACGAAACCCTTTTATTTGAGTGCCAACCAATTCTCCGAATCAATTTCAGACTTAATAGTTATAAGCAATGTACATACATATACATCCATCGGAAAAATAACTATTTTTAACTCTCACATTTTGTAAACATTGAAATTGAGTAATTCTCCATATTATAAATGATAACTCTCAAAAATCTCCATCATCTCCGACACAAGAGTGCAAAAAAATACGTGCAAAAACGCATATTGAATGACGCCCGACTAAATAAAGTCGGCATTCGTGAAAGAATATCAAGCAAAAAGTGCCCTGCACTTTTAACGACATTATCTGATAATCGCAATAATAATAATAATAATATTTAATACGATTCTGATATTGATACTGATGGATTATGTCTGCCTGCCTCTGACCTGACGATTCTGCTTCAAGGTGAAACTTATAATAATACAGAGTATGCAATTGCTTTTTACTTTATTACAACTGCCAGTTTCCCGAGCAGTATCTGTGTTGACTTTGTCGTCCCTTTGTGTTGTCAGTTTTCCGTAATTCGATCAAACAAAAGCACCACCTCACCACCAAACCCAATGTCATAAGACCATGCAGTTTTATTATTATAACTTCTCCTGTGTGCGGCTACCTACCCAGCCAGCTTGGCCTATTTTGCATTGCCAATAAATAAATACACGACGCTGACTGACGACATGGGACTGACTGAACGTCCCGAAAGTACAAAAACTAACTACTAAACTATCGATCCAATATTCGATTGACAAAAAGCCTTGACTTGGACGATTGAGTGGAGTGGATAAGCCATAATAATAACAATATATTTCTTTCACATATTGATTTATTTTCCTCTACTGCTGCTGCTCCCAGCCATGCATTTGCCAACCTAGTTTTACATAGTTCCTTGAAACAAAGATGCAGCATGGCGATGACTTAATTCTAAGTGAATGTCGTTTTATTTCTTAGCCAATGGGAGAAAAAAAACAAGATTTCATTTCGCGATGGGATGAAAGATAGCAAAATTTAGACACGACTCTACTTAATTTTGATCAACAGCGCAGTCATTTTCATGCATGTCTCGGTTCTCTAACAACCAACCATCAAGGATCAACAAGGACCTTATTACATGACTTGGAGGATACTACATATTATCGTCAAGTTGCCAATTGGGAGGGATTGTGATGTCAATGTGTAGTAAGTAGTTCGTGCCTGGGGTAAAGATGCCTCGAGTGGATTATTTCATGCTCAATTCCACCTTCGAAATGACGAAGAGACTTTACAATTGTATTCGCGACATGGAGTAATATGTGTGTAAATATGTAGAATTTTTTAGAAGTAGCAGAATTGCATATTAGTCTCTTATGATTCTTGATCTTGAAATGTCGATCGAACGTAATTTACCATTTTATTATCAAATTACACATTATCAACACGTAATAACAGTCCTTATTCTTCCGTCGTGATAAGTATGTGCTCATTATGTGAAGGCAGTAAAAAAACAAAAAGATGTAAGAAAGGATGATGGTGATGGAGTGGATCATCGACTTGGGTCAAATACGTCAATTATCAGAATAGTTTGATAACCTCCTCCTCGGGTTAATCTATGGATTTAACATCGCCATCAATATCGGAGAAGGAAGAGGAATTTTGAGAGAGAAAGAGGACTATGTCAGATTGTGTTGAGTTTGATCGATTAGAATAATATTTAAAAAGAAAATGGTCAAAAAATCAAGCTGAGTAGAGAGATTTTAGAGATTTCGCCACGTTGAAAGATGAGACCTCCTCGCTCGCTTGCTCGCAGTAACAATGCATAATATGCATATGATGATAAACTGCATTTATAAAAGTGAGAGAGAGAGAAAGAGTGCAAATTCAATGTAAATTTGAAGTAAATGGATTTCAATCTCAACAATCAGCGACTCATTTCATGTTGCAACAACATAATGGATGATGATACGGATGGTTCAATGGTTCATCCTCAACAAGACGGCTGTGCGCAGTTCTATATAAATGATTTCTCTTGTTCTCTTACTTATTTTGACGAGATTTTTACCTTTTATTGTTTGATGAGAAACTACTACTGCATATTATACTTAGTACAATCTGCTTCCCTGCCTGCCTGCCTGTCTGGTTAGGTTAGATACTTAAAACTGCAACAAAAATCATCAAATAATTTGACCAAACCCATTATCGTCATGTGTGCCTTGTTGTTTTAATAGAAATCTTATGATGTGTGTACGTACATCCGTACTTGTTACAATATTCCCCTCACGCTCGTAAAGTTTAAAAGTCATTATTTTCATCGACCGGTGTAAAAGTACGTTTATTTTAATTTTATTATTTCACTCTTTGATGCTTTATTAGCCTTCTTTACGATATGTGTGCGTTTGGAGGAGGTCAAACTATTTATGTTGTTGGGTTAAATCTTTCGCTAATCATTTCTACCCTTTTCCCACGGTCACTGGACACGGGATTAGAAGCAGTGCAGAGATTTGAACCAAGTAACAGTCCTATATTTCATGCCTTGTTGTGCAATTTTGAACAACTTCCGGTTTAAATTATCGTTTTTACATTATTCTACTTCTTAATGAGAAACTAATCGCTGTTATTATATTAAAGTGTGGGGATTGTTACATACCTCCAGTCTTTGTGTGTACTCTTCCGTGATGCGTTCATTTTGTCGGGAGAGGTCTTCATTCTGAAATTAATGATAACAATAATAATTTAATAATTAATAAATAATTGAATCAATTAATGAAATAGCGATATAGAATTAATTGTTTTGATAATAAACGATTAGAAATTAAGCATAAAACGAGATTTTTTCGACTAAATACCTTATCCAAAAGGGCCTTTCCCAGCTCTGCCGCCAACATGAGGTCCTTCTCCTTCTGGCGCAGCTCGTCGTGAACATCCATCCCTTCCGATCTGTTTTCCATGGCGGACACGTAATCTTCAAGATGTTTCATAGTCGAAACCATTCTTCGGCCACGCGAATCACATTCATTCCACTCAAATTCCGTCTCGATTGAGTAATATGTGTTACTGTTAATTGCGAAATTAACTTTCAGTGCGAAAAGCACAGTTCATTCTAGTTTAGAATAATAAAAAAAGCTGTGTAGAATATATGTATGAATCATCACAAGTTCAAGGCTTTCAGTTTATCACAATTTGATGGCTAGTAGAACATACAGCTATTTGTAATAAGAACAACGGGAAATTTGCATATCCAAAGTCCTGATTTTCCTCTGGCTAGCTCATTTGTTCCGGAATTTTGCAATTCCATGGATCGTCATGCACAAAAAGACGAGGAAGAAAAAGGGGTTGTTATCCGCTCACTTTCAGAGAGAGATTATTATTGCGGTGGTTGGTTTTCAGGTGGTGCGTGCCATAAGTGGATCTCAAACGAACGTATAAGCAGTATCAAATTCTTCTCAATTTCTTCCAAATAATAATCTGTCTGTATAATGAATACAACACTTTTGGCCGAGAGCAATTTTATGTTATAATACGGTGAAGTAAACCCGGCTGTAAAATAATCTGCTTTTTTTCCCGTGTAAGTACTATACACGTTTTTCTCCTGTTCTTATACTTATTCAGCCGTCTTCACAACAATAAAACACAGTTATTTTCGATTCTACTGATCCATCTAATGACGAGATTAACAAGTTCTTTGTCAGTTTCAACTTTGATACTTTAAACTGAAGGCACATTCTGTTATTCATAATATTTCCGGACTATTGATGGAGATTGGAGAGTAGAAACATCTAAAATTGTGTGAGACACGGTTTATGTATAAAGCTTGCAGCAATTTAATTATTTTTGCACCATTGATATGATTTCGGGTATAGTTTGTAAATATTTGGTTAAACAAACTGGTCAATGTGTCACGTTGACTTTGCGTATGTAGATAATTTATTTATTTATTTACATACGTGCTAAGTACGACTGGAATTAACACCTTTTGTAACAATGGGACTTTTTCCACTTTGGGTTTCCTTCTAACAAAAAAAAGGTCAAAAAGGGACTTTAAAATAGTGAAATGGAAAGGTAACAAAGTTATTGTAATCAGTGAGGCCTTAACACAACACTTGACACAATAGCAAATTTTACTCTATTGTTGTTAGCACTATCACCAGCAAATTCTAGCATTATTATGGACAACTATATTTTTGTTTGTCAAAAACAATTGTTCAAACTTTTATTTGTTTGCTAAAAAATCCTATTGTAAGTTTTTATAACTTGTCTTCCTAACATCATAATATTGAGGATGAAGGTTATTATCCCATTATTATATGCACTTGATTGATTTTGAGGCACAACCGCAGGTTTGTGAGGACAAAATAATATTTTTATCTCTCTCCCCCTAGAACTTTTTACTATTTGTATTGCGTATAAATTTTTATGTTTTTGTTATTACGTGGATGGAATGTCACACAGTTAATTTAGTGGCATTGATTTGGATACGCGTACTGATGCAGGTAATTACAGATGCAGAAATACTTCCTGATAATTTTCGTCATAATTCCGACTGCATGATATTATTCATGGTTCGTAGTGGTGGATCGTCGTTGTTGCGTTGTTTGTAAAGCACTTTTGAAGGCACTCTGATAATGATTTCCTTGATGATGATGACGACGACGAATACTATTTTGTTTCCATTATTTTCCACTCCGACCGAATCAGCACCGTTTCAAAAACACAAGAGGAGCACCACTACCTACGACGGTACTTCATGGGTCGAAATAAAAAGTCGACTAGTAGAAGATGTCGGAGAATAAAGTTAATGAACAACAACAACGATAAGAAGAATGATAAAGTGTCAGATGTGGCAAGTATTCCTGCTGCAAAATCACGGCCTGTTGTCTTGTCGGTGAGCTTATGTTGTGCAAAATTCCGAAAGTTCTTTGTAAACTGAGCGAGCTAAGGCACGCAGCGTAATTGTTGCCACAGTTTACGCTCGCAGATCCCCATAAAGACTGAGAGCCGTTTCCAAATAAAACAAAAAGCTCTTAAATATTGCTTGTGTGTAGGAAATTACACGACTCTGCATGTATGCAGCGTGTAACATGAATGTGAAGCAGTCTCACTTCTTGCAGTGTGGGTTCTATGAAAAGATCTTATTTTTTTGCAGACGGAGTTGTATCACGAGTAGTATTATAGTAGCAATTTCGTGTGTTTAAATGGAAACAAGATCAAAATTAGCGAGGAATATGGTAAGGATTTCTCCTCTCGAACAAGTTAAGCAAATCCACAATTCAATGAGGGACTTAAAAGTCCAATAATGCAAGCAAAGTCCCTCTTGGTTGTTGTTGGCTCTCTGCAAAACTGGGCTATTATCACTTGCCTGCAAGATTTAAAAGCCAACAACTTGGCTCAACTGGGTAATAAATAGGAGTGAGAAGAGTGTAATGAAACAGGTACACCGTTGCACCATCCATCCAAACCACTGAACCACTGCCACATCCATCTCAACAGAATGTACATATTCGCTGGGCAATGCAATGCCATAATCAAAATCTACCTGTGCGTTTTATGCAGCAGCAGCAGCGTTCGTAAAGCATGAGGCGAATATGTGAGGTGGTATTATACATATCACCTTTGCTATTATTTTGTTGTGGGGCAGCAGGTATGGCGTATGTACGGCCAGGCGCTTATGTTCTTACGGGTTTGCCATAACGCATTGGCTTCTTTGAAATGGACTCGACTCACCTGTGTTAATCTGGTAATGACGGCGACAGGGTTAGGTTAGGCTCCCATTGATCCACCACCTACATGCGATCGCATTCCTATTCCATAAACTTGCATGGATGGTTTCTTCTTGGTCGTCTTCGTCCATTTTATTCGCATTGTTGTTTCATTAGAACAAAAACAGCGACGGATGGACGGACGAACGGATGGAGGGAGGGATGGATCTTGATGATGATGATGACGACAGAGATACATTATGGATGGGCAACGAAACCTGTCTTTTTTTGAGGACGGACTCTCATCTCAGAGATAATAAAACTTGACTAGAATAAATATATCAGTAGTAACAAAACAACTGCCCGAAGTGATGATGATGATGATTCTTGTTCCACATTTCAGGTTCGGATAGAGAAAGTTTTGCCTTATGTTACTGTAAATCTTATTAGTTTTTAGTTTAGTTTAATTTAATTTAATGGGTGAGCAATTAACTTGATCGAGGCACAGATGCAGGCAAGGCAAGGGCATAGAATGAAACGTGAGACTGCACGATATTTTTCTCAAATGAGAGACAAGACAGTGGTGATGTTTAGCAGGATAAAAGTAATGAATGTTGACATTTTCTTATATTAGCATGCGAAATGGTGCCTATTTTTGGGTAAAGCCATCGCCCACTGGCCATTAGGGGCAAGGGCGATATATAAATTTACGAAATTACAATTCTGACATTCTGATCGTTTACCGAGCAAACTTTACCTCCTCCTCCCTCCTTGCCGAATTGGGCCTCATCTACTTTAGGTCATATCAATTTCAGCATCCCGTTCATGAAGCATCACGGTATCATACATTTTGTAAAGGCGAGGAGCAAAGATCATCGAGTAACATAGAATGTACTCTTAATAATTCACTTTTCATCTGTGGTTTGGTTGTTGGGCTTGGCCAAAAAGCCAGAAAGCAAGAAAGGAAAACGGATGTAATTGGATCCCCCTTCTGTAGAAGCAGCAGGGGCAGAAATCTACGACGACCAACCACCACAACAATAACGTAACGTAAGTAATGTATCATTTCTTTAAGAATTAAGGTAAACTAGAAATACGTAAAAAATGGGTATGCTTCGCAGAACAACTTATTACGAGATTCTCCACTTTAGCCGAGGAGGGAGAATCTAAAACTTGCGAGTTTTGTGATCTGATTTCCTTAATCTCCTCCTCCTCCTTCCTGTCTCACCCCTTTTCTTGAAATTATTTACTTGCTGAAATTATTTACCACTCTTTGAGTGAGACTTTTAGCAAAGTTAATTCTCTCCCCATCATAAAAAAGAGGAAGAAGTGGAGGCAAAGTGGACCAGTGTGGCATTACATACGTACGTTACACAATATGTAGAACACCATGATCAGTACCATCACAGCAAAGAACTTGAGCAAGGGAATACAATGCCATTCTGTTTGGTTAATAATGCACAAGAAGAATGAATGTCAGGGGAAACAAATAAATAGTTCATGCTTTACTTCTTCTTCTTCTGGGACTATTAGAATTCAATGCAGCCTGGTTTAACCAACTAACGTGTGACAACACCATCAACAATGAAATAGAAGTGACCTATCGTCGTCGTGATGACTCATAATGTAACCATCTGCATCATTCATGCACATTACACAACATTTCACTCCATCATTCGTTCGTTCTCACCTTTATTACATAGGAGCAAAATGTATGTATGAATATGTATAGTTCGTCGGCTATGAATGGCACTCCTCTCTTTCAAAAGGTAAAAATAATACCTAAATTAAGTGTGTGAACATTCGCTCGAGTCTGAATTGTGTGCAGTTCACAAATATTCTGTGGATGTAGACAAATGATGAGCAAATGGAGGTGCACCTGATTTACAAACAATAGACGCAACAATTGTACCATTCAAGTCTCTCATTACAAAAATACGTAATGCGAAATTAGCATGATAATGCATATACAGCCAGTCAGTCAGTCAGTAATTCGAACTTTTATTGCTTATGTAAAAGTACGCGTGTATTTACAACACACCTCTGTTCTTTCCTATTATTACTGGCTGCCTGTATTGTATGAATGAGCCCTCTGATGATCGTGGCCTGCTTATCTCGCACCTTATCCATGCAATCGGACCATTTATGTATATTGGTGCTCTAATCCTAAGTGCATTGTTATCATGGGGAACAACATCATCGATGATCGGGAATATAATACATCATTCAATATTGTTACGTTACATACTTGGCAATAATGAAAAAGAGCTACTACACAATTCCACTCGTGTATTCAACACAACTGCAGACTTGTTTTTATTGAGAAATTCTAATCAAAAGCCATATCTCTCTCTTTACGATATGATTTTCTACTAATTTTGTCCGATGACTAACGCAAAGTAATGTGTAGCATTTTCAATGCCATCATAAACACCTTCAAATCTTGTTTAGTTTCTGCAGACACTCGACTGCATTTGGTTGAACTTAATGAGACACAAGACTTCCCTGTCCGTGTGCATGTATAAATAAATAAATAAATAAAATACAACAAAATCACCACTATTTACTACCGTGGGTAAACTTTGTCATTAGTGATAACATCTTCGTTTGAGTGGTTTAGAAGAAAACAAATATTAGAATTATTATATCCTAATTGTTGTGATATTATTTATTGCCTGCATATTCCAAGAAACTCATTCGATGCGTAATGTGTCCATCATCTCGTCCGTCACGCACACACTGTTCGTGTTCTCATCCCATCCCATCTTCTGAATGTCCCTCAAGCTGCATTAATTTTACGGAAGTTATTTGTAAATTCGTGATCAATATTGTTTAGAGGATAACACCAGAAATAATGAACAAAAGAGGCACGAATATCACCCAACCTACCTCTTAATAATAATAACAGAGAGGGAAAAATTAATCAATAAAGTTTATCTATTTATTATTCCAGTGCAGCAGGGATGCATACAAATTGGAGATGAATTCAATGCAATACGACTGATGAGGGACATCGTTGTTTGTTTAATTACGTGAAAAATGACACCTATCCTACAATTCTGCTTCTTACTAGATGCTGAACTTGAAGCATAAATGTCGAGATGAATATTTGCCACCTTCTAAAATATAAGTAAGTATGAGGTAATTTTTAAGCAGTACTTATGAGTAATGAAATCAGAAATATATATAAAATAGCGATGATATCATGGATATACATAATATATGCATGCATGTATACACCAAATACAGTGGTTGGTGATTTCAGCAGGCAATAACGTGATCTCTTCTCTTCTAATGCACAGCGTAAACATCCCCGCAGGTCACGTCACACACCAAATTTCAAATGATCATTATTGGGAAATGAATTATTCAAAATATTGTAATTGTACATACGATCCGCAGAGATATAAGTGAGTTGAACTGGTTTACATAAAAGATTGATTTGCAGCAGCAGCGGCAGTGCAAACTAAAAGTGCAACTTATTGGCATGATAATAGGTAAGTACCATTGGGCACCTATTTAATGCATCAAACCGTGATTATGACGGCGATGATAATAATGATGATGGTTTCTCGCACAATAAATAATGGTGTCTGCCACTCTACCAGTCACGGTGGTCAAGAACAATTCAAACACGACGAGAAATTTGGTGTAAATCGCGACAATAATATCAATTGTTGATTTGATACGTCATCACGACGAGTGAGATGAACACTTTAAGAGACGGACAATAGTTCTTGAAGCCCCTTCACCTTGACATGACTCGCTCCACGACAAACAGACAACAAACTTTTACGTCAGTGGTTTGGTTAGCTGAGCATTATTTACCTACGTTGAGAACAAATGACAATGAACTTCCTACTGACATTCATTTTCAATTTACCTCGGAATTGGTTGTCGATGATTAAATAAGTAAGTAAAACGCAAACAATGGTTTTATACTATTTTTTTGCGGTCGTCGCTTTTATCTACATATTTTTTTTCTTTCTTTCATTATTATAAAGAATCGTTTTTTTTTTGCTGTAAAATCTTGTAATGTAATCTTGGTCGTGACACGATCCATTATTTTATACGCAGAATACTTCCATCATCAGCAGAAATATATGTGAATGAATGAATGATCTGTATCGTGTCGGTATTAAAGTTGGGCTGTGGTGGTGACGTTGTCGGTGCGCCACAATTTGACCCATTTTGCTAGAATAAGCGTGTTGTCAATTTAGGATCACAGAGAAGAATTATGTCATCTGGCACAGACACAAAGCGTTAATTAGATGATTACATTTTACCTGAATTCACACATTTGCTATGCTGCCACTAATATAATAAGTACGTGCATAAGTAACTTCTCTCTCTAATTACACTAAAACTTGGGCATGTATTCCACAAATGTTGGTTGGATGGAGGTGGGTGGGACAAAGTATTATTAAGTATTTCATTAGAGAGTTGGAGATTCCTTGTACTCTGACTGTAGACTGTACTGTGGACTCTAGATGATGACGTCATCAGCTTTTTGTACTAATTCTACAGTCTACAGTAGACAAATTGAAACACGGGCTCAATTTGTACTACTGTGGAAAAATCAAGGGTTGGCAACTAGGATATCTCTAGAACGCCTCAATGTAATCAGACGCCGTTTTCGCCATTTTGCTTCTAATTTTTGACCCTAGGTCGAGTTCGAAGATGGGCTCCCTGTGGTCAAGGTCAAGGTCACCCTGGCGTGAAGTAAACGCAAAATTGTACCTTAATTTTCATATGCGGTATCATTTTAAAGGAAATTTCACCAAGAATTTATAGTCGTCAATACTTTTGACCTACGACCAACCAATGACCGAAAGGACGAGGTCAAAGGTCGCAATTTAAGTGTCGACTGTTTTAGACGTGTATTAAGGCGAGAATTTAAGAAATCTGCATAGCTTTAACGTATGAAGACCCCGTGACCATGTTCACGAGGTCAAAGGTCAAAAATGTTAATATTTTATTTCAACCGTTGCAGACGTAGTTCACTTTGAAGCGAGGAGTTCAGAAATTACTATCATTTCGGCTTATATCAGCCTGGTGACCGTTTTAATCGAGGTCAAGGGTAAAAAATTTCGACTTTTTGGTTTGATCGTTTTAAACGCACATGTTGGAGGGATTCTCATTTTGTATATCATGAGTTGATTTGTCTCAATTTTTGACTCATCTATTTCGCGGAGTTTTACAATACAATTTTTTCAGAGTACAAAATAATGAAATTCTCCAGGTCTTTTGATTTTTGTACTAATTTTTGTATTGTACTGTAGTCACAGTACAGTACAAGTAAAAGTACAAAAAATCTCCAACTCTCTATTATACACACGCTGTACTTACTCCCAATTTCTGTTTCAGGTTTCCAGTCCAGCCGCACTTTTACTCTTTTTTTCAGGTTAGTGACTTAATAAGTAAATGAACTTTTAATTAAGAGTGATGAGTTCGCATTAATTTACAAAATAAATAATCCCGTAACGCATTTTCAAAAAGATCATGTCCTTTCATCCCATAAAGTGTCACGAACTCGCGAAGAAAACAAAAATTCGTACATATATATGTCGCAGCCTTTTTAAATCAGTTTCCGGTTCTGTGAGAGTTCATTAAATTTTTGTAACGAAATAATAATAATTCGCGTCTGAATTATCATCGAGGTAATTATTTCGTGATGATATGAATGCCTACATGACTTTCCATGTCGCATATTATTACGTTTTGCATTGATTCTTTGAACACGGATTTCAATCTCATGATGCTGATTATGCTGATGGGATGACAGCTCTCGTCGTCGTCGCACTAGATGTGAGTTTACATGCATGTATGCATTTTAAGGGGGGAGGAAGTCAAAAAACAGGATGCACAATGGGAAGGGAAGGAACTGCACAAAACATGATTAGTTCTTTATTCAGAATGAAATATAATAGTGTAACCGTTCATATTGATGAGATTCTCAATGAATTATCAAGTGACATAAATCTCATGGGTTTTACGTAAACTTCCCACACGAAGGTGGACGACACCGTTACATTCTGACATGGGACGGCCGATCACGACTCCTCACGACACGATGTACGTCCTCGTCGTCGTCTCATAAACACGATATGTATTTACTTTTAGACATCTCATCGTTTATCCGACATACAGTTTTTGTCACAAGTTTATTAAAAAACCCATTTCAAAAGTCGGTCCAAAAAAGGTTTTGTCGACAACAACCAACCAACCCACAAACTGACTAAACTACAAAACTGAAAAATGGAGTGGGAACCATAGAGTGCAAAATATTAATCAAAATGTACAATGTTTTTTAGACGATGAGAGTAAAGTGGACAACAAGAGTACAGTTACGTGTTACAGTAATTCTTTTGCAGGTCGGTCGGTCCATCATCCGTCTCTCTCATCTCGAAAAAATGAATATTAGCATCTTTCATGAAATGAAAGCAACAAATGGATCATAATTTTTCGGGCGTAGTCTGCTACGAGGAGGGAAATGCTAAAACGTTGGCAAACAAAAGAACACAAAAAATATAGAAATCAGGACTAACGCAGCGTTAGTAACGCTGTTGTGAAATAAAAATGCAAAAGTTAGCTCTCTATCTACTGGTAAATAATAAGTCCTGTTATTGTATCCATAATTTTGATGTATGTACATATGTAAAAGTGATTGCGATCCAATCTTGATGCACATGCACGCACATAATTGAGCCCTCCCACGCATTTTCACATGCATTTTTAGACAGTTTTCTAGCTATCCGAATCAACTTTAGTGCATGCATAATAAATGTTTTTTATACGCTTCATTTTAGTACATTAACCTTCATCACGACAGGGTTCAAAGTGGAATGGATACAGAGACAAATATGGCATGATGAGTTTCAGATAAGGCTAACAAAACGACGACGACGAACTATTCTTCTACATGCCACGCAATATCAAATCCATTTTAGTTTGCATATTTTATTGTATTTATTTATTTTAAAACCGAGTAACAATCAATACAATTCAACTACAACTGAGTCATAAGCTGCGCACTAATGAAAACTACTGGATGATGTTTCAGTATCACACATTTTGTTTAATTCCGAACGAGAAAGACGATGAATGAATGAATGAATACATGTCTTGCCTTCTTCTTCTTTTGCTGGAGTTGAAAAATGCTGAGCTAAAGTACACACAATCTTGAAGAAAACACTTTAAAATGAACGCAGCCCTTAATTAAATCTCTTGTCAAAGTGAATTTACAAAGCTTTTACTTGATAATTAAAGCAATTTTAACATAATTTCGAAAACTCACAACTTTTTCTAATCAGCTTAACACACACTTTTTTGTCTCTTTGCTTTTGCTGTCGTGCACTGTTTCAATTAATTGGTGGATGACTGCGAGAGCTTTAATAGGCGTACATACAGACATACATACATAAGTCAACGATGTGTAGTAATCAATGCTCTGCAAGCTCATTATTAAATTGTGCTAATAATTAAATGTTCAACAGTACATGTGGCAATGAATTGTTCGAGGTGTTGAATATATGTTGTGTTATAATGATAATGTTAGTTAGCCATTGTTTTCTACTGCAGATAATTAACAGTTAATACTAAATTGATTGAAATGATAAGTTATTGTTGTTAATTTGTCATCACTGATCTCTCCTCGTCGTCGTTACTATTTATTATTACACAAATGTTTTTTTTATGAAGGTTACACAAATCGTTTATAGTTCACGTAATAGTAATTAGTCCCTTTCGATTTTAGTCCCACACCGAAAAATACTTGAAACAAAAACACACACCACTTTCTTGATGAGAGGTTAATTACTTTTAGTTAGTTGCAAAGTATTCTTCGCTTGTGATTTGCGAGAGCTTTTTGTGCATTTTGAAATATATGTACTATGCAGTTGAGAGTCCCCACAAGCATTATATGTTGCCAATATTGTTAGTAGTATATTAGTGGTAGCAGTATTATATTTTTCGTGTAAGTGTTTTTTTATCAGAGATTTTATGAACAAAGCATGAATTGACTTGTTGAAGGCAGCTGCAATATTATTTAAATGACTAATTTCTCCCGACCCGTCCGTCCATGTCGATATATCCTCCTCTACTTTTCATTGTCCTTTGACTTTCCCCAAAATTTGAAATCAAACTTATGCTTTGATTTTCCACCTGAAGATGCAGGAGATGCCGTGGTCCCGGCTGCTGGGGTGACTGACGTGGTCGATGTAGTCATCGGCGTCGCGGTGGTGGTTGAGGGGCCGATCGACTTGTACATCTCGGCTGGTTCGGGAGCATCCAACACTTTATAAGACGGGAGTTTACTACCCGTTGCTTGTTTCGGATTCGTGGATGAGGTTTGAGGTAAGGAATCGGAAATTTGGGATGATCCAACGCCCGGTCGTTTAGCCGTGGCGGAGGAGGACACGGGAGCTGGTGGGACGAAACCTGTAGGAGGGACGGGAGGTGGTGAGGTCATGGGGGCCTCGAGGACACGGATCGATCCTCTTGGTGCAGCCACCGGGGGAGTGGACGTGGGGGGAGAGGTCACTCTGGAAACGTAAGGTTTCTGCACGGCTGCTGCTGCAGGTTGCGGAGTTAACTTTGGGGTCGGGTCAAACATGAATTGAGGGTCTTCCAAGCATTGCAGTGTCGAGCCTGGGATTGGTTTGCGAGCATTGTCCACCTGAGGCTGGGGTTTGGCTGGGGCAGGCCGGATGGAGGACGTAGTCGTGGTCGTGGTCGTCGGGGGTTTGTTATTATTTGCATTGTCGTCAGGTTTCCGGTTATCAAGGACAGTTTTATTGGTGCCGCTACCATTCAGATTGTAAGGGGTTGATTTCACTGGGGGCTTCCTGTCTCCTCCTGAGGGGAATAAGTGGAACAATATTGGAATGTTATAACTAAAGCCTATAAAATCATGCAGCATGCTCCCGTCTACGTAATTGCGTATCTCCAACCAATACCTGCTAATACTGATTGAGTCTGATGAGGGGGTTTGTCGGGCAACTTAGTCCCACTACTCACAGGTCTCTGCATTGGGGGTGGTTGGCTGGGCTTTGTGCCAGATTGTGCGGATTTGGGTTTCTGTGCGGGGGGAGCAGATCTCGGAGAGAAGGAGGACATTGAGGGAGACGACGTTTTGGAACCTGCCGAAGATGGAAATCCAGACCCTGGACCACTTCGACTCGAGTCGACCCCTTGGAGTCGTGCATCACCTAACAAATCCATATAGGAAACTAATAAATAATATGCTGCTTAAAACAACTCTTGAAAAAACGACACCAATTCATACTTAGGACATAAAATCACACATTATTAGTAGTACAAAATTACACACATAAAATTCAAACACTGAATAAATATCAGCTCCCACCGTACCTCCCGGAACTCATTTTCACACATATCTTTCCAGTACAATAAGTTCGTATACGAGTGCAAAACGCAGTGCAATACAACAGATCCTCTCTTAAACATACATTGGTGAGAAAATTTTCCGAACACGATGTATTCAAACAAGTAGATGGAATTCAACTCACTCAAAGGATTCATCCAAGGCATGTAATAATAAGTATTATATAAATATCTAATAGAGACAAGTATGATAAGTAAATAATGCTACGCAAGTAACACTGGCAATAAATTAAGTGGGTAGGTGCGACATCGTGTCGTCAGTAATAGGAATGCTTTCTCCAATCACTGGAGAAAGTGTAATCCTGGAGAAAGCTCCGGGAAATGCGTTGTTTTTTGCGTTACACACACAGAGCACAAGACATGAGCATTAAACATACAATATTAATTACTTACTAGAAGTACACACTGTAATTTATACAGATTTGTGCCGCTATACTGAACGAAACGCCATGCGCAAAATTCATAATCATAATAAAAACGATAACGAAAAAACAGAGTAAAAAACAACGAGGATAACAACAATAAGAGGAGGATACAAGAGAGGTGGTGGAGACTGCTGCTCGAAATGTCATTCTGATCAAGAACTTTCTGGGTTTAACGATTAGGTACATACAAATAAATGAGGTGATCGTACGACAGCATGCAAAGTATTCATTTGATCTCAAGACACTTTTTAAGTGCAATTTATTATCACACTATACGAAAAGCAGTACAATGACAACCGCACTCATCTAACTGTACAGTACATAATAATCTGATGAGATGATGAGTCTCAATGTATTACAAGCATAAGATAACAAAACGCTGATGAGATGTAGGTATCAACGATCGACTGAGTGAGTAAGAACAGTTTAATAATAATAATGATAATAATAATAATAATTAATAATCAACTTCCGCACACACGCAACCACCAACAATCAGTAGCAGGAGAGTGGTACTAATAATAATTAGCTTTGGTTTTACAGATCTTGCTTGACCATCGATCGATACTCGAGGGGGTCTGATGTGACAGTTGCGGAGAAGGAAATTAATTACCTGCTCTGAATCTGGGACTGGGAGGCGCTACAATGGACAACAGAAAATTGTTTTAGGAATTTAATTTAAGGAATTGAAGCGAAATGATTTAATTTTTTGTGGGTCAGAAAGTATTTTTTTTAGAAATTTAGTGCATACCGTCCCGAATGTTTTGAGTAACGGTAAAACTTTTGGTGGTATCAAGTGGAACTGAAAATCAAAGGTCAATGACTTTTCACTTTTCTGACGCTTTCACTTTTCTTTCTTTCTTTTTCTTTCCGACTACTTTTCTCACTAAGTTTGGCTTTTTTTTATATTGTCAATTAAATATAGACAATTATTGGTTAAACTGAACTAACCTGTCCAATTGACCGGATCTGGGCTTCTTAAGATCACCTTTATATATACATAAATGGTTGGATATCGTTTCACAACTGACAGTTTGGATGATGATGCGTATTTGACCACCATACATGTGACCTTTCAATGGATGATATCATGGCATACCTGCTCGGGAGACTTGACCCTAGTTGGCTCCGGGGGCGATTTTATAATAGGCTCAGAAAATCCAAAAGAAGGATCTGCCGAACCTGACAATTTCCAAATAAAGCAAAATATTAACTTAATCAAGCTCCGAGTCCGTCTGAGGAAATAAAACGCCAAAAAAGTGGTTTTCTCATTGTTCGCAGGGTCCGTTTTAATTCAAAAAAGTATCATCAAGAAAGACAACATCTCAAATGTTAAGTAAATATTAAAGTTATTTATTAGAGACAGAAAAGTGTGCTGAAAAAAGAGCACATTTAAGAAAATCGATAATGATTTATTAAGGATATTAGTGACAGACTCTGCGAACATAAAACCGGACTGTGGCTACCAACTCAAACAGAAAAGATCCCTTAACAATATAAAAACTCTGCATCACAGGCACATTCAGGAGAACAAAGCGTAAAAAAATCAGAGGCAGCATTTATTTTATAATACTTATGACCCATCCAACCTATCATCATATCGATCGGTGCAATTTTTTAGATAAAAGGTATGCAAAAATGGGAAGGAGTCAACCAAAAATAGAATAAAACGATAGTAGTACAAATCGTTCTTGGTGTGTTCATTGTGTATCAAAAACTACAACTTTTAACTACGACAACTAAAGCCATTCAAGCACAACAACAACAAGATCTACTGTTTTACTCTAATGATATATATAGTTTTTTAGTCTAGAGTTATTATGATTATTAATGATATAGAATAATAAATATGTACTACAAAGTAGTCCTTGGATTCCTCACTTTGATTAAATCACACTGTAAACCAAGAAGTCTTATTACCAGCAACACCTTTAACTGTGCATTTGAGAGAAATGCATTTCGAGTACAACCGCAATTTGTGGGACAAGGACTTTTCAAAGTTGAGGGGGAGTGAATTCACTACCTAAGTAAATAGTACGAACTTCGTACTACCTGCATTGAGTCAAGGAGCAGCGACGGAGAGAAGAGTTCCTGCAGTCGTCTCTCTGACCTGGCCGTTGCATTAGAAATGCATTTCTCTCCTTTTTCTCACTGCATTTAAAAAAGTATTAAAATAAATTTAGCAGCACAGTTCTCTTGGTTTATCTCACAAGGAGAAAGAGATCATCATTAATTAGCACACAACAGCAGCTCCTTTTTTTCTCAAATAAATTATTCGATTCAGGGGATGGTCACTGTCGCCATGAACACATTGTCAATCGACGATGTCCCAGAGGGGAACCTTGTTTTTTGCGTGGAAATGGATGGGAGAACAATCTCTCAGAAAAGTAAAGACGAGCTACAAACGATTGGTAAGAACTAGTAGGGGGGTTAAATTAATCTATATAATTTGGTTAGGGTATTTTTTCTCTATTTTTTAGCTGCCGGGGTCCAAATACGCCGTGTGCTGGGGCTCAAGGTTCGGGATCGTAAGGAGAGGGTAAGGTCAATAATTGTTGGTGAGTCGGGGCAAAAGAACCCGGTAGAGTGGGCGGACAGCGCCATTGCCAACATTTCCGACCGTCCAGAATCCACCATCACTACCACAGCTAAATGTTGTTCTGTCGGGTAAGGTTTTTTTAATTTGAAAAATGTCTATAATTCATTAGTTATAACTATTTTTCGCCTGTTTTAGGGATGACTTCAAGGCGGATTGGACAGCGAAGGCGGAGATGGGGGAGATTATTGATTTTGAAGTTTATGGGGACTCACCACTCATGGGTGAAAATTTAAAAGAGTACTCTCGTCGCCTACTTAAGGCCCCTGGAACGAAAAAGTCGAAACTGACCTTGACCTTCCTCAACAATCACAAGGCCTCGCTTAATTCCCGATTTTTGTAAGAGTTTTATTGTTTGTAAAGGTATTAATTTGGCAAAATGCATGGTTATGTTTGTTTTTATCAGAGTTAAAACTCAAGGTGTGATCGATGAGGTGGAGGATGAGACACCTCCATCCTCTCAGGTCAAGATCAAGGTTGACAAGAAGAAGAAAGTGTCAAAGACGGATGGAGCATTAAAATGCAAATTGTGTCCATTCACCACAGACAGGAAATATGACTTTGACCGGTAACACTCATATTTTCTCATTTTCTGAAAATATTTAACCCCCCCCCCTCCCTTTACATTACAGCCACAAGCTGACCCACTCCAAGAAGAAGCCGTTTACCTGCAAGAACTGCAGTAGGGGATTTAGCCAGAAATCAAACCGCGATCGTCATCAACGGAAGTGTGTTGGGGCTGGAGCTGGCGTCAAGAGCTCCATTATGGAGTTACTTAATAAGAGGTAATACCGACGAAATGTATTTTAAAATGGTATTTAAATGTGACTTTTGTTGTGTTTTAGAGCTGAAGCTCTAAATATCCCCGTTCCAGAGCTGAAGGGTGTCAACTTCACCCCCACCCAAAGGTATAAACTCGAAAAGGAGAAGGTGGCGGTGCTGGAGAAGGAGAATTCCAAATTAAGGGTATTTGCTTGGTTTATTTATGTTTTAAAAAAGCTAAATTTAATTCTGAATATTTGGTTTTGTAGACTGAAATTTTGAGACTGAAGAATGAGAACAAGGCTCTCAAGGGAATTACAGAGCCCCCAGAAAAGAAAGACAAATCGCGGTGGTCAGAATCAGAGGAGGAGGAAATGGACATTGAAGAATCAGTGTCTTAATTAAATTTATAATTCATTCATAGTTATTTAGTCGTGTTTTGTAGTCAAACTGTTCGGGTGCTAATAAAATAAAAGCAATTTTAAACATGCATTCCAACAACAATAAAAATCACCGTAAAGAAAGTAAGCATACTTCACACCCGAAAATATAAGGAATACCAATCACCATTAAATTGAAGCGTTTTCACCAATTTGGAATTGACATCCATTGACCGGTGACCCTTATCACTACTAGCTTTAGGGCGAGGACTAGTAGCTAAAGTTGCTGCGTGAGTTCAATATAATGATAATAAGCGTCAAAGTTAACACAATTAATTTCTACCAGTCTATTCATATATCTTATCGTAACACTCTGAGTCTACATTCAGAGCATCTCTATAGAAGACTGGGACTCGTTACTTGTCATCATCTACATGTTCGAATCAACCATCAACCAACCAACCAGAGTAGCGAATATATTAATTAATCATTCAATCAACCCCGTCTCCATTACGATTTTACTAATTGTTTGTTAGTGACTTTTTATACGGGAGGACGACACCCTAAAAAGTACGTAAAATACGAATATATACCCCACCACTAACCACTACGTATGTACATAAATACTTTTTGGTGCTAACACCCTCTCAATAAATTACTCTTTTTAAACTAATCAAAATACAGACCTACGCACGTATTTGATAAGGACGACCGGAGAAAGGTAAATGAAATGAAATAAAGGCACTGCGCAGAGCCATGAATGAATTGAAATAAGTAAGAAAAATCTGCTGCATGGAAAAGTAAGAAATGTTTAATAATTAAATACGAAAGCGGGCGGGGATGGTGGCTTCGAAAAAACTGTTTTGTTTTTCATAAAAATAAAAAACTGGAGAGACAATTAATGTATTGATTGTTAATAATCTCGCCAAACAGCGGTATTAATTATGTATAAGGATTTTGTTATTTACGAACGAGCAATGAAATGAAATGAAAGAAAGTGATCATGGCCATGGCGTCGCTATGTAGTAAACCCCAGACAGATAGAGCTTTAGCTTAAGTATAGCTGCAGTATTGCATATGATCTGCACTGGGTGGGAGCCATACACAAGAAATAATGGAAAGAATTAGATATAAGGCGCATTCCGAATAATAATGAAAATTATTTTCCTGGCTTAATTTCGGACTCTAGTTTTGAAAATGGATTCGTACAGAAAATATAACAATTAAGTAAGTAGTGTAGCCGTGTAGATAAAGTTTAAGCAGCGAGGAGTGTCTCATACTTTCAAGTAATAACCAATCAACAACGCAAGTAACCACCTCAACCAGGAGGGGAGCATCATATATTCAGTCAGTCAGTAGGTTATCATCATTCGATAAGTATAGATAATAATCGTATTCATGGCATATAGTTTAATGGTAAGTAAGGTGAGAGAAAGAGAAATTGAGAAATTGAGGTGATCTCACTTGGACGTGGATGTCGCGTCGCAGGTTTATTCAGATCCAAAATCTCCCTTTCTTTAGAAAGAACGGAATGATGCGTTGCCATTTTACGAGGCGAGCGTCCGCCTGGACCAGCAGATTGCGAACGAGCTGCAGTGAAAAGAAAAATCAACTTTAGTACAACAAAAAATGGGATAAATTAGCATGTACTATAAAATAATAACCTTTCCCTCGTGATGCTCTGCTAGAAGCGGTCGAGGGTGGGCCGTCATATTTCTTTTTGGCTCCTTGGACGGCTTCAGAGTCCTTCATCTTTAACGGGTAAAAGTCATTCGTATCATATTTATTAAAGACAGAGTGAGAAAATGGAAAATATAAATTGTTGAAATAACCCACCTTAAAATCACTAATAGGATGTTTCGGAGTCGCAGTGTTTGGCCGTGATAAAGACCGCTTGGGCATGCTCTTGTTTCGAACATTCTCTTTCTCCTTATCCTCCTTGGAGATGGATTTCCTACACAAATTCATACTTTGCATAAAACGACACAATTCCTCTGGAGAAAGTAGGACTCACTTTGTCGTCGTTGTTATCAGAGCAAGAGCTGCCAACGAGGGTTGTTTTGACACTTGGTCCCAAACATGCTGGTGATACGCGTCCGATGAGTGCTGTGGTACAAATTCTGTACCCCATCCACGGAACTGTGAAGAGGAATTTTATTAGTGAAAAGTGTATTAATGGAGAAAGTTATTATTATTATTGTCACTATTCAACACTAACTCTGTAATCCCCAGCTTTCTTGCGTAACTCGATGACCTCCTTGTACCAAGGATTCGGCGTGTCCTGATCACCCTTCTTCTTAAAGAACTTCCCATCCACGTACTCGTACTGAGAAAAGGGGCGAAACTGCTTCTTATACTCTGACTTGTACTCCTTCCTGCTATAAATTAGACCCCAAATTAATAATTTATTTTAAAAAATTGATTCCCATAATTTAAAAATATACACACGTTTTAATTCCAACTGCGTCCGCTTGCAAAGTTGTGGGGGCTTCATAGCTGTGCGACATTTCCCGATATCCTCCTTTATTTTCAGTCCATTCCAAGGAGAAGTCGGGGCCTTTGAATGTATCCATATTATGAATATTTGGCTCTATTCCGCCTACTGCTGCAGTGTCTGGGTTAATTAATGTTCACATTTTTTTTTACTACAATTTATAACCATTTCTACTCCGAAAAATGGTGCGATTATTACCAGCATTATTATTCTGGAGCGCTATATTGTGAGTGAGATGGTGTGTCTGAGGAATTGTGGCCGAGTCGAAATTATTGGTGGCACGGAATGTGCCCATAGACACCGACTTCTTCGGCCCACTCTCCTCGGAAGGCAATTGAGTTTCCTTAAGGCAAAGAGAAAACTTTAGGTATTCGCATATATATACACAGCCGTTACGTAAAGAGAAAGTGTGTCCGATTATATCACATTCTATACTAAGTGCAAATATTTGTTTAATAACTGTTGCAACCATAATGCCACTACTGCAACTGGATGTTGTTACCTCTTCTGTATCCATTTGCATGTGTAACCTCTGAGCAAGCCAGCCAAAGCAGTCTAATAATTTAGATAGGTATGTATGACGAGCTAGTTCCGTGTGAATGCGGTTCAGACTTCAGTCTCAGAAAAATTGGAAAGTTATTACACTCGTTTCCAGTAAACTGTTCTCTATTTTCGTGAATATAATCCAAATTTACTCCCGTTATTCACCAAAGTTCCTTCTTTATTACTGAGGAATCTCTCCTCCTGACCAAACATTCGAATTACTCTTTATGCTCCACTTTCGCTGATGATGCAAAGCTTGTTCTACTCTCTCTGGGAAGGAAAAGTTTGAAGGACATTTGCAACCGGAGAGGAGGAGAAGTTGTTGGTTTGCAGACCAGAGATCCCGATCGAACCGAAATAACCGAGATTGCAAAATGTTTATTTTATAGAGTAAAATCTGCCAAAATGTACGTATGAAGAATGGAAGGAACTCGTAAACTTCTCATTTGTAAATTATTTAGATAAACTGTTACTCTTTCAACCAACTTTCCTCACAGTGGACCACTCACTCTCCTCGCTTCTTTATGACTTGAAGCACGCTTGTGTATCTATGCGGATTAAGAATGAAAGCCTTTCTCTCTCAAAATTAGTATTATTTAGCAGCCAGTGAAGAAAAAAAGAGTTACAAATTTCTGAGTAATAAATAGCTCGATGTGCTTTCTACAAGGATTTTTAGCTCAATAAATGTAGCGTTTGGTGTGACGGAAGGAAGCTGATTGTAATGACTCTTGAAGTGTAACAAGGAGATGATGATGGTGAATAAATGTATATATGGAGATGGCAGATATTATGCGGTGCAGGTGTTGTTGTGGGATGTTTCCCCGAGACCATCCATCTCGACTAGAGAATTATAGTGCCATGTAGTGCTACTTACTTACTAACACACCTACTCAATGTGGACAGGTGCATTGGAAGCGATACAATACGCACGCACAACAATGCACTACTTTTGCACAGTATCTTTGTTACCACTACTCCTATTACTTGGGAGAAGATTAGATTTTGGGCTATGTATAGATTGGTCCATTTTAAATAAGAAAATCGTCTCCATCTAAAATACATGGTCTTATCTTTCAATGTGTCTCAATCATGAGTTTGAGAAGGGTATGAATTCGACTGCATTATGTTTAACCAGTGCTTAATTAGTTCACCACTTCAATTGCACTTGAATGCATAAATGCATACGAAAGTAGTCTATGGTTTACTACTCATAAATAGTACATGCAGTGGTTTGCAATGCAATACCAGGAGCAATAAGTAGGCATTGGTTTTTGTGAATATTTATGCAGTATGTCCATCGCCATAGGATAGTGTGATATACAGTATCATGACAATGTATTTAATATGTAGGGAACAATGGGACTTACAAATTTGGAATGTCCCCTGGTCTGTTGAGCGTGATTCTGTGACCGATGCGTCTCAGTCGTAGTCGCCGAGGAAGGTTTCAACCACCACTCGTTCACCCCCGCATTATTGACGTTCGTAATGTTTACTCGTTTCCCCCCTCGCCGTTCCTCTCCCCCCTGACCTGAAATACGTAGGCATACAAAGTTTTAGGTATATTTTCCAGTTTACCAAGTCAAATTCATAGGTTTTTGTGGGATTGCATAATAAAGTTGGAGAAAAGCGTGGGTGGTCGTGTCAAAATCGGGGTATAATTTTGTGATCAACTTTGACATGCTAACTTGAGTTATGAGATTATTCGAGGGCCACTCTTAATTAGTAAGAATAACGAGTATATAAAGGGTATTGAACATACCACCGGACCAGAAGGGAAGCGTTTTGGAAGATTGTGCAGGCTGTTTCACAACAGCGTGACTTATTCCAGTACAATTACCCTTAGAACCCACATCACTTGAAGTGTGCCACTGGAACGTGCTTCGGTACTCTGTATGCAACTAAATAGACAAATGAAACCTCAAATAAAGTGACAGAACATTTATCCGCAAAATCAGTCTCTTCACCATCCTCCTCTCTTAACTAATTGACACTGACCAGAGTTGAAAAGAATGGGAGGACAAAAGTACAAGGAGAGGCATATGTACTTATTCGTTAAGGTGAGTCTACTTGCAAAGGTGAGAGAAAGAAAGCCGAGAGTGAAAGCTGGTCAGGTGACACATGCATGAAAAGAAGGAGTTGTCTCTCCAATCTGTGTCAACAGAAGGAAACCAGACGGTAGAAAAAAGATGGAATCTCAAACCTTTTCCACTGGCAGGGATGGACAAGCGCGACACAAACTCCAAAAAGAACTGATCATCAGTATTGCTATTAGTTTATATTTTTAGACAGAAGCCACCCAGACGACAGAAGGAAGGCAGGCTGCAGATTTGTTTCAGATTGTCCGTTCACCACTCTGTGACACTTTTCTCTAACTTATTAGGATTGAAAACAGGCCCGGAAATGGGAGAGAGAAAGAACAAGGCATGAAACGAACAAGTCTGTTGGTTTAATATAGTGAAAGCAGGAAAGAATCAGGCTTTCGACCCAACAACTGGATTCGTCATCTTCTTCTCTCTCACTTAACTTCGTCTTCCTCCACATCCACCAGACCAAACTCACGCCGACTCAGACCCCCCAAACTTCCACGGAGGGTTTGCATACATACAGAAATGGCTTTCTCCATCGCGAAACACACCACTTTGCAGTTCATCCAGAGCAGTAGTGGTCGCATCGCATGCCCAATTGCCCACCACCACCAGCAGCTCTCTCCCACTTTCTCCCCTATGAATGTGCCACACACATGCACAAACCACATCACACCACACCAACCAACCCTTCTTCTACTTGGTCCTCCTGTTTTCCTTACCCTTGTTGTTGGAGGACCCAATCTTTTCTAACTAAATAACTTTCCATTCCATCCAACACTTGAGCAGCCAGGCCTTCCTTCCGTTTTTTCTTTCATACTCCGCTATTTAGCCACACCTAATGAAATGGGCACTCCACCCGGACAAATTTAGCAACATATGTACATACATGTGAAATGAAAGTAAAAGGATGCATGGACAAATCCACTATCGCCAGACCAGAACCGAGATAAAACACTGGAAAAGGATGGAGAAAGTGAGGGAGTAGTGAGAGCTTTCACTTCCAGACGAGATAGGCAGCATTGGTGTGAAAAAGAGTGATGAACTCGAAACTGGAGACACAAAGAGTTGGAGTAAATGGGCCAATGTTATTTTTTGCAGGACAATAAGTCTTGACGAATGAGACAAAAAGGATGCGCCCTGATTTCATTATGGGACGAGTTATGGGTGCTGTGAGAGAGAACACTAATTTAATCAGAGTGAGACGACTCTCTATCTCTCTCTATCTGTGAAAAACCATGAACAATGAAATCAAAGACCACGCATAGAACAAGTTTGATTAAACAGTTTCTAAATTTATTACCCAATTTAAGAAATTAATGGTTTTAATAAATTAGTAAAATGGAATTGCATTCATCGTTCACAAATGATGTTGTTCAACTTCTGAAACGGATAAATATATAGTTGTTTTCTCTGTACTGATTTTTTTTGGGAAATTTCTAGTGGAAATTTTCTTGTTGAAATATATTTGTTACTGCGTGTAGAACATTTGCAACGATAAAATTAGGTTGTCTTAGTTTTTCCTCCATTGGTAAAAAGTCACGGGGTGTATGATCTGTAAGGAAAATATTTACTTGGGTTGGTTAAGTCTTCAAAAATTTAATACCTGCTGCAAAAAATGAGTTGAATAAACAACATAATGGTGTGGACATACTTACCCAGCAAACATTCCTCGCGATCATGAGAAAAAACTCCAGTCTAGGAAAATGAGTTATAAGTTTTAAGATTGAAATAATGTAATCATTTAACTTTATAAATCATTTGTACAAAGAAAGTAGAGTTAATACCTCGACCAGCACACTGTGGCACTGTTCTGCCTCTTGAATCGACTCTTCGGGATCGTTACCAAGAAGATGATAAATATTCCTGGCTCCCATAGCCGCCGACCGCTTCGTTGAGACAGCGCGTGATCTTGCCAGGTACTGATTGTATAGATTAGATCCAAATATATCCGTGTTTACATTGTCTCTGTGGGGAAAGAGAAAGTTTGTTGGATTTATGACAACGAACAAATTAGGCATGACAGGCAAACTGGTATGTTTCTTACCCTATGCAATAAATCCTGTAAACAACAAAAGTTTTATTATGACAATATTATAACCAAAAATGTGATCAAGGACGAGTAAGATATTCATTACCACAATGACAAAGATGACCAACAGTGGTCAGTGACAAACAAACTCTCTAACGAATAATAAAGGATTAAATTGAGGATTTTGGGTACTCTTTCTCACTCCAAGTTAACAACTAAGCGGGCAAGGGTGTTGATTTTAAGAGATTAATTTGCGGTCCAACCATGGTTCTTACTTAAGCTGCTCTTGTGATCGTTTACAAATTACACTAAAGTCTAATATTGCAATCAAACGTACCTTCGTATAGGTTGGTCAACTCCTATTTGTCGAGCGTGTGTTATAAGCATTCTTTCTGCGTGGTAATACGTGATTTCGCTAGGTTTTCCAATTAATGCTGTGTATATCAAGTCTTGACCAGTAATTTTCTTGTACAAGCTTTCCAAGCATACTAGAAATGCCCCGTGCCCAAATCTGGAATTGTTAATATTTTCCTGTTTATAACAAAAATCGGTAACAGATCAATTTGTACACATGATCACCTTGGCATAAAAGCTTCTGCCATCCATTGTAAGTCCATGTTACATGCTAATATGGGCAAGTGCGGTCTTGGGACAAGTTTAGGTACGTCTTTTGGATGTCCAGAGCTCAGTAGGATATCAATAAGTAACTGCAGTGCTGTAATTTGACCCAACATAATGCAATAATGGACATAAAATCCGGTGATGCCGTAAGAAAAGTCAATTATGTGTGATAAGATATTCACTTACAAGTCTCCCACCTAATCGGCTCGCCGAATAGAACGATTGCTTCAATTCGCTTAAACTGATCTTCCAAATCCTCAGATGACTACACACACACAATATGCATATATGCAAAAACGGCCCATTTACAATGCCAATAATGAGATGAAAGAGGGAGCAATATATTTTATTACGTACCGCAGATACTCTACGTTTATGATCCACAGCATCCAACACCTACAAATACGACAGAAAATGAAAAATAAACAATGAGATTTGGAACCAAATGATTCAGTCGAATGATATTTTATGGCGATTATAGCGAGGAGTAGTGTAATCAGTCATTGTTAAAGTCATTTCAAATGACTCATTTGCCAACCTTATCGCCAGGTACTGATTGTATCGATTAGATCCAAGTATATGGGTGTTCTACTTTGTCATGAAATAATACAAATTTTGAAACTCACTGGGAATGCCGTTCTCACATCGTCGATCGTCGTAACTTTTGTAAATCCGAGATTTGTCGCGATATCCACAACCGGTCCTTGTCCGGACACCAAAACCCTCTTGTCGTGGAATCCTTTAAAAAGTCTCAAGGGAGAATGAGCCATCACCACTTGGTCCTCGTGAATCTAAACATCATAAATTATCATAAATTATCATAAATTTTACACCCTTCCCCTAAATATTTTTACGTAGTTCTATTTAACCATCCAGTCAACACGACTCACATCAATTCCCAACCAATTCGAAAGTTGTAACGCCTTATCATGTCTCAACATATTTCCTCCATTCGTCACAAACACCGTGGGTACTCGGAACCTGCCATCGTTATTGACCAATTTTCTAAAAGCGTCCGGCGCAAAGGGTAAAATCTTTCTCCCTCTAACAATCACACCATCAATGTCAAACAGCAGTCCGAACCCACAATCCTGCATTTAAGACATAAACTCATTACCCACACCATTATACTTTTTGCAAGATAACTCATTCTCATCAAAGTCCGTACCTGTTGTTGCAGTCGCGTCGAGAAAGGTCTCATTTTTGAAGAATGGTGTGCAAAAGCAGACTCCAACTCTGACATCCCTCCCACCTTATTTCGGATCTGCCTACAAAACTTGACGGCCATTTTATCTCGCCCCTTCCTTTTCAAGTCTTTTTGTTTTCTTAGTATTACGTACGACGGTCTAGTTAATTAATTTTAAGTAAGTATTAAAGCTGAATATTTCCGTATTCTTCTCCCAAACTCTCTGACTTTCCTTATTTTGTACACTGTTGTGTAGTAAGTAGTACTTCTTTATTTTATTACCCTGACTGACTGGTTATGTAATACTTGGTTATAAATAATTAAAGCTGACAGCTGCGTTTCGATCGACTCGATTTATCCTTCAATCAATCATCTTGACTTGAATGAACGGACACTATACAATTTCACAGCCAGCGTGACGACGTATTTAGTGGCAGCAATTAAAGGTTAAAGGTTACACGAGACGTGACGTCGTCACTTACTAAAGTCGAAAAACTGCTAAGTTTAGCAATAACAAGACTGCCCCCCACGACTGCTGCTGTCCTGCTCGTTGGGAGCATACTTACTTTCTCGGCTGTGGTTTTGGTTGACGAAAAGTAAGTAAGAACCGCAGAGAAAATAAGGGATAATCTAACTATTCGATAATTTGATTGCGAAAAGAACAAAGTGACCACCGACCAGCAGATCACATGCACACGAGATTGATGATGACGGGATGGGCTGGTAAAAATAGAGGCTGATTTCCGCTTCAGACTGGCTCAGCGATTGGGTAGGCTGACACTTTTACGGCATCATCTCCCGAAAATGGCACAATATTTTTGCATATTTTTCCTTCATATGCGACATACATACGTCCACCTGACCATTTGGTTAATTAGCGAGAGGGAGGAGTGGTGGCATTTGAGCAGTATTAGTGTCACGTCGCAGTAGTAGAGCACACACACCACGCTCATCAAATCCATCTCCTGACTTTTAAATCCAGTCGAACGACACTAAAAATAAGCCAACACGAAAAGGAATATTATGTAGATGATTAAAAATATACTCGTTTTCTTGAGTGGATCCGCCACAAGGCAAAAGAGGATTAGAATTTTTATGACGCCATAAATATGCAATGATGCGATCCTCATTAAATCATGATGTCAATCAGCTTGTAGTATGTACCACTGCCTACTTGGGAAATGAAAATGCAATTAAATTGTAAAGGCCAAGTGCATTTAATGATGATTATTATGAGACGAAATGCATGTTAAGGAAGGATTGCTTGTCTACTTTTACTTCTTTTTGAGTGGTGCATGAAACAAATGGATTCAAGATGAGCAAAACGAATTTCAGCGTGTACGAGAGTTCCTCATGCGAAAACCGATAATCTTTAATAAGAGCTTATGTCTATGTGGCTCACTGACTGAGATTTTACTCTTTTTCTGTGAAAATAGAAAAAAGAGGTTTTTTTCCTCTCTTTTACACGAGATGCAGTTGGATAAGTTGTCCCATTATGTCTCATCGTCCTTCATTCTCATCTTATCCTCTGCGCTCCCCTTCTGTTTCAAATGTGTCTTTTGTCACTTTTTGTTTAGTTTGTAAAATGTATGTGGAAATAATGTCCCCATAAATAACGGGAACAAGATACATAGATCTACAAGCGCTAAACAAAGTTTGACACTGCATGCATGTGAGACAATGGACATGGAGAAGAGGATTTTCGCGAATCTCTCAAACCAGCCGATTCGTTTCTTTTTCCTGTTCTTGTTCTTGTTCTTATGCGTGTACCACCAAATGGCACACAAGAAATGAAAAGACGATATGGAAAAAGAACTAAATACATGGAATGGCTGTTCCTCTTGTGTCTGGCGTGACACACAAGGACGCAGTCAGGGAGTGCATGCATGATATTATATATACTTAATTATGTAAGAAAGGAGAGGATGCGAATATGGAACGAAGAAGTGTATGTATGTATGTATAAAAGCTATTAATGGAACTCTATGCATCAGTAAATAATTGGCGTCACCGTCGTCATCCTCCTTTTACATGATCACATTTTGGAGGAGCACATTCAATTATAAGGTATTCGAAATGATCATGCATGCACATGGATGAGAGGAAGAAAGCTGGTGTACATCATAGGTAATAATGCCGATACTAATAATAAGAATAATGGTAATATCGTCGCCGTCCTTAGTTTTTACATCTCTCCTCCTAAATTACATGGGATTTTTTATGATTTGTAAACATCATAAGTTGGAGCTGTAAAAATAGATGATTTTCTCGTTATACGTAAATGTCATAAACATGGACCCGATTAAAACAAGGATTTTCCATTTATATATACGTACGGAAACCAACCGGGTGCGGATTTATTGCGTAGTTTTACCCAAACAAGAAAAAATGAGGATAAGAATAGGCCTTTGTTTGGGGAGAGGACAAAAATCGGATCTAGTTTGCAGATTCATTTACGTTCGTTCGTTGGTGGTTTGGTTCAATTCGGTTCATGGCGTTGTTTGGCATTGTTTCACACTATGGATTCTTTTACTACTTACACAGTTTAAGAGGAAGGGGTGGTGGTGGGCACGTGGGTTTGAGTTGATGTGTGTATTTGTTGCAGAGTCAGTGACAGGATGACATGAAACGCCAAGTGACACTTTTATCGGGAGGAAGAAGAAGAAGAAAAGCCTTGATACACTTTTTTTTATTTTGGTGAATCAATGACGTGGTACACCATACTGTCCTCTCGTTTCTGATGATGATTAGTGCCATGAAGCTGAGAAACGTCAGGGTCAAGCCTTGTTTTCGAGTTAGTTCGTGGGACATTTGACCATAAATAAGACCGAGAAGATTTTAAAGTGATTCTAAACTATTTATATACACACGCGGAATACAAAGAGAGGGAGAAAGGTCAACGGAAAAGTCTAATAATTCTACATAATTTGATTACGCCCAGTTTTGTAACACGTATGTATCCAAAAACGCATGCATACCTTATGACGATAAGAAGGGTGCGTAAATATGAGCAAAAATGAAGTAGAAATTGGTCATGTGCGGAACGTTTATTTATTATTTAAAAAAATGCAATAATGTTGCAATTATGTTATCAGTTTCCCTGAATGCACAAAAACTCGTGGTCTTGTTCGTCGTCGTCGTCTCATTTCGACATGATGCTCGTCCACATCCAACAGAAGCGTCATTGTAGCGAATCTCTCGAGTATTATCGTTTCGTGGTGACAAACTATTTGCAAGTCGAATATTACGCCGAGAGAAAAGAACAAAGTTAAAAGCAGATCAGCATTTTTACTTGCATTCCCGTTATTAAGTACTTTATACGATCCGACAACGTTATCCAATTCTCTGCATGTGCCTGCCTGGCGTTGTTGTTCTTGTTGTTGGTGGCGTTTTTAGTTTCGGATCGAATTTTACCGACTGCACTAATCTACGATTGGAGGAATTGGCGAGTAGTTGTCATGATGAGAAAAAAAGATGCGCTACATCTCCTTGTTATTTCTTGAGAGAGAGAGAGCTTTATTTTATTTTTTAACCGGGTCTTTTTCACACAATGTTAAGTTGGCCATGTCCACAACGGCTGCTTTCGACGACGACGACGACAACGACGGGTTATTTTTCGTCGGATATACCCTGTCTTGTTCTTGGTCTCTTCTCTTTTCTTGGGAAAAGCAGGGGAGGATGGTGTGCTTAAATTTAGACATTTTGCAGCACAAGAAGAGAGACATGGGAGTTGAGGTTGCAATTTTTTTCTACTCAACCTGACTCCATGTTTAACTTTAACTCTTCTATAACAACTGAAATGAAATGACTCCACATCACACAAACTCTCTCCTTATTCAATCTAACTGTCTCTCCGAAGCGTCGTTCTTGTGGCGATGCTACTGTCGCTGTTGGTTGCATAAAATAAAGAACACGTACATGTAATACGACGACGACGACGGGCAGCAGCAGGTATTTGGTCTCGGTAATTTCTGTCCCTGTGCCAGAAAAGTGATTAAAAAGGCAGCTAGAACTTATCTGAGGCCCCATTTGGGTTTGGGCAGCGCCGGATCGTTGCTTTTCATCCAGGGATCAGTCGTCATTTCCTCTGTGAGGTGTTTAGTAGTTGTGCTCTCCTACAGCTCAGGATTTCCTCCTCTTGCCATTGTTGGTAAGTTTGCAGAATTAACAAAAAACATCTTCAACAAACGGCGACGACTGACTGACCCCGAAGTGCACTCTCCTCCGAAGTAGTAGTAGAGTTAAGCTACATATACAAGTGGTCGTGACATTTTACATTTTACATCCCTGCCCCCTCAAGAAATTCAAGTGCCTCGGTGCCCCCACTTTGTACTTCTGTAATATCTTAACATACTGGCTGACATCATTGTTACATGCGGTTGAGAACAGGACACGAGGAGAAAGTGGTGGCTGTGGAGGTGATGGTGGTGGTACATCTGCGAGGCGTTCCTCCTGCTACGATATTTGGAGTGCTACCAACCGAATAGACAAAATAATTTTGATAAGAGGGGAGGACTGCATGCTTTTCATGATAGTACCCAAGGGGTCGAGGGTTTAAAGTTGGAGAGATAGAAGCAAGACCTTATCGTATCGTGATAAGAGAGGTCTGACCCCCAGGAACAACGAGTCCCTTGATGTACCTTTCCGATGATAACGCAAATAGTTCAGAATAGTTTAGCCTATTTGGTACATTGCGTTGTTTCATATTTAGAGTTCAGGGTCATTCCGAGGAAAGGGAGTGGGTTGGCCAAAAGTGCCCGTGTGGTTCCAAAGGTGAAGTCGAGGTTTTGGCATCCGTTTAGTTGGACGGAGAGTGAGTCGAATAATTTTATTAATAGCTCAATGAGTGAGTCAGATATAGAGCAAGGCTAGCCGACCGTGGTTTGTAGTTGGTCGTAATGATGAGAGGAGCATCTCTAGGAGAATAATAATATCTGTGTCGCTGTTACGGGTGCAGCACCCATTTACACATTACGCTCTTTGTCAATATCTTTTGCCAAAATTCTGCCCCCAGTTCTTGGCCATGCCTGCCATCAAATTCTTTTCCATAGCCAATATTTCAAAAAAGCCATGCAAATAGTCAGCCAGCCAGCCATCCAATTTCAACTCCAACAACCTAATTTAACAAACCAAAAGTAGATCTAATTCTCCCCCAAGTATTAAAACCAACACCAATTTTATATAATGCAATCCAACCACCACCATCACCACCATTATTCTACCAAACCACCCTTCTCAGCTGCAATACTACTATTATTACAATACTTTACAAAAATTTTCTCATCAATCTCAAACACACGGCAGAAAGAGAAGGAGTACTATTGCCAAATTTATTATCATCACGACCCTATTATATATATTATATATATTTATTTATCCTTCCTCATCTTCTTATTTCATGAATGACGTACGAACATGAGTCGTGCTTTTTTTCTACTCTGATAGTAATAACGAATCATCATGAATACATACGTAAGGCAACAAAGGCAATGCTAATAATCCAGAGACCGCAATGCAAATAAAATATATGCGACGTCGACCTGTGCAAAAAAGGGGGCATCCACCCATCCCGTGGGGGATGACCGGGTGGGGTCACAGGTCATGCCGGCGACCACCTGGGGTGACCCTGGTGGGGCGGTGGGGGGTGTGGACGGCCCGAGCCGATTTCCAGAGTTGGCGGTGAGGGAGAGGTCGACCAATGGGGATCCTCCACATTAAGCCCAGTCGGAGGCATTGAGTAGTTGGGACGGATTGAGAGCGACCAGCAGCACCACGAGCAGAAGAATACGGCATATTCCTGCATGGTGTGAAAGAAATACGAGTTCAGTAGTAGTCAGTCAGTCAGTCGAGAGTTTCAGATCAGCATCATCATCACCATCATCAGCACTCACCAAGTACAAAAAAGGTTTAGTTAGATCTCTGCTGATTTTTCGTTCTTGATTTACCTGATAGATCTTGCCGTCTTTGGAGAGGATCAGCAATTGTGTAATTGTTCCAGAGGCTTCTTCTTCTTATCGAGAGTGTGAAAGATAAGAGTAAGTGACCTATCAGGATGGAGGATGCCCACGCCAAGACGTGGGAGGAGGTTTGTAAATCAATTATATAATTAAGCATTGGATTTTATTGATTTAAACTGTTGGTAATTCATATTTTTGGCAGGTTGTGAACTACTTTGGCACTGACCAAGAACGTGGTCTGTCGTCGGACCAGGTCAAAAAGTATCAGGAGAAATACGGACCTAATGGTGAGTGAAAGGATAAGTATTATTTATTATGCAGGTTTATTAATGAGGAGGGTTGAGACGGAGTTGGGATGGGGAAATGTGTCTTAACTTGTAGACTTAAAAGTTGTCTCAATTTTGTACTAATTGTTCTCAATCGTTTACAGAACTCCCTGCAGAAGAAGGGAAATCTTTATGGCAACTGGTCTTGGAACAGTTTGACGATCTACTAGTTAAGATTCTTCTGCTTGCCGCTATTATCTCATTTGTAAGTGAAATAAGTTTGTTTGATTAAGGGGGATGGTTATGGTATGATTAATTTAAATGGTTTTTACTTCCTTGACTAGGTTTTGGCCTGTTTTGAAGACCATGGGGAAGGATCCGCAGAGGGAATTACGGCGTAAGTTATTTATTTCAAAATATTATAAATAAACCTAAATTTATAGCGTGTGTTAACACATTAGAATGTTAATTATGAGACAACTTTTTTTGTTTACAGTTTCGTCGAACCTTTTGTCATTTTGCTCATTCTTATTGCAAACGCTATCGTTGGTGTATGGCAGGTTAGAAGATTTCACGGCTTAAAATTTAACTTGAGGAAAGTATTTTTGTAACACACTAAATTATCACTTTCAGGAAAGAAACGCTGAAAGTGCTATTGAAGGTAAGTTTCACTTACAAAAAAATCGGCAATCAATGGTATAATTATGTCATGCAATAATAATATATAATTTTCTACTTTTAGCCTTGAAGGAATATGAACCTGAAATGGGCAAAGTTGTTCGAAGTGATAAGTCTGGAGTACAAAAGGTGCGATCCCGTGAACTTGTGCCTGGGGATCTGGTTGAAGTCTCAGGTGAGTGTTGGGCAATATTCGAGATTAAGATAAGGAAATGATTATTATTTATAAATATTTAACATTAATTGTTTTATGTATGTAGTCGGCGACAAAATTCCCGCTGATATCCGAATCACCAAGGTCTTGTCTACGACCCTTCGTATCGATCAGTCCATCTTGACTGGAGAGTCAGTCTCCGTCATCAAGCACAACGAGGCCGTTCCCGACCCACGTGCCGTGAACCAGGACAAGAAGAACATCCTGTTCAGCGGTACTAATGTTGCAGCTGGAAAGGCTCGCGGTATTGTTATTGGAACTGGACTCAACACTGCTATTGGTAAAATCCGAACTGAAATGTCCGAGACTGAGGAAATCAAGACCCCTCTTCAGCAAAAATTGGACGAATTCGGTGAACAACTCTCCAAGGTACATATTAGTAGAGCATACAGATTTATTACCAGTAAAAGAAATATTATTTTATAAATATATTATTTTATAGGTCATTTCCATCATCTGCGTTGCCGTCTGGGCCATCAATATTGGTCACTTCAACGACCCCGCTCACGGAGGCTCCTGGATCAAGGGTGCCGTCTACTATTTCAAGATCGCTGTTGCTCTGGCCGTCGCTGCCATCCCAGAAGGTCTGCCCGCTGTCATCACCACCTGTCTCGCCTTGGGAACCCGACGAATGGCCCAGAAGAATGCCATTGTGCGTTCCTTGCCATCTGTGGAAACATTGGGTTGCACCTCAGTCATCTGCTCTGATAAAACCGGAACTCTTACCACCAACCAGATGTCTGTCAGCAGGTAAAACAGTTGACACACTATTATTGGTAATCAAATATTTACTTGCTCCTATTTTTGACATTGGGGGGTTTATTCTCTTTCAGGATGTTTGTCTTTGAAAAGGCTGATGGGAATGACATTGGCGTGCATGAATTCGAAATCACTGGATCCACCTACGAGTAAGTACTTGGCTACTACTACTGAATTAGCATTAATAATCTCTTTTTTATACTTGATTTTTAACAATTGCAGACCCATTGGTGAAGTTTTCTTGAGAGGACAAAAGGTTAAGGCTAGTGATTATGAGGCACTTCAAGAACTTGGAACCATCTGCATCATGTGTAACGACTCGGCTATCGATTTCAACGAGGTTTGTTCTTATCAATTATTATGTTTTTGTAATATAGTCATTCAATTGTTGATCTCGTAATTATTCATTATTTCAATTATTCTCAGTTTAAGCAAGTTTTCGAGAAAGTCGGTGAAGCTACTGAAACCGCTCTGATCGTCCTTGCTGAGGTAATTAATAAATTCTACGATTAAAATATAAAATAGTGTTGAATTAGAAAAAACGGTTCAAGCTTCCAGTTCCATTGCCCAAGTAGGTGTAGTTTCCAAATTCCCTTTGATAAAGAGTCTCGTGTCGTTTCCGTGCCACATCATTGGGGAAATTCCCATCCAGAATAGTAATCCTGCGATCATCCTTAGAATGGTGATGTTCAAAATGGACGTACGTATCGCGGATGAGTTGGTCCGGATCTGGGCTACAGCCAGAAATCATGTCTTGGACAAGGGTATGAAAGGTGGTGTTGATGAGATATTTCTCACGATTGGTTTGGTCGATCAGTTGCTGTCTGTGTAATGACAGTCTGTTATGCAAATTCCTTGCCTAAAGTAATTAAACGCGTTAAATAAATAATTAATCAGTTCCACTCACAACGTATTTTATGAATACTTACGGTGTTAGTTTCCCCAACGTAAATCGTCCATTTTCCTTCGTCTTTACAAGCTTGACAGTACATCAGGTATACCACGTTGTTGGAGTTGCAGAAGAATCTCTTTTGTGGATAAAATACTTGTCCAGCTTGTGATCCCCATTCCACAATCGCAGATTTTGTGATGCAAGGTCCAGTTTCTGTGCAATTATTATGTCTGCACCAGTATGTTCCTGGTCCAGTATGTCCCCGTGTTGCGTTTTCATTGATTTCTGTTATGAGTTCTGTGCAGAAAATGTATTGATGAAATAATGTAGTAATTTAGAATTGTAGTATAACTGTGAGCTTTTGTAGATCGTACCCGACACACTCTTTTGCCCGCTTTCTAGACCTTTTTCTTTTATTTCATCATCATAGGACATCAGGACGTCATTGTTTTTGCTAATAATGATTTGACTCCTCCCATCTACAACTTGTATCTTCTTAAAATCGCCATAGTAAATCATACGTAGAAGCCCTAGTTTGGTTTTATATGAATCTCCTGGATTTAGTTTTGTATTCACTGCAAAAGTTTGTAAGTTGCCTTGCACCCCGTCCACAAATGCTTGCCCCACTGCAGTTTCCGCGAACGGAGGTAAACCTCTTGTTCGGTTCATAAGATGGGTTGGAAAAAATCGCTGCCAAACTTCATAAGTATACAATACGAAGATTAGTGGTACATATTATTTTATACACCTTGAATTTATTTACCTGGAATAAGCGCAGGAAAGATGGGCAATCCGGTGTTGTCCTCCCACTCCCACACGTTTTGTAGTTCTGGAATAAGTGGGGATGGTGTCCTGTGATCTCGGCCCAAAATGGAATTAAAATCCTTAATTTCATTCAAAATAGACTGATAATGTTGCACATTATTCGCCATTTTTAAATAGAATGAAAATTAAACAGTACAACTATAAAAATGGGAATATTTAGCAGAATGACAACGAAACAAAAATGAGTGAAATTGTGTGGAGAATTTATTGAGTTACAGTGAAAAGAGCAGAAAGTGAAAAAGTGGGTAACTGCATTGGCCTCTGCGTTTGCTGGTCCTCGTCCCTCCGCATCTCCAGACATGACCTCTCACACACTCCTCGATTTTATATTGTTAACTCATATCTTTCTTCTTTTCTCTCCTTCTCTGATTGTTGTGCATCAACTTGTATGTCATAAAAGAGAAAAAGTGAAAAGTATGCAAAAAATCATTGACCTTGACTACCAACTAACCTAACGTTTTGTTTGTTGCTCAGAAATGCAACCCCTTCAACGTTGGAAAAACTGGATTGGATCGTCGTGGTGCTGCTATCTGCGTTCGTCAAGATATGGAGACCAAGTGGAAGAAGGTATGAATAAATCGCAGTAGTTCTCTATTCCTCTGACTAATTTACCAATGATTTACTCTTCTTGATTCTTTTATAGGAATTTACTCTGGAATTCTCCCGGGACCGAAAATCCATGTCCTCATACTGCGTCCCATTGAAATCAACCCGTCTTGGAAATGGACCCAAAATGTTCATCAAGGGAGCACCCGAGGGAGTGTTGGACCGTTGCACACACGTCCGAATTGGATCTCAGAAGGTCCCAATGACCAAAGCCATCATGGCCAAGATTTTGGAACTCACCAAACTGTACGGAACTGGTCGCGATACCCTTCGTTGCTTGGCCCTCGCCACCATTGATAACCCACCAAAACCAGAAGACATGGACTTGGTCGACTCCACCAAATTCTACCAATACGAAGTCAACATGACCTTTGTTGGTGTCGTTGGCATGTTGGACCCTCCCCGCAAGGAAGTCTTTGACGCCATCGTTCGATGCCGACAAGCTGGAATCCGTGTCATTGTCATCACTGGAGACAATAAGGTAAGATCAATAGAATAATTGGCTATTTATGCAAAATATAGTTGCATTTTTAGTTGATTTTGTGAGAGATGATGATGTCATTCATCATTTGTTTATATTGTATTCATAATAAATAGGCCACCGCTGAAGCTATCTGCAGACGTATCGGAGTCTTCACCGAGGAGGAGGATACCACAAACATGTCTTACTCTGGACGCGAGTTTGACGACCTCTCAATATCTGACCAACGTGCTGCCTGTGCCCGATCTCGATTGTTCTCTCGTGTGGAGCCATCTCACAAATCCAAGATCGTTGAGTTCTTGCAATCCATGAATGAAATCTCTGCCATGACTGGAGACGGCGTAATTAAAAGATTTTTTATAAGCATAACATTATTATCTGATTCACTCATTTGAAACGAACGAATATCTTTTTCAGGTGAATGACGGTAATTGTCTATGACTATGGATGGTTTATATTTTTTAACTTATTTTGAATAGTGAAAAAATGGTCTAATTTTATTTATCTTTTTTACAGCTCCTGCTTTGAAGAAGGTATGTTACAGAGTATAGTTTATTGTTTATTTATTCGCTGTACCTACTTGCCTTCCTTCAATGTAAATCATTCTTGTTTATTCTACAGGCTGAAATCGGTATTGCTATGGGTTCCGGAACTGCTGTGGCTAAATCTGCTGCTGAGATGGTGTTAGCTGATGACAACTTTAGCTCCATTGTCGCTGCTGTTGAAGAAGGCCGTGCTATTTACAACAACATGAAACAATTCATCCGATACCTTATTTCTTCCAACATTGGTGAGGTCGTGTCCATCTTCTTGACCGCCGCTTTGGGTCTCCCAGAAGCCTTGATTCCCGTCCAACTCTTGTGGGTCAACTTGGTCACTGACGGTCTCCCAGCTACCGCCCTCGGATTCAACCCACCTGATCTTGACATCATGAGCAAGGTACTTTGATACTATAATTAAACTACCACTATGATTTTGATATGATACGCTAACCTAAAATTTGACTTTCTACAGCCCCCACGAAAGGCTGACGAGAGCTTGATTTCCGGATGGTTGTTCTTCCGTTACATGGCTGTTGGTGGATACGTCGGCGCTGGTACCGTTATGGCTGCTACTTGGTGGTTCAGCATGTACTCTGGAGGACCTGGACTTTCTTACTACCAATTGGTTCGTTAGATAATATTTACTCGAGTTACCTTTTTTTCTTTTGTCAATATGACTCGCTAAAAATATTGGTTAATTGTTCATCAGACTCATCACTTGCAATGCTCTCCGGACAACGAATTATTCAAGGGAGTCGACTGTCACATTTTCCACGATCCTCATCCAATGACCATGGCTCTGTCCGTGTTGGTCAGCATTGAAATGTTGAACGCCATGAACAGCTTGTCTGGTAAGGCGCAATTTATTATTGATTTAGATTTCTGTTTATTACAGAGCATTGATCTCTTGATTTTGTTCATTTCTTCACGCAGAAAATCAGTCATTGGTGGTTATGCCTCCATGGACCAACTTGTTCTTGATGGCCGCCATGGCTCTGTCAATGACCCTTCACTTTGTCATCCTCTATGTTGAAATCCTCTCGGTATTAAAGACTTAATTAACCATGAATACGGCATCATCATCATTTGCTAACATTTTTTCTATTCTCTCTTCTGCAGCAAGTGTTCCAGGTGACTCCTTTGAATATGGAAGAATGGCTCGCTGTCGTAAAAATTTCGGTTCCCGTCATTCTCATTGATGAAACGCTCAAGTTTGTCGCCCGCAAATACGTTGAAGGTCAGCGCAAATATTTACATGCTCACTGGATCGTGCTAATGTGGGCAGTGTTTTTCGGTGTTTTGTCGGTTATACCTTTATAACAAGTGCTCATTAACTAACGTCTAAAAAAATTGAATATGTGTGTCTGGATTTTTAAATGATATTTAACCTTACCTCCAAAAAATAATCTCCATGATCTTCTATACAATAATATAATGTAACAACCCAACAAGTATCTCCTCCACGATTTATTTGAATCCGTAGTTTTGTAGCCTTTGCCTGCATTTCTTATGAGGATATGAGAATATGTGTAACCCCTGTCAATTCCTCATGGGGATTATTATGTAATGTAATACTTAATACTATACATGTCCCAACAACCAAACCGAGTGTAAAAGCATTTGTTTTTTTAAAGGAAAAACCATATTCCGTTCGGTATTGTGATAATATGACCTTCTTATCCTCATTACGTTTTACTCAACTACTGATAATGAATAATGTGACGATAATGATAATGTCCGGTTATACGTATGATTATCATGAACAGTTGGTGTTTGAGCATTTTTCTCTCTCTCTCTCTTTCAGTAGTTGAGTAAAACTTAATTTGTATTCCTCCACTAATTTTTAATATTAATTTAATATATAATAACGTATAAACTCGTTGTCGTAGTTTAATAAGCACATGTACAATTTCAAGTGGTTAGTAGATGGATATTGTGTGTGGGGTGGTTTGTAAATGCAATTACGTTGGTGTTGTTTTTGGGATTTGTGTGTTGTGGCCTTTTGGGGTCCGGTCAAGTAGTGTTTGTCCCTAGATGATATGATTGCGATATGCTACAAAGATTTGAATGAGTGATGTTATGAACATGTAAAATTTTATAATACGTAGTAGTAGATGATTTTAGTGTACTTATTAAGCCATAGCTTAGCTATTAGTTTGTAGTATTGAAAGACACCATTTTAATCCGATTGCAAATAATCCTTTAAACGGATCGAGTTGACCGCATTTTGCCATACTACCTAAATTCATAATCCAATCAAGTAATAATAATAATTAATAATTATATTATCGACAGATATATAAAATAAGGTCATCTGTTTAGATATAGTGAACAATAACAATGTAGTGGTGTGGTGGTGTGGTATTTAATTGAAGGAATGACATACAATTACCTAATATTATGTAATGGTGTGTTTATCAAAGAATTTGTCCTGATCGCGTGATAATTTAACTTAACACGTGTTTGGAATTAATTGACTGTTGCTAGTTTCTTGAACTTAAGGACTATTCGTATCTTGTCAAACGAAATACTTGTAATTCTTCGATATCGATAATGTTACTTACTCCTAAACTATATACTATACTACACTACACATCACAACAGTTCCAACCAAGTCAATAGTTGAGTAGTCCTCGTCGCCACACTGGATAACTAATTATTTAAGCAAGTATTCCTCGCGAATCATCAAGTAATTACATACATACAAAAAGTAATAAGGTTTGTATTCCTTTTTGATATGATTTCTCTATTTCTTATTACAATATTCTCAAGCTGGTCTTATGTACACGATAACATTTTTTTAAACCGTATAATTGAAATGTACAAAAATAAGATAATGGAATTTCAAGATTTTGAATATTGAAAGCCGTTGTAATTTAAACAAAAACAAACCTGACCCAGCAGTTAAAAAAGGACGAAGAAAAAGGATATATATAAAATAATTTTTAATTCGATTAAATTTGTGGTCCGTTAAAAAAGATGAAAATAATGCCAAGTAGTAGTCCGCACTTAGGATTAGCCTTTTTCTATAAATGTTTTGTGGTGGTGTACAGTCACGCACACGGTTAGATGATCAAGATCTGTAAATGACCCGTTTATAAGCATAATGTAGGTGTACGTACTTTTGTGTTATTTATCATTCGACTACTAACAACTTTTTTAAATCGGATTAACGAATGTTTTTTTGGAGTTCTTAATTAAATTTTTTTTGGAAAACTACAAAAAAATATTTAGAATATAGCAATCAACATTCTCTCACATCACATTATAATAAATAAGGTCCTGATTATTGTAATAATTAGTAGATCTATGGTGGTACATGCCTAATGTAGTGGTTGTAAGATCTGACCTGGATTTTTGATGAGCTTTCTCCCACCCCATATTAAAAATGGAAACGTGGTTAAGGTTTGCGTTTGAGTTTTTTACAATTGCGTTGTTTTTATTTATATGGTTTTGTTGCGTCTTTTTCTTGCCTTCATAATAGTCATTGGATTGTCCATATATTATTTATTAGTAATCTCATCAGTATGTAGTTACGCTCGTGCCGTCAACAAACACCAACCGCTTGAGAGCTGAGCTAAATTTTGACCAAGATTTCCTAAATACGACTTTCCTTTGAAGTTTGAGCATTTTTATAAGAATTGTTTTCACCTGTTTGTCTCTCTACCCTCTCTTTATAGCCCCTGAAGCCTACCCGGTTGTAAAATGAGAAAGTTGGACATCATTCTCACAGGCACCCTTCCAACGTTGAACCTATGAATTGAACTGTTTATGTATGAGCACCCTTTGGTTTTTTAAATACTTTCCCATTTTCTATTTTTCTTCTCTTTCCACCTTAATTTATTCTATTTTATTTTTTATGATTCTATTCTATTCTGTTCTATTCTCGACTTAAAATTTCGTTTCTTGCCTAATTTTCCTATAGCTCCAATTGCTGTTGAAGCGCGATCAAGAAAGTAAACCGTGACTCGAATCGGCCTTAATTTTCAAGACATGTCCACCAGAAAAAACCTTTTAAAAGTTTAAGGAACAAAAAAAAATGAAACCCTATCTCCGAGATATTGAATACCACAATTAGATATTACTAGATTATTTAACGTGGAAAGTTATATTTTTAGCAGTGAAGAAGAAGAAATGAACTCTGGATGATAATATCCTAAATATGCCCAGATGATATAATATTGACTTTGTTTTCAAAAAATATACAACGAATATTATTGCACCTTAATTGTTAAAGGCAAATTTTCACAGCGATTTTTAAAGAACTAGCGAAAAAAAAGTGTTCTAATGACCTTTGTCACCAACATCTCATCTCAAGTCTGTTGTTTGTGCTGTTGTATTTTACTCCGCATAGGTATATAAATTATTACAATGTCTCTACTACTTATACTGTACTGTACTTAAAAGTTGGCTGGTTAAATAATAGTTGCCTCTCCTCCACTCATTTAATTTTTGTCCGATTATTATTTCCCTTCCCCCAAAACCCCCACTTCTTGAGTAATAAATGATGTGACAATTTGATATTAGACAAAAATACAAAAAGTGACCAAGATCAGAGTCTTCTCTATGCAGCAGCAGATTCACTAAAAAAAAGTTGTCATTACGACCATACTCTTAGTTAAACTCTTGTACCTATTCTTCTGTTTTTCCTCCTAATACAAAAATAATCTCTCTCTTTCTTTTGTTCTGTTGTATCACGAACATGTATTAGTTCGAGGTTTTTGTATATAATATCGTAAGATAAAGACTTCAGAGCTGGATGATAAACGACAATGAAAATGCACACTTTGGCCTTGTGCGTAAATGGCTCTGAACTTTCTTCCTGTCTTTTCTTTTATTTCTCTACTCTTTATTTCTCACCTAGATTTATCATTGATGATGGTATAATTTGGCATTAAATTGGCACATGTGTATCATTTGAGAGAAAGCATTTTGCATCAATTGCATTATTTGACAAGTTCATATTTACATGTATCATATATATATATGCATATTCAAGGAAATCATACTATGACAATCATCACAGTGTAAAAACCACTGTTACTTTCATTTCTATGTATGCTGGCATAAAACATGATGACATTTGATCCAGCACAGACAATACATACAATCTGAAACTGTACCCCGTGGAGAAAGTTACCCAAACCAAAATCCCACATAACGCTCTTCCTTGAATTACTGTCATCCTATGCCCATTTATACTACGCAGTAAAGTAATTACGTTCCCATTATGCCTTATTATCATTATTACCATTGTAAATCAGGCTCCAAATTTGCAGCAATTCATACAAATCACCACGTCTCAACTTGCCTCACGCTTTCTCTCTCTCTCTCCAGACAGCCTCGATGTTATCGCAATTATCAAACCTTACTTGATATCTCCATATCATTCTCAACACCCACCTGAAGTCTGGGGCTGCTTTTTTAAAAGGGAATCATGTAGGGCATAGAAAGGCGTAGAGAAAGATAACTTTCACCGTCTCAACGGACCCCAGACTCTTCGTAACGTGAATGGGGAGAGCTAAAGAATGAAAAGAGTTTGCCTACTGCTCGCCGTGGGGAGAAAAGTGGACAAGTCTGATTTCTCAATTTCTCACTCACTCATTCGCTCACCCATACTCTCACTTTCTCCTGGTTTCCTCAGTCTTAAATCCAGTCTCTGATAATTGGAAACTGCCAAATAAATATCTAAAGTCATTCCAGGAGGGATAACGACGAAGAAGAAGAAGAGTCCAAGTGTTTTTATTGATTTGTTATATTACTGGTGGCTGACATCGATATCATAATTGTGGTTCCTTTCCCCTCGTAATCTTTCGTCAGGTAATTTGATTTTATTGTCTGGTTCGATGGGTACACTAGAAAAAGAGAAAAGCTCGAGAGGGGAGGATTCTCATTATGTTATTGTAATATGTCTACTACTACACTACTACTTTCCTTTCAATTATGGCAATGAAATCCTGGCCGTGGTGTGTCGGTTGCTGTTGTGGGAACGGAAACACAACATTCTAGATTAAAATATCATGGCAATCCTATTTCAGGATATTGCAGTCAATCTTTGGGAGTGGAGGTGGACACGGATGATCGAGAATCTATACGGTCAGAAAGAACACGGAAGTTGTTAATGAGAAAATAGAATTGAGGTAAGATTGATTTAATGAGGTTGGTTAGCGATCATTTAGAGAATTAAAACGATTTTTTTGCAGTTTTTATACACCGGAAGTACTATAAGCTGTTGAAAGAACAAAGTTAACGAAGTACATTAATCGAGGGACAATACATCATGGCGGATGAAGCGCAACAAGATGGTAAAGTTGATGGGGATGAAAATAGTGTGGCCGATAAACCCCCACAGGACCCTCTGATTGTCAAGGATGACATATTTTATCGCATTTCCAAAGACGACGAGTCTGGCGTTACTGAATTTTTAACTAAAGATAAGAAACTGGTCAATTCCTTGGATGAGCATGGCATGACCCCATTGCAACATGCGGCATACAAAGGGAATAAGTCAATGTGCCAAATGCTTTTTGATTATGTGAGATTGAGATCCAACTATTGAAAGTTTGTTATTGTTATACACATTTAAACAAAATTATTAACACACTGCTTTCGTTATGTGCAGGGTGCTGATGTCAATGGCGGTCGTCATAATAATGGTTACACAGCCCTTCATTTCGCTGCGCTGTCTGGAAACGCATATCTGTGTCAGATGATGCTTCAGCAGGGGGCCCATCCCAGCGTTACCAATTCTGTTAATAGAACGGGTAGGTTTGGTGAATCGTATTGTAACAATTTATGCGTCCATTGTTATAAATATTAGAAGTTATTGAAATACCCAACAAATATGTTACAATTCTACAGCTCATACATTAAACTTAATCAATGAATTGTGATGACTTAATCTTTTTAAATGTTGTATTTCAGCTGCACAAATGGCAGCATTTGTTGGTGAGTAATAATTCCAATATGGATCTGATAACATGGAATATACGGATAGAACTATGTAACTAATTAGAATTTACCCATTTCCATCTGCAGGAAATCATCACTGCGTTTCAACAATAAACAGCTTCGTGGATTTTAAAGATATCGAGTATTTCACAACTCCATCTGCCCCAGATAAGAAACCAAAGTTGGATATTGTTGTGGCACGTTCTTTACATCGATTAATCATGGATGTAAGTAGCAATATCCCAAGAAATATATTCCCTTGTGTTCTAATAAATTATTGTTTTAAATCGCTTTAGGTGAACTTTCACCCAGTGAAAGTAGCCATTACTGTGAGAAAGAACGCCGTTCTTGTAGAGCACATTCCACAACTTTATAAAGTTTTGGAGGAAATGTCTGAACGTGAAATGAAAAAGGTATGTATTAAAGCAATCATAATCTCCTTATACTTGTATATTCAATTTTGTTCTCCATTTTCTGTTAAGTAGTTATTTAAATATGTATTATTATTATAATTAGAGTGGCTCAGCCAGCGAGATTGTATCGTTTAAACTCCATTTACTCTCCTTCATACTGAAGACCCTTCATAAAGACACAAATGGGGATGTCAATAAATTTGACGATTTTATCAAATCTCTAATTCGGCCCAAAACTGGCCAATATTTATGTGAAGCTCTTGAGGTCCTTCTACGACGAGGTGTTAGGGACTTCCGTTTCATAGAGACGACAATTATGCAACAACTCGTGACAAATCTAACCCACACGAAGGTATAAAAATTATTTACAAGATTTAAGCCAACTAACTTCAAAATTCAAATTCTACAGTAGAGAATCCTCACATTTTTGTATTTTTGTTTTTAGGTTTGTGAAGATCCAGGGGCCTGGTCGATAATATGCAGCGTTGTCAATGGTCAGAAAGGTTTCCGAGATAACGATCCTTGCGCCACGTGTGGAGAGGAACGAGGCGCCAAAAAATGCTCTCGGTGTCATTATGATGCTTATTGCGACCAAGAGTGTCAACGGCTCCATTGGTTCGTCCACAAACGATACTGCAAAGACAAGGCGCGTGAGTACAACGCCAAAATGGTAGCAGCCGCACTCGAGCAACAGGCCGAAGGAACAAGTCAAGAACAAGCTTTACCAGTGGATGAAAAAGAGAAGAAAACCCTTTAAGTAAATAAAAATGTATCGCCCTTGTACTCTGTGAAGGTAAAGAGGATTGTGTTGACTGATAAACTCAATCAATGATTCAATATTTTTATTCCATCATACGATGTCAAGGATTTGTAAAAGGATGGGATTTTAATGTCCTCCAAAATTTTTTCAATGTCTACCTACCCTACCTCGATCACGAATAAAGTAACTAATTAATTCCAGAGGAGGTCATTATGTCATTAAATTTATTGCTCAAATGTCGACCTTCGACCTTATCCCTATAATAGGGGCCATATTACTAAAAAAATATATAATGTAGGCTCGAGCCTTGCATTTTTTCAGTCTCATTCATAATTCAATGCAGTGCAGTGTACCACCCCCAACGGATAGTTTTGACCCTTTGGTCCATCTTCGACCTTATGTAGGACATTATAAGATGGGGTCAAAATTCCAATCAAATGCTACTTTCTTTATCGTGTCCCATGCAGACATACAAAGCGATAAATAAGACTGGTGAAAAGGAGGCGACGTTGCATGAATTTGAGTCTCACTTGGGTCAGGCGACGGGGCATGGTTTCTCCAACCATCGAGTATACGAGCCAAGCAGGAGGAGGACAAAATTTTCTTCACATTTTGAGTCGTCAGCACCGGCAAAAGAGCTGATCAGAGTCAGACCCAGGTTTTCTCGGCAGATGTGATAACGTCCTCTGCATATCAAAAAATTACCAATCTCCAAGTTTTAATTATTTAACTTTATCCTGTGTTTGGAGGGCATTAGAACCAGGTAGGCTGCAAGTATTATCCAATTCGGGGGATGATAATCTTGCATAATATTTATCAAACAGTCCGACTAATAGTTCAGTTTTTCTTAGTTCAGGTCAAAGGTCGGCCTTCATGATGGAGTTCGAGCCTGTGACTATGATTGCGTACAGCGTCATGCTGTTGCTGACAATCGGTCTGGCTTGGGTCGTCACGGTCCTTTTCGCCAAGAACGAGGGGGACGAGGATGCCAAGAAGAAGTCAACCGAGGGGGATGGCAAAGGTCAACAACCTGGTGGTGGTGAGTGGTTTGATTTTTTAAGTGTCAAGTTGTAATATTTACGACTTTTGTACTTAACGTAGGCAAGAAGAATAAGGGAAACAAACAGAACGTGGAAAAACCGGTAGGTACCAAGGGAAAAAACAAGCCGAGATCAAGAACTACTTCTGAAGCTGACAGCGAGAACCATCCCTGGACAGTGGCAACTTTCAAGGGACATGCCGGACTGATCACGGACATGAGTTGGAGCAGCAATGACAAGTTTATTGCCTCTTGTGCTCAAGGTTGATTAACAGTTTGGTTGAGATTATTCATAAAATATTATAATTAACATTATATTTATTTTCTAGACCGGACCGTGTTAATATGGTTTGCAAAGGATCTGCTGACTAAAGACCGGCGAAGCATTCGCGTAAATGTGCCTTTTGATAATGCTCGAAACATCGCCTGGAGTCCGGACTGTACTGCGTTCATCGTTGCTCTAGAAGACCAGAAGGTCTTGGAAGTTTACAAACTGGGCAAGAAGGCGGAGGGCTCTCATGTGACTGTGAACTCCCTCACCAAGTTCAAGAAGGTTTTAAAATATTGAAAATTATTCTCAAGTTCGTTTAAATCTGGAGAGGTTGTTAATATTTAAATTACACATAGGTTCATGACGAGGATATCATCGGAATTGGGATTGCCTGTACTGGCCTGTTCATTATGTCTTGCTCAAACGATGGCAACATGATTTTGTGGGACGTGAAGGGAAGTGTGCTTGAGCGAATGAGTATCCCTGTTGGAGTGACTGCCACTTGCGCCAAAGTTTCTCATTGTGGAAGGTAAGATATTTCTTTAAAAAAATCTAAGACTTCAAATGTCGAACTTAATTTGGATAATAATAATATTTGTTTATTTATAGATACGTAGCAGTGTGCGGAAATGATTGTATTCTTGTAGAAGTTATCTTCAACGAAATGAAGCAGTTCAAGTCTATCCGAACCTTTGGAAAATTGCAAGGCCACGAGTCTCGAGTTGAGCATGTTGATTTTAACGCAGATTCTTCGCGAATTGTGACCGTTACGGAAAATGGGGTTTGGCGATTGTATGATACCACAGGTATTTATGAAATAGTTTATTCTTTAGTATGCATAATCTATACCTTTCTATAATTTTCAGTTTGTAAAGTCGAATATTTAAATCTATTTAGGAAATCGAATCAATGTTGTCTGTATGGGGCAAGCCAAAAGTGTCCCGATCGCTGGAAACGATTTTTTCCCAACCGTGTCTCTTTCTCCGGATGGAAGAATTGTTGCTGTGGGGCATACCAATGAGATTGACATTTTCGAAGTCACCCTGGGATCTCCCACGACCAATATTAAGCCTAAATTTACTCTTGCAAATAGTACGGAAACATATTTCTTAATTATTATCATTATTATATTTATTATCACAAAATGTATTACTGCATACTTATTTCCTTCTTTTATTAATAAGTTGGTGTCCGAAAAATCGTGTTCTCTTCTGACGGGAAGTACATTCTCGGCGCAGGGGAAAAATCAATTCAGGTTTTCCATAACATTTGCGGTCATCTTGCCACCTTCAACGATCTTGCCAGACAAATGAACGAATCATCTGCGCATTCTTCTCTCAAGTCTCGCCTATCGACTGAAATGGCCAATATTTTACAAGACTTGACAAAGCTGAACGTGGGAGAGTCAATTGAAACAACTCTTCAAGAAATGAGAGAAATCATTAATCATTGCTAAACAACAACAACAACGTAACAAAACCATTTTTGTCTTATTTTATTCATTTGTGAATGACACTCCACATTCACCAATTACTACTATTACAACTACTGAACTTAAAAAGAAAAACTATCAAATAATATTTATTTATTAAAATGCAAATGTCTAAATGCCCAGTTTTTCAATTGTTATAAAAATATTTATAAAAAATACTATTCAGATTGGTCGTGTCACAATTATTACTATGCATAGTCGTACAGATACATAAAATGTTCAGGGCTTAAACGTCGAAAGCATGTTGACGATGAGCAGAATACATAGATCTTTGGCATATTTATTCAAAACATCTTGCCGTGCGACCTATGAATTTACAGTTTCCTTTGCATGAAGCAATTGAGAGTAATGGATATCTCACTTATCATTATTCACTAATGGACAATAGAACGATAACCACTAGAAATTTGGCCATGGGGGAAATCCATGTGATTCGAACCGTAAGCAACAGGCAAGGGAAGAGAGTGACGCACAAAACCCCGACGCTGCTTGCGGGCCCTTTGATTCTGCTGCTGCTCGCTCCTGTTCATCGAAATGTGCGAATTGGACTTGATATTGATGGTTTCCATTCCACATAGTGGATTCTCATAGATTCTCATAGTGGGATGGACAGGTTTAGGCCTGCAAACCCAAAGGCAAAATTTTGGTTGCCGGGAATGAAACCACCACCACTTCTCACTTTGTTTCACACTTTGCCTCACATCCAGCTAACGTTGTTTCGCATTTCATGAAACCAATGCTGGCTGCTGCATGGTTTCGTTTGCATTGAAACTTTCATGGTTTTATTACTGCGTCAATGCGTTGTACATAAAATTACTTTTAATAATTATTATTGTATGAATGTACATAGATAGACGTAATGAAAACCTACACAGTGCATACTCCATATAGCTCGAGTCAGGGACAGAGTCCATGACTCGGTGAGTCTGAGTTCTAAATTTTCTCCGAATTGATTCACCGCCTTGCCCCATACCAAATTTCAGATGGAAATAACAAACTTTTAATAACCTATCAGTACAGCTTTGCATAGCCCGAACCAGGATTGCTTAGTAAACCGATGTTTACTAATTTTCTGTAAAATTATGTGCTCCTATTTTGCACTAATTCTTGACTTCATTCTAAATTTCAACTCATTATATCAACTTTTAGAAATCGGTAGGGGTCACCCTATAATGCCCCTCTGGCCAATTTTTGTTCATATTTAACTTCATATTATTTCATAAGAAAGCAGCAAGGATCTCTTGGTCCAAATTTCAGCTTTCCATGTTAATTTCGGAAAATCGGCCCGATAGGGTCCTTCCAGATGATTTTGTTTTCTAATTCTAATGTATCCTCTTCCAAACAATTAGCAACCTAAATGCCAAATTTAGGCTCGATATGATGATTTTTAAAAATCGGTCTGGGTCACCCCTTCGTGTCCCTTCAGACGATAATTTTTCTAATTTGAATTTATATTCTTCCACTAAGAGTCATTAGCAAGCTCTACACATGTATACCAAATTTCAGCTTTCTACTGCAATTTTGGTGCATAATACCCTAAATTTTAGCTCGATATGACGATTTAAAAAATCAGTATGGGTCACCCGTCACCCCATAGGGTCCCTCAAGATGAAAATTTTGCCAATCTGAATTCATATTCTTCCATTAGGAGCCATTAGTAACCTCTGTACCAAATTTCAGCTTTCTAGCACAATTTTGAAATTTTGGTGCATAATATCCCACCCACTCCGATGACCCCCACCGGTCATCCACTTGACCGATTTCTCCCATCTTCGAACTCGTTTCCTAACTTTGCCCAATATGCATATGGTAAAAATTTCAAGTCAATCGGTTTTGGCTCTATCGCACCGGACAGACGGACGGACAGCTAAAAAGTGTATCATTTTACTGCTGTTTTACCATATCGGTAGCAAACTTTTACGGACCGGTATAATTTTAATACTAAGCAGTAGCAAATTTAATAACGAGAAATCAATATCTGCCGGACCATGCCTTTCTAACTGTGGACACTAATTATGGAAAATAAGTGCTGTTGCGAAGAATTTCCTTTAAAAGGTCTCGTGGAAGAGGGGTGTTTTATTTATTTTTGGATTAAATATTTATTAAAGCAGACAGAAGTTTTGACGAGAAACTCCAGTTAAATGAGTGCACGTGCGTTTCATGTAAACAGTGGACTATTTGAGTATGCGTGATGGAGTGGTGGTGGAGCGGAGCGCAGCGTTACACTAGGATCTAGGACAGAATTTGACAATTTTTGCCTTTGGATCTCAACGCAGAAATCCTACCAACGTACTCTGTGAAACTGAGCAGTTGGCGCTCAACAAGACTTGATATATTTCGTCAATCTGCCGGTCACATCTTTTTTCTACATTTGCACGTTAATATTCTGCTAGATTTCATTTCTTGCAAAACTGTAATTTGTCTAAAATAGATTTTTGATAAAAGCCAGTCTCGGTGTGATAGCTAGCTAAGGGTGAACACAAGGAGGTGGTGAAAGAGAGAGAGGTGGTTTAGATTTGAGTAGATTTTTTTGCTACTTTTTGTCAGGCAAAGGGATTTTTGGAGACTACGAAATTAAAGGGGGATTTTGTAAACGTGACAAAAATGGATTATGATGGGGAGGAGCCGACGACGAATGGGGAGACAGAGGGAGATTCTGGCGAGAAAAACCCGTTGGCGTCCATCATCGAAGTTGTCGGAGTAGACAAGGAGCTTCTAAAAAATGTTGGAACGAAGGGGTAAGTCCAAGAAAATATTAAACAACGGTAGGAAAATTAACTAATGATGAATGACATTATCCAGACTTTTGAAGCTACTCGTGGCCTCTTTCTACGCTTGTAATGATCGTTATTCACGTATCAAAGTTCGTAAGTTTATGCGTCATTTGCAAGATCCCAAATTTGCTGGAGCTCAGGAGGCCTTGATTTCAATGGTGTCAGATGCAATATCATCTCGAGAGGGATTTGTCACCACGTGAGAATGCACTACACTAATTATTTTAACTTACAATTAGTAGAATTTATATACCAATTCTACTTAAATTAATTTTAGGCTTTCCTCAAGCAAGGCTGCACTCGAATATCTGAAATGGATCATTTTGATCGGGAAAGGAAATAAAACCCTTTCGCCAGCATATTGTCGCTTATTGTCAAGCCTCTTGAGTAAAATTCAGTGTCCCAGATTGGAGAGGTCGGCTGAGAAAAAGTTGTATGGTCTCATTGTCTCCATTGGACTAGAAGCCTTTGTCGACCTATTTATAGAGATTTTTTCTATTGGGAACCTCGTGTCTATCAGTATCTTCGTGCAATACTTTCGTACTCAAGGGGGGGATAACTTCTTCGGGACGCATGGAATCCCATCAAGAGCTCAGATTTTGGATTTGTACATTAAAGAATGCATCATGACCAAATCGGTCAAATCAGAATGGTATCTTAATAAGACGAGCAGAAATATATTTCGCATCATGACAGAAGACGATTGTAAGATACTAATTCCATCCATTCAAAAAGGACTATTACGCTCTCCAGAAATTGCTGCAGAGGTAAAATTTCTATCACCTACATAATTCGCCTTTCCCAAAATCATGATAAATTGCAGTTCTAAATTAGAACTTCTAATTATATCTTTGTGATGTTTAGGCTGTTGCAAACTGTTTAAAATGGATTAAAGTTGACCTAAGTCCATTTGCAACTGATCTCAGTAAATCTATCGGGAGTTGTCTTCAGTCAAAAGAAGATCCAACCAGGGAACATGCAAGTGCGGCTTCGATCACTTTGGCTGCACATGTAAGTCAATGTGCAAAATATTTTTGGTTTAGGTTTCATTAATTATCTATATTATTTTCGTGTAGATGGATATTACGAGTATTCTGAAGATGGTGGATTGGTATTTAGACATTTATAATGGTGCCGAAGGAAAACTTACGGTTGCAGCTCATAAAATCAATATCTTGAAGGTGCATTAAGGGTTTTTCTTTGTAGATTATTTATTGTGATGTTTAATTTATTGTTTTAAAAAAGTTAAAACGAGGTTTCCTAAAATTATATTATTCATAGACTGTTGCCGACATTGGAGTAGTAGCCCAAAAGACAGAAATGGCCTACAAAAGCGATGCTAAATGTGTTTTAAGTCGTGGAGTAAAGATTTTGGAAACTGAGGGTACTTGAATATTTACTAACTTTTTTCAACGTGCATTCCTTTGGATCGATCATTTATTTGTGTGCATTTTCAGTTCATGAGGGTACATTAGCTCAAGCTGTTAAGATGATTATTTCCTGGATATGGTGCAGCTACGACGAAACTCATCCAGAACTTGCCAATTTCTTCGCCAAGTCGTTTTCCACCTTGAAGGGAAATGTCCGGACTGAAGCATGCAATTTGATTAATTTCCATTCCACAACTATCGGAGTGTCGTCCAACGAACAACTTTTCGATTTGTGTGTCAAAACATATGAGAAAAGTTATACGCAATTTACCCAAGTATGTAATAACATATGGTCCTGATATCCTACATACATGACTAAAATGTATTTCTGTAAGTAAACTGTCATTTTTATCAAATAGATGAATGGATTGGCCGAGTGCATCTGTATAGCGGGTGTTTTATTAAGAACTGGTCTTTATTCAACAAAAGACAACACGATGGAATCCTATTGGAATCTAGTACCTCACATTAACGAAAAATACTTGTCTTCGTGTCCTCGCGACTGGATCCCAAACGCTTGTAGAATGCTCCTTAACCTTCTCGGACAAGGTGCTCCAGCAGGCTATGATCAGCAAATTGCTTACGATGCACTTGCAATGCTATTTATCATTAATGATTATAAAGTGCGTGAAATTTCGATAACAGCCATAGTTTTTATACTATTGCATTAATAACAATTGGTTTTCCTCTTGTTTTAATTGTAGTTACACAAGGAGCTGATGGAAGAGATGGCTAATGTATGTAATAATTGGCCTGTGTCTGAGACAGTTTATATTCTAAGAGGATTTGAAAAACTATTCATTGAAAATCCGATTCCTGTAAGTTGATGATTTCAAATAAGCATAAAGTAAATGTAGCATCAAGTTTATGTAATATTGACACATTTATGTATAGAATCAAACAAGGAGTAAATTACTTCTCGCACTTGTTAGGTGCATCAATACAGATATTTACCAAAACAAAGGACACACTTTTGGCGTAGAATTTCTTCCAGCTTGTCATCTCTGCTCTGAACAAAATCTATGGATTCGACTTGTCCAGAAAACAGGCCTTGATCCAGCTACTGTATTAAATTATGAAGAGTATACCGCGATCCAGACGTTTATCATGGGATTTGATGGGTCAGAAAATATGCGAGCCATTTTAAAAACACTCGCATTTGTTGGACGTGATGTAATGGTACACTCCATGGTGAACGAATTCCATAAGTATGATTTTACTATACATAACCATATGATAAAGTCGTTTTGTATTAGCTAAGCTGATATACTTGTTCGTCAGCATTTTCTTGGAACACGAACAAGACATAATGAAGGTTACCCGAGACGAATACTTTGTCTATCTGACGCCTGAAAACCAACTTTATGACACCTCGGTCATTGATGCGTAAGTTTACTACACATTATCCTTACAGCTTGTTGAGTTCTATTATGACAATTTTTTCTAGCTCTGATGAAACTGGAAAGAATATGAAGCGAGAAAGCAGGGTGTATTCATACAAGGAGCAACTGGAGGAGATTCAGTTGCGAAAGGAACTTGAAGAAAAGCGACGGCAAACTGGCAAGCCAATAATTTACTCTAATAAGCAAAAGGAAGCCATCAAAGTTCAAATGGGAAAGGAAAAAGTAATTCGCGACAATGTAGCCAGGGTAAGTAAAACTTGGAATGGATTGTACGCGTTTAAATAATATAATTAAATGACTTACCCTTATCTATGTAGATATGTAACAGTTTTTCGTTTTAATTTCTCTACAGTTGCATCAAATGGTAGTCAGGGGTATTGGTCTGCTACAGTGTGCCTGGGAAGGAAACCGTGCAGTTTGTGGAATGTATGTGAAGAGCTGTATTTCAGCCTTAACAAAATGGATGCGCTCCCCCTTGTCGGCCCCTGACGCGGTAAAATTTTTCACTCAGGTTGGACACACGTTGTTTGTTCCTGGAGTGAAAGGTGACCATTCCATTATTTTTTAAATTACGTATTTACAATTTACCTATTATGGTTGTACTGCACACTTATATATTTTCAAGTCAAGCCCCAATGTGTTTTCTTGACAATAATATTTTCATGCTAAACAGGCCAAGCAGTTACTCAAATTTCATTGAGACTGATTAAACCTACCTGTGATTTGGACGTGGAATGGCAGAAATCAGATTTGCAAACTGCCACGAAAAACATACTAAACTACATGCTTGGTGTACGAATTCATATTAACAATTAATAATTATTGCATTATTTTATTACCCTAAATCATTTTAAGATAAGATTCAATAACTATAGGATTTCGGGAAGGATGATGAGCTATCTGGGGTTAAATTTGCATATTCTTTCCCTATGCTACGTTTGGCTTTTGAACGGTACCCAAAGGACATTGCTATTCAGTCTACCGTGCTTCAAATCATCCTCACAGTTGCAAAAGACGCCACTCAAACGTTACTTGGAAGAGAAAGCACTATCCCACGATTGGACGTTTTTGAAATGTTGTATAAAGTAATAGGTAATTAACACACAAAAAAATAATTATATATTTTATCCAACGAAATCGTCAAATTTATTACAAATGAAACAAAATCTTTCAATAAAGCTACGAAGGATGGAACTGTTCAGCAATTAGCAGTATCTTCTGTTCTTCAATTGACCAAGGTAATTTCCGATCCAGAAGATGTGAAAGAGATGGTCGGTGCTGAATATCTACAACATATATCTGCTTTGATGGAACCTTCTAAACTCTCCCGAGAAACGGCCATTAGGGTAAGTCCATTCTGCAATTAATCTCACAACTAGTGCATTTAGTAATGACTAAACAATTTTCCGATCTCTAGTGCTTGAATATTGTGTGTCCATTAACGAAAGGCAAACATACTATGTGCTACTCGTCTGAAGTAATCGCAAACGTTTACCGTGAGAGATTTGATTCTTCGACGGACATTGTCACGATTGCTGAAGACACTTGGGTAAAGTCTCAATTTCAGGTGGAAGACAAACTGCATCACTCACTTTATGATGGTGAGTGGCACTGGCCAAATAATCAATTTGCTCCTCATCTGCATATAATTACTATATTTGCATTGTTAATTTGGGGTTTAGCTTGTTTTCATCCATGCGACGAAGTTCGCCACTCTGCTTCAAAAGCGTTGTCTTCATTTTTGAAAACACATCCAAACATGATTGAAAGTACGATCGGATCCCTTCTTGTTGCATATCAAGACTATGTCATTCCAACTCCGGCTCTAATGGATAATCTAGGCCGACTCCTGCAAGAGGAAATTGATCGGTGGGAAGCAAGGTGTGGAATTGGGCTCGCTATTCGGGAAATAGCTAAAGAGATGTCCCCTGAAACTGTAAGAAGTTAAATTGTGCTGACTACATTGGGTTCTATTAGAATGTAAAAAAAACATGCTGTTATTTAGGCTAAGATGTGCATGGAGTGGCTCGTCTCAATATCGCTGTCAGATCATAGTCCAGCAGTTCACAACATTATGCTTGAAGCTGCTGTAGAAGTTGTGCAAATTCATGGGACGGGTAATTTACATTTTACAAGTGATTGTTCTTTTTTTACTTAATTCATTGCTAAGTTGCCCATATTTTATTTTTAGTTTGTCTCAATGAATTCATCAGTACTATTGAAACTTTTCTGGAGAAGGCTGGTAGCTCAGGTAGATATGACAATGTTCGACAAGCTTGCGTCGTCCTCATGGGATGTCTGGGTCGTCACTTGAGCTCTACTGATGTTCGAATAAAGTCCATCTTTACAACTTTAATTGACACTCTGTCAACTCCGTCAGAGAAGGTATTACTAATTAATTTAACGAAATAAACAGTGTAACACAATTACAAAAAATAATGTCATGTAAATTTGTGCATTAGGTCCAAGAAGCTGTAGCAAATTGTCTTCCTGCTTTAGTTCCATCCCTCAGCGCAGAAGCTGAGCCCGTCCTTAAACTATTACTTGTAAAAGTCATGGAGGCTGACAACTTTGGTGAAAGGTGAGCATATCGTTTTAAAAAAAGATAACACACGTACACGTCGGATTAGATACATTGTAAAAGTGTTTTCATTATATTAATTACTTGCCATAGACGTGGTGCTGCATTCGGAATTGCTGGAATGATTAAGGGGTTAGGAATTTTGTCGTTGAAACAACATGATATCATGAACATTTTAGCGAAAGGAATGCAGGATAAGAAGAATTATAAACACCGAGAAGGTAACATTGGCTAAAGGTATAAGCAATTGGTTAAATGTGCATATTTTTTTTTGTTTCTTTATAACTCATAGGAGCCTTAATGTGCTTGGAATTGCTGTGTGAGTTCCTCGGTAGATTATTTGAACCCTACATTGTACACGTCCTGCCATACCTTTTGCAGTGCTTAGGAGACTCTAACGCGTAAGTTGTGCTGAATTACAACGATATAATAAGTACATGTAAATAACAATTTGTTTTTAAATTTTGCACGCCAGGTACGTTCGAGAAGCCACTGAAAACACTTCAAAACGAGTCATGAGTCGATTATCCGCTCATGGTGTGAAACTCGTATTGCCTTCGCTGACTGGTGCTCTTAACGAGGATTCCTGGAGGACAAAGTGTGGATCGGTTGAATTACTGGGTAGAATGGCATACTGTGCACCCAAGCAGTTGTCTGGCTGTCTCCCTATGATTGTTCCTCGGCTCATCGAAGTTCTTGGAGATTCGCACGTCAAGGTACAAGAGGCGGGTGCCAAAGCACTGGGATTGATTGGGTCTGTGATTCAAAACCCTGAAATTCAATCAGTAGTTCCCGTTCTTTTAGAGGTAAACTTAAAGTGCATCAAATAAAATAATTTTAAATATCATTAATTTAATTCAATTTTTATAAACTTGGTGCAGGCTTTACAAGATCCTGGAAAACGATCATCATCATGTTTGCAATGCCTTTTACAAACAGAGTTTGTTCACTTTGTTGACCCACCTTCGCTGGCTTTAATTATGCCTGTCGTGCAAAGAGCGTTCCTTGATCGATCTACAGAGAACAGGAAAATGGCATGCCAAGTCATTGGAAATATGTACTCTCTAACTGACCACTCAGACTTGGCACCCTACATGGACAACGTAATGCCTGGTATTAGAGCTTCTCTGGTGGACCCCGTACCTGAAGTAATTATTACTTGTCTATTTAATGGTCTCCTCGTTGATTGATTAATTATTTTAGTACAATCTAATGACTTACATATTATGTGGCTATTTTAGGTTCGTGCAGTTGCTGCAAAGGCACTCGGTTCAATGGCAAAGGGAATGGGAGACAAATGCTACGATGAGTTGTTACCATGGTTAATGAAGACGTTGATATCAGACGTAAATTCTGTCGACCGTTCCGGTGCCGCCCAGGGTTTGGCAGAGGTCATTGGATCGTTAGGAGAAGACAAATTGCATAGATTTATGCCAGGTACGTAGACCCATTGTCATACATATGTATTTCTGTTGCAAATAAGTGCAACTAGTTTTAGTAATAAAATGTTTGCATTTTGTGTATAGAAATCATTAGGAAGGCAGATAACGATGATATTGCACCCCATGTACGGGATGGTTACATGATGATGTTTATCTATATGCCGGGTGTATTCGAAACCGCATTCGTGCCTTATATTGGTCAAATTATTAACCCCATTTTAAAGGTAGCCATATAATCACTTCCATATATACTACCCACTAAACTCAAGCCCTATATATGGGCACGACGACGATTATAATACAAACTGTTGATTTTATAATAATTTAGGCTCTGGCTGATGAGAATGAATTTGTCCGAGAAACCGCTCTTAGAGCCGGTCAAAGGATCGTCACTGGCTTTGCTGAAAGTGCCATCACCTTGCTGCTTCCGGAGCTGGAGAAGGGAATATTTGACGATAACTGGAGAATCCGATTCTCCTCTGTTCAACTCCTTGGAGATTTGTTGTACAAGATATCCGGAGTTTCTGGCAAAATGAGTACTGAATCTGCTGGAGATGACGACAACTTTGGGACAGAACAGTCCCAACAGGTACGCACACATTCAGTCAACTTATTAAATTTATTGTAGTTGCAACAAGGATCAATTTATAAATGTTTTTTTTAAATTTAGACTATCATCACTGTCCTTGGGGTTGAAAGAAGGAATCGCGTCTTGGCTGGACTCTACATGGGGCGCTCAGACGTGGCACTCATGGTCCGACAAGCGGCCCTTCACGTGTGGAAAGTGGTCGTGGCAAACACTCCAAAGACATTGCGAGAAATTTTGCCAACCTTATTTTCTCTATTGCTTGGATGTTTGGCCAGTTCGTCACATGATAAGCGTCAAGTTGCAGCAAGGTATTTATCTTCATTCATCATATTATTTGTTTTATTTTATGGAAGGATCAACTAAATAACTTTTATTAATTAAGAACGCTGGGAGATTTGGTACGAAAACTTGGGGAGAAAATTCTACCCGAAATTATTCCAATCTTGGAACGAGGACTGGAATCCCCTAGGGCTGATGAGCGTCAAGGTGTCTGTATTGGACTTGCCGAAATTATGTCTGCAACCAGTCGAGATATGGTTCTTGCATTTGTGGATAACCTGGTTCCTACTCTAAGGTAAGTTCTTGTTTAAATTCTCAGAATCATTAAAGTAAAATTTAATATAAGAATGAAAATTAATTACACAAGTATTAACGATCTTGTACTTTCTACAGAAAAGCATTGTGTGATAGCTGTCCTCAAGTACGAGAAGCAGCCGCAAAGACGTTTGGAAGCTTGCATTCAACCGTAGGAAGCCGAGCACTTGATGAAATTGTTCCTTTCTTAATGAAAAAAATGGTAGGATATTATACTTGTGTTTCTATGTTTCTTTTATTTGCTTTGTAACATATCTGAATGTGCATATGCTATTATATTTTTCATGTATATTTCTTTAATTCTAGAATGACCCAGTTGAAGGAGAATACGCATTAGATGGACTTGGCCAAATCTTAGTTGTCAAGTCTAAAGTAGTTATGCCATATCTGATTCCTCAACTTACCAGTCCACCTGTCAACACCAAAGCATTAGCAATTTTAGCATCGGTTTCTGGCGATTCCTTATCCCGACATTGGGGTCGGATTCTTCCTGCCCTATTGAGTGTACTCACTGAAAGCGCCGGAACTCCAAGAGAACAAGACGTATGATTGTTGAACAATTTAGAGGGAAAAATGTAAAAAATTATTTGTCATTTAATTGAATATATTTCGTGGTTATAGGAATTAGACTATTGTCAACGTATTATCTTGACCGTGACGGATGAACAAGGGCTCCGATTCTTCCTTGATGATCTTCTAGGTTACTTGAAGCCTGAAAAGGCGGAACTCAAGCGAGCTACGGTCACTTTGTTGTCACTCTTCTGTATGCACACAAAGGCGGATATCGAACCGTACATGTCACAGTTAATCAGAGGACTATTCCAACTTATGACTGACACGGATGAAGTAATTCTAAACCTTGTAGCTGAGGGTTTAGGTGCTATCATTAAGGTTTGTTGTTTATGCATAGATTTTACAATCTCATAAATTATACATATAAATGCATTTTATATTTTCAGAACCTTGACAGTGCAGAAAAATTAGCTTACGTTGGAGATATTCGACAAGCGATCCGGTTTGTTCAGGGCGATTTGAAGGGCAAACCTCTTCTTCCAGGGTTGTGCACATCAAAGGTACAAATATTTTACATTTAGATATGACAAAGTAAAATAGTTGTTATAATTATTATTTTTATCCCGAATACTATTGATTTAACCTTTTGCATAATAGTAATATTTATTTTCATAATAGGGGATTAGTCCAGTACTTCCAATCTTCCGTGAAGCCTTGTTGAATGCCAGTTCTGATGTGAAAGAACAAGCTGCCATCGGAATGGGAGAACTAATAGCTTTGAGTAATGAGACTGCATTGAAACCATCCGTGATACACATTACGGGACCATTGATTCGAATTCTGGGTGACCGTTACGGCCCCACTGTCAAAGCTGCCGTTTTAGACACATTGACACTTTTACTATCAAAGGTAAACTAATTAACGCTTAACGAACTAACTATGTAATATAAAATGAATGTAATGTGCAAGCACTTATATGAAAATTATTAACTTGTTCCAGGTGGGCATTCATTTGAAAGCCTTCTTCCCCCAACTGCAAATCACTTTCGTCAAGGCTTCCAACGACCCGAACCCCAGTGTGAAACAGAAAGCCACGAGTGCGCTCGAGCAATTGATGCCGCTCATAAATAACAAGACGATGATCAACAAAGCCAACGTGGGGAATATTTCTTCTTAAGACAGTATAACCTAGTCAATTTATTGCTGACTGGGCATCGTACTTTCGAAATACGAAAATTCAATTTTTAGTTATGTGTTGGTTGGTTGGTTGACGCTTACTTATCTTTTATATTAAGAGGGAATGAGGACTTATAACATAGTAAGTTGTATCGGGTAATCAATCAGTCTAACAATTTATAACAATAAAAAAATACGGACAGAAAAAAATGACTTATTGGTTCGTTAATTTGCATCATCATCATTACTACCTAATCAATCTACCCCATCTTTGTCATATTATGTAATATTATCTAATAATATATGCAAACCCATACATACCCATTTTTCATTCGCAGTGTTTTGTATAATTTACTTAAATACTAATAATTAATACTAGAAATATCATTTTTGTTTGCAAATATCAAAATTCACAACGCGACAAGATTCAATTCTAATTGTTTGTTTTATTATAAAAAAAGAACAAGTTTACATTCTCAACCAGTACAAAACACAAATGAAAATAATTCATTTTAGTTATCGTATTATGTATTACAATTAAAACAGAAAAAAAGAAGTAAGTCTATCGTCGCTTCATCGTCGTTCCTCCCTTACTCAGGCTTAAATTAGGTTTTGTGTTTTTTTCGACCATTTAGTCGTCGTCCTCGTTCTCCTCGCCACCTTCTCCGTCATCTTCCTCCTCCTCCTCCTCTGCAACACACAAAACAAAACATACATTAATATTATTTGTAGCAGCAGCAGTAATAGTGAACTAACTAACTAGAGATCTATTTGAACGAGCCAATCTTAAACCCAAGTTGTATGAAAACCAACAACTTTCTCCTTTTCTCCACAACTAGCACGAGGACAGGAAACAAAACAAGTGAAAATATCCATGTACACAAAATACCTATCTAGTTGGTGGTCAATTTCAGAATTATCCAAAATAAAATATTCGCCCTTTGTCATGCATGAAAAGACTTATAACGGAACGAGCCGGCGTCGGTGGCTCGTCGCAACTTGACCAGTGACAAAAGACGAGGGAAACATCCTCCATATACACGCCATACATAGCACATTGCAAACGCGTGGATAGAAGACCATGGAATAAAGTAGGCAAAGAGTTGCAATCCTTTTGCCGCCCTCTCTCATGCTCTTCTCTTCTCTCCGCTCTGCTTTTCAACAACCATGCTCCTTTCCTCACCACCACCACCATCACGGCTTCACCACTGTCAAAAGTAGAAGCCACCACCAAACCAACCTGCCTATGCTTATATCTATTCTATACCACTAGTAAGTACCGCTGGACAGCGTACTAAGATAAAACACCGGGAATAAAAACCCCTCTTTCTCACCTTCCTCCTCTCGTAGGTCCTCTTCACCTTCGTCCTCTTCCTCTTCTTCCGCTTCAACGTCTTCCTCGTCCTGAAAAACCGAATAAAAATGACATGACTAAACTGAAAATTCTTCCAAACCGGCGAAAAACAGCAATGTTTCCAAATCTTTCCACTCTTCTCAAACTTACAAAAAAAGTATGTATACAAAATCTTAATAATTCTCTCACCTCTACTTCATCCTCCTCTCCGTTCGCTTCCCTTTTCGCCTTTTTCACGTCGTTTTCTCCGGTCTCAGCTGCTCTCTTTGTCCCCTTGACCTCGGCCTTAGGATCGGCTTTGTCATTCTCCGTGGCGGCGGCGACCTTCTCTACTGCAACTTCCTTGTCGTTTCCACTCATGTTGTTTGTTCTTTTTTCTTCTTCCTTTCGGATGGACTTGAAGTGAAATAGTGAGGAGACGCTGCTTCCGTACGTGTGAACTAGGCGAGAGAAAAAACTACACTAGTCGGTCGGTGGTGGTTGAGAGAGTTTTGAGACGACGCTGCTTCTGCTGCTGGTTGAGATTGCTAGGCAAGGAAGGAGCTGCGTGGTTGAGTTGAGACAGATGAACACGAACTGAACGCCGACCTGCCTGCCTGCCGCTCCTGCCGTTGGCTTTTCTTTCAAAGTGCTCTGCTGGCGCGGCTGCTGGCTCCTCCGTCTCCTCATTGGTCCCACGACAGGGACCCCCCCAGTCGCCAAGGGCCCCCTTCGACACCACACCCACCTAACAATTCACAAAACATGGCGTCCCCATAGGCATTGGGCCCCCTCGACCCCCCCTCCGCCCCCACAGGCGACATTCATCCACTTTATTCCAGGGGTTTGAGAGTACACGGAGAGAAGAGAATAGCTCGTCGTGGGGTTGAGACATCGCGTCGGCCGGTGATGCTGCCCATGGTCGGAACAAGTCGTACACAGCGTTACCATCCAGATCCATCACGAGAGCGGTTGGATTGGTGGGGAGCGGAGAAAAGCCGGCCTCTCGTAAAGGAAGGGAGAGCCTAAAAGCCGCCAGCACCCGGTGTAGCCCTCCACTCAATTCTGCACGCTCCTCTGAGGTAGAGAGAGGCTCTTCTTGCTGGAGGAAAGCGGGAGGGGTCGTCCACCAAGGACGGGGAGGTGGATAAGGGAGAAAGATAAGCGTGGGGGAGAGAGGGTAGTGCAAAAGGGTAGTTTGTCCCCTTTTTGAGGGGGAAGTGGTGCTGGTGGTGAAGGTTCCCCCCTCCCGTCTCAATCTGCCCCCGCATGTTACACAATTTAATACGAGAAGTTTTGAGTAGGTTTTAGGTGAGCACGTAAGTAAGGTATAGCTCATGGCTATGGTTTATTCTTGTGGTTCTTCAGTACATGCCATTAGGAAATGGTAGAATATATGATAGCGGTACATTAGGTAGGAAGGGGTAGGTAGCTATCAGGGCCCTGGTGGGACTTTTTGGTTTAGGGAGAGAGAGGGCTTTTATTAAAAAGTGATCCTTCATGATATTATTCTAAACGGATTCATCATTATGGAAGCCACTCTCTGACCGCCCCCTTTATATGCATAGCACTGCTTGGCTCGCGTGCATTTCTGAGTAAAGGTGTAGCAGTTCAGTTGGCATTTGGATGAGGCAAATTGAGACGAGGATGAGAATCTCAGCAAAAGTTGAGTCAATCATTCTCTCCCACGGGTTCGTTGCTTGCTGCTGCTGTGCTATTACAGCATCTGCACTGCCAAACTACAAAAGTCGTTGGGGTGGGTGCATCGAGGCGTAGATAGAATTCGCGTCTAATTCTTCTCCTCTCAAGCTGAGATGAGACTACTCTGCTGCTAATTATGCTCGATTGTGGCACTGCAGTGTGGGTGTGGTTTACAGAATTTGGCGAAAAGTCACGAAAATGATACAAGAAGACGCTACTACTTCAACTCTGTCATCTCAATAATAAACTGACGGATGTAGCAAAGTGTCACTTTCATTCATTCATATCATCATGGCGTGTGGTTCTTCTCGTGAAATGAAGAAATGGATTGGCAGGAGCAGGGGGTAAAACCAACGCTTTTTGGCTGAGAATTTTGAGACTGAAATCCACACCTAACCTAACCCACGGTTCGAGAGAGAGAGAACGACCGAGAAATAGGCATCCGTATCCGTGCCTATTCTCGGGTAGTAGGAGTCACGATGATATATACGACTTCTCCACTAACCAAGCTAACCTAAGCCGTTGGTCGTATTATTACTACTACATGGCGAATGGAATTCCTTTTTCCCGTCATCAATAATCAATAACCGTTCACCACTTAGTTAATATGAATGGACCAATTCTACAGCCATTATTAGTCCGTGCATGCATATGTGGCTTCTCGTTCAGTTCAGCTGCCCGGCCTGCCTGGCACGACGACATTCTTTCCTTTAATAAGGTCGCCCCTCACGACTTCCACCTAAAAAAATGGCATTTTTATTCCCGTCGGTCCCTCCTGAGGATAGGATGGATGCGATGCGATGGTGGGGAGGCAAGTCGTGGTGGGCATGGACCGTGTGAGTGCTCCCTCTCTCTCCGCAAAACCGGAACACGGGGAACGCCATGCAAACGCCACAAGGCGACGCTATGAAATTTCCGATGTCTATTGTCTCTCCTCATTATGTAACTAATTACTACTCGAATCAGTCCCAGTCACCGCAAAAAGTAGACTATTTAGTCGAGTTTTTAGCTACTTGGTTACGCCATGAATCGTTTAAGGATCTCAATCCATCTCTTGAGACAGTTTACCTACCCGAAGAAGAGGTAGACACAACCACTATTATACCTTTTAAGTGGACTTATCATACTTGCCCGCTTATGCATTTTTACTTTGCCATCAACTTGATGCGATGTTGTTGTCCATGTTGGTTGGTTGGGAAATAGGAGCAGTATATATTTGCCCGTGGTAGTTATTCCTAAGAGTTCGAACCACTTATTTTGCAATGATAATAATACGTATCCATCCATCCACTCTTAAGAAGTCGTATTATTTATACTTTGTTTGTTACGTATCCTTCCCTCTTAGTCCCGTGTAATAGGTTCAAAATTTGCTATGAAATACCATACCACGCGCAAACCAGAGAATGGTCGAGATTTGACAATAAATATGTTCGCACTGTACTCTTTGCATACATACGGTTTTCGCTCTGCCAGCGTAAAATTACTCATCATCATCATTCTTCTCATTACGTACGTGTATTAAAAGTGCATGAAGAGAAATCTACACTATGTACTTTACTTACATACGGATATGCATGCAAGTAATACATTTATTTGTTATTACTCTTCCTGATCACCACATACATATTTAATCCCATGCAAACCTCATGCACTTTCATGTCTGCTAACTAACTAACTAAACGTCAACCCTGATATTAATTAACAAATTAATAATAATATCCCAACCGACGATGATGGAAATGCATATTAAATAAATTCTTAATGAAATTCAACCCTAATTTGGCTCCTGAATAATTTTATTACTTCTAGTCGACTAGACTAAATATCAACCAACGTATAAGTGAATACGTAAAGAAAAAGAGTCATTTTAGGCAATTGAATTTCTATGAAATCACGACGACGACGAGACACAATTCAAATTCAGTGTAGCTCTGGACGTGAAGACGTAGTAAGTCTTCGTAGTAAGAAAGTAGTAGTTGCATGGAGTGGATGATGATGAATATATGAAAAGTGTTTGTCTCTCGAACCCAGGTTTTGAAAGATAGCTTTTAGCCGAAGAAGGAGACGATTGTTGTTACAATATGCTTATACGAGACTACACTTTGTACGTTATTTAGCTTCGGGTATACTGAACCCACTACTCACACTGACTGACTGACTGGGTCGTCCCCCATTCATTTTTGATGCGTCCGAACCCGAAATTCCCAAAGCCGGGCATAACACCGAGCGCAACCGGCCAGGGAGGGAATAATATTCATGGTGAAAAAAAGGGTTACCAAAAAATGAACCCTTATCCAACCCAGAGCTATACACGTAATCTGGAACAATTACGATTACAGATTGAATTTCACATAATCAGAGAAGCAACCTCATATCATCCTCATTTCGAATGCATGCTTCACCCGAGCCAAACTCATTGACAGTTGTTGTTCTCTGTTATACGTATGAAATGAAATGGAATGGATTTTTCAGCGTAAACTGTCGATTCTTCTCTTATAGGAAACTGTGTAATGTGATGAGATGAGTAGCAGTGATTCACTTCATAGCGTTGTACATGAGGTACATAAAAATTAGGTATGCACTCCTAAATTTCATTGTTGCAGGATAACTGTGTTGTATGAAAACCTCTGGGTTTTGAGACTCATCACCGACCGACTAATAATCCGAAGTAAGGAATGGTTCGAGGCTTGCTCACTCACTTTAAGAGTATAATAATAAAAGCTTGGGATTCTTCCATAACTTTGGTTTAAAGTTGAATAGCATGAGTCCTCTAAAAGCTTGTGTATGTATAATAAAAGCCATAAGGTTTAGCTTGGTGGTTCAAGTCATCATGGTTTTCCTACGGAAAAGGTAACTCACCTTGTGGTACCATCATCATCATCGTCATCCATGTAAGACTGCCATCCATGCCAGGCAGACTTCACCTTTACTTTACTTATTCCACCATCTAACTAATACTAATCGCATATATACACACGTATATAATAATAATCATAATATGTATGTGCTCATGATCCAAAAAACGGCGTAAAACATAACATCATGACTCCTCTGCGTCGGTCGTCGTCGTCGTCGTCGTTTTTCTGTACGTACGCATAGCGAGGAAGAATATATATCTTTGTCCATTTTTTATTCAAAGAGTTACTTAAAAAAGATGAGAGAGAGATAGACGCTGGTGAGTAAGTAAGTAAAAGTGGAAGGAAATCAGCAGCAGCAGTCAATTCAATATATGCCAATGCCCGGCACACAGCAAAAGGCAGGCAGGTCTGCCTGCCATGACGGAAAAGAAAAAGACGCAATGTGCATGACATGAAAAAGTTGGGTAGTTATTTTATGCGAATGAAGGAAGAATATAATGAAATGAAAGAGTGCAGTTTGCTTTGGTGGGAATTATTATGCTTTAGTTGTTGTTGTTAATTGCAGAGTATGTATAGACGTGACGTTGTTAGGAGGGACGATAAGGTCTTATCTATCTCTCCTTAATAATGCTTTTTGGATATGAATTTTGTTTTTTTGGAGGTATGGATGGATAAATAATCATGGCTTATCTACATTCTGCGTTCTCTCTCCTCCTGAATTTTGCGTACCAATTCACACACACACACATTTTTCACACACATGAGGATCGACTAAACAGTACACCGGACCGAGGAGGCAAAACCGGATGTGTGTATGCAGCATGCATTGCAGCAGAAGCAGCATTTTTACGCCATGCATGCTCTAAAACACCTTGGTTTAATAAGAGACTTGAGGAATAAAAGGATCAAAAAGCGTCGATTCTCAGCCTCTGATGCTTCTGCTTCTGCTCTGGAAAATGGGAAAGAAACCTCTGCTCACCACCGCCTTTGCAGAAACCTTTGTCATTCATTTCCATTGTTTCACGACTTGAGGGGACAACCATTAACCAAGTCTGTGTCACACAAAGGACTTGTCATTCTCGGTATTTTTAACCCAACGACCGAAATAATAGTACTTTGACCGGACCAGATTAACAAAAGAAATGTGTGTGTTTAGGTACAAATATTAGAAAATCAGACCCATATTTTGACCCATGGAAGGAGATAAGTATTATTACCTTCCTTAAAGAATGTGGACATGGAATGTGCATATGACGATTTTTTAAAAATAAATTATATATATTTAATGCGGACAAATTTTTAATATTGGAACAATATTTTGCTCATTGATAAATTTTTGCTAAGTTAAAAACTCGGGTATTATCTGTAAAATACATGCATGCAAAAGTTTAATACTTGTTCCCCAAGTTTTGATTATTATTTGAAGTTTTATGACATGGTTTTCATCCTGTTTATGTAAATTGAGAAACGTTTTCCGTATCGATGCTTGTCGAACTACATTAAAATGATAGTGTTTGAATTGTTGTAAGTAGAGGTAGCATTTCCATGTCAGGAGGATCGATTGCTAATAATTGCATGAAATTTGAGGGAGATGCATATAAATTATAGAATAATGTGGGTTCGACATTTTTTACTTTAAAATTGTTGGGATAATGCGAGCAATTACAATTTTCGGAATAACACGGGGAGAAAAAAATCGAATAATAATTTCTTTCACAATTCTGCTTTATTTAATTCCTATCCCGTCCATCCATTGCATTCTGCTGGTTTATCTCATTTGTGTAATGGGAGCTTCTCTTCCATGAATTTGCCTTGTCGTTTGGCAATCTAGCCATAAAACCTCGAAACTGGTCAATTTCCATCCACATCACGGAGATGTCGTACAGGGTGCAACTTTAGTTTCACATGAAGTCAAGCTTGTTGATTTTTCATGAAAAACTTTAAACTTTTCATGGTTTCCAAACATTAAAAGTACTTGAATTATTTTCGAGGAGAGGCTCTTATTTTGTAAACGAATATGTTTATTTAACAGTACAAAGTTTTTGGAATTGCTTTGTAATTTTCAAATTACATAAAATTTCGAAAAACATTTCATTATTAAAACACTTTTGAATCATGATAAAAAATCCGTTAAATTTTGTAACAACTATTAACAAATATTCCTCACAGTACAACCCGTGTAAAATCTGCGAGTGAGTCTACCTATTTATTATTCAGTTCGATTCTGATTTCTTATACTATTTATTCCAATGTCCATGTTGTGCGGATATTAATATTCGCAATACTTGATGGATGTCATCGTTCGTGCCCAATGTAGAAAGCAAAGTGCACATAAATAAATTGTCACAGGAAAAATTAAAAAGTATAACGACTAGGACATCGTTCTTCACAAAATAAATTATGCATTATACGTCAACCACAAATTCGATGATAGATCAAACACCGTATAAGAATAACGTTACGTGTAAAACAATTTAAAACCTCGTAGCTCAATTATGCATTTAGAAAATTGCATTCATGGTTAACTTTTATAAGGTGTCTAGTGACAGCAGTACAACAAGATAGGTTTTAGTTAACAGTTTAGTTGGTTCGACAGCCTGATTCTACATTCTTCACACATAGTTTAAATAATTTAAACAGAATGTTACGGCGTATATGTACACACAGCGAGAATCGTTATTTGACAAAAGACCAAGAAGAACAACCCTACGTATTTATCAAGTTTATGACTAAGAAGTTGTAAATAATGCTTAAATATCACAGCACCAATGTAGCGTCTTTCATGTTATACTTCTGAAAACTCCGTAAGTGAAGACTAATCCGTTCATCTGCAATTTCATGAGATTAATTTTTAAATTGGTAATCAAAATAAGTTGTTGTTGTTATTTTTATGAAATACATATTTATGTCTGGTACCATTAAAACTGCAACTGCAATGCTCACACTGCCAACTGTGATTCCACCAGCTTTATACCTCGTCAAGCACCCCACGGTCCAAACATCTTCTGGGTTGATGTGTAATTGACATTTCGGTATCTGAAATTGTATTTAATTGTACAAGGAATTTGTTCAATCTGTCGAAAAACATGTCTTTTTTAAGTTACCTCTCCCTTATTGCGACAACAGCTTGCCGGCAGTTCATTCGTATGTAGAGACTGTTCCCAGTCGCTGAATTGCTGAATACCACAACATTGATACTGGAAATTGAATAAAAATGAGTTATTTCACCATGTCTTTTAAAAACCACTCAACAAAAAAAATATGTAAAAAAACACATACGTGTGACTGAATTGTGTTCCAAGTCTCTTGAATTGAATCGCTGTGATTGTAATGTTTCATGGAATTTCTCATATCCGTTTTTATCAGTTCCGAATCTTTCCCGTGGAATACGTAGCCAATAACTCCTCCAAAAAATAGGACGACGAAAAAGATGAGAAGTACGATAATGTGCTGCAATACGTAAAATAAGTTTCATCAAACTGGACAAAAAAATGAAGTTTGGAATATCTTACTTACCAGCAATAGAAAACATTTGACTTCTTTAACAGCTCCAAAGCATCCAAACGCAACAAAGAGTATGATGCAGATTCCTGTCCCAAGAAGGACATTGGACGCACTTTTGTATAACGTGTCATGCATGAGCTTCTCGAATATGGATTGGTCTCGGAGTGCCATCACGCCAAAAATTGTGGCTATTATTCCACCCACCTTAAAACAAAAATGATGTTAAACGAGTCATCTAAATATGCAATCTTATCAATTTGATAAACTTACCAAAATCAGGAAATTCGAAATATAAAGGCCATACTTCATAAACTTCCCACATCTGTGCATTTTGTCCCCGTAGCCCATCTTGACGCCTGCAAAGTCAAAATTAGTGGAGTCAGTCAGTTATCTCTACTTGCATAAGAATAATATGTGCTAAATCATGCAATTTGAGTTTAATCCTCTATTCTATTTTTAAGAAACATTGAGATTTTGCATAGTGAAGGCAAAGGCCTGCCTTCGGATAAATTATATCCCCAAATTAATATCATGATCCTTCAAATGAAAATGCAAAACCGCAGCGAACAATAAGCCAACCAAATTTGTAGGCGAAGGCAAGACCAAGATAACTGCCGTGTCGTGTCTAGTGAACCAAGGAATCAACTCTCTTCGACAAAACTAACTATTTTCGTAGTTTAATTTTTTTTATAAAGTCATGGTTGTCCTCCCACCTTCACTTCATGTTCGTCTTTGATACTATTTCAATGATTTGTGAAAATTTGAAAAATTTGCATTGTTTTTTTTTATATAATACAATGTACATTTTTATGCACATTACTACACACTTGAACTATAACTAAATTATTACACGTGGCAAAAATCATACAGAAATCCGTGTACTTTTGAATTAACACCAACTCTCATTCATGGAATGGCGACATTGTGACGGTATCGTAAGCGGTATCGGAAATGCATGTCGATTTATTTTTAAAAATATGACAATAGCTTTCCATGAATTTAAATTCATTTTTTAATTAAAATAAAATCTCCCTAAATTAATTGATGCTAAGGTCAAAGACGCCGGAAAACACGCACGGTTAATAACTCGTTTCATGAAAACTAAATAAAACAGAACATTGTTACAGACTTTGTTTAAAACTAAATTTTACGGAGGACTGAACGAGTAAATTCAACAATTAATACTCCACAGTCACAATAAAGTTTTAATCTCACATTAATTTTCATAACTACTTTGATTTTAATTTTTACGTATTTCTTAAGAAAAAATGTATTAATTTAACCATGAAGTTCATATATTTCATGCATAATAATTAAGACACGCAGTTTGTAGCACTTTTTGATCATACACGGTAACAATTTCACTTTTAAACTCCAAATTGGTTTTACACAGAAAGTGAAAGCAGACATTTTATGAATGCAAAATACCTGATTATTTAAATCCTTGCACGTATTTATAACTATATAAAGTTGAATCACAGTCAGACACGACACCAACGAAATATTACCCTTCCAGTCCCCTTATTTAGCAAATCACCAAGAACTGCACACATTTACCCTTCGCATAAAGATTCCCTCAAGGGCTTATTTTGTTTTTCTTGAAATCGAGAGTGACTTGACTCTGATGTCCGTATAGCGTGGGACATTTGTCGAAACTAAGTCTGACGAGAAGTTCTCAATGCCTTAAAAGTTAAGAATAACCCCATCAGCATTCAGCAAGAGCCTAGCAGCAGCAGCACCAACGGTAAGTAAGTAAGCCAACCAACAATGAATGATTCAACAACAATTATTATCATTACTATTCTATATGAAAATCACCTCCTCCTCCTCCTTCTTCCTTCGTAATCCCTTCGCATAACTAACCAACTAACGAGCAGATAGTTGGATGGATATAGATTTTTAAGTTATCTCTCTCAACTTGGTTTGGTGGGTGGTTATGAAGTGTGCCTTCGTTCGTGATGCTATTTTGTAACGTGGTGTAGAATAAACTTTATACGCTTTATTCAATAAAGCGTCGTGAGTGATAATATATGCAGGCAAAAAGGTGACTATCTAGCTAGCTGATGAGCCTATGGGTTCTTTTCCTGGTCCCCAAAGGCCTTGTCTTGTTGTTGTGTGCATGCATTCTCAAGAGTTCTTCTCAAGAGTTAGTTAATTGTTAAAGGTGTAACAACAGCTTGGTGGTCACATTGCACTTACTTCCCTACGCTCCATCGCTTCCATATCCACGCTACGACGACTATTTATTTATTTTCCTCACCAATTGCATCAACGACGTTTGGTTGTGCAATTTTTGCAATTCTTCTCTCGCATAAGATAAATAGCAACATCTCCCTAAAACATACATAGTCTTCTGTAATGTGTAGTAATTAAAGGGAGAGGGGTGCGTATGTAGATACAATTAAAATGAAGATGTACACTGACGATTAATTGATATGTTTAGCAAACAATCGTGCCGACCCACTTAAATAATTAATATTCATGAAATGTTTAAAAAAGGAAGCATTTATTTTCTGTTAAGTTGGATGCACTGCTTTTTAATTTTATAAATTGGCGTATTTACCTGTAGAATTTTAGGACTATCAGAAAAAAATTATCATGGCATACGATCGGAACAAGGAAGTTGCTATACTAAACTACTGATGTGAATTTAATAAGAACTTGCATAAAACGGAACTAAAATTCAGAGAGTCACCTCCCAATTAGATATGTACATAGTTTCAAGTCCTATATTACAATTTGCTCACCTACCACAATGACTGAAGATTTACACAACATTGTCCAAATTGTTTGCCTTGACGGTCAAACTAGAGCTGACATATTATTGCTTTCGTTCGTATGTCCTTCAAGTAACCCAGCCCCGACATTGCTTTGCATTGATTGCACAGAAAAGGTACGCACCACATCATTCTGCTTCCTCTGTTAGGTACTTGATTTGATGTACAACATTACAGGTGAGACAATATCCTCCAAGTGCATTTCCTTGGACTTGTAAATAACCATCTACCAAAATCTGCTACCTTTTTACAGGACCCTCTAATCTCGCACCAATAATATATTTGTGAACGTGACCCACAACAATAAACACGAACAATAACGTACACACATAACAAGACATAATACAATGCTTAATATGTTGTAAGTATCGTCAAATGAAAAACCAGCAGCGATGTTTCTTTCTAGCAGTAAAGATACGATCCAGAATAATACAAGAATTTTATCAGCCATCAATATTAACATGTTACAGACTCATCAAAACGTTATTGAGTGCAGATTAAAACATGACATACGTTCCGGAAGTGATTGGAAGGTATATTTTATGAGGAACATTCCAGATCATCCAAATCAACCAAATAATAATAATGATGACCTAACCAATGCTATTGAAAAGTGGATTGATTGAGCTTATGTATGTACATCTCTTTCTGCATATCCGTTTAATTTCGCTAGGATTCTATTTAATTATTACGTCTTTGGAGATCTACTGGATTTGGAGTAGATTTGAGATTGGCCACCAATGTCATATTCACGCGTTAGCAGTGTGTGTCATAGCAGTCACTTAAATATGAATTATTCACCTCGTCGTGAGAAACGACCTTGTTTTCGTATGATGAAAATTGAATTTAAAACTCATTATAATTTCACGTGACGTCAATGCATTTAGGTAAATAGCAGTTCCTCATAATTAAAGTAGGCACATGTACATATTTAAGCTCTAGCTAGGAGAGGAGAGGGTGTAGATTTTCATCCGGATGATATGGAATTCTCAGTCAGACAGAAGTACTACTACGTGTGACCATAACTAACAAATCTGTTGATTCGTGCATTACATCAACGTCAATAATGAAGAATGATGAATTGGAATGCATCCTATTTATTTAGTGGTCACATGTGCATATCCTGTTGGTGCATGTGTATGTATACACTTGCCAATGGTACCCAACACCAGTCTTAATTTTTTTGCACGATGATTCTCATGAAGGATCATGAGATGTAACTCGTGGGACCGAACATGGGTTAAATATGTTCAACGATATTTACAAAATGAGTATCGAATATCACTCTTTTATGACCTTTGTCGAGAAATTTAATCTATCCGTAATAAGAATTTAGCACTGGTTTCACATTCCAAACTTTCAATAAGCTTCAATGTTCATTATCAGAAAATTTCTGGAAATCTAATTTGAAGGTTAACAAATTTCAGAGAATCTATCCATTTTTTTGCTAATCATTTCTTCGAAATTACATGTTAATAAAGGATAATGCCTGGAGCATACAAACTGTGCAGACTTGTCAATGTTCGTATTCATGAAGGACATGCGAATAACTAGACTGCCAAAAAATTAATACCAATCTAACCTGGGATTAGTTGCAAATTCGAAACTTTGAGGTTAATGATTTTCAGAGGTACAAGGTTTGCATAATCGACTTGCATGCAATACATTCACTGCATACATATTTGTACGACATAAAAAGTACTTATTAATCCTATCGAGAGCATTTCGGAATGTTCTTGCGTTCCAGAGAACATTTTGGAACTAATGTTTTAGTGATTTGTACGTTTTGAAAATAAAATGATGCAATTTCTGAGTTTTTTGCAACTTTCACCACGGAACTAAACTTCCAGAACATTTGCATAAATTCGGAACGTGACGTCATCTTAAGAACATAAATATATAGCTTCCGATGTCAACGTTCCATCGCCAATTCAAGATTTGACTTTCTAGTGCTCAGACTGCTTTCTCCTTGTCCAGCGTAATAACGCCCACTTGGAAAATTCTAGAACTAAAGTATCACCGGTGAAAGTCTGCCATGAACTGCAGGCCTAGATAACTAAAAAAAACATGGCACATGAAATTCAATTAATATAAGAATAATACCCAACATTTTGGGCGATAACATCAAAATTTGTAGCAATGATAGCATGTTATCTTTCCGATGCTTTTCTGCCTGAAGCCCACACAGCCAATCAAATTCTACTGCACATAAACTTCCTTCCGTGCGAATCTCTCTTCCTTTCGTCGGATGTTGAGTAAGAAATCTCCTTCACTTTAATCAAGTAGCATTCAAGTCTTTGTACCAATTTGACAATAGAATAAAAAAAGTCATATTTTGACAACTAAATATTTTAAAAAATTGTGGACAATTTAAAGCAACTAAATTTTCGAAAGTTTTGGTTCACGATATCCGTGCCCACTATTTGTCGTGTAGGATGCAAAAACCTACTTGTTGGTTGCTTGGTCAGGTTTTTTAGATCGGAAAAATTCTAGTTTAACAGATCATCAGACCAAACTCAACCACAATTCGAACTAGATCACCAAAAATGTGAAACTTGCTAAAAATAAGGTGACATTGCATGTGTGCTGGAAGTAAATTAAAAAATAATTGGTGCTATTATTAAATCTTTGTCGGTTCATCATAATTAAATTGAATTAGAGGACGAAAACATTGACAGCTTATTTTGTTCTCCATCCAGCAGTGCACGATAGATTAGTCAATGTCATTCATCATACATAGCCAGCCAGATATTTAAGGAGATACCGTCAACTGTGATAACGATAACATGAAATAAGAAGGGGCCAAGGATTTCAAGGTGGCTTCCAAAATCGAAAATAGACTGATTTACCAAGGAAAAGGTTGATTCACTCATTTATCGAACAGCTGGTTGGTTATCTACTCAAGTCAACCAAGTTGAAAAGGGTAAGTTCACAATTATCACTGAATGTGTATCATCATCATTATTCATTATCGTTCGTCGTAGTCGTGTGCAGTGGTTGGAGGAATTAGGTAGCAACTGATAAGCAAAAAATTTATATGTCCTCACATTTACATTTATCAGAGAGTATGGATTGGATTATCATCATGAGATAAATGGTTCATTTCTCGTTGTGGATTTGGTGATGGTAAAAAGTGTAGTTAACTTTACTTTCTCCACTGTTATTATAACTTTGACCCTGTTGACCCATCGGAAATAACTATTTACTCATCCTCCTACCCTTTAACCTTAATAATTACTGATTTATTAGCTGCATCAAGTTAACATCGCGTGGTCAATGATCATCTCGTAACACGTATCAGTACTTTCTTTCTATTTATGAGTAACGAGACATTTGTTCGCCTCCAGTCACACAAAGGTCAAGATAAAGTAGTGATTAAGATAAAAATACTGTATATGAATTACTGAGCTGCTTGTTCATCCAAGGTTTGTTCTGTTTATTGATTGAACTGGACGGGTTGGCAGGTTTATTTACTGAATCAATTTTGCATTGGTCACTACTATGAGGATAATTGCACCCGATATTAATTTTATCATCGTCACGTATTCACAATATGGCATACAATTGCCACTAGAGATCATCATGTGTCTACTTAATTGACTTACTAACGACGAAGACGACAAGCTTGTAATTCACGGAATTCGCAGACTGAGGAAGTTAGTTAGAGTAATATTTAATAGTGAAATATAATAATTAGCAGTCAGCAACTAACATGAACTAGATTTTTAATACTCTGCAAGTAGCTAGCTAATTAATTTCAATTCAAATCCATTGTAAGGATTGGATTGAATTGAGCATTGAAGCATTCAACACTTTTTAAAACGACTTGGTTCCATGTAATAAATAATTATGTAGAGTTCAAACGAAAGCGAAATTTTAATCAGAAGTCACGTTGCTGGATATCCCCTTCATTTTAATTCAATTAATGTTGAACTTAGGAGGACAACCCTTCACCGACAGAATCACCGATCTTGATGCCCTTTGGATATGTTGTAGTCCTAGGTGAGTCTAGCAAAAGTGAAGAAGGATTTCATTCAATGGCCCCATTTGCGCCCGCCACACCCACTCAAAGGTGCGAAAATACCCTGTTTTGGTTCATTAAAAAAATCACCAAAAATCCAATTTTGGTCGGATTTTCACAATTTAAGCATTTTTGTGACCCTAGATAGTTGCTTTATCATATCCAATAGCAAACTCAACTTTTTTGAAATTTTGATTTTTTCGAAATCTACGAAATTTTCGAAAATATTCAAAAAATTCAAAAAATTGAAATTCATGTCGGATACGATAAAACAACCATCTGGGATCAAAAAGGTGCAAAAATTATCAAATTATCATTAAAAATGGATTTTTGGTGAATTTTTTAATGCGACCAGTTTGGCATAAGATTCCTCTTTGAGTGGGTGTGGCGGGCGCAAATGGGGCCATGGAATGAAATCCTCCTTCACTTTTACTAGACTCACCTAGGACTACAACATATCCAAAGGGCATCAAGATCGGTGATTCTGTCGGTGAAGGGTTGTCCTCCTTAGAGTTTATTTCTTGTTGACATTATGTTGGGGTTTTATGACTTGGCTCATAAATTATGTAATTCACCTCCGTGTTCCTACTTACTTTGTTCGTGCATCATAGTTGTGACGACGAAGTAGTATTCCAATCACTTTCATCCCCTTTGTTCTCTAACCTCGACTTTTTTTATTCCACTATAGAATCCTTGAATAACTTGATTTTATTTCTCTTTCTAGGATCTGGGAATTATCGGTGGTGCTACATTATTGGAAACATTCTACTCAATACGATACAAATTTTAGTTGGAAGTCAAGTATTTAAGTTTGTGCGATTTTAAAAATCAACCTGATAATTTTTCTACTCAAATTATCCTCATTTTTTCACTCACAAAAAGGTAAGTCAATAAATGTTGGGACTGTTAAAGATACATACGCATATTTATTAGCAAAATATTAATTGATAATTGATTCGATAATTTGCAGACTCTAAGTCAAGATGGAGAACGGAGGCGGCGGTCTGTTTGGAGGAGCAGAGTTCAAGATGCGCATTGATGGCATGACTTGTCAGTCCTGTGTCAAAAACATTCAAGGGCATGTGAGCGGAAAGGCAGGAATTCACACCATCAAGGTGGATTTGAAAGGAAGGAGTGGCGTCGTGTCATACGATCCTGGTGTTTGGACGCCACAAGACATCATGGAAGTGGTAGAGGACATGGGGTTCGACACAAAATTATGGACGCCAGAATGTGACCTTGAAGAACCCCCAACAACCAGCAGCGACCAAAATTCCAAAAGTTCTGGGACTGAAAAACCTCCAAAAGAATTAGTCATCGACATATCCTCAGGGGAGGAGAAAGATTTAGAAAGATGCATACTACGGATTCAAGGAATGACTTGTGCATCTTGTGTAGCTGCAATTGAAAAACATGCCAAAAAAGTTGCCGGTAGGTGTGAAATTGTTATTTAGTACGTATTATCTTTCGAATTCATCCTATAGTTGTTTATGTTTTTTGTAAAATAGGTGTTAAACAAATTTCTGTGGCGCTAATGGCCGCAAAGGCCGAAGTAATATACGATGCTTGTCAAATTTTTCCGAACCAAATTGCCAATGCAATTTCAGAGTTGGGGTTTGCATGTGAAGTTATCGATGACTATAATGCCGGACAGGGTGAAGTTGTCTTGAGGGTAATTAGTCCATAATTGGTGGTTCTATTATTAGTCCAGTAATTTTTATGAAGTGAAACACGTTATTAATTGTGATATATTTATAGATCGAAGGAATGAATTGTCAAAGCTGTATTCCTGATATTGAGTCACACGTTATGAAACTGAAGGGGTTGATTTCCGCTAATGTGACGTACAGTTTGAGTTCTGGACGTTTCAAGTACAATGCAGAAGTAACGGGACCGCGAGATATTATTGACGCTATAAATGTAAGTGTTAAGATTTAATATGTATGTCTTGGAGTACTAGTAGTATGCATGAATTGATTTGAATTGCAGGAACTTGAAAGGTTGCAAGCTTCCTTGCAACAACATCCACATGTTGGAGACTTGCAGCACAAAGATACAACGCGAAAGTGGAGAAATTCTTTCATGGTATCACTTATTTTTGGAGTTCCGAGTATGATAGTCATGATGTACTTTATGTTGACGATGGACATGGATCATCAGCATCATGCTACATGCGAACTTCCAATGTGCATAATACCCGGCGTTTCGTTAGAGAACTTTCTTTTATTTCTGCTGGCCACACCTGTCCAAGTAAGTTGATATTCGCAATACTTGCTCTCCTCAGAAAATGATATGAATATAACTAACTAAATACTTTTTTCATTTTGCTACAGTTTATTGGTGGCAGACACTTTTATATTGCAGCTTGGAAAGCAATAAAGCATCACTCGACGAACATGGATGTCCTTATAATGTTGGCGACAACGATTTCTTATTCTTACTCCTTCATTGTACTTCTTGCTGCAGCGATAATGCAACACAATCCGAGTCCAATGACTTTCTTTGATACTCCGCCAATGTTGCTGCTTTTTGTCTCACTTGGAAGATGGTTGGAAGCTGTGGCGAAGGTAGTACTCTTAATAATACATACATCAACTGCTCGTACTTTATTTGAAGTTGTGATTTGTAATATCATTTATTTTTTTGCAGGGGAAAACATCAGAAGCATTGGCAAAGTTACTCTCATTGAAGGCTACTGAGGCCCTGCTCGTAACCATTACTCCTGATTTTGAAGTTACGTCTGAGCGACAAATCTCAGTTGATTTGGTCCAAAGAGGCGACATATTAAAAGTAAGCATGTCAAGTTTATTTTAAAATATATCTTTTGGAAAATGATTTTAACTCTTTTATACTTCAAAAATAAGGTGATTCCTGGATCCAAAATCCCCGTTGATGGAAAAGTGATCTTTGGCAGTTCAATGTGTGATCAATCTATCATTACCGGAGAATCAATGCCAGTCGTAAAAAAGAAAGGTTCGCAGATTTATAAATAGTTGATTCGTGTAAACTTTTGTTTGTTTTACAATTAAAATATCACATCTTGGCTTAAATCATTAGATTCCCTAGTCATTGGAGGGTCCATCAACGCCAACGGAATGCTTCTAGTCAAAGCCACTCAAGTTGGGGATGATACCACTCTCGCTCAAATCGTCAAATTGGTAGAAGAGGCTCAAACATCCAAAGCCCCAATTCAGCAGCTTGCAGACAAAATTGCTGGATATTTTGTTCCTATTGTTGTTGGATTTTCTCTGCTCACTCTCTTCGGATGGATATTGGTTGGCTACATTCACCCACAATCAATGAATGTCAAGGTAGATTTATATTGACAAAAAAGTTTCATCTGGAATGATAGTTTCAAATACAAATTGATTGTTGTTTTTGTTCACCTACAAATTCAGCATTACGATGAGGAACGGTTTAATCATCACGAATTGGTGTTTCAATATGCTTTTCGATATGCATTAACCGTTCTAGCGATTGCATGCCCTTGCTCCCTGGGTCTTGCTACACCCACGGCTGTCATGGTCGGCACAGGAGTTGGTGCCCTTAATGGAATATTAATAAAGGGTGCTGAACCACTTGAAAATGCTCACAAGGTAATGACTTGTTATAATCTGTTAAATCACAAAATAACAATTAAGAAGCTTAAGTGAAACGTACTGATATATAGGTCACAACTGTCGTATTTGATAAAACTGGAACAATTACTCATGGGGTTCCAATGCTGACCAAAATTTCCCTTCTGACCAATGATAGTTTCATTCCATTTTATAAACTCTTGTCCATCATAGGAGTAGCGGAATCAAATAGTGAACATCCTATTGGATCAGGTAATGTTTTATTTTCATCTGTTTTTTGTTTATGAAATTGAGGATTTCCTTAAACATTCCAGCAATCGTGAGGTTTGTCAGGGCCACGGTTAAGTCAGAACTCAATGGTAAATGCGAGGATTTCGTTATCGTTCCGGGATGCGGTCTCAAGGCTACAGTGACTCGTGTTGACAATAATTATAAGTCACTTATGGACGATGAAAGTCAGCACAATCTGTTAAACGCAAGGTACGACAGGCAGTTAATATGAAACTTTTAATATTACTCACTCTTGAGTATATCCAAAACTTAACATACAAATTGAGGGTTAACATTTAAAATTTTAAAATTAGATCATCCACGTGGACCATTGACCAAGTCACTATTGACACTTCGCTTCAGAACCAATTTGGGAGCTTTGCTTCTAATGCAGAACCACTCATTCCTCTTGGTGACGCAACTACAATTGAGACTTTTGAGGTAATTATTACAATCATTAGGTTAATTATTCAATTGTGTGCTCATATCTGCGAATTTGTTTATGGCGTCAGGTGCTAATTGGAAACCGAGAGTGGATGCGTAGAAATGGAATCAATGTCCCAGAAGCGGTTGATAGAATCATGATTGATCAAGAAGACCAAGGTCAAACCGTCGTACTTTGCGCAATAAACGGTGAGACTTGATACTAGGAATATCCCTCATGAACTGATTTTGAATTAATGTGATGATAATGGCTTTCTTTGGCATTCAGGCGTTCTTTGTACTATCTTGGCTGTGGCTGACACTGTAAAACCTGAAGCCGCCCTTGCCGTATTTACCTTAAAAAAGCGCAATGTTAACGTAATCTTATTGACTGGTGACAACAAAAAGACTTCAGCGGCTATTGCCAGACAAGTTGGCATTGGTCGTGTATATGCTGAGGTATTGCCGTCTCACAAGGTGGAGAAAATCCGTCGTCTTCAAGACCAGGGTCACAGAGTTGCAATGGTTTGTACTCATTATTGTTCTTATACATATTCTGACTTGAGTTAAAGTACTGATTCATAATTACACTTTACTTTCACTCAGGTTGGGGACGGAGTTAACGACAGTCCTGCATTAGCCCAGGCCAATGTAGGAATCGCCATCGCTTCCGGTACAGATGTAGCTGTTGAAGCTGCTGACGTCGTATTGATTCGGGTAATTTATATTGCACATCATAATAAGTCATTTTAACTTTCTAATACCCTTATGTTATTACAATGTCAAATAATAGAATGACTTGTTGGACGTAATCGGATGTTTGGACCTCAGTCGTACCACCGTTCACCGTATCAGATTGAACTTTGTATTTGCCAGTGTTTACAATATCATTGGCATTCCTCTCGCTGCTGGATTGTTTAGTCACTGGGGACTTTCTCTCGAGGTAATTAATCAGTCTATACTGCACCCTCAATTTGTATGTTTAATTAACTAACTGAAATATTGTTTGGTCCAGCCATGGATGGGCTCGGCTGCAATGGCTCTCAGTTCCGTCTCGGTTGTGTGCTCTTCACTTCTGTTGAAGCTGTAAGATTTTACCTAAAATGGATAATTTGTTGTAACTAAATAATATTTTGCAAAATTACGTGACTATAATCAAGTTGCCTTAATTAGTTCAATATGCTTCAAACTATGCCATCTTTGTCCTCCTTCAGATTCAAGAAACCAACTCGGGAAAGTTTGACCACAACAGAGTTCTTGAAGAGTATGGATGCACGAAGCAGACAGCCCAAAGACTTTGACGACGTATCCGTTCATCGGGGTCTTGACGACATGGGTCCTCCTCCAGGTACGCAATACGTTTAATGATAAGTAATGTAGGTCAACATTTATTTAAATCATTTGAAAAAATGCGAGTACTTGGCATACGTTAAAATAATTAAACAACAAAATTATTAACAACTTTCTTATCCTCCAGACATGTCTCGCCTCTCTCGAGCCAGCAGCACCATCAGTCGGTATGTCGGCAAGATTTTATTTCATTTCCTTTTGCCTTTTATGACTTTTCTTAATTTTGCTTTTCAAGAACCTGTGCTTGCATGTCGTGTTCATTGTTCAAAAAACAGACTGCTACTATATAATAATGCACTCCAAATTTACGCTTTTATATAAAATAAAACCTTAATCCCTGTGCATCTCTCAATCAGTTTGTTGGTCTTTTATGTTTGTAAATCTATATTTTGGTATCGTAAAAGTCCGTATTACTTTAAACCGTCAGTAACTACTATTGGTATCGTATAGCTATTGTACAAGTATTTTCTGGTTTATGCTATAGCATGGATGTGCTGGGGTAAAAAAACTATACTCTGATTTTATAAGCTTCTTTACCTTGTAGAAAATTGATGCAAACTTTTTTTTCAAATCCTTTATTGCTAGCTCTCCTTTCGAATTATAAAAAAATGGAGCATAGTTGCGGTTCTGTAATCGGACTTCGTAAAATAAAGTAGCATGATACTATTAACCCTTTGATTGGTTTAGTTTTGCACTTTGCACACCCATTTGCACATATATTTGCACTTATTAGTATTATAGTTAACGTTACTGTAAATGCAAAGCATGTCGTATGTACCCGTTATTAACACTCTAAAACATGATGACACAAATAATATTTCCACCATCAGATTTATCACAAGATGCATCTCAATGGATGATTGGGAAGATACACATTAAAAATGGAATATCTTATTTCTGGCTGTCCAAAAACTACTACTACTCTATAGCCGCCTCCTCCTATAAAAATATAGCTTTGGGAAATATTTATGAGAATTTTTGAACTCTACTACAGCACGTATAGCAAAGCAACCAACAATTTGGCAGTAGTAAGTAGTCGTCGTCGTAGTCATCACATAGTAAATTGCTCCCCCTGTGTAGGAACGGGTTTGGTGGATCAGATATTGTATACTCCCTCAAGAATGGAAAGAAGAGGACGACGAGCAATGGAGTGTCGGTCCACTCTGACCAAGGGTCAGGTGGATATTCACGGGTCGATTGTTGCGTTGGTGGGGAGGACGGCTCGGATGAACTGGAATACCTCATTGCTTAATTGACACAAGTAAAAGTCGACAATATTACATAAGTCGTCGGATATCAGAGTCTCATTCATTGAATTAGAATTTAAAATAGTTAAACTAGACAAGTAATACTCAAAATTCGTAGCATTGTCATGAGAAATTTGACCATTGCATTGCATTTCTTAGTACAACACGCCCACAAATGATATTTACACACAACACCGTATGCACGTACAATTGGACACCCGGAAAATAATTCCACACTACGAAAAATTAGTCTAGTATAATAGTCCAGTAGAACACTTATCCTATATAATGAAGTAATACTCACATATGTAACTTCTTCTTCTTCAACCTCTCTTTTTGTTGTGATTGAATTATTATTATTTGTAGCTCTTTACACGTTATGTGCCATTTATTTTGCTATATTGCATTGAAGCCGCACAATAATTAAACTATTTGTAGAATATATATTGGTGGTGGCATACCAAAAGAATAATATTATTGTATACCAATGATGTTAATTTGCTTATGTTTTGGTAAAGGATGGTAAGTGAAGTGATGGGTAGGAGTCCAAGAAGCGGAAAGAAGGACGTTCTTCTGGAACATGACGAGGCGTATGACATCGAATTCATGCCAATGATGATGTCCCGATACTCCGATAAGAACAAAGGCAACGACAAGCGCTTGTAGTTGTTAAGACAATTTTCCTGTCAACAGAGGAGCAATTTTCATTTTTTACTATGTACCTACCTTAAAACATGTCTGTACAATTACATATTTTACCATGCAGTTACCAACTTATTTTTACCCAGTCCTCCTCATACTCGATCGTTATCATCGCATTAATCAACCCATTGTTATTATTATGTATACTTCAACGACCTTTCAATCAATCAACGACGACCAAGCCCCAATCAGCCATCATTATCGAAAACGAGACTGCGGCATTTGGTATTCAAAACTTATATATACATTATTTTACTAAATATATATATAAATACATAGATTTGTATTTCATTTTATTTTCTCTTTTTGGAATTTTTTTTTCGTCTCGATATTTTATTTTCGAATTAGTTAGCCTCAAGCAAAATATAATATTTTATCATAATTATATTCCTATTTATATACGTTAAAAGATATCAAGAAAAATAAAAATGGACTAAACACTTCTCTTTTTCGTGAAAGAATTCCATTCTGCAAACCATAAAATTTCTTTATAGTGCTTCATTTTCCGCACGAGCAATAAAACCATTTACTCGAGTGAGAGTGGTAGCAAATTGAGTGAAAGCTTTCTCCAACTCACTCACTCACCAACCCGTCACTCGCCACCTAACATGCTCCTACCTGACGAGTATTGTGCATGAGGAGAAAATTGATACAAATCTTCAGGAAAGTATTATTGGCCAAAATTGCGAAAATGTCCACTGGAAGAAGACTGACCAATAGTGCATACATCATGAATTTGCATACCTAGTAGGTAGACCAGGCACACATATGACTCATTCCGGTGACATTTGGCCTGCTGCTGCTGTGGATATTCATGGAATTGAACGCTAGCCCTCCACATTCCCGGATTTCGGTGTTTAGTTGTTGGGAAGGGAAGAAGTCCAAGAAGGTGCAAGTGAACTGAAACCAAACCACTCTCACTATTCGGTTCTTCTGCTGCCTGAGCCTGGTACAGGAAACAGAGAGCGATGCGAGGAGGGTGCTTTTTCCGACCGAACTCCTTCCTCTCTCACTATTTAGAAATACCCGATTCCAAGTGGTAACTTTACCACAGAAGGAGGAAGAAGACGTGGTAGAGAGCTATTCCTCCTCTTCTTTTGCTTTTGTATATAATGTCATGGATTGGAGATGGATGTATACACACACACTTGACTTGGCTGGCTGAAAGGAAGTAAAGTAAAGTAAAGCACTAAAGTAATGGCAAGCTAGCAAGCTCTCTCTCATCTCATCTCATACTTTTACGTAACTATACATACACGATTGGAATGAACTACTGGACTGGACTGAAAATGTGTGTATGCGAGTGAATGGACCGAATTCCCTCAAAAGATAAAGGTTGTATATTGTAGACAGGAAGACAGACAAATCACTCTCACTCAACACGAATACGATCCTGAGTAGTGTGTGTGTATATCTTTCTTTCTTTTAAATAAAAGCAGCTCGAGCCGTGGTAAAACCAAACGTGAAAGAAAATCAAATAAATATACAGAGTCAAATTGTTGCAGGAGAGGAAAAAGTACGTACGTACGGGTAGCTCAACAAAACTCTCATTAAATTATAGATATACCGTGTTAAAAAGTAAGTAATGACAGTCAGAGAGCAATCATCTCATCATTACTCATTAAGATTTAGGCAAATAATAATTATGATGATGATTAACCTTTCCGTCTTCTTGGCAAGTTAAGTTGTAGTAAGTATCGTCACGTTCAAATGTTGGTTACCATACACAAGACCAGACGGGGACAAAGTCATTACATGAATCTGTAATTAATTCCTAAAGTTTGACTCAGACGAGAGAGACGAGAGTGGATTGCTGCTGCTGCTGAGTGAAAATTTCTAAACCAAGTCAGACGTTTTAAGCAATGAGATCATGATAATGTGCAAATAAGGAAGAATTGTTATTATACGGACAATAAAAAGACTGATCTACTTATTATTACTACCAAAGAGAGAGAGAGAGATAGAACTGATCTTCTTTTCTTGCTTGATGTGTTTGTTATGTGTGAATCGTAAAAGTCAAGATAATTATTTTATAAAGTGATCGTTAATACTGCAAGTCTGACATCATCGGGGTACAAGTTCTACCCACTTTGTTGAAATGTGAATCCAAATTACGTAATTCTGTATAAAAAGCCTCATGTGATCTGTCTATGCATATGTAAATCTTGAGAAGGTTGGGCAGGATATTAAAATCTCATAGTTATACTCATCTGCAAATCAAATATTCTGGAAAATTTCACTTTCAAAATGACACGTAATGCCTACAATCCGGAAAAGTTGAAGATGGCGAGAAGAAAAAGTGAAAAACGGCGAGAAAATCGATAAGGAAATTTTATGTGTAAAGTGCCAACTACTTAAAAATCCCGTGAAAAAGACCTTTTTCTTTTCGTTTTAAATCGTCACGTATCATGGCACACACATTGATCGAGGGGAAACGATTCTTCTGTCGTGAGTGGGTCTTCTCCAAGATCCTCCACTGCCTAGAAAGTGTGCAACGACGTCGTGGCGATGACGACAATGCTGGACGGAGCGGTCTTGGCGTACTCATCATGTCCGGACCAGGAGGTGACTATTTTTTATTTGTTTGTAGATATTTAAAGTTTGAGAATTTTTAATGAAATTGTATTATATTTTATAGGAGGAAAGACGGCCATCTGCTCGGAAATCGTGTCCCCTACCTTGTCCCACGGGAAGCAATTGGCCCTTCGGAAACGTCTCCTCGCCTACCACTTTTGCCAATCCCATGACCTCAACACTCTCTCGGTTGCTCAGTTCCTGGCCCATCTAGTCCAACAATTGGTGGATAGCGAGTTGTTGGTCGGCTACGCGGAGAAGGTGCAGGATGAGGATGTGTCCCTGAAAACGATGGGAGAGGATCCCGACGTGGCGTTTAAGCGTCTCGTCGCCTTTCCTCTGTTGGAGATAGATGCCCCCAAACATCCCTGCTTCCTCCTCATCGACTCCATTGACGAGTCTTGTATCACGGGAACTCCCACCTCGTCAACCGCGACATCGTCCAAAACTTGTCCGTCAGCAATTAGTAGCACGATTGGGGAATTGTTGGGGACGCATTGTCACCTCCTCCCTCCGTGGCTGGTCCTCATCTGTACAGCAAGGAAACACAGCAAGTCCATTTCTAAGTTGTTTTCCGGGTTTCGTAAAATTAGTTTGGATGATTTAAGAAAGTCTCAGGTACTTGGACATTCCCATTTTTATTGCGTAATTGCACATATTAATGATCAACTATATATTTATCTCCTTGTCGTTTGTTTCTCAGGTCGTGAGAGACGTGCAGCAGTACATCCTCTCCAGACTGGACCAAGACTACTCTTTGCGACAACACATTCGCCGTGAAACGGCGGAAATGCTGAATCAACTCCATATTAAGAGCAACGGTTGCTTTCTTTACTTAGGTTAGGACTTGCATTTATTCTCTCCTTCTCAATTTTGGCATGGTTTACGCATGAACTGGTTCCCAATGTTAATAAAATAGAGATAATGTTTGACAACTCCTTTGTTTCCTTTTGTCAGAGAAAGTGTTGGACGGGATCTCAGAGAATTTTATTGTTTTGCGAGAAATCAGGGAAATACCGGGCACGCTGTTCGGCCTTTATTTGTGGCTCTGTCAAAGATTGTTTACCAAGAAACAATTTAGCAAAGTTCAGCCTATTCTTTGTATTTTACTCGCGTCAAGAACACCAATGCAAGAGAGTGAGATATACGCTTGCCTCCAAACACGCTATATTTCCATAAGCAAGGAAGACTTTCTAAAACGAATTCACGTCCTTCGTCGCGTGCTAATTATCTCACCGGAAGGTTACCACACCCTTTTTCATCACAGCTTCTCGGAATGGTTCCTGGATGTCAAATACTGCACTCAAAAGTATTATTTATGTCAGGCGGCAGAAGGTCATTTGATGAAAGCGTTGCACCTTGCGGCTCGTGCCTCTGAACTCAAACCGGACCAAGTCGCCGACCTGGCTCACCATTTAGCAAATTCCACAAAGTTTTTCAGTGATCCGAATCTAATCCCTGTGTTCCTACTTTCCCTCGGAGTCACAGTTTTCTCCCAAGACTTCAACCTGCACTCGTACGACGTAAAGGTGCACAAACTGCTGGCAAAGTGTGGCGTAAAGAGGGAGGTTTTTGCTGTAGGTGGTACTAGTAGTGATCAAGCTGCAGAGACAAACGTTGTGACAAATACCACTACCACCGCTGCCGCCTTTACCGACGTGGTTGGGGGTGTGGATAACATTAACTATGAACAGGGTGGTGGGGAAGCACCCTGTGAAAACTTGGAGGAACCTTCACTATTGATTCCCGACGAGGACGCGGAAGATCTTGGGGAGAAGGATGGCATCAGTATAGAAATGATTGGTGACATAAATCATACTGATTACAATCAACGAACCCCACTTCATAATGCAGCCAATGATGGAAATTTACAAATTGTCGAATTGCTGATTACTCATGGAGCTTCGCTAGAAGCGACTGACCGTCACGGAAGGACCCCTCTGAATCTAGCAGCTCGTCAGGTAAAAAATCTATACATGTTGTTTAGGGGTCATAATTAACTGACAAGACCCAATCATCAACTAAACATTTATGCATGTATTTATGTAACTAAACAGGGTCATGAAACTATTGTGAAAGCTCTCATTGAAGCCAAGGCAGATGTAAACCATGCTGATCATGATGGTAATAAGTTCATTAATGATATTATTCATAATCATAATAGAGAAATTTACGAGAAAGTAAGAGAAATTTACACCCACAAGGCCCTAATTTAACTATGTCATTCGCAGGATGGACACCACTTCGCTCATCTGCGTGGGCTGGGCATGTAGGCGTTGTGGATATCCTTCTCCAAAGCAAAGCTGCTGTAATACTTACACTTCGAATTTTTGTGCAATACTTTGGTTTGAGATTTTGTAATATTTTAAACTAAATTCAAATTATTCTTTAAGGTTGACTTGACTGATGGTGATGGTCGAACTGCGTTGAGAGCTGCGGCATGGGGTGGACACGAAGAGGTCGTTAACTCTCTCCTTCGAGCAGGAGCGTCTCCCTCCCTTCCAGACAATGAAGGCCGAACCCCTCTTATTGCGGCGGCTTATATGGGCCACGCAGATATCGTGGATAAGCTCTTGTATGCTGGAGCGGATGTAAATCATGCAGATTCAGATGGGAGGTAAATCGATGTGTTTTCATACAACCTTGACATAATTATGTTAACTATAATATATGCAATTTGATCCCACAGAACTGCCCTCTCCGTGGCTGCATTATGTGTTGCAGCCAGTCAAGGACATTTGAAAGTGGTGAACCTGTTGCTGGAAAGGAATTCGGAAGTTGACCATCAAGATCGTGATGGAACCACGCCTCTTTTAGTTGCTGCTTTTGAGGGTCACAAGTTAGTACATACATTTTATTAGTAAAAAAATATGTGTAATTAAGTGACCAAGTAAATAAAATTTACATATTAATGAACACAGAGAAGTATGTGAACTACTCTTGGAATTCGAAGCAGATGTTGATGCCGTCGACAAAGCTGGTCGAACTCCTCTCTGGGCTTCCGCGTCTATGGGACATGCCGGAGTTTGCGAACTGCTCTTGTTCTGGGGAGCGTATGTTGATCACATTGACGGCGAAGGGCGAACTGTACTCTCAGTTGCTGCAGCTCAGGTATGTATCAAAGCGCCACATAAATATGTTACAATTTGAAAATACTTTTCGTAACACTGAATGAAAACTAACAGGGTAACGTCAGCGTTGTTCGACTTCTTCTTGCAAGAGGTTTAGATGAAGGACATCGGGGTAAGTGAAAGTTTTTGGCATTTTAATCAGATCCATATATGTCAAGATGAACTTCATACTTGTTTACTTGTTAATAGACAATGCTGGTTGGACACCGCTTCATTACAGGTACATGCATACAATCAAAGAGTCGATTATTGAATCATTATAATTAAATCATCTTAGTTTCAAATTAACTGTAACTTGGTCTGCAGCTCATTTGAAGGTCACCAGGAAGTGACAGAAGTATTGTCGGAATCAGGTGCAAAGTTGAACGAGGTGGACAACGACGGGAAGCATGCCCTTTTGCTCGCTTCCCAAGAGGGACACATTTCTGTGGTGGAGACCCTGCTAAACCTTGGGGCAGATATTAACCAAAGATCTCACGATGGGAGAACTGCACTCAGGGCTGCAGCAATTGAAGGATATAGAGACGTTGTTCAGGTGCATATATTAGTAACTTACCAACTGGACGTCTATTTTGAACTCTTTCCGATAAATTACGTTATTAAACAATTTCAGTTATTGGTTCATCGAGGAGCGGATGTTAACTATAGAGATGCTGATGGCAGAAGTACACTTTACCTCTTGGCGTTAGAAAGTCGCACATCAATGGCTCAATTTGTGATTCGCTGCGGAGCTGACGTGGAAGATAGAGATCTGGAAGGCAGAACCCCTCTTCATGTCAGGTATTTCTCGCTCTTATTTCTTTTGAAAATTATGTACAGGAAATCTCACTCAAATGGTGACAAACTTTCTCTTTAGTGCGTGGCAAGGACATTTAGAAATGGTGGAATTGCTAGTGTCTGCGGGTGCAGAAGTCAACGCTGTGGACAATGATAGAAGGACACCGTTACAAAGCGCTAGTTGGCAAGGTCATGGTGAGATCGTGCGACTTTTGTGTGAAAGGGGTTCCAAAATTGACCATACGTGCAATCAGGTAATTTTTAAACAAGTGAAAGTTTTCTTAAACATCATATTGCCATCACCATTACTAAGATGACACAATATTCAAATTCAATTATAGGGTGCTACTGCGCTGTGCATTGCTGCACAAGAAGGCCATCTCGAATGTGTCCGTACTCTTCTGGAATGGGGTCAGAAAAGATTAGTTGAACACAGGAAAGATTAAAGGCTTATAACTATGTTTTTTTTTGTTTAGGTGCAAATCCAATGCATTCTGATAGATGCGGACGAACACCGGTTCGCGTGGCGCTGAAAAGTGGTCACTCTTCCATATCGAAATTATTGGAGGAAGTTGCGCTGGCCAGAAGTAAAACATGTAATGAATATACTCTTAATTGTTACTTTTTTAAGCTTATGTGATCGAAATGAAATCTTTAAACATTAATATTAATATTTTGCTTATAGTAATGGCCAAAGGACTAAATGCCTCTGAATGGGAGACGCCAATATCTGACGAAACGTCCGACTTGAACAAAGCATCATTCAGCTCTGCAGGGTTTTATCGCTCGTCCCACACCACTTCAGGAAGCTACGAGCCGCAAAGTACAAGTTATGAAGCTGAAAAGAGAAAGTCAGCCCCCTCAAGCACGGGAAACACTGCTCTCACGCCAGGATCAAAACCATTCTTGCCCGAACCAGAAAGCTTCAGTTCTTCAAAACAAGCCAAATCATCTTCCGATTCAACATCATCTAAACAATATGGACTTTCTTTTACACAGCAAGTTCAACAAATGTCGAGACACAAGGGTCGTCCAGGAAGTCGCCTGCTTTCTCCACTACAGGAACCTCACAGTCCAATTTACGCTTCCCCTCCTCAGTCTCCGTCTAGTGATAGCGTCAATGACGACAGAATTAGTCCACTTAATGCTTTCTCTAACGTTACCAGTTACCATTCTAATGAATTCAAGTCAAAACCACCAGCAGAGTTACCTCGTGCAGGAAACGCCACCGCCACAAACACCACTACCGCAGCAACAGAATCCCCCATAACTGTTGGCAATGGTTGTAGTGGCCTCCAGTCATTTGCTTTTAATAGAGTAAGCATTTGAAATCTTAATATGGTTTTATGTAAATAATGAATCGAATAGTAATACTGATCCAATTTCTGAACTCAGGACTCACATATGAAGATAATTTTGGGAAGTACAGAAAATGGTGGAAATAACAGAAACTCTAGGAAAAACGGGATGGTAAGCAGCACCAATAGTGGACTAATCAATGCGACGAGTGCAATTCGCAGTGGCCTAACTGCCCTAAAGGCTGGCGTTCTCGAGGCAGCGTCAGGGCGTCGAAACCAGCACAATAACGACTCGCCCCTCGTCAGCGCGTAAGTGGTCAAAGTTTTACCTGTTAAATTTTAGTTCATCTTTATTCTTCACATACAGATGTGTGTAATTTAATTCCCTGCAAACCTTTCCATCATCGGTGCTAACCCCCAAAATAATCTGTGCCTTTGAAAATCCTTTCCACAGAAAGAACGATGTCCTCGTCAGCGCAGCGTCCATGGCCGTACCTAATCTCCTAGTGAAAAAGAAGTCGGGGAAGAGCGAAGGCAACTCTATCCTCCCTTGGAAGAGGGAAACTCCCTTGTAGTAGGAGCAGGAGCAGTAGTCACCATTAAATACCATTAATGCTTACTAAGATAATTGAGCAATAATCATTTACAGATTTACAGGTTGGAGGACATGTACGATATGGAGCTAACATGTCTACCAACCAACCAACCAACTAACTACCTAGATCATCTACTTAAGTATGAGAGATATGTGAGAAATGAGACCCTTGTACCAGTTAAAAACAATTAGTATTAAATATTGAGTCAGAGGCTACAAACTTACCCGCAACAAGGTCACCAAACACAAAGAAAAAGATAATATTTTCACTTGACAGTTACCAGAAAATACTAATTAATTTCTAGTATACACTACCACACCACTACTTGCTAAATACTGTCTGCAAATTATTATTAACTTATTTACTCAAAGAAAAAGCAAGCAAAACGCACGGCTCAAAAATCATGATGCAATATAGTCACTTAACTGGACGTAGATTTTACACTTCTCGAAACTGTATTCCTTTTTCCGGCCTATAGAAGATGATCTGATGAAAAAACTAGTGCTTGAAAACATAATGTGCCAATAATTGTTTAATTTGCTTGGAGACAAAATTGCATACTCTTACATATCCAGCTACTTATGCAGTTGCTCTTTCGTTTAATTTTTATTTATTTTATTTTTCACCGTCAATATTTTCCATTAGTAGCTCAGCTAAGTAGATTCGTCATTAACGAATTGTTAAAATACTCATTTCATTCTTACGTATGTGTTGACTTTCTCTCATTTATATGGCTTAACAGTCAATCAGTTGCATGCATCTGGGGTCTCAATTATATACAATGTATGTACAAGATATATAGTAAAATGAGACTGAGAATGGAATTTTACATGCCTCACAGCGTGATAAAATCGACAAGTATGTATACGGCAGTTTCACAATCTCTAGTTGACATAATATAACAAAATAATACTGTTTTTGCCAATTTAAAGCTTTGTCACAACCCAACCTAGCTACCAAACTACACATATTATTAATTAAAAATTAGTTAATTTGTAATCAGAAAATTATTTAAAAACCAAATTTTATCTTGACATGAACTTATTTTACACTTTTGTTATTTCCTTATGATTCTACCAATTCCAGACGAACTTATCATTTTGCTATGCCTAGCAAGCCTTGCTTACTTATAAATAGACACCTTATCTACAACTTCTAATTACTTTCCCTCACTGGACGAAACTTGAGAGCCTATTATTATATGTATGATAACATTTACCACTCCTAGTCAGGTACAGGTAAAAAGAAAAAGTAAACGTTGAGTCAGTTCGTCTCACTAATTGCGGACGAACCTAAAATTATTATAATTGTGGAATAATTAGGAAATAAATACATGAAAGTCTTCTTCTCTAGTTACCACATAACTTATATATCCACCCACCCACCCACCAAACCCCACCGTCGTCTGTATCTCTCCCACCCGTACATATTTACGTATCGTATCACTTTACGTTTTTTTGCTCTAGATATTATTATTAAAATTATTGTCATTATTATATTATATTTATCAAACCAAGTAAATACGATTCACGCATACAAAATACAAATGTCAGAATTTACTAGCTTTTTCATGGAATAAAAGCTTTCCAACGGAATAAAAAAAATTATCATGTTCTCTGATTTTCCATATAATACGTTATTTGCATATTCATTTAGCATCCAATTCAAAAGTAAATGTACAAGTGTGTTAAAGAATGCAGGATGCTGATTAAAATACCGGGTTGTGCATGCGTAGATATCTGCATACGCACGACTTTCTCTTCTTGACGCCATGCCAGTTATCAGTTCATCCATCGTCATGCATGGGTCATATCTTCCATTTTTGTCCTCAGTGTCAATGTGCATGCATTATGAATGATACATACATATGGTGATATTATTTAAGAATACAAGAATTTCGGGAAGCAGTATTATTAGGCAAAACCAGAAAAGTGATACAAGTCCGACTGGCTGGCTTAGGATTAGTGGTGGATTGGATTATTCGAGTGTTGGTTGGATGGTGATGTGTCAATCCTTTAGGAAAATCGTGCTCTCGTGTTTACTATTTGGTTGTAGTTGCTGCTGATTTGGAGGTAAATTATTATTATTACCGTCACTCACTTGGTTAATTTAACCAAGTTACAAGTTGGCTAAACTGCTGCTGCATTAATTGCTTATTTTAATGGTAAATTAATTGTACACTCGTCATTAGCATTTTGCAGCAGGCAAGAGACACGACACGACACGACACGAACGTCTGTGCCGGGTGGAATTTAAAGAAAGAAGGTGAGACAGATTGATAAGAAATTATTATTTTGATAGATAACTGACCTAACTGATAAGCCTAATTTGTTGCAGGGCGGATCACATAGATTCTAAATAAGCTTCATGGATGGACAAAACTGAGCATCAATATCCCCTTTTGGATAAGTCCGAATCCAACATGCAAGATCATGGCAGTAAAAGTAAGGTTGATAATATTTCAAAATTATTGAGATATGTTGGGTGCTAAGTGCGTTATCTTAATTTTGTCCTAGGTAACCATCGTCTAAAGTACCTAAGTCTAGTCACACTTATCGTGCAAAATGCAGCTCTTGCACTCTCGATGCGCTACGCCAGGACTCGACAGGGACATATGTTCATGTCGTCGACAGGTAAAATACCAGAAATTGCGTAGTAAATAATAAAGGTATATTAAACTAATAATAATTCAAATATATTATGGATAGCTGTACTTAACTCGGAAATCGTAAAATTGTTCATCTGTCTCTACGCTGTTTACTGGGAGAGTAACTCGTCAGTTCCTAAATGGATTCATACTTTGAGGTCAATAATTATCAATCAGCCAATGGACACGCTCAAAGTCTGCATCCCTTCAATGGTCTATGTTGTCCAGAATAATTTACTGTATGTTGCTGCCTCACATTTAGACGCGGCGACCTATCAGGTAAGCTAATTTTTACAATTAATAGCATTGGTCGTGGCGATATTTATGGTGAGCAATTAATTACTAACGGTTTTGATTTCTGTTGTGTAGGTCACTTATCAACTTAAGATACTGACAACGGCAATATTTAGTATTATAATTCTGCGGCGAAAACTGATCCTTACGCAATGGACAGCCCTCCTCCTCCTGGTCGTTGGGGTTATCATGGTCCAACTTGCCCAAACGGACGAAAAATCTAGCAGTTTGAAGACCGAGGCTGGGGAACAAAATCGTGTCGTTGGATTCGTTGCAGCAATTGCGGCCTGTTGTCTCTCAGGCTTTGCTGGAATCTACTTTGAAAAGATTTTAAAAGGTTCGGACATATCGGTGTGGATGAGAAACGTACAGTTGTCTTTGTGCTCAATTCCATTTGCAATTATCACGTGCGGCCTTAACGATATGACGGCGATAAGTGAAAAGGGCTACTTTTATGGGTAACTACTAATAACTTTGTACAGAAAATATTCCAATGTTTTTTGTCACTTCCACTCAAATAATTATTTCTTTCGAAATTCCAGTTACGACCTTTTCATCATCTACGTTGTGGTCCTCCAAGCCGGAGGAGGCCTCGTTGTAGCAATGGTTGTCAAATATGCTGACAATATTCTAAAAGGATTTGCCACCTCTCTTGCCATCATCGTCTCCTGTGTGGCGTCAGTTATCTTCTTCGAGTTTCACGTGACCCTACAATTTTGTCTTGGAACAATGGTCGTCATCGTATCCATCTTCTTGTATGGGTATCAACCACCAACTAAAGGAAAGCAGCCTTCCCTTATTGTCAAAGTCTGATCGGTCCGTACTGTTGTTATCATATAATTACCTACATACATATAAGAACTATTGCCTTCCTGTCATGATTCATTATGTCATTAGCTATTATTTTAACGTTTAACCAATGCAGTTTTTCTCTTGAATTGCAATCAAACATACGTGTTCCAAATCTCATTATCAGCCAAATCCCGTAAAAAGCTTCATGAAATCTGAGTATTTATTGTAACCATTATCATGTTGTACCTTATGTATTAAATATATTGCTACCTTTAGTCTAGTATAATAATTTTGCATAATAAGTAAGTGGTAACCGGGATATGACAAGTTTTATACATATATATTAAATGTATTTATAAGGGTGCTCATCTAATTTATTTATTGCTATTGAGACGAAATCGAGGTAGAACGAGAGCTGCGTCAAAATTTGAATGAAATATTTTATATATTGACGAAATAATAAACGATAGAAAAATATGTTTCCATTTCCCATTGTATATCCAATCTCAATTTATTTTTCCCGTCTCAATTTGCCTTTCACAAATCCCTGCGATGATACCCACTCTCTCACCCTACTTACTTACTTCCTTTCCATGATTTGACAGACAGAATCATCCACCTTTTTCCTAGAAAGAAGACAATATATTGATTCATGGGTCTGCATGACATTTAGCAAGTTAGCTTGCGTTTCAATCAAGCCGATTAACCCAAACCTATTTCCCAACTACTAATAATAGTCTTGCTTCTCTCCCATCTGTCACTTTCCCATTCAATGATACCGTTTGCAATTTGCATGCAAAATGCTTTCTGTCCATCACAACCGCAAACTCATTACTTTTGTCCGTCCTTCGTACTACCCATACGGTACGAGGAAGAATATCATACAGAATATTGACATGGATTGGATCGTTCTTGTTTTTTGGGGGGAAGCGAGTCGTCGACATTTCGCTCATGTGTCATGAATACGAATTCTTGGCTGCTTTTGCGCTCAGCTTCATTGGATTAGACTCCCTTTTCCTGTCGTGATGCAGTCTTATTATAAGCAAACCGAGTGTATGCATGTACGTACTCCAGTTCTAATTCACTGCTTCTTTCACTCCGAGAGAAAGGCGGAAACCGCATTCGAACAGCAACTGCTACCCAAATCCAATCCAATCCATGCCTGTTAGATCGGGATCTTGGAGGAAATGTAAAAATTCGGGTTGCATGCATACATACAAAAGTGGTGGTGTTTTGTGATGATTCACACAAAATCCTATGCAACGAACACGATCTGTTCTCTCTTTTCTCTGCAAGACTCTTGTTTAATACTTTCCCACTTGGTTACACATCATGCCTGGAAGAAGATTCAGTATATTTTCTCATTCTTCTTCTGGTCTAGATCATCTGCTGTCAAGCAAGCGGAGGAGTAACCACGTTTCCACAAGTGTATCTCTATCTCTGTTAGTCTTTTAATACGTAATTAGTGTGTGCATACATGTGTTCTTAATACAGTGAGAGTGAGTGAACGCATGACATTTCCCCCTCACTCACCCTTCAAAAGTGCATTACTTACATACTTTTTTACCATACTTACAGCCGTCTTATCGTCATCTTGTAAGATTTACACCACTTTAAACAACGTCATTTGTTGTTTGGTGGTCTTCTCCACTGCCTAAAGATTCCTGCATACGGAGGAAGAGTGCTTGTTTGATAAAGGGCGTGCATAATTGGGTGTTGGTAGTATTACACAAACTCGTTTTTAATGGGATGTGAAATGGAAAACAAGGAGTGACCAGTGGACCGGACTGGATTTGATTGAGCCATCTTCATCGTTGAACAAATCAGTACCAATGAAGCACAAGAAGAAATTAGCCATGCTGTATTAAAAAATGCAAGTGTTTTAACATTGCATTATAGTCCAACCAACCCATCGTATGCAACAAGACTGACTGTGTGTAATAAGATTTAATTGTGTTCAACAACCGACTCTCAGACTGAGAGTCTCAGTCTGTCATATCATCATCGAAAAGTTACATTCAACACGTACAAAAATCTTTCCTGCTAATCCATTCCTGCATGGACTGCTGACAGCACAAGTGTATTACAAGTCCCATTGTTGTTGGGTCAGCTGGAAGCAATAATAAGTGTCTTAACAAACAACATCTTGTGTAAACGAGTCCATGCTGATAAAAAACTCTAGAGACATAACAAGTATACGTGCATTTAAAGAGCTGACAACAAGTCACAATATTTTTAAAGTGAACAAAGTTTTACATTTTTCCAAGTTTTCCAAATAAATAAATCGTCATCCTTTTTACATTTCTGGTTAAAATACGCAACGAAGTCAAGTTGGGTGAGGAGATACATACGAAAAGTATACACACAAGTCAGACACGAGAGAAAGAGAGCAGTAGTAAAGTAAGTCACTCAGAAATCTCAATCACGACGGTGTGACTGACGCCAGATAAATAATAATTGTGACAAAGTATTGAGAAATTGTTGAAATAACTCGAATTGCGGAATGGTATCAATGATGTGTTACGTGTGAAGAAGACCGCAAATGAGGAACAATTGATTCTGATTAGGAAAAAAGGTTTCATTTGCAAATCATATATGTACATATTTATTTACACATATGTATATGCAGATATATTAGTCTAGAGAGGGGGGTTTACAGCTTTATGAGCTCTACTTATCAACACAGCACCTCTTTTTCTTGATAACATCGCCCAGATAAAATACACATTACATATTCGCTGTGCATACAATTATTTTATTGGCCCTGATTACACCACATACGGTATTTCTCCATGATCTCCGTTCAATCATAAGTCACTGACTGCTCGACCGAGAGGGTTGCAAATGTACACAAGCACAGATCGTCGAAATCCGATTGCATTACTATTATTGCCTTGACGTTACCAGACCACCACCATTTGTACATATTTAAGTACACACACATATTGCACCATTTGTTGTCGACACTGTAAATGTAAATAATTACAATGTTAGTTAGCAGTCCAGCAGGTATGTCATGCTAATAATATGTAATAGGAATACGCCAAAAGCCTCTTTATGCAATAAGAGTTCAGCACAACGAACGAGTTGATGAGGGCACACGTTCATCAGCCAGTCTTAAATAAAACTGTCATAAATTCCATTCACTATTCTCTCATCTCATCTCATCCTGTGTGTCTCTGTGTGTGTGATGAATGTGATGTGATGATAACCACCGAATTCCTCATCGCCCTTGTTAATTGCACCCATCATCATCATCATCATCATTATTTAGTTACAGACGAGTAGTTAACTTTTAACCTCAAGGACTTTAAACATTAAGCTTAAACTCAATTAATTTGTAATCTTGTGGTCATTTCATGTTCTACACTTCCACCAGACTGACATTACTATTATTATTAAATTAAGTATGTACTTATCCTTACTGGGCTTCGACAACTCAACCTTATCGGCTTTTTGCACTACGAAATAAAACAAGTTCATTATTCTGAGAGAGGAAATTAACAACTTCTTCCCTCACATGCAGCCTTAAGCTTTCTGCCATCCAGAAACTAGAGTGTACAAAAAAAATATACTGCAAATGCAAAGCAATCCGCGCTTCCAGACTAATTAAGACGAGTGTCACTCCCACAACGTACATATTTATGTATGGACGTATAATTACGCCTATCGTCACTCCTGTCCTTGTTGTGGTGTGGTTAAAAAAAGAACAATAATCGACGTGTAAATACTACTTTCTTCCATTATTATTTGGTTGAAAATAATCAGGGTCTCTGAATCAGTCGTATATCACGTCCTCCTCTCCGTTTGTGCATTGAGCATAGTGTGTAAAAACAATAACTATTTTATGTGGCTGCTCAAGAATAATACCTAATAAATAAATACTCATTCTCGAATCAGTGACTTTGTTGACAGTCTTTATTAACTCTCAAGATTCTCAAGAATCATTGGATCACGACGACCCGAACGAGTCAGAGGTAGCGCAGTAAAGTAATCAATAATTCACTAATGCGATCTTCTTGACTAAAATTCACAACAAATTTCATACTCTGCCGGAGAAATAACTACGGAAAAAAAGTCGAATCTAAATTTAAAAAGTGAACAATATCAAAAATGGTGGACTGCACATCATGCACCAGACCTTCCGTAAAGGTAGTTGTATTATACTCATCATCACTCTGTGAAAATGTGACGCCTTTTAGTTTAGTGTATTGTTTAGAGCATTTCAATTACATTATTTACATGCATTTATCCATTCACATTTTAGCATGAAGTTAGCACATGCATACTTTTTTGCATAGTTCACAATTCGCATTTCGGCCTCGGATTCACTCTTTTTATAAACCACAGATCAAAAGGATTTTGATAAATTTGAAGTTATTGCTTATTCATCTTCGTCCTTAGTTTGCAAATTATGTAGGATTTATATTTATCTACTATTTACTATTTACTGAGATTCAAATAGGGTACATATTCCGCTTGTCCAATTTTTACGATTCTAATTTTTCGTCAGTTTCTCTCATGTCAAAAGTATTCTTTTGTGCTGTACACAGTTTCCCGATTCAATTAATTAATCTTACAATAAACAATTTTCTTTTCTTAGCGGTCACCTCATATTCATAAAGTTGTCACCATAATTTGTCACATTGTGGAGAAACTTTAAACCACACTGGTTCAAAGTAAATTGGTTATTTTTAGCAACCCAGATGCATATTTTTTATTTATTAAGTACGTGTAAATTTCCTCAACCACAAATCCAATATTTGAATAGAACCCGTGCAGCCAAGAACAATCGGTCATAAAAATCGGCGAGTAATGGGTAAATATTGCTCAGTGACGCAGCTTGAGTTACATCAATTATTATTATGTGCGACTTTTTTAAGACTCTTTTTTTCTTACTTCTTCCTGTTTTATGCTCATTCGGCGAATCAGAATTTTGGCAGCCGGCAAGAATTTTTAAGTATTTTTCAACTCACATAAATAAATGACATGGCCAAGTGTGTGTGTGCGTTGGCTGAAGAAATAGGATATTTCGAGCTCAACATAATCACTTATTATTATTATTATTATTATTATATTCTTTCATATTTATTAAAAATGATGCGAACTTTCTAGCCGTGGTTTTGTGCAGTGGTTTGTGATGATCGTCGTCATCCTGATCATGAACCCATGAAAATCTGCGATCCATCAAATGAATGCTTCACAGCTCGCACTTAGGAGGGGAGCTTGCGAGGTTGATAATAACAGATCTTGATGCCCTTTGGATATGTGATAGGGTCCTATGAGTGTACTAAAACCCTGAAGTGGTTTGACTCCATGGCCACATTTGCGCCCGCCACACCCACTCAAAAATGCCCAAAAAACGCTTCCACTCCAGTTTTCACTCACTCAAATCCACGTCAAAAATCCAATTTTACTCGGATTTTGAAATTTCTTTCATCATTACACTCCCAGATAGTTGCTTTCTTCAATCCAATATCAAACCCAATTTTTTCGAAATTTTTAGTATTTTTAAAATTTGAAATTCTGAATGTGGATTGTTGTTGTAATCAACAACTCAAATTACGCCTGCGAAATAATCATCAGCAAAATTGAGTTTGATATGGAATTGAAGAAAGCAACTATCTGGGAGCGTAATGGTGAAAGAAATTTCAAAATCCGAGTAAAATTGGATTTCTGGCGTGGATTTGAGTGAGTGAAAACTGGAGTGAAAGCGTTTTTTGGGTATTTTTGAGTGGGTGTGGCGGGCGCAAATGTGGCCATGGAGTCAAACCACTTCAGGGTTTTAGTACACTCATGAGACCCTATCACATATCCAAAGGGCATCGAGATCTGTTATTATCAACCTCGCAAGCTCCCCTCCTTAGTGCTAATAATATCGCTTAATTTGTTTGCCCACTTCGCCTCCTAAATAGAAGTGGTTCCTTCTCTCGTTCATTATTAAATGGGATTCGTTCGTTGTTTGACCAGGTTACTTGGTCACTTGCTCTTTCAAAGTCAGCTAAGCTTGGCTTTTTCAAGCAATCTCATTTGTTCAATTGTGCAGTACAGGAGCACATGGTGTATACTTACAATTCGTGCCGTACACATTTTTTATACAGTGTAGCACACACACACATAGTTGAAAAGGGTAAGCACGTTAAGGTACATTTTATTTATATTCAATTAAATCTACATGTTCAAGGCAATTTCATCTTTTCATTTTCTTTTTTGTATTCATTTCTCTAAAGTTGAAGATTTCGTGTGCGTTTGTGTTTATTTATAACGGATGCGAGTCCTGTTCTTAGAAATACTTATTATTATTTAGTAGGCATTTAATACTTTTAGTTTACGGTAATTCATCATCGCATTTAATATCCATTTATGTATGTGCGTTATTATTATTTTTGGGCAAAAAATGAACGACTTTGTTCAATTATTTATGTATTAGCCGGCTCAACGTATCTTTCACACTGTTTGTAGTGCTGTATATGAAAGCAAATTCGAATTACTTTTGATATGGGAAATTATTAATTATTAGTGTAAAATTGGCTCCCACCCAAATTTATTGACCACTCCCTTGATTAGTTATTTTGCATGGATTCGTCCAAAATTCATTCATCACTTCACGTAGAAATCTCCAAATACAAATATTTAGATATACACAACTCATGCAGGTGTGAGAATGTTTAGAGTTTGATTTGGTCAATAATATATAAGAATATCTCTCCCACATAAAAGTGATAATTGAGAATTCCATATGTATACTCGGTATGTATGGAATTGTTGAGTTTAATCCCTGCAAAACAGCTTCATTAAACAAGCGATATTCCTCCTCGAAATATCTCAAATATGACCTCATTGTGATCTGATATCAAAAAAAGCAAAGGCAAACATTAAACACCAACCACGGCAAGCAAAACAGTATGCATTCTTCCACTGTCCGATTACGATTAACAAGGAAGAGGAGAGAATTCGATCGCATTTTACGTTCCCATTTTCATCCGGCGTGTTTCTTAATTAATCAGAGATTTGTTGCTTGTGCGTTTATTTGATATAATATTTTTTAGAGTGTTCCATATTTATTATTCATTGCCACTAATAACACCAAATAACAAAAATAACCTAATTGTGCGTGTAAAATATAGATTATTAACAAGTAAAAAGTGTGAATGTGAACTATTTAAAACGAAGTATTTTGTTGGATGTGGTGTAGTAACGCTTCTTTGTGTTGAATATATTTATAATGAATATTTTTATAGTTTGCGTTGTTTTTGGATTGTTCAGTGTGGATGATGGATGATAATTTCTGCATGTCTCAAACATGAGGACACTGTTTGTTTGGCATCCCTTAATTTGAATTGTTGACTTTTATGAAGAACAAAGTTGACATGGATGACATAAGAGGCCAGGTATTGTATTTGTGTTTTTTTCCTGCTTTTATATGTAATTAATCTTAATCTCTAATAAATTGTCAGTAGTCTAAATTAATAATTCTTGTCAAGCTTGTTTGTCGCTTAGTTTTACATATGTAGTTAACATGGTAGAAAGTGGATAAAAACTACGAAACCTGCGAAAACTGGACATAATTAAGTAGCCGACGAAGCTTTTATCACTTTTTTTCTTCATGTCGTGCTTGGTCCAAGTTAGGAAAGCATTCTAATTGAGAGAACGCATGTCATCTTTATTTTTACACTCCGCCGAACAGAAAATTGATTATTTTAACTACAAAATTATCAACGACATGATTTTAACTGCAGTTGTGATCTCATTCATTATTTATGATCATTCGACAATTACTGCACTGCAGGTTGTTGTAATGCAATGCATGCATGCAAGATTTTGTATACTAGACAACTCGTCCTCCAGGGAAATTGAGACTGTCTGTTTAAGAGACGCTGTTTTTTTCCTAAGTTGCTGTATCACAAGGCTGCTATTGAATTGAATTTATTACGATTACGATTATGCCAACTTGATTTAATTTTATATTCGGTTAATTTATATTATTTAACTAATTGTTATTAATTTTTATTATGATTTGCATAAATAATTTAATTGATGGCCATTTCACAGATGGGGTTTCGAGGGGTGCGTACCTCCAAATTTCGCCATGTATTTGGCCAACCAGTCAGGAAGGAGCATAGTTACGACAACATAAAAATCACACGGAATGCTCACGACTGCAATTTCTGCGCAGTGAACCCCAAATTTCTAGCAATTGTTACCGAAGTTGCGGGTGGGGGGTCGTTTATGGTTTTACCTTTGGAGAAGGTATACACATTTAGTTAAAGAAGTCCAAAATATTTCATATTTTGAGATTTTTTTATGACACATATTTTTCTTCCAAAGTATGGACGCCTTGATCACCACAACACGTTCAAAGTTTGTGGTCACACGGGCCCCGTGTTGGACGTGAAATGGAACCCGTTTAATGACAACATGGTCGCATCAGCATCGGACGATGCCACAATCAAAATTTGGTACATTCCCGACGGAGGCCTCACTGCAAACTTGAACGAGTGGCTCGTTGAATTAACAGGTCATCGGCGTCGTGTCGGATTTTTGGAGTGGCATCCAACGGCAGAAAATGTACTTGCCTCGGTCAGCTTTGACCACACGGTAAGTTTGCTGCTGGATGAATAAATAAATGAATTGGATCATAAATAACTTAATTAACCACAAATTGCCTCTCAATTTCAGGTGATATTGTGGCACGTAACTAAGTCAGAACCAATCATTTCAATCAACTGCCACCCTGACATTATTTATTCGATCGCCTTCAATCGCGACGGCTCACTCTTGGCTACGACTTGCAAGGACAAAAAGCTTCGAGTGATCGAACCTCGGACGGGGAAAGTCTTGCAGGTAATACAGAAATAAGACAATGTCCTAAATAATTAATTTCTGGTTGGTTCCCATAATTAAATCTCTGGAAAATGATCTACTCTGGAACAGGAGGGGCAGTGTCACACTGGAACGAAGGCAAGCAAAGTAGTTTTCATTGGGGATACTGGCCGCTTAGTCACGACGGGATTCGCCAGATATTCCGATCGACAATTTGCCATATGGGACGCTAAAAACTTGGAGAAGCCTCTCGCCGTGGAAGTGATAGACTCCTCTTCCGGGGTCGTGTTTCCATACTATGATCACGACACGAGACTCCTCTACCTGGCTGGGAAAGGGGACGGTGAGTGAATTTATGGTTCAGTTTTCATTCACATACATAACTGATATTCAAGGTAGTAAATTTTGAGGCGACCATAACCATTAGGAAAGTAATAAAGATAATCAATTACACAATATACATAGGTATTTAGATACAAATTATATATCCCATTTAATAATTATGTATGCCAGAATTTTTACTCGTCGATAATCACAAATTCGCCATCCTATGCGGCGTGCTCAACATTTTTACCAGAATTGTTTACCACCGGCTTAATAAGTCTTTTCATGTTTTATCACATTCTGTTTTAACAACTTACATAAACTTTCTAAAGCAGCCAAAGTTCAAACGCTATTTAATTTTATTACTGTGACTGAAAAATGACAACGGGAATTAGCACACATCATGAGCATACTTAAATACTTAAAAATGTCATCCGTATATTTTGTCGATGTCAAATCGTCAGTTGTCCTGATGACACCTCAGACAAAAGTAATCGTTTTCAAGTTGTTATTATTTTTTTAATTTCACCCTTTTTATGGTCTAATTTTCCAGGAAATATTCGTTACTATGAAATTGTGGACCACTCTCCATGGGCCTATTATTTAAATCAATATCTATCCGGCTGTCCTCAAGTATGCACAATTTATTAACCATTTATGTAGTTTGAAAGCAACTTGTATCACATTTTTGTCTCATATTTCTCCTCAGAGGGGCCTAGGTTGGATGCCGAAGAGAGGTTGCGAAGTGTACCGTTGTGAAATTGGCAGATTTTATAAACTTCATGCAATCAAAGGTCTATGTGAGCCAATTTCCATGATAGTTCCAAGAAAGGTGGGTAAACTTTAATTTCTGAATGAAATTATGACACTAATTCTTACTCTGGAAATCAGAGCGATCAATTCCAAGATGATCTCTACCCCGACACCGCGGCACCAACGCCATCGCTGTCTGCAGCCGAATGGATCAGTGGGGTCAACAGGCCGCCAGTTCTAATATCCCTCAAGACAGGTTGGATATTGGAAAAATTTGCATATATATTAGCTTTTGTGCATTAAACAAGTCCCCGGATTAATTATTTTGATTAGGCGTTGTGGTAAAAACTCACAAACCCATTCCACTCCAAGAAATTGAGATGACATCCAAACCTCCAGATCGTAATACGGAAATGAAGTTTGCATTCCTATCTCAGGAGACAACGCCGGATTACAGGAGTTTGGATGTAAGAATTAATTAATTAATTGGTATCTGCACAACAGCACTGAACTTTATGAGCAGAAATTCAGAAAAAGTTTACAACTTCGAAATATTCATGTTAGACTTTGTAAAAGTGTACACGAATTTATGAGAAGTCAAAGTTTACCAAATTACAACAAAACGTGAACCAAAAAAATTACTTGTGGAATGGTACAACATGATTTAATTTTGCTTTTTACAAATTTTCATCTTCTATTTATTACTTACCGTGCTTACTTTTTTTAAATTTAAATTACTAATCAACTTCTTAATAATTTTACAAAATACTTCATTTCAACGCATATATTACAAAATATGCTACGTACTTCCTATCCATTTTCCTCTTCTTCACTTTATTTTTATTGTTTGCTAATTTTTGCATGATTCAGTTTTGCGTTCTTTGCATGAAATGCGATTAACAGGACAACGATGGTGTGGATGACGATGATTCAGACTCTGAACGGGAAAGTGATGACGAAGACGATGGTCACGGAGTCCGATATTCCTCCCGAGAAGAAGACTACGACTATGACTCTGGGGTTAACACGGACATAAGTCTGGCGACGACCGTAGCACCGGGTTCGCCCCCACTCCACCACCCTCTCAGGAGATCACCCTCCACTAAAATCCTCCAGATTATTAACCTTTTGCAGCAAGACGCTGGCAAATACGATGCGGTAGTACATCTAACCTTACTAACCAATCAAGTACTCATTATTAGCTATATGTAGATTGTTATGTCCATCTTTGCTGACCAGTAGTGTTTCACATTTAGCATTTGAGTACCATCTTTTCCACGCCGCCTTCCAAAACATAATGAAATTTCAGACACTTAAAACCATAACATGATCATTTTAATATAAAACGTGTCTTTTGTGTTTATTTGTTCAGTCGAGGGAGAAGGACTCGAAGGAAAAATGGGAGAAAACCAAGATGAACCAGGCCGTTCAGCAAAAGAAAGTTGCGTCGATTGTTAACCAGCTTCAAACCACGACGACCCACTCTTCCAGCTCATCCCCCACCAATTTAACTACCTCCACTCAACCTACCTCAGTTCGAAGAGATAGCATCGAGAGGGTGAAAAACAACAATCAGAACAACATGGATCTGGTCACTTTTGATGATGTACGTATACAATCAATACATGGAATAATAGTTATGGCCTCTGACTAAATTTATGTACATCTGTTTCACAGTTCCGGGCCGGATATATTCGCAAGTGTTTGGAAGTGGAGAGATTACAGGTCATGGTTTCCTTGAAAGATAAGCGAATCAAAGAATTGGAGGCGTACGTGGAACTCTTGTCCCAATGAGATGAACCTACTAGTCACAAGAAACAAACAATTTACAACAAATTCAAACCGAACAAAAAAAACGATAATTCAATAAACCCCACCTCGTCATCAATTGTCAGATCATCATCTTCATATGCAATCGAATAAACCTGAGGAGGAGCACCTATCTGCCTGCCTACCTACCAAACCAAACCACAACTACTATATATAATATTACCATTTTAATCAAAAACACAACAATTTGTCTTTAATCTTAAATATGCGCTTTCCACTTTCAATTTGACTCAATTTTTCATTGCTACAGAAAGTAAGGAGCAAAAGCTTGCATATACATAAATATGCAAGGACTTATTGTAGAAAATATTTAGAGATGAGAGAAAAGAGAGAAGACCTACCCTTTTCCCCAGGGAACAAATTGGAAAAGCTTGTACTTTTTTTAGACTTATACCTATTACCTACAATACTACAACTATGGAGAAGTGATATTAGGTTAGTTGTTGTTAATTAATTATGTAAAATCAATTACTGCATAAACCAAACTGCCTTTGTCCAACAGACCGATTTTACCATACATTAATTATTATTGTTATTATTGGGAGACGTTTTGTTGCTTCAAGAATTGTGCAACAAAGAAACAACCCTTTTTAATCAAAATAATAAATAAATACCACCTGCTATTATTATGCTAAACATACTTAAAATATGAATTTATTCTCTGAAAATAGATTAAAAATACGAGTTTTTTGTATTGGATACAGGTGGTGTTACTTATAAATCAGAATAAATGTTACTATATTAAGGTATTATATGTAGGATTATCTTGGCAGTTTACGACTTTATAACACCTTCAGTCGCTATTTGTTCAGGATTTGGAAACAATGACGACGTGGTGAGATTCGCTGACTCGGAAGTAGCTGTACTGTTTGATTTGCCACAAACGTAGGTCACAATCATGCGGAGGCAGCCCATCTGAATTTGTGAGTTGAGGTTAACGGGGGCACTTCCTTCGTTGTCAATGATATTAAGACACCGGCCAATTTCGCTCTTGTAACAATCACAGGTCTACAAAAAAATTTTGTGCTTTAGAATTTAAAACAACTTATAAGCATTAAAACTAAAAATAGGATTATTAAGAGTTACGTACATCTTCAATGCGAGGTACTCTGGAGGTGAGAGAGTATTGTTTTTCAACTAGGATTTTACGCTTCTTCAGAATCTCATCTTTCATCGCTTGTAAAGTATTAATTTTGGCAGGTTTTCTTACTTTTGGTTTTAAAATATATCGACTACAATCTACACTAATTCCATGTTTACTGTAGTTAATCATTTCCCACTGCTTACGATAAATATCAAAAAATAGAATTGCGTGCCAAGGTGATATCCGAGGACAGTTGGTCAATTGTGACGGATCGACAATACTGGTGTTTGCACGATCGTAACTTTCCGTGCCAAAGAAAACTTGCGGATTGCGTACGGTTAATTTTCGATTTTGATCAATGAACAAAATTTCCATTAACACGGGCCTCGTGTCCTAAATGAGCACAAAAATGTATTCGTTATTAAAGCTAGGCTTAATTAAATAAGAAAAAAAATACAGAAATATGCATGTACGACTCACTTTAAGGGGTCGATGAATCAACGTGGATCTTTTCTCTGAATATCCGTTACTTAAGGAACCCGTGTTTTGTGAACTGAATTGGTATGATGATGCTTGAGATGATTCCAAATGCCCTCCCTGGCTTGCGGCGTGTAGTAACAGGTCAAATCCATTAAAACTATTATCATCCTGCTGCATAGGTTCTGCAGCCTTTGGAGCCTCTTCAGCCACCGCCACTACTTCTTTTGTACTGGAAGGATCTGTTCAAATAGTTATTCGAATCGACCCATTAGATATAGACAAGCCTTCACATTAAAAGATTTTTGGAGAAAATTACCTGGATCCACCACGTCTTCTGGTTTTTCATTTAAAGATACAACTCTTGACAATATTTCTTCCAGTTCTGCAAAACCAGTTCCGCATAGATCCATCTCAAAGAAATCTTGCATTGAATCAGTGTAACATTGGTAAAGTTTCTGCCTTGTTGGGGTGGTCATGTTGGCTTCTAATTTCGACTTATCCATAAACTATAATTTAGAAAATAAATAACAGTTATCATAAAGAACTAATAAATACAGCCTCTTATGTTATTATACAACAACAGCATCTTAACTTACAGAAATTATGGTTCCATCATCTTTTACAGGACTAGCGACGTGACCATCGCCAGGTTTCAAAGAAAACTAAATCAAATGTATTTTCACCGTTATTACGAATGAGTTTATTTATTGGACAGTTTTTGTGGTATTATTTTGCTAACCCTTTTTAAAGGAGGCCACGGTATCTTTCTAGCAAATGGAGGGTTTACTCTTTCAGTTGCGGTAAGGAATTTCAATTGAACGCTGGCTCGATCAACTTGAGACGTGGTAAAATTCCAAAGTGACACCCGTTCAGACAGTCGAGCTGATTTTAATGTTTTCTCTTCCAAAAAATGTTCAGGGTGTAAGGGACACATCCAGATTCCTATTGGTGCTGTGGTCAGCGGCGGTGTAAGACAATCAAAATGAAAACATTTTGGACAATAGTCACATTGTATTATTGGGCCAACACGACAGCTCCTGTGGTCACAAAAAAAGACATTAAAGCACTCAGTACATATGCACATCCCAATACTTAGATAATTACTAAATCTGTCTTACTTTCCACATTTGAAACAACAGGAAATAGGTCTTGGTGTGCAGAAATTTTCCAGTTCGATTACTGCTGGTTTCACTTTAGTTCCTGGTGCTCTTCTAATTACACTCCTACTCGTACCTGCATTTTGTTAATTGTTCTAATTATTAGCCTTCAGAGATCAATTTGAACCAACTATCCTAAAGTTAAGTAATTATTAGAACTCACCAGGAAAGTTGTACGGATTAACTTGGTAACTTTTGGGAAGTTCAAAAAGCGAAGGGTTGGCACACGTAGCTTTTCTTACTGCCGTTTTCATCAATTTCCTTAGTTTATCAGCTTTTCGCTTCGTATCCTGTGTAGCCTTTCGTTTCTTTCCCCGAGTTCTTAATTTCTTTGGCACAGCAATGTCCGTGGCCTCTTCCTGTTTCGCAACTGCGTCTCCTAAAATTTTAAATAGTTTTATTTTATAATTATAATGGTCAGAATGAACAATAACAACAAAAGCCTTGGTTCTCGTTTTATGTACCTTTCTCACCATTGCCTCCTTCCTTAATATCCTTCTTTTCTTCACTGCCTGATTCAGGTTCCGACATTCCGACCGGATTACAAATATCCTCTTCCTGAGATTCATCATTGTCCAGCCCAACCTCCGCTGTCAGGAGAGGTAAACCTTCATTTGCAAACTACAGAAGACATCACACGACATTTAATTATACAAGCTTACATCAAACCTGATTATAATTTTTTTTTCATACCTGTTTATTTCGACAACTTCTACACTGCCATCGCAAATCCTTCACTTCCGACTCATCCAGAGGAGGGTCGTCACACACGGGATGGTAAGAGATCACCGTGCACTCGGTACAGGTGAGCATAATGTCCCCAATATCGCCACAAGCTTCACAATATACTTCCTTTGGTTGTGCCCTCGTCCCCTTCTTCTGACCCTTCTCGCCTCTACTCCTTCCATCCGAATTTCCAAATGTGGGCGGTGCAGTCAAATTCATAATGGCCTAAGAGTTACAAATTCATTTCTTCAATTAATATATACACCTTAAAAACTAAAAAGTTAACCATTATCATTTTATCAGTTCATACCCCCATCAAACCATCCCGATCTCCTACCGCATTCGACATCTTTGTTTGTGTTCCAAACCAAGTTATTCTTGTCCAATCCAACAATTAATGTAAACTCCTACTTCTGAAATATAAAAGTTAAATCATTTTTCATTCTTGAGTCTAATCTCATCCACAAAATGCCCATCTCTAATTCTACAACTTCCAAAACCTCCCACTTTCACTTGTCAACCTTTAAACTTATCTGGCCGTGTCGTTAATTGATGACGCTTTTACTTTAAAACACAGGCATCTCCACACAAACCAAACAAAAATCCATCCTCGTAAACTTACCTGAGCCAAAATCTTCCCGTTTCTCCACCCCCCACTCCACCCACTCGTGGTGGAACCTGGCGACGCAAAAGTGCTTATCGTCGCCGTCGTTGTCGTCGGTAGTGCAAATAGTGGACGAACGAAGGAAGTTATTTAGTTGTTGTGAGCCAAAGAGAGAGAGAAGGAAAATGAGTGGATAGAACTTGTCACTTGGATTTGAACTGCGTAAGCGCCACTGTCCCCGTTCAACTCAATGTCCCGCTTGTGAGGCACCACCGCCCGCTTTCTTCTTTCAGCCCACCCCAGCCAAGAAAACCTCAATTTTTATCATGAAACTCGTGAGAAACCCATTAAAATGAAATCATGAGTTTTAAATAACTTCAACTTTTGGAACTTTAAAATTTGGAAATTTTTGGGGATGTTGTTGACTGCGAATTGACTTTTAGGCAAAATGCATGCATGAATTGTATATGAAATGGTCATTATATTTGCGAGCATTATTTTATTTATAGCTGATCATGGAATGCGAGAGATATTTATCTCAAGTATTGTGAAGATTGGGTAATTAATGAATAATGAAATGAATGAAGAGACGAATTAAAACGATACATGTTAAATGATTTTTATCCAACATCATAAAAATTTGTGTCCAAGATGGATCTGTTTTTTTACGAACATTTCATGGCAGACCTTCCACTTCATGTTTTGAAAAGCGTGGCAGTAACATTTTCACGTCTTTGTTACTGTGCTTATCCATTTCATGTACAATGTTCCATGTTTCATGGTGACACTAACCTGATGAACAAGATCAAATTAAAATAGTTAACCGTGGTATAATCTCACGATCATTGTCCATTTAATATATATATATTGACCATTTGGGGAAAATGAGAATACGCCAAGCAATTCAAGCCGTCTCAACGTTACTCATCGCTATAAATATGTACCTGAAATTAATTATATACATGAATGCAAACTTTATTTGAAATGTGGTGTGGCAACTCATTAACTTATTGAAATAACTACCTGAACCAATTAAATGCTTAACTTGATATTTTTTGCCTTGTATGGCGTATTGAAGGATAATGGATCGAGTTAGGTTAAATAATACCTGCTCTCCACATATCTCATCCTGGCCAGGAATCATAATTACATTTTAAAAATTCACAACAAACAAACGAACAAGACAATGGAACTTTTTGAACTGATTGATTGTTTAACTTGATTGATGGCATCAATTGAATCCGGCTGGAGCAGATTGTCAAAACGGCTTAATACGATAATTTGTCACAAATATAATGGATGGTAAATGCATGCGATGGATTTCCAGCAATAGCATCTGCAGGATAATAGATAAGGAATACATGATACAAAGCGTCATATAATATTTGGTCAGGGTTCCTGAAAAGTCGCATTTTATGGGTTTTCCAAACTTTAAAATATCTTTATGATACTGAAGAGATCAACTTTAATCACACGAGATCACAATATTTATTCAACACTTTTCAGACCCCTGTCACATCACATCATGTAATCCATATTCCTATTTTTATAAAGTACTTCATTCACATCCAGTATGTTTAACATATAAGTCAAGCCATCCAGCCCTGACCTAAACCCAATTCTTTTCACGCAATAATGGTAATGATAAGATAACAACAATATTTTTCTATATATTCACCCAGTTTTTGCAGGAAAGCTTTATTACATTCCTCCCCTCTTTTCGGCCTGATTTCGAAACTGATCCCAGTTTTTTTGTGAAAAAATAAATTTGAAAAAGATGCGTCCCATTCTTTTCGTTCTGGTTTTGACACTCGCACACCCTGGTAAGTACCTTCATAATTTGCATTTTCAATAGTATGGAATCATTCTGCAAATTTTATATTTCTTGGAAATATTCAAGCTTTCCAGCAGGGGTGCAATCCTGACAGTCAGGTAATTTTACATTACAATATTTTATCGCATCAAAACATAATCAGTTTCAAACGATGGAATAAAATAAGCAATATGCATTACTTTAGTTTGAATGTACCAATGGACATTGCATCCCAATTAATTGGACGTGTGACCGAAATGACGATTGTGGGGACATGAGTGACGAAAGTGAGGACTTATGCGGTCCCCAACTGTGTGACCCAGGAGAGGTAGAATTACTTTTATAAAAACATTAATAATTTTATGGTTTATTTATAAATAACTATTGTAAATCTGCTGTTTAGTTCTTATGCGAAAACGGAAACTGCATCCCTGAGCGATGGATCTGGTATTTTTTTACTACTATTAATTCATTTGCGGTTAGGCTGGTGACGTAAGTAAAGACATAATTACTTATCTAACCCCCCAAAAAATAGTGATGGTGATAACGACTGCGGCGATCTGAGTGACGAAAGGAATTGTCCTTGCCCAAATCCAAGCCATGTAAGAAACAAATAAGAAATTCTTCTGTTTTCGCATGAACTTACAACAAAAATCTATTCTAATTCACGCAATTGTAATTAATCCCACACAGGTTAAATGCGACGATGAATTTACATGCATCCCCCCAGAATATATTTGTGATGGAAGTAAGTATCAATTTAAGTAAATATACGTTCACACGCTTTATGTATATGAGATATTAAATGTTATCCTTTGATAACCCATCTCAGTTCGAGATTGTCCAGATAACAGCGATGAGACCAATTGCACCTCGCTCGCCCGTCCCCAAGGGAGCCTCCTTCGTCGCGTTGTCGAACACAAGTTGCCCGGAAAGGGAAAATTGTACATCAAACATTAACGCTTGATGAATTTATAATCACGAAATTAAATAAGAAAGATTTTATCCAGCAATAAAACTTGTTCCCAAATTAATTAATATTTATTTGCATTATTTTATTTATTTGCGTTTGTTTTAAACCATCAATTCTTATTATAAGTTATTATTAAAATCATTTCAAACCAATAGTAAAATTTTGCTGCGGTACTTAAAAAAGAGAATACAATAATGCTGCATAGCTTGTCAGAGGCGATAATAAGCACGTTGTTTTTGTCGTAAATTTGATTCCTTCTTCTTATTATTTAGCATCATTTCATTCACATATATATTTCCGTGGTATTATTTATTTAATGATTTAATGCTAATAACAACTCTATTAACTATTTAGTGAGGACTGACGTACCCTACAAGACTACAACTAACTAATCAACTCGAGGGGTGGATCCACCACGGTGCATTATTTTATTATTATTGTGGTGACCAGATGAGGGGACAGAAGATTTTAAATTGAACATTATTACGTGTTATAAGGAACTAAATTACTTCAGTTTGATACTGCTGGCTACGAACTACATACGTGTCCACACGGTCTATTTTTATTTAGGCAATGAACTAAATGCGATGATGATGACGAGATACATATGTATATTTATAGCCGAATTATACTCTTAATTGCATGAATTTCTCACTTTTCTTGTCACTTGATTAAGGAACTTGGAGCCCACCGTTATATGCATAGTCCGCTTTGTTGTGCATTATTAACCTGTTGTCCACAAAGTAGAAAGAGTCGGATCGAGTCTCAAATGGGGTTGCGATCATGTCCTTGGCTGCAAATATTATAAAATTGGTTAAGAAATTGAACTATTTAAAATTGTACAAAAGTTATCTCTAAATTCTCACTTAGTTCGGGAGTAAGTGGTGGAAATTCGTAAATGTGTTCACACGTGTTCCGACTGTGAGGGATGCAGAACCCAAATTCGAAATCGAACGTTTTCAGCAGTCTGTCTCGGAAAAAGTGTCTTTCAATCATTCTGAAGTTTTCTACAGCCTTTGTCCCCACCGTGAATTCAACCCTGCAAAAAAATAATTTATAAATATAAGCATACTTATTACATAACTCACTTTGCATATTGGCCCTAAACCATGCAGAATTTGTAAGCAAATGCTAATTTCTTTGTCTTGAACCACTGCTGCCGAATATTTTTTTTCGAGGAAAATATTTCGTCGCAGAGGCACGATAATAATTCATCCGTTGCAGATGAACAAATCAGAATGATGTCAAAAGTCTACTCACGTCGCTCCCACAATCTTGAGACGCAGGAACTGTGGTGTGAATTGGTACCTTACGAACCGACCAGCGTTTGGATCGATGTCTTCGTCGTTGTCATGCGGCAACGAGTCCACAACCTCTGTAAAATTGGAAGGCAAAGTGGTGGTGAGGTGGTGATTCATCGAGTGGGGAATTATAGAGGATAGGAAAGAAAGTGTGAAAAATTCGACCATGGTTAAACGCTTAAAAACATTATTCACCTGTCGGCTTAGCTATTTCAAACAACACTGTATTTGTCTCCATGTCTCGAATTTTGAAACGGGTGAAGTCGATTTCATACACGTTTTCTTCCGGTTTGCAGAGGTAGCCTGACAAAATATGGAATGGAGGAGCATTAATTTAAACATTTGGTAAAATATGGAGGATAATTACTCTGAAAATTAATATATTGAGAAGGTAAACGGTGGTAGAGCATGTGCAACATACCGACCAAAAATAGTCTCAAATGCATAAATCAGTCTTTTTGCCGTAAATTGGAACGTTGCCGTTTTACAGAAAGGTGTGCTAAAATGAGGAAATGTTTGCTTGCTAATGCAAATTTTCCCTTTTTTCACCTCAATCTACTCTAGGACGGAGTAGATCAGATGTCATGTAAATTTTTAACCATGTACCAATTTGCGTGGATTAGTACACACGGAAAAGATAACCTTGCCGTTCTAGCTATGTACATATATGGGCAAAAATAGTGGCAGCGTGGGTCTTGTCTGTGGGGCAAATCGACAAGGATAGCTGACCAAGCGCATCATGTTGCACTAAAAGCCTTAATTATAATCATAGCCTCTGATGTAATGGTTTTTTGTACACGTGGTTAACTCAAACTCAATAAAATTTATGCTGACAGTGCCGAAAGTAAGAATATTTTAAATGTAAATGCAGTTATTTGGCTTATTTAATTATAGAGATAAGCCATGGATGAATTGGTAGTTAACTTACTTTCAGTGACTCTGTTCAGCCGAAGAACTTCGTCAGGAGTAATAAACTCTTTTTTTAGGAGCTGTTCCTCTGTAAATTTAAAAATTACGATTATTTGCTTAACTTCCTTTTTTGACAGGTCCTCCACTTTTTAAATTTTGAGTGCAAATAATTTTTTTTACATCGCAATTAAAACGCATACCCAAACAAAATCAACATAACGATCTGGAAAGTAAATCTTACTCTTTTGGAGAAACATTAGATCTGATTTGATCCTAATTCGTGCAATGTACATAATTTTTTGGATCTCAGTATGTAATTTCATGCGATAAATCTATGTGGACCATTAAACTCTCTTACCCGTCATTACCACGTCCGATTTCTTCGACTGCCTGAAGAAATTCTCATTAGACTTTGTCACAACGCTTGTCATACTTGCAGTTTATAAACGTATTTCGTATGGTTTTGTGATTACAACACCGTTATTTATTTATTTATTATGATTGTCCTATGTAAAATATCTCAACAACACGATCGTCTCATGTATTTAATGGTATTGAACACAGTGAGATGTATTTTCGATACTTGAATCACGTCTTTAAAAAAGGTTCACTTTTAATATTGCTCTGATGTTAACACGAACGATTGTCAGTGGCCATGAATTCAATCGAATCGTGTATTATTTAGTAAAGGCCGTTTAATCACTCGCCACCACCACCAGTATTTAATTTAACAATGGCAGGGACACCCAGGGAAGAACAATCACAGAATTTGGGTATATAGCGTCACTTGCTGATTTGTTATGCTATGTTTTTTAGACACCACGATTCCAGTTAGAGATTAAGTTTTGTACAGAAAAGAGAAGAACTTTTGTGCTGAAACTCGTAAATGATGAACTGAAGTTGGTATTATTTGTTGTATTGCTTTTTTCCACTACTTCCGGATTTGCCTACACCGTCTCACCAATTGATTGCTATTATACAATGTTTAAATGACTTGAAACAGTAGGATTTTTTTGACAGGAATTTGTCATGACAAGCGGAAGGTAAGTATGAATGAATGAATGTATTTATGTACAAGGTGTATTATGGCCTGTCAGAGAATAAGACTAGCATTAATAAACGATCTATATGAGCTGAACACTTATCGACCTGTGACTGCTGCTACTTCATAAACTCGACAAACCTCGAACTGCTCTTTGCCATTTGTGGAAGTCAGCAAGTGCAATTCAACACTTTTGCTCCTTTTAGATAGGTTTTTGGTTTTAGCAGATCGAGCCGTGTGGTTGGTTTCGATCCATACTTTGTGACTACTAGGTAAGTAAGTATATCTGCCATGTCCCCCTCTTTTTGCCTGCCTCTCCTGTTGTTTGAGCATGAGCGATCAAGGGGTTACTTATTCTCACTTATAATACACTTCACCTTAAAAAGAAGCCGTCGTCGTCGTTGGAGGAATAAAGGTGATGGCGAATGCAAAGTCGAGCTATAAACCATCCATGGAGACGGAAGTTAACAACAAAAAGCAATCATAATTAAAACAGGGTGGTTGGAAGGACGGCAATCAAGAGCAGGGCTAAATTTAGGTCTCTTCCATTTAATAATTTGCAAGTCGGATCACATCGCCATCCATCCATTTCGCATTGTCCACTGTCTCGAGTTAAGTTGGGGTAGTAGACCTACTTACTGACTGACGGACTACTACTCATCGACCATCATGGTCTGGAGAGAATAATGGCTTTCCAGCCAAACAAAACGCCTCCTCGAATGATGATGAGTCACATATTCATTCAGGCGAAGAAGTAATAGACACGTAGACAAAGATGATCAATAATCAGGCAAAAAGTTATCGCATCAAAGGAAATACGAGACATCTCCGATGATAAGGTTTTCTGACATATTAGCAAGAGTTTTTCTTGTCAAGTCGTTGTAAATTGCATGAAAAATTTCAAGTCATCATAAAAAGTTTGGGGAAACATGGTTCTTCTAAATTAAAAGTTCTTCAAGAACAAGAGCGATTCCAATTCCCTGGACAATTGTCGGTTTTTGAGACTTGTGCTAATATGATGATGACGACTGACGACTCTAAGTCATAATATAAGTCATAAACTGGATTTGCTTGAAAAGTTCGGCCCTTTTCCCGGAACAGACCGATCCTTTTCCAGGATTTTAATCAATTCCACAAACATATTCTTTGCGAAAGTAAGTAAATCCATGAGTTGCTTGTTTTGACAGCTACATACATCAGCAAGTGCATAAGCCGATATTTGGTGGTGGATAGTGTTTAGCTTTTCGGAGAGCTGTCTCCTTATTTGCCACATTTTGGCGACTCTTTTCTCCTTTCCTCCTCTCGCTCGTGTAATTCCATCCTGCTTCTTACAGGTTACACAACCTTGCGAATTAATTTATGTATTATTGCCCATGAGCGTGTTTCATAACACTTTGGTTCCACACAACTCCCACAAAACCAAGTCAAGACTCTTCAACTAGTGAACACCACAAGGAATCAATTCAAGTTGCATAATTCGGAAACTTTATGAAATCCTTACCTCAATCTGTTCCCCAAACAAACACGTATCGCAAAAATATGGCGGTGGTGAGAAAGTCGTGAAAACTAATTTGTTGATTGTGGTTTTGAGAAACGTGATGTAATGCACCATCTTGCAACTAAATATGTACATTGAGAATATGATATTTTTTGGGCTAAAATGTTCTAATAAGTGAAATGCATACGATACCTGAAAATACATGATTACATAAATACTAGAGATCAAATCATTTTGACATTTGACAGGTAGACGCATGCAGCTCTAGAGAAAATGATATTTATGTTTTAATGATTCCATGTATATTTCTGTTCTTGTAATTGTAGTCGTTAATTGAAATAATTAAGTTCATGTGGGTACAACTTGAGACTTGAAAAGCTTCGAGAGTGAAAGCCAACTGCACCCGTAGTCAGTTCTTGTCTCAATTTGTCCTTTTGCGTAGGCTTGGATTGGTCGCCTCTACATATATGAAAAATTATGATATATGAAATTACTATGAAACTCGGATTATTAAAGTGACTCAATTAAAATCTAATTATCCATGACTTTTCCAGCAACATAATTAAAACAATTAAAATTACCTTTGATAAGCACTTTCCTAAAATCAGATTAAGGAAGGATAATTTATTTATGTATGTGCTGTAAAATCATCGCCATATATGCAAGTTCAAATGCATATAGTATGGAAAGCGGAGAGAAGTTAAAAATTAAAAATTATTTGTGAAACTCCAAGCTTTTTAGACAGAAGAACTGACTTATCATCTCAAAATGCCCCAAATCTTGAAGTTTGTCTTTCAGCTAGTATAGTGCAAGTCGGGTTTTTGATGTTTAGTTTCGCCTAACGATAAGTATTCTACGTATTCCATGATATGCCCATCACTTAAAGTGTCAAGAGGAGCTTTACACAATCCGAGATTAAGAAAAGTTTTTACCACTTCTCGGGATAAACGTTTGTTTCTCCGTTTGACAACTCCAATGCTCCTTCCATTCCAAAAGTAGGATTGACATTTTAGGGATGAGTCAGTACTTACAGAAGGAGACTTAAAATATATGAAACTCTACAAAAACCAAAACCATTCGCCTATATAAATAATCGTCTTGTTTAAAAAAAGAATAATTAATACGAATGGTTATAAAATTAGATACGCGTGTCAGTTATCGATGATGCATCTTGTCCATATCTCTCGCACTATAAAATAGTCGTTCTTTACACGTTCATCTCACCCTTCTTCCTTCTGGGACGTTATTTTACTTGTTTACATGACCTTTTGACTTTGTATTTTGAGATAATTCTATTGTCCCTTCTCTCCTCGTCGACATAATCAAGTTGGCTCGAATTACTCAATCAGTGTGTCATGAAACCTACGAAAAGTACATTTATTCTTATTCTCAGTCAATACTGGATGGATATAAATCCATCCAAAATCCAAAGGTTATTCGTACATAGTTACATATTTAGTTGGAGTTTGGAGACCTGTATAGTTTCAAATTCCATCAAGAATTACAATACGTCGCCTCAATTATCATCCGTCCAGTGGCATAAGTTTGGCTTGGCAAAAGCAACAAGAAACCAATAAACGTTTAGGAAATGGTTCATTTTAATAATCCGAGCCATAGTCTAAACAAATTTTAAAATTTCCATACTTGAAACTTATCGCCATACGATACATAGATAGATGAATGTGACACGTTATGATATGCATGCTAACGGTGGTGATGTGTCATTCAGAAGTCGTTCAATATGGGATTTAATTTTACACTTCCAAGTATTTGAGTACCCAAATTCCATCCATTATTTCCAGCCCCCGACCGATCCTTTGTAAGTGAAATATGTTATGTATTGTATTATCCAGCATTTCTTGTCCTCTGCCCGCTCTGCATATCTGCTCTTCATGTCCAGTCCCACAATACATAATCTGTAAAAAAGGTGAGATCTGAATCCACGGGTCATCAGAATCAGTTTCGACTCCATTTGTCATACATCGTCTTTTCAGACAGTTTCTGATATTCACGTGCATCTAAATTCATCACTTACTTGTTTAGTTTCAAAGTGAAAACTAATTACTCTCCAGGCACAAAATACTTCCAGCTTATCGAAAGTTTTAAGTAAGTGTTGAGTTAAGAAATACCTTAATATCCGGGCACTTGAGTCGATCTGAAGAAAAGGTCAGTACATGTAATTATTTATTGACTATACGTTTATGCCTTTATACGTTTCATAAGCTTTTCGATCATTCTCCAGCCCAAGTACATATTTCTCATTCTCAGACTGCAGTTTTTCCATTCTACTCATGTACTTTGACACTTATACATTTTGAGATGGATCATGGAGCTCGTCAGTAACTAACTATAACTCAGTGTTGTAGTAATTAATTACAAAAGTAATTAATTACGTAATTAATTACAAGAAAAATCGAGAAGTAATTAAGTAATTGATTTTAATTACTTTGTCGCAATGTAATTGTAATTAGTAAATAATTACTTGGCTGCAATTGAGTAACAAAGTAATTAATTACCCGGTTGCTTCGAATTAGACTGTGTATTGTGTAAAATCTTGATTTGCGAGCTCATTTTTGGAAGATGGTGAAGATTAATTTTGCGTTAATTACGCTCCCCCAATCAATTATTAATTTCCTTTTAATTTGAGAAGTTGGAATATACTTAGGATCATCTTTGGATTAATTAACTGCTTAATCTTGAAATGTTAATTATAGTTCTTTGTATTTACTGTAAGGCGCCGTCCATAAATTACGTAACGCAACAGGGGGGGAGGGGGGGTCTAAGGCTCCAATGATATCGTGCCTATGTTACACATGTTAAAGGAGGGACCTTCTTGTACGACTCTTGCGTAGTCAGCTTTTTTCGACACTTTTTGTGATTTTTTTTCGTACAAACTCTGCGAACACAGCTTATATTCTGATCAATAATAAATATTATTTTAGTGGTGTTAAAGGAGGGGAGGGGGGGTCTAGAAAATCGTGATTTTTGCGTTACGCAATTTATAGACGGCCCCTAAATACAAATGTAAATTACATTACGTATTCGTACATTTACGCTCTTAGCTTTTACCGCTTGGTATTAAAATAGTACCAAGCGGTATTCATTTGTGACTCTACCAAAGTGGTACTGGTAAGTGATGCAATGTAGTAATAGCTCGGTATTAAAGTTTTACCATATCGGTAACAAATTCTTAAAAAAGGTCGGCTGGTAAAAATTTACCAGATGACCGGTATAACCTTGAGATCAAGCGATAGCAACTTTGATACCGGGAAATTAATACTTGCGTAACTATACCATACTTCATGATTATATAAAAAATGTAATTAATTTGTAATTAAGTAATTAATTACTTTTGACGGAAGTAATTGTAAATGTAATTAATTACTCGACTGATGTAATTAGTAATTGCGTAATTAATTACTTTCTCTCGTCGGATGTAATTAAGTAATTAGTAATTAATTACAAACTCAAGTAATTAAGCAACACTGCTATAACTATTGATATTCCGGTTTCACATTAAGAGACGAGACGAGACTAAACCATAGTGGTAAATATGAGCAAGTCAGTAATAGTAATAAAACAGAGTGTCTAATTCAATTCATAAATCTGAATCCCTACAAAAGCCCAGCCAGCCCAGTTGTTCGCTCAGTCCGTCAATCTTTCCATTTCTTTATATAAGTAAGACTAAAATATTATCTATCCTTTTATGTAAGTAAGCTACCGATCTTATCCAGGATTTCCTGCCTGCTCTTCAACCAAATTGTGTGCTTACAAAATAATCGTTATAAAATACTTAATCACTCCCAACTTGATAACGAGAGATTATATAAATTTGCATTTCCTTTAACATATCGAGTTTAGGATTGTCTCAATTTTCTCACATAGTCGCATAGTCTCATTGCTAAATATCGTTACATATTGCCAAACTATGAAACTAGTCAATTTTTAACAGCCCTTCCACACTCATCTCACTTTATTAATATACAACAACCCGACATTTTTTATGACTTTTTCTCTCACCGAAACTCATTCATATTGCTTATTTAACTGTCAAACAAGCACATATATAACAGTAACATGCTGCATATGAAATGTTTACCAAAGTTTATTGATTGTGACGACTTAAGTGGAGAATAAAAATAAAATAATGCCACAATCAGTCAACTTTTCTCTTCCAATGACCTTTCCTCACTAATAACTTGTGGAAATGGGGATGAAATGGTGGGTGTGGAAGAGGGTGAATAAAATTGGTGGTGGAATTGGCACGGGTTGTCGCATCCGGCGTCGCGCACCACCTGGCGGGGACGATGGAGGGGGGAGGAGAGGAGGGGTGGAGCGTGCGTGAAGGAAGAAGCAGCACCACTTCCACTGCTGAAACCACCACCAGTCACACGAGTAATATTCGCTCCCATATCAGCAGAACCCTCTTTCTCTCTCCAACTTCCATCCATCCATCCATTCATTCTCCAAAAGATCGTCTCGTGCTTTTAGGTCAAAAAGTGACCCCTGTCTCTCAACTCTCTGCCTTCCTTCCACAGGTCAGCACATCATCTCGGAGGGGTCAGTGTGCGGCGAAAAAGGTCATCACACAACTACCCAAACTACCCCTCACAACTCGCTTGCGGGTGGTGGTGGTGGTGGAAGGATAACAGTTTGAAAAGTCTACTTCCCTTTGAAACTGGTGGTCATTTAAGTAAGAGTCGTTGGCGATCAGAGGGGAAGAATCAGGTCGTGTGGAAATCGTCGTGGTCCGGTTCAGGAGTGTCGTGCCGTCGCTTCGTCTTCTTCTTCTCTTCTTCTTCGTCTTCTTGAGAGCCAGTGGACTCGGGAGGGATTGATTGTTGAGAAGGAAGAAAAGAACGGGAGGGATAAGAAAGGTTGAAAATGAAACCGGCTCATCTCAAGGGGGCGAAGGGCCAGAATAGGAGTAATCCAAGCAAGTAAGTTGTAGTACGATAAGATGGTGAAGTTTGTAATGTGTAGTTGAGAGATGAGACTGATGAATTGTGGTTCTGTTATTTTCAGGCCGGATGGAAGAAAGTCGGAAAATGACTGTTTCATTTATAACATGGCGATCCTTGTGGGTTGTCAGTGTGAAATTGCCATCAGGGATGGACGTAAGTTTGATGGAGTGTTTTCGGCATACTCTTCCGAGCGGCATGAACTCATGATAGAGGCGGCTCACCTGATCACGGAGGGGATGACGGAGGACACGCCCATCCAGAAAAGCTTCGACGTCTTAGTCGTTCCGGTGGATAAGGTGAGTTGACCTTAACTGTTTTAAAGAAGTTTACTCATTCCGTGAAATAGACTAGTTTCGTTATTCATTTTTTGTGTGATTGGTTTTCGAATAGATGTTGTCAGTTAAATTCAAAAGCGTGGACACCACTTACGCGACGAGAGACTTTGCCACAGACGCGGCAATTTCGGCAACGCGAAATGTCACGGCAAGGGATAAACAACTCACTCCTTGGGACGGACCTGATGCAACTTCCGATGAAGATTTATCACTGGATACGGATTTAGGCACTGGAAAGGTAGGACTAATTACTAAGAGTCACTCTTATTCCTTTACTAAACTAGTAAAATTATGGACTTTGACTAATCTCTCAAACTAATCGTAATAACTATAATATTAGGAAAATGGGTGGGAAGCTAAAGACATGTTCAAGAAGAACGAGGAGAAATACGGCGTTGTCTCATCGTATAGCCAGGATTTGAGCGGATACACCACTCAAATTGATAAAACTGATTCTGATGCTTTGAAGCGTCATGAGCAGCAAGCCGCCCAGGTGGCTCAAGAGATTGAGAAAAATGTCGTTTCTTGGGAACGTAGTGAACTGGAAAATGGTGAAGATGAAGAGGAAGCTTTCTCAGCCGTTGTACGACCACGAAATTCAAGCCACTCGCATAACAATAACAATAATAACAATACGAATACAAATAATTCTGGGTAAGTAGAGTTTTTTCTTACATAATATGTTGTAATCTTAAAAGTAAGGTACAGTTTATTCATGTTGTTGATTTTCAGTGGCAGTAGCGATAAATATATTCCGCCCTCACGTAGAATGGGCACTGCTCAGCCAAATACCCAACCCATGCCTCAACAAGGAATTCCAATGAATAATAATGGGGCTACGAACAATAATGCAACTAATAATCCTCGAAATAAAATTTACACTCAAAACCAAACCCCTCGTGGGGGTTATGGTGGTCCTCCAAATAATTCTTACCATGATAGGCGTAATAACTATGATAATCGACGTGGTCCGCCACCAAACCAATATCCCCCTCAGGGCGGAGGTCACAATGATGGGCGTCGAATGGACGACGGTGGCAGTGGTCGTGGTCGGGGAGTGCCAAATAAAGCCAATGATAGACGCGGAGGTGGTACTGCTGGTGGTAGTGGTACGTTCAACTTTTTAAAATTCCGTCACACTTGAAAGTTACGTTCGTTTCTGACTAACAAATTTTGATGTGCATTGCGTTTTAGGTCGTGAGGATCCCTCAAAATTGAAAGACTTTGGTAGAAATTTTCAATTATCAGATCAAAATCAACCTCCACGTAGAATGCCTATGAACCAGCCACATCCTAACGCACAGTCGATGAATGCGAATATACCACCGGCTGCAGCTGACTTGGGTGGGCAAACGTCGACACGTACAATGAGCCCACCGTCTAATACTACTAATAAATCTCAGAAAGAGGAACCTGTGCCTCAAGCCACTCCCTTTCCACAAGCTAGTGTAGAAGTTAATGATAAAGTTGCAAATAGTGGTGCTACCGGCGTGGTGTCGCCAAACTCTGTTAATAATAGTGTATCGAACATTAGTGTCAATACATCTAATAACAATGGAACCCCCGTCAGTAGTGGTGGCAACATGTCGAATATGCACACTCCTGGCTCTTGTGATTCTAAATCTAGCGATTCAGATAAGAAGAAATTCACTTTCAACCCCAACGCAAAGGAGTTCAATCCATGCACAAAGTCGTTCACATCAGTAAGTACTTTATCATTGAAGTTTGGCCAGACAACTTGAGATATTGAATCATAAATTAATTTATTGCTATTTTCCTGTAGCGCTCTCCAAGTACGCCTCCACGACCTCCGAGCACACCTGCTCAACCTTCAACGCCTCAGATGATGCCGCCACAGCAAATTCCTCAATATATGCCTATTTCTATGCAATCTATTTTATACGGTCAGCCGTACGCTCAAACGGCAGCACTGACTCCATCGTCTAGCTCTTCGGGATCTTCAGGTGGTGCAACCCCTCGTCATGGAGGAGGAGGTCAACCACATCGTAAAGGTATACCATCGAATAATTTGTTTTAGCTTCTCTTCACTCAAATAATGTATTTCGTTGAGCATGCTAATAATATACAAATCGTGCTTGTGTAGGAGGAATGATTGGTGGACCTCCTAGATCAGACATGACGCCACCAATTCAAATGACTGCAGGTCCTCCGCTCTTGGTTCAAGCAGCAGGAGCACCACACTATGCATATGTACCACAGCCAAATTTCCCTCAGGTACTTATTCCATTCATTGCACGTGATTGCTACGTCATCCTCTGTTACGAGGTATCTTCATCAATGAAAACGACTGAAATTTATCTTGCAGGTCATGAGGCTTCCTCCTAACATGCCAGTATATGCCACGCAAGAGGGTGGTGCAGCACAAATGCACCAGCAGGTTCATTTTATGCAGCATAATGGTCCCCAGAACCAACATCCAAATATCAACACACCTTCAAACACACCTAATCCGCAAAACCAAACGTAAGTAATAGATCTGTTGGTCAACTAGTATGAATGGGTTGCATTTACTAATAGCGAAATGTTATTAATCAAATCAAATTATGATTAGGCCTGTTGTCTCCGCGAATGGACAAGGATACAATCAAGGAGGAGCAACTCAGGGTGGCGCTTCTCATGTAGGATTCCCTTACGGCGTCGTTCCAGTAATGAATATGGGTTACCCCCACGGTCCACCACATATGTTACTTCCGTATGTTTCTTCCCATCAAGGTGAGTATTCTCACGGAATATTTATGTGCCATTACACACCGCCGCAACAGCCTATGATGAACTGTTGATAATTTTATTTAGTAGAAGTGCGTCGTACAATTGCTTCTATTATATTATTATTTTCAAAATCGTTTTGCAGTATCGGTGTGACCGATATTTTTAAAATCTCATTATATACGTTGACTTTGTATGGCTTTGTAGTTGTTACTAGACCCTTGAGAATTATTTATTTATGGGATTACACACGTTGAAAGAATTAATTATTGATCCCCAATCTATGAAATATTTTTATACATACTTCTTTGTCTACTTGTACTGAGAAAATCTTTGAGGTGTTTAAAAGCAAATTTTGTTAAAATGTGATGAATTTTGTAATACCCAACTACCTACCTACTCCCAATATACTGGGTCAATTGCTATCCAAAAAAGAACTTGACTTTTGTTTTTAAATTATTCCTATGCTTGATAATAATGATTGATTGTGTGTATGTTTGTGCAAGTGAGTGAGAGAGCGAAATTTTTTTACCATGTGTGAAATTCAATTCTAGAATTATTGATTGATCATCATTCCTTCCAAAGTCCAAATTACATGTAACACCTTTGTTCTCGGAGTTACATTTTTCCACTTTTTTTTTCTACAATAATAAGTCGTATTTAATAGTCACAAAAAAATGTATCCTAAGTTTCACAGACAGTGTGGTTAGTAGGATGATTTGTAATACGATACCGTAATAATCCAATATATAGTAGTTGAATTAAATATAAAATATAATATGGAACTAATTAGACCAAAACCTATGCTACTCAAAGTTTTGCTTTCTTTTGATTTTTAAGCTAATTGTTGAGCTTGATTGAGCTTCTTCGTTCACTGAAAGTGACCACTGCAGTACATATTTTTATCCAAGCCATTCCATTTGACGCTTGAATCCAACACCAGCAACAGTATTTTTGCAATTATTTGCAATTATGGTCTGGTGTTGTCCAACCTATAAAAACCTTCCTCGCGTTGCTACCATTTATTTTTCAGGCCTTCTAAGTAAGTTGGCTCATTTAGGTAAATTTGATATCTAATTTTATTTACTTTTTATTTATTTTCTTCCCTTCTCTTCTTGCATTCGACTCATGACTATTTATTACGCTAACAAATCAATAATTAGATGCTTAGAGCTTTTGAATCTCTCGGTGATGTACATAATTTTGCCTCATTAGGGTGGAAGTAATTAAGAATTGTTTTGACTATTCCAGGTGGGGCCGCAGTAATTCCGCAGAGTCAATAAATAAAACGAAAGCTAGGTGGTGAACATAACCATATACAGACATTGAGACTATTAGCATTTAAGGTTGTGTAAATAATTAATATATAAAAACCGTCGATCATCGCATTTACTGTTTTTGTTACTTAGCGTTTTGTATTACTCGTAACAATGTACTATTTCTGCATTTTAAGCTATGTTACGTACCATGTACTACTAGGAAAGTAGAATAATGATAATTGTTAAGTTTTTCTAAATTTGTAGTCATTTTTTTTTGATGGGTCAATTTTTTGTATCGACCGACGACCCGACCCCTGTGTATTTGCTGAGTAGTCGAGCAGCAATTTTTTATACAGACAGAGAGGTCTTAAAAAAATCAGAAAACTTATTCCAGTCTCAGTCTCTAACATTGATGATCCGATCCTACTACCGAATCTATGCAAGTCTTCGCTGTGTTATTTGTTACTCAAATTTTTCTAAATATAAATAATTAACTAATTAATCAGTAGCACTATAGGTTTATTAGAAGCAATTGTTACTTCTGCTGTTGAAAAAGTCAAGTATTGGAGAGAAATCAGTTAAATACCCTGCTATAGGATTTCGGAACAACGGCGACACGCAGATCGAAGAAGGGAAGACATATACATGACGCAGAACGAAAAGGCCTTTGTCAATGAAATACACACCATACGCACTTACTACTACTTTTGCCATGTCCCCCCATTTCCATGCATGTGTACTGGAATATATCTTTGTAGAGAAAAAATAAACACAATGAGAGACTGGATGCAAATTTGGATTCTTTATCATTACTACACACAAATATCTGAGAATGAAAAGAGTATTACAAACAATACTACCTCTCTCTCGGGTAAACTCTTGTACCTTTTTAACAAACATTTACCCTTCAGAATGAATATTGTGCAAATACAAATACACCATTCATATGCATGGCATCATTACCCACCAACAAGTGCCCAGACATTACATTGCTCAAACTATTAATAATATGAAATATGCGATAAAAGTTAGGTTTATAGTTCCATGGTCATCTCAATCTCATGGTGGATGACGCATTATCACACTGATTGTCAGTCAGCCCAGTCACACTCCATTCCCATCCATCATCATCAGCAGCTCGCCAAAAGTGTGTGGTGGCGGGCCACTGTAGCGCACAAGAACCATACGGGTGTGGGTGTGGTCGAATCTATTTGCCAATTTTTTCGCATTTTCTTTCTCTCATTTTTGCATGGCCAACTCGGCATGGGAATTTGAGACATGGTTTTACAAATTGCAAGTCTCCTTTCGACACTCACTTGACTTGCTCGCAGTGTTTTCGCACCAAGGATGAATTTTGCTCGGTGGTGATTGGTGACGGGGATATTTCTTCTTTGCTACCTTATTCACACTGAAAGAAAACATCCTCCACTTGGTATTATTATTATCACCACTGACTTGACTCCTACTTACGACTGCAGTATTCCTCAAAGTAGTGGTTTTGCTGCACGCAATAGGATTTCCATTGAACGTGTCTCACCGAGTCCAGTAGTCCATCCGCTGCTGTAAAAAAAACACAATTTGCGAGTCAGACACAACGACCCCAATTACCATCGGACCCCCTCCCCCGCAGTTTTTTTGTTTGACAAGTCCAATTTACACATCCAAAAATTAGGGCAAATCAGCAAAGGAAAAGTGGAGAGGAAGAAGGAAGAAACAACTCTTCGTCCCCTTCATCCCCCACCCACAGCTGACTGGTCAGACTAGTCCCACCACACCCGACCTGGCCTTCGCCAACGGAAGGGCGAGCACTTCTCGCAAACGGGAAAAAGGAAGTCGTCGCCATCGTCTTGGCGATCTCACGGAGGATAAGGTTTGTAAGGAAAGGAGTGAATATTGACAGCTGAATAGGAGGATGATGTCATTTTGTTTTTACAGCCCGCAGTATTCTCCCCCTTGCCGAACCATTCACCCCAACCTTCCATCAGTAGCGGGCATCGGCACGGCGGCCGAGGCGGCGAGATGAGTGGCGGCGGAGGAGATGGGCCTAGCAGCAGCAAGGAGCCGGAGATGAAGGGATGGTTGCACAAATGGACCAACTATTTGAAGGGGTATCAGAAGAGATGGTTTGTCCTTTCCAGTGGGACATTGTCCTATTACAGGTACGCTAGAGTTGTATGTGTGGGTGGATAATTATGAAAGGAAATGACTAATTCATGTCTGTTTGTTTATATTGCGTAGGAGTCAGCAAGAGATGAGCCATACATGCCGAGGCTCTATAAGTCTTCACGGTGCTCTTATCTATACGGAAGACACGTGTAATCTGGTTGTTTCCAACGGTGGGACGCAGACGGTAAAAATATATACAATTTATTGATTTTTATGATTTAGTTTAACGAAGTCATCCTCACTGTATACTTTTATTGTCTTACTGAATTTTAGTTTCACCTTCGTGCCACCTCTGAAGTAGAGCGACAAAGGTACAGAAACAACGAAGTTTAAATGTATTTTCGACGCTATCATGGTTTGTTCCTAAGTAAAATATCTAAAAAATGAAATGATCATCTTTATTTAGATGGGTCACTGCATTGGAACTGGCGAAGGCAAAGGCAATCCGCACCATGGAGTCAGAAGAGGACGATGAAATGGAAGAAGCTGCAGCACCACCGGACAGTCTTCAAGTTCAAAACGTATTTCGAATGCTCTCTGCCAAGTTGGAGGATATGCAGACCTGTTGCGATCTTATCAACAAGCATGGAAGTACTTTGCAAGTAAGTTCCACAAACATGCTTTTTATTTGACATGATGGCTAAATGACATGATTGCTAAACAAGCTCGTGTTTCATTATTTGTGTGTATGTAGAAAGCATTGAGCGAGCTTGAATCCACTGACAGTCCACATGAAATTGTCTCCAAAGTGAAACAAGTCAATGAGAGGGCCACCTTGTTTCGTATCACATCCACAGCCATGATCAATGTAAGGGTTAAAATCAATGTAATGATTTGTTGTCAAAAGTGACATGTTGCAATTGTCTTTTTTTATTTCTTCTACCACAGGCTTGCAGCGAATATGCCAAGGCTGCTCAGACACAGGGGAAAAAGTGGCAGAAGGCAATTCAGTTTGAAAAAGAACAGAGACAAAGATTGGAAAAAGTCGTTGAAGAGCTTGCAAAACAGCACACGAAACTTGAGGAAGCTGCTGCTGTGGCGGCTGGTCATAGTAAGCTCATGTTACTTTAATTCATTGATTAATGTATTTGTTTCATACTAAATTAACCTAACAATAATTGATGAATGTTAATCAAAGGCCAGTCGCAAAACGTCCAGTCGGACGAGGATGATGAGTCAATGTTTTATGACGCTGTAGAGACATCCGACATGGCAAATGAGTTTACTGTTGACGTGCCTATTTCCGCGCATCGTCGGACTTCTAGCGGTATTAGTACAGATTCACAGGTTGGTTGTTAGATTGCATTTTTTCTACAGGAGGAGAGCATTACATTAATATATTTATTGCATGTCTGTTATCATTATGTTTGTAGAAATCTGAAGGTGGAAATTCCAGCAGTGATAATGACGAGAACAATAGTACCCAAGGTGCTAGTCAGACTGTGAGATGCATTAGAACAAAGGTATTCTAAGATATATTGGACGTATTTTTGATTTCATTGTTTTTACAAGTCAAATTATCAATTTTCAGTCCAAGGCCAACAATTTGGCTAGTGAGCAGTCGTCCATTAAGGATGACAAGTCCACTAAAACAGTTTCCAAAAGAATCCGTCGCAAGAGGGTTCCCGATAAGCCGGACTATCCTCTCAACCTCTGGAGCATTGTCAAGAACTGCATTGGGAAAGACCTAACCAAGATTCCAATGCCTGTCAACTTCTCGGAACCATTGTCCATGCTGCAAAGGCTGGCTGAAGATTTTGAGTACAGTGAAATTTTAGATCAAGCAGCAAAATGTTCCGATGCTTGTGAGCAGTTAGCATATGTTGCAGCCTTTACTGTATCGTCTTACGCAACTACAGCCGTGAGTACAATTAATCTATTTGTTTTGGATTGAAAAAGATATATTTTCAACCATCGCTAATCTCAAAATTAAAAAAATAAAGGTTCGTACTGGAAAACCATTTAATCCTCTGCTTGGAGAAACGTACGAGTGTGATCGAACTGATGACTTGGGATGGCGATGCATCAGGCAAGTGTAGTATAAAGAAATTATTTTGTTTAGTATTTGCATGTGTAGAGAGAGAAAACAAGTTTAGTGATTTATTCCATGGAAAGATTCTGGTTCTATGAGCCGAAAAAAGTCATATCTAAGTGCTCCAGTCATTCGACTCGTTTGATTTCGAAGCAAACGAGTCGAAAACTCCTTTGTAACAATTCGCCCTCACAAAAATATTTGCCATTTTGACAGATATTAACACTGTTATTTTAGTACTATTTATTGCAACAAAAAAACGTCAGATAAGAGGGTTAATATATATATATAACGATCGAGTGTGGTAATTTTAGTGAGCAGGTTTCCCATCACCCACCCATGGCGGCTCAGCATGTCGATGGTCGCGGATGGAAGTCATGGCAAGAAGTCTGTTTATCTTCCAAATTTCGAGGGAAATATCTGCAAATTATTCCACTGGGCATAGCTCATTTGGTTTTTAACGAGTCTGGTAATTCATCTTTTACGCTAAAAAAATACTATTTTTTTTAAAAGTTTGATGTAAAATTGCATTATATTGTTACACTATTAAAGGGAACCACTACACTTGGAGAAAAGTCACTACAACTGTCCACAATATCATTGTTGGAAAATTATGGGTCGACAATCATGGGGAAATGGAAATAATTAATCACACCACGGGTGATAAGTGTCACCTAAAGTACATGGCATACTCGTACTTTAACCGTGACATTCAGCGAAAGGTTAGTGTTTTATACATTATTTGTTACGGGTTGAATAAATGTCATAATTTCATAATATATAACCTATGAAATTATTAATTCACACAGGTAACCGGATGCGTTATGGACAAGCAAGAACGTATTCGATGGGTGCTAAATGGTACTTGGGACGCGAAAATTGAGGCCTGCAAAGTGCTCAAACACAAAGACTCTGACAAGAGCGGAAAACCGGTTTTGGAACTTGGAACACCGGAGACCATGTGGATTAGGAGAATGCCACCGTGAGTATTCATCTATGTGATCTTAAAACTTGATACATATGTGGTATTGAAAATTAATGAGAACACAATCAATATTATTTTAGCACTGACTGTGAGAAATACTACAATTTTACCGAATTCGCTGCTCAACTTAACGAACAGGAGAGTGGAGTTGCGCCAACAGACTGTCGACAACGGCCAGATCAACGGCTTATGGAAGAGGGCAGATGGGACGAAGCAAACACTGAGAAAGTCCGTTTAGAAGAGAAACAACGTGCTGTTCGCCGACAGCGAGAGTCTGAAGCCGAAAAGGCAGCCGGGGAAGGTATATACGCACATACAACAAAGGAATTATGTTAATTTTAACGCTAATATTTATGAACCCTATAAATGTGTAGGCAAACCATTTACTCCTCACGATCCTATCTGGTTTTACAAAGAGAAGGATCCGGACACTGGGAATGTGGTAAGAACTACAATTAAGAATTGAATTTAAAACACCGCAGAATACGGGAATTAAGAATTTAGGCGAACAAATGGATTCCATGAACAATTTCCATGAACATAAAATTAGTTATATACATAAATATAGATTATTAATTGTTATTATGTATGTTATTCTAGACTCATCTCGTTCGACAGGACTATTGGACTTGCAAGAGTTCTGGAGATTGGTCTCGCTGTCCTGATATTTATTGAAGTTCTTCAATCAATTTTATACAGTGTCACTTCAGCCGAGCCTTTTTAAGATACAGATAAATTACTAACATAAAAAATTAGGTGATATCCATGAGTATTTTAACGAAAATATTTGGAAAAAGTAATCAAACTCCTTGTTTGTCGTCGTCGTTCTTTCGTCGTTATTTATTAGAACAACTCTTAGATTAACGCGAAAAAAAATCTTCCTAAATTTTTTCCTTGAAATAATCTCAGTTAATACAGAAGTCTTGGCTCCCCTGTGGATTAATATTGATAGAATTCAGGGTAGTAATTAGTCAAAATATATGAAAAAAATCCGGTGGTCGCTCTTTTATCAAATTACCTATGTGTAAAACGCGAACAATTCTAAAGTACTAATTCTAAGATACATATACTATATCACAGCAACTACTAGAGATTGTGTACCTTCCTGTTATTACTCTCGGTACAACTATGTAATCTTCTATAAATATATTACTAAAATAGCCGGCGCAATACATGGTAAATTATTACAATGGCGATGTTGGTGGTAATTAAGCTCTTTATTTTGGTATTTTACTGGTATTTTTAATCACTGTCTTGTTACATATTATACTCTTTTTAGTGTTTATAGTTCTGCGCTGCAATATGATTATCACATCATTCATTATTAGCAACGCTGCTATGTGACGCTTAAAAAATATATAAATATATATATGTACTAATTAAAAGAAGAGCACGTCTTCCTCCGCTCCTAAGAAGAACAAGAAGAGATGCTATTAAAGATAATCGTATGTAATTGAGATATTTACACGGCTGCCCGAATCACTCTCGCTGGTGGAATGAAGGAAAAATGTGCAATTCACAACAATCAAATCCGTAAACTAATTTTTATTCGAGATACTACAGGGAAATGGGTATTATACACAAATCTTTTAAATCAACTCGTTCTCTATGTTTATCAACCAACCAACCAACTAACCAATATTTTGGTGGGGTTGCAAAAGTGATAGAAGTAAAATTGAAAACGTTGTTAAAGGAGCGAGAGGTACATATGTTGATGATGAGGCGTTATTTATTAATATGCGAGTGCGTGGTTCGGGTTATCTAACCCTTTCATAGTTTTTACGCTGTTGTATTGCAAGTGATAGACGACGCAAGCAAAAAGTCTTAACACCACAGAATTATTACTCGGGTCGATCATGATTAATTATTGTTAATTATTATTCTTCTACCTTGCATAGTTTGTCGATGCTGTGCGCGCATATGCGCAAAAGCTAATTACAATGGTTTGCAATTCGAGTACGATAATTAATTATTTGCATGTTCCATTATAATCGGATTGTCCGTCCGGTACAAGAAGGTTATATAATTAAGGTTAAAATTATAAATATGGTTTCCTGCTATTGTCGTTCTCACCCGATTCATGATATCCCTGCTTATCTGCGGCGGCGGCTACTCTCGTCATTGTCGTCGAACGTCACCGAGTTGGGACGAAGAAGGGGAGATGAACTTCAAAATTATTTGGAAGTGCAATTTCTGATAAACTTACAATTAAGTACAAGACTTATTATGTATTTGTCGCAAACTGATGCTTGTAAAAGTAATTGGGTAAAGAAAGAAACAATATTTACCTTGGAACTGGTTGTTTTGTGCTTATATTCAGATTTCAGATCTTCCGATGGTAAAATTTTATGAAATTTCTGTACACAACTCGAGATACAATATTGAAATATAATTTCACTTGACGGAACTTTAAATATAACGAGAGTTTTATTGTTATTCAATGACTTCTTACAACAATGCACGACACGCATTATTAACATATGCATAAGGAATAATATAATAGTTTTTTTGCTTACAAGAGTTAATCACTATAAAATTTGTTTTATGATTTGGTACTTGGCTTTGGAAATTGGCATCTTGATTGACAAATGAGATAAAAATGTGTTGTTTAGAGATATTATCACAGTTACGCTTACAGCAATTAGTTTTTTTAAGATTGTAAAAATGAGGTTGAATTAATTTTTCAGCTTAGGATAATTCAAATCCAACATTGGATGTGATTGCATATCGGAGTTTTTCACGCAGAGTTGGTTTCTTCTGATAATTTGGGAGTTTCAGTAGGTTGAAGCATGTCGAAGATGTGGGGAGGCGTCCGGCTGGGCTTTTCTTGCCAATTGTTAAAAACCCCCTCAAAACACTCCCTACAAGTCATAAAAAAAGATTAGTTCGTTATGCAACTTCGAACAGCATATATTTCTAAACCTATAGGAGAGAAAAGCATATTGTGTACCAATGGTATCTCCTGTATCTTCATCATCACTGACTTCGACACATCGTATTGAAAATGGTGGGTCAAGATTAGCAAACCCGAGCAGTGGAGGTTTTGAGCAGCTTGTAACAAACTATTAAAAAGTATTTTAGCATTTTTGCAGGGCATGAACTTTGTCCGATTTAAGAATCTGCAAAAGTTACCTTTAGAAACAAGCGACGCTCTCGTTCACAAAAATCATTCTCCAGAATTTCCCATAACCACACGACGACTCTATGATTATCATGGAACCCTCCATAGTACTGGGTATTTCGCCTGAGATCATTCAAATCAATGTCTGTATCCTCTCCACTGATTAGACGTTGCAACTATATAGAGTGAGACAACATAACGAGTTAAAATATAATCACAACTTGAAAACCATATTTCCAATTAAGTACTTCGGGAGGTGAGAAAATTCGTATCCATTCATTTGGAATGATTGAACGAAATCCTTTCAAAAATGCAGCAGTTTGTTCCTTGATTTGTACGTAAAGGTGGAAATGCGCCATGAGATACAAGTAGCTTATCCTAATGAACATTATAAATTAAATTACAATATGCAGATTTATAATGAAAAAATGACATCATTTTTTGGAACATACTTATTTTGATTGGTAACAGCGAGCAGTCTTCCTCCGGGTGTCAATTCTGTCGTTTTAATTACACCCAAACAGTCTTGGTCAATAGAAAAAGTCAAGTCCAGATCCTAATTATATTACAGATAATGCAGGGGCTGTAAAATATTAACTTAACGAAGGCTTAATTATGTTTTACTACCGCAACGTCTCCGTCATAGTGTTTCAAGTAATTTAGAGAATTATAAATCTCTCGGTCCAATGATTGAAGTTCATCAATTGCCGAAAATAAAGCGTTTTGCTGGTAGCCCAAAATTTGGCTCAAAAAGAATGAAGCGAAATGCACATCAACAACGATTCCCTAAAAATCAATTTTGTAATGAAATCTGACCTCCATCTCGAACCAAATTAATTGGTATATTACCTCGTAAATTGCTTTTGCTAGCATTTTTCCAACGAATTCGTATAGCTGCAAATGATTTTCATGGAGGTAGGACAAAGAAGAGGGATATAGGAGGTTCTCACTAGTAGTTTTAAATAAGTTGAGCGAAGGGTTGAATACGGAATTGATTGTCTCTTCAAGGAATTCTGCAGACGCATAATTAACACAAAGGTGAATTGTAGTTTCTCAACAATAATTAATTTAAGAAACTAGTACTATTTTCACCAAAAGTTCTTGGATAATAGTTAATTACCTTTAAACACCCCATCCTGGTCAATCCCAGCCTCGTCCAAACCCAATTCGTTCTGAAAACGAACTCGAATTGTTCCCTTAAGTGCCTTTGGGCACAGACTAGCAAGTTGAGCGTATCCATCTTCCACAATTCTGCCTCTTTGAATCGTGACCAGGGTTGACCCACTGGGTGAAGATCCAAATTCATGCTCTCCGGGCGAGTTGCCATTCAAAGTTTTCTCAGATGCGGCCCATTTTCGAAATAAAAGAACTCTAGCATCTTCTCGTATCACGTGCGGCATGTCCAGCAAGACTCTCTGTTTTAGGCAGAAAACAAATAATTTGATAGTTTCAAGTAGTAATGTTAACATGCAATTAACAAATTATCAAACTACAAACCTTGGCATTCTTTCGACCCTTTTCAATGTCACACAAGAGCTGAGTAAGTTTGGAGGGCTCAATCAGCCAGTGATCATCTGGACAGTATTTTCGCCGGCAGTCTCTTCGGTAAAGTACTATCAGTAAAGTTTTCAATGTGTTCCAAGTGCAATCTCTAAGTCGGAGGCAGTTGGGATTCGTTATTAACCGATAGCAGAGTTCGTTCACGAATTGCGCAATTTTTGATATATCAGCAAGACTGAAGGCTTGCTGATCCTCATACATTTCTTGGTCATCAAGCATACTGTGGTAAAAATGCAATAGTCTTAGGCTTTTAGAAATTTAAATATGAAGGATGTGCTGTAATCAGAATGAGGCCACTCACGTCACATAATGCACCATGGCTTCGGCGAACATAACAATGAAAGATTCTTGAGGAAGTCTGGGAACGCAGAGTAAAACGTCGATCCATCCCTTAACATCTTTTCCCAATAATTGCAGAAATTTCCACAATGCTACAAGCCATCGTGATGCTCGCTTAAAACATAAACCAGTCAAGATATCCAGTCGACATCTAAAAAACCACAGACAAGAATAAAGTTATTTACAAAATACAACAAGCATAAAGAGTAAAGAAAGAGTAAAGGCAGTAAGTTACATGGAAAACGTGTTAATAATGTTGGAAAACATTTGACAGCTCTCTGCAACTCTGATGGTTATATCCGAGGTAAATTTTACGGGTGTACTGTCTACACTAGATGATCCAGGCTCCATCATCAACGCTTTTCGGAAAGCCTTAACAATTGCACCCTTGAATACTCCAGTCTTTGTTGGTGTTATACTGGTTCGTGGATCCTCAGTCTTTTTATCACAACTTTCAGCAGTAGAAGGATGCTCACGGAGATGTTCCATTAGAGGATAAAAAATAGCCTGGGTAATGAAAAAAAATTGTTTCAAGTATATGCAAGTATAAAAGCTGTACACAACCCAGTAGCTCACTCACTTCAAGGAAGACAGGGCCCCATAGAAATTCAATTTGCTGTTTCACAACCAATACACAATTCAGCAGGGATGAGGGGACTGGATGCTCCACCCAACCCAAGATAGGGTGCCAATTACTCTTCCTGTAACTTGAACTTTCCAAGTTCTTTAAGCAAACTCCGAGCAGTTGCGAAATAGCTTGCTGCAACGACAAGAGTTTCATTAATAAATGCTAAACAGTCATGAAGAAGTACATATTGAATTCTTTATAAAATACTAGAAAACATACAGAATACTCTGGTGTAAATTTGCTTGCAAAATCTTCAGACAACTGAAGTTGGCCCAAATGAATTATGTTTGCGAGTAACACGAGAGCACCGTTGATATCACCCGCCATAAATTCTTCATTTTCAATTATTATGCCAGAAATTGGGTCCAACAAAGAGTAATCCAATCCCTATAGGACAACAAGATGCATATCAAGACATGCTTTTGACAGAAACTGACATAAAAAGCTTATATAGAATATATAACACACTAGTTTTTAATAATACCTCTGGGCAAATTGAATCCACGTAGGAAATATATGCAGGTACAGTTAAAATTTTGGTCACGTACTGGATTACTGATCTACGGTTTGTGTAACCTTCTCCCTTGGTGGAATCGATTGTCAGTTTAGCAATGGCTAATAAATTTGTTCGTCCAAGAAAAAACTGCAAACCAAAAAAGGAAACGTTGAAAATTAAAGAGTGTAAAATGTATTAATTAGCTTTCAAATAAATGTCAAATTACGTACCCTAGTAGGTCGTGCAAGAGCAGCCACCAATATGCTGTGCATTGAATCGAAAAAAAGGTCATCGGCCAACATGTGAGCAAAGATAGTTGAATTGAGTTTGCGAATTCCTGGGATGAGTTGACCATACGGAACCGCATTGTCAAGAAGCTTCCATTTGTGCAACGATGTCAGACTGACCAACGTGGTTAAAAAGAGGGATAACAGTTTGGAATCTGAAATCAGTTCCGGTTTCAGCTTGGCGACCTAGTAAAGCAAGCACATTATCGTTTTAGTTGTAACTAAATTAGTTAACAATTTATACTTATTTTAAACAGTACAAAGACCTCATACCAAGTTCAAACAATATGCGGAGAGGTCTTTCAGGTGATTGATCCACCGAACGGCTGTCGCCTTGTTCATTCCACATCCAATATAACTATACACTACATTCGGCTGACGCATGCTCCAAACAACGTATCTAAATAATTTGAATCGTAATTAACCTTTACTGCTGTTAAGAAATCTACGATATATACTTTCTATATAATACAATATATTTTACCTGCACAGCTTTTCAACAACACTTGGGGACAACCGACTCTTCCAAGTTTTCATCACGAGGTTACTTGCGTAGAAAACATCTCTACTTTTCACATACATTCCATCATCCGGGCTGAAACTGGCCATCAAAGTTTCAAACTGTCTCCTAAAATTAAATATTTAACGACCCATCATCACCACGTACACTCAAGCTCCTTCCTTTACCCAAAAATAATTAATGAAGCCCTTACAATGCTTTCTTTCTGATCACACTCTTGGCGACGTACATCCGCATAAAGCGTTGAATTACTAGAGCCGATTCCTGCTTCTTTTGATCCGATTTCTTCTTTTCCTTGGCTTGCCGAGTCTTCTCCAGAAATTCGTTGCGCTCATCGATGAGCGGATTTCCATGAAACGTTTCTCCCATTTTTTCACTTCTTAATAATTACTTATGTTCACTAATTCAAAAATTCTAAAATTAAATAAATCATATATCAGACAAGTATTGTTACTCTTTACCACTTACCGATTAATTTGTTCCTAGAAATTGAAATACGTATATTCACACTGGTCAATTTTTAAAAAAGTTTCCAATCCTTTCACAAAAATTTTCACGCGTTGACGAGACGAATCACTCCCACCAGATTGGCTTCAACTCTGACTTTGGACGGTGAAACTGCATTTTTTTTATGCCAGTCGGAAAAAAGGTCAGCCGTCTTCCTCCTATTTGAACTTGAACTTTGCCAACGAACCAGGAAATACGAAATATTGAGTGAACTGCTGGATTGACTAATTAACAGATGGAATGACTTGGAGTAACACTGGGCACACCCACGGAGACTTATCTTTGGTCAATTTGTACTCTTTTGTGTGCTGTTTTGAGAGATAATCTCAACTTATCATGTAACATGTCCCCCAAATGGGATGGGGTTTTGTTTTGTTTGTTATTCATTTGAGCTAGTCGCCCAGCCGCCTCTCGCACACCCAATTCACTCGCAAAATCCCCTACTTCACCAGATTCACATGATCTCAAGAGGAATGAATACGAAATGCCATGAAATTTTATAATTCAATTATTTTTTATTTTTATTTTTTCTTGTAGTCTTGTGGTAGAAGAACAACAATTGAACGAGGAAGCAAACCCTCCTGAAAGGACATACATGATGATGATGATATTTTGGTTTTACTTACGAGAATTTTTGAAGAATTTTTAAGACAAGATCAGAGATTTTTTTTACTTAAGCGAATCATGCATATTTGAAACGCACCTCACTCTGCAGCCAGTCACCACATTCGTAGTAAACTTACGAAACTAAATATTTGTAGTACTATATAATATATAATTCATGTAACAATTGAAAATAAGTCGTAATAATTTGGAGATTTTCATTTCATGAAAAAGTAGTTATATTAGTTTTTTGTGTTGCCTCCTTTAGATTTGTGTAAAACATCTTCAACTGTTTTGACCCATTTATCCGAGTTTTTCTGAACTTCGACGGTATTTGTGGCTACTTCGGGGTCTGGGGCGCCATAGTTTGGAGGGTTCGAGTTGGGATCGTAGCCAAATTCTCGTAACATTGGAGCCACGGTATCCATGTCCTGGATGACATCGGCAGGGATGACACCCACCCATTTGGATAGTGCTTCCACATTGACGGGTTTCACAACTTGGTCAGAGGATCGTTCAACTCTGGCGAGGAAAAATTTGCAAAGAGACAAATAGATTAAGGAGGTGAATAATTATATGTAAATAAATCTGTTTAAGATTTTTGAGTTGATTACTTGGATAGGGAAACACCACCCGGTTTGTTTATGTATCTTTCGTGGTGCATAACATCTTCTGTCCAGGGGAGGCCCAAGTAATTTAGAATTGTCTCCATTTGGGAGCGAGGGTGCAAAACTAAGTCTTCATATTTGACTTTAAGACAGCGATCCGGTCCAAGGTCTTCACACTCACGAAGCATCGTTTTCATGGAATTGGACCATTTGGTTAAGCACTGTCTGTAGTCTGTCAGATCAAAGCCAGTCACTGTGACCTGCAAACAAAAGAGGAGACAAAAATCAAAATCAGTATTCTCTCTTCTCATATATTTTTGTATAATGATTATTAGTGATTATTATTATATAATGGCTATTACCTTGCGCGTAATTAAGGAATGTACAACGGCTCGTCCATCCCTAATCATGAAAATGAATTTGGCCTGTGGGAATAGCTTAAGTAGGTAGACTCCGTACTTCAAAGTGAAGGGGTCCTTGTTGCACAATCTGGATGCGGGCTCTCCATGCTTGACAACGACTTCCATTATGAAGGAGGCTACGGCATCCCCAATAATCTAGTCGTCACCAAAAATATTAGTGTTACTTCTATAGTCCTTCATATCCTCATTAGTCACATAATTATATTCTTCAGCGGGGTGTCTACCTGATCAGTTAGACCGGCCTCATGAAGCCGATTCGACTCTTTAGCAGATCTGTTCCACTGGGCTGCAAGTTGCAGGATTCGTGGCACGACACGCGTCTCCTCCCCGCACCTAATATCATTGTGAGCATCCAGCATAGCTCGGACAAGCGTCGTTCCAGAGCGAGGAAATCCCCCGATGAAAATGAATGGCGAAGTTCTGTCATAAGTAAAAGTTTTCCCATCCTTTCCTGACACCACCGTCTGAAAGAGGAAACGTGACATATTACTATTTCGAATTCCGTCCAGATTTTTCAACTTGGACAACAATAATAAACAATCGTTCCGTCTGTAAAATAATTTATCATCATCGTTCAGTAGTTAAATTCTGCTCACCTCACGACTAGTAAAAATTTGACATGATCCCGGATCGTTACCACTTCTGACGAGTAAAAAAATAAATACGAACGGAGTTAAGACGCATAAAACGACCAGGACTGCCTTCCTCGCACTCCCCACGCCTCGTATCATGAGCATTTTTCTTGTCCCTTTAATTTTATGTCCACACCAGTTTCCAGCATAGCATTCAACTCCACGGCTGTCTTGGCAAGCTGGTAGTCTGCAATATACAACGATATTCACCCCCACAATTAGTATTTATTCGTTATCGCACCGATATGTACATAGGTCACAACCATTCTGATATATATATATTGATTATATATACGTATAAAATCCCTATGCTGTGCACATTTGTCATAAATGAGGTGCAAAGCTAAACTCAAATTTTTTAAACTACTCTCTTTCCAACCAGGCGTTGTTGCTAGTTTCTACTTGTGCCTACCCGTATTCTTCATAAGAAATGTTTACATTTCTAAACTCATAAATTAAAGTAAACAACTAATTGTTTTCGTTTCGGTGTGTGTGCTTACTGCTTACTTACTATGCAGAACGATGGGTATGGTTTGTCGACAACGCTCAACGAACAATAATCAACTTGGGCAATTTCGGCCAGGTCATACAGCTACCGTTCAATATTTCGATTCCTTGCTTTCGCTTTTCCAACCAACCAACCAAACTGTATTATTATCGTTATTATTATTTTCCTTGCTGGCTGGATAGTTTGCTAAAATTCAATGCACGCCCCTTTCCAAGATCGATACCGGATTGGATTAATGTCACTCTTTGTCAAATAATTAAGTATGTACAACACGACTCTAATTTATCCTGTTCTGCCAATTGTCAGAGAACAATACAACTCCTTGATTTTCACCAGGAGGGCAGAAACACGTCAACCACGCTGATACGATGATACAATATTCATGTCGCTTTTATTTTACTTACTTCTTTGCTTCGCCGGCTCCTGCGAAATTGCAGAGCGTTTCGTAATTTTATCCACTTGATGTTATTGTGCACATGTGGAGTTTGAAATAAATTTGTAAAATCCACATCTGCTGCTGTTGCCTTTATTTTTTATCTTTTCTATAGTCTCCGTATCCAGCCAGTTAGCTACTTGGCAACCAAAAAGAGGTAAATTTTTTCATGAAGAACCGTGGACGCCAAAAATGTCCGCAATAAATTCGAAATTTTTTTTACGAAATTTCACTACACAAAATAGCCCTATAAATAAGTTTTGCTGAGCAGTGTCTGTCTCTCTCTGTAAAACTAAACTTCTTCTATTGCCAGAAAACAATAAAAAAAATTTTGTAGTCTTGTAAAAATAGGGGAAATGAGAAAGATTTTATGCTTTGTTGCTACCCCGAGACTCCGAGAGGAGGAATACGATAATTAATATAATTTGATGTCACTCAACAACAACATGCACTTCTTTTTGGCCAAAGATTTTTTAACAAACTAAATAAACTGTTGAATCTCGTCGTAGAAATTTCAAGTTCAACTTCCACGTATGAGAGAGTTTCACCCTTATTAACTTAGAGAAAAAGAAACAGAAAGACAAAATGTGAGGGTTGATGCTAGAATCGAAGAAAGTATTAACAATTAGCACGAACCAACAACAACAACGTCATTCTTCAAGGGTGGGTGTAGTGAGGAATTGCAGAAATTAAGGTAAAAGCGGAAAAGGGGTTGTGACGAGCATAATAATGTAGCAGCGTCCTAATTAAAGTAGGTATCTAGATCTATATTAATGTGGGTATCACCCAGAGCCAGCCAGTTAACTAACTGACGTTCTTCCTCTGCACACGACATATTTATTAGTTAATTGCATATGTGTGTGCTATGGTTTTAGCACTGCTTAACAATATTGTTGTCCTTTGCACAACTTGCGAACGCCATGCCATTTCGTCGTTTAGTGGGTAACAACACCACCCTTCTTGATTCTGAACTTTGAATAACAATGCTGCCATAGTTTGACCTACAACAAGGACAGTGATGAATAAGTAGTAATATAATAATAAAAGTAATGTTAGCAAAACTACTTGACTTTGCTCACATCCTTGAGAAATTAAAATGGAGTAGGTAATTGAAATACCGGTGTGCAAAACTTGAGGGCGGAAATCATTCACTTGTTTGCATTGTAAATTTGCAAGCATGTTATGGCATGCAAGCTTCCGATTTTTTTGCAATCCAATTTCCTGAAGTAACGAGTGCATAGGTGTGAAAAGTTTTAAATCGGTGTCATCTCGAATGCACATGGGGTGGGTTTTTTGTTGCAAATAAATAATGTCATAAATTATTTCTTTAAATGGAGGCCACGGTGAGTCTGTAAATGTGCATAAGCCCGTTTCAAATCCGCTGTATGTACGAAGGATCAAAGGATCATCGAAAACCAAATTCCCGAGAATTTATCCGTCTTATTGGTTATACAATAAACGAAATGTCTAGATTTCGTTTAATGTAGACAAGCTAAATTCATAGGACTTATGAAACCAAGCATTCTTTTAAACCAATATGCTAACAGAAAAGCCTATCTGGAATTAACTAGACAATAAAACCTATCACAATAACATTTTTCCAGTTGCGATGTACCTATAAAATTGTAATTTGCATTGTGTTCCCCTCGCACAAACCTATACATTTCCGCAAGCTTTTTGTCGGAAAATCTGCCCACGTATTTAACTATTAACTCACTACAAAAGAATCTTATTACAATCGCTCCATTAAAATGGATTCTAAAACCGTGCACGTACTAAATAATTCAAATATGTGTTATTATGTCGACAAAATATGCCAATTATTCATCGAGCACAACCTTGGAACTAAAACTCCAGCAGGGCATACTTCTTCATAACAATGCATGCATATTTACAAAATGGTTTATGTATATCCACTGAAATTTCCAATTTTAAAATACCCTTAGAAATTTACAGAATTGTCATTTACATGAAAAAAACTCTGAAAAAAAATCTTTTGAAACAGCACTAAATGATACAACTCAATTATTGAAATGAGGTTCATTGCTCTACTTACAGTAAATTGTTTTCCCTACAATCTAGATCACTGCACAAATTATAATTACACATCGGGGTGGAGGGAAGAAGGAGGAATGGTTTATGTAAAAAAATTGATTCGAATCTACCAACAAGAAGTACAATAATGTGCGTAGTATTACAAACCCTTTCCCTCCTCACGTTATTGTCTACTCTAACGTTTAAACGTTACATGCAACTTAACTCGCTTTGTTCGTGCGTGCGTACGTACATATGCACATTTAATTGTACCATTAAAGACTTGGACCACGTTTAAAATTAAAATACGAAATTGTTTACGCTCGTGAAAAGTAGACAAAAGTCATACTGTGACTCTACATGTAGGATGTGACAAAGTGTGATGAATTAAATTAAAGCAAATGACATCCTGTGCTATTCTTTCTTGCTCCTTTTTCACGCATGAGTAGCCACTTGCACTTGTTTTACTTACTTGAATCCTGATTAATCTCCATTTTAAAAAAACCTCAGCTGTTGTTTCAAGCCTTGTTCAAACAATGGTATCGAATGCATGACTTAAACTGCTGCGTGTATGTATGTAGAATATGTATGTAAGTGCCAAGCACAGCACAACGAGTATAATCGGGTAATATGTGTCGTAGTCGTGTATAAATAAAAACAATTAGATGCTTACCATGATATAGTACAATTTCTTTTGATGCTGTCCTGGAACTGGGGAGACGATCGAGCATCAGGCAACAATAGGAAAAGATTCAATCAACATGAGATGCCGATAGCAAAATAAATAGATTCAGCAAGACAACAATCATAAAAGGATGAGATTTCAGTCAAAAAAATTTCAACAAGATAGCGCCTGAAATCCAATGCACATATGTATTTGATTACAAATTTTGTCAAGCATCTTCCCAAATAAATTAATTTTTAGAGTGACATACCTCGTGCGTCGTCTATTTTCTTGAATAACAAATTATTGGAGAGAGAGATTCACACGATATTTTCACCTTCCAATGTTCTCACACAATTCTTGCACTATTTTAATTTCATTAATTGAACAGTTAAGTGTTTCTCGTCAAATTTATATGTATGTATATATGGCTTTTTAGTTAAGTTGAACTGTACGTTGTTACTAAATTTGTATCCTTGTGACTAACCCTATTCGATGGTATTAAGAAAATGTATTAAATATTAAGATATGTTACCACGTCGGTATCAAAGTATTCAATAAAATAATGGATCGGAAGAGGCAAAGTTGGATTGGAGAAATTCTTAAGCAATTCTCGGAATGCACTTGGGTATTTTGCTTCTTACTACAAAATTAAATAAGAAACTGGTCAGAATTTTACTTTAGTAATAACAATATTCCATATCACAAAAAATCCCCTCCTTCTTTATCATTAAACTCTTAAATGGATGAAAGTATTTAGTAACTAACACTTATATTTGCTCACTCTTCTTAAATATGGCTTATCTCTCGTGGCAGCGGAGAATGTTTTGTTAATAAAATTTTTTAGTCTTATCTCGCACACTAAACCAGATGCGAGGAAAATAGGAAAAAAAGTTGTCCAACTGCTGTGCAGGAGAAGAAGACACAGAAGAAGACTTGCTACTTACTGGAATCTGGAGATGTTTTACCCATAAAAGTTAGCCACGAACGAGCAGCAGAGAAGAGAGAGTAGTCTAAATTTAATTTATTTTTTGACCATGTTGCTTTCTCCACCTTCCTCCATCCACTCTTCTTCTTCTCTACGTCCTCATTCTCAATCTGGAGCAATTTGTCTTCATCATCCAATCCACCCACCAACTCGAATGCACTTTACACTCAAACTCGGTGATGATGATGACGATCTCGGGCCAGACTTCCAGAAGAAAAAGGCAGCAGCAGCTCTCAGACAGCGAGGCAGACTCGACTGGAAACTGGAACTGCACTTTCGGAGAAAGATCAAAAAAGCTCGGGTATTATTATTATTCACTTCATTTCAAGTTTTTTTTCTCGTCTCCTTCCAGCAAATGAAACCGAGTCGTCGTCTTGATGAGGTTGATATGATGGCGGTGCGGTGGTTTGGTCTCTAATAACTGTTCCACGTCAGTAGATGCAGATGTATAATACCGACCGAAGAGTGATTAAGAAGAAGAAGAAGTTGTTGGTTAGTTGCAAAAAATTAGAAAAGATGAATGAGCCCTGGTGGTGGTGAGCATTATTGGGTTAAGTTTTATAAAGTTCGTCCTCCCTCACATTCGTGACGACTTTTCTTAAAAAACAAGTGTATACCGAAGACTACTTAACTAGGAGTTAAGGATCTCGACCAAGTCTTTTATTGTCTATCTGTCAGAGGGGTAACCGTAATAATAATAATAATAATGACAAACAATAATGAAGACGCAAATGCGGTCGGTCGAATCTTTTTTTTTCTTCACCAAGTAAGCAATTGCACTTGATTGTGGTGATGATGATGATGCTGGGATGCGGTGTCAACTCAAATCAGTGCGTGTAAAGGGGATAGCGAATCTCGTCGAGTTCTCATGAATTTTAATAACAACTGCTCAACAACAGGAATGAGATGAGAATTAAGGCTGTTAAACCCGTGTGTGCAGTATTATTTGCCCCATTGCCATTATCATTGCATCCCATCCTGCTTAACTCGCTGTGTGTGAAGGCATGCAGACAGCAGTGTGCAAAACTATAATGTGCATGCTGATTTAGTTTTCTTGCGCTTCTTCTTCGTTTTCTTTGCTAAATTCTACGAGTAAAAGTAGCAGCAACAAGCGAGTGAGTGAGAGATGGGTGGACGACAGGCATACATGCAAGTAGGCATCAAAGTTGATAACCGAAAAGAATGGCGAATAAAACGAAACCCTTTTCTGACGGTGGTGTACTGTCTGCCAACCACAGTAGAAGACAAGATATGCTCAGATTGATACCATCACCATACCACCACCTGCCTGGTTTATGCAACGGATCACCCATGTTTTCGATACTCTGCTAAAAAACACTTGGTCGACACAAGTCAAATGATATCGACGAAGATATTCTTAACAAATACGTAACACCGAGAAACCTGTGACACCGAGAAACTACGCATTTCATTCTAATTGATGAAAGCCCACAACTTTCTCCACGCTTAAATGCACCAAATCATCCAAAATTTTACACATTTTCATTCCACGATGCCTTGTTTACATGCCATATTTCATGTGATGGTCCCAAGAAGCACTTTCTTTTACAGGGGTTCTCTTCTTATAAGTTTACAGAAGTGGAGGGTATATAGCTTATTTAGAAGAGCACATAGCTTTGGTCAATGTATTCGTCCTGTTATTCCTACAACTTGATGGTGTTGTACTGAACCAACTTGGCAAGAAGTTGCTATTACACACACTACGACAAGTATGTATTTGTAATCATAAGGCAGAGACTCAGCTACTAAACCTTTCCTTATTATTACGCGTGCTTCTTAAGTGCAGCAGGCAAATCGAGGAGTTTGTTTGTTGCTAAAGACATTTAAATCATTTTTGAGGGATTGCGTTAATTCAATAATTTTCTTAGTTGTGTGTGCGATATCCCTTAAACATTTTACCAGCCAACCAACCAACCAACTAAAATGACTCTCTGACTTTAGCTGTGGTGGTATTACGAATCAAAAGTGCTGTGTGTGGACTACATAATAATCTAACTCGTACTTTATACAACATTGCACTTATTAAAGATTTTACTCCCCACTGCTGCATCATTTATATTTATAATAATAAACCCACCGCCGCCCAACTACCATCAATATTTTAATACTTTATTTGTGACTGGGCATATGCACCACAAAATTACGTTATGATACACATGTATACACGGATAGTGTAATTGCCACCTTGCATTATTATTATTATCGTCAAGTTGCAATATATCTAACCCAACTCTTGTACATACATACATAAATGTGCAATAAGTGGTGGTGATGGTGGACTAATATTTGAGCATAACACACGAGTAAAGTAAGTAGCATATTCAAACAATAATGGAGAATAATTGGTTGTGAAACAAGGAACAACAAAAGAAACGGACGCAACGCAACGCAACAGAAGAAAAGTGCAACATCGAGGAAAAGAATAGCTTAACTCTTACTTAATACGATTCTTATTCTTATTATTATTATTTGCTAATATAAATAATGGACAGTGCACAAATGGTGGAGACAGGTTGAATAATAATAGTAATAATAAATGATGGTGTGAGTGAGATAGATAAGAAGAAGAAGAAGACGACGAAGGTGCAAAAACCACACCACAACACATTCGATTCCTCCTCCTACTTGATTAGTATAGAGTCGATCATATATTGTAAAGTTTGCGTTATTGTTACATTATTGGTGGCAATATTACATTGTTGGCTGGTGATGGGTGAAGTGGTTTGCAATAAGAAAGATGAGAATAAGAAGTTGCAGTGTGTACTACTAAACTAATAATGGGGACGAGGACAGACGGGTCACACTTCACTACATTTAATCCAACTTACCTTTCCTTCTTCTCCAAGTCTTAAAATAATGCTTTTTGAGCCTCATTTTCAACCAAATTTAATCCCTCATCATCATCATCACTACGATCATTCTTTGCAAAAAAATGATACACATTTAATTTCCACTCTCTGATCTGCTACCACTACTGGTTTGGTTGGTGGTAGTGACAAAATAATCCCCTCAATAATTCGACTACTCAGGCAAAACAAAAGTGATCCACTTAACAATAAGATCTCGTCGACGACAAGCACAAAGTAGTACGTTTTAGTCGTAATGCTAACAGTCATCCTGGTCACTTGGAAACAAAAAGGCGATTACGATCAGAAAAATTAAAGTGCAACAATTGCTAATGGAGTTTACCGTTCACAGTTTTATTGACACTTTCCGTGAGATTTTTTAAGGCGAAGGACGTTCCTGCTGTCCAGCGATCAAATTAAATATTACATCAGTATTGTGAAACTAAACCATTCAAAAGATAACTAGCATAGTAGCAACCAACATTTATACTTAATTCATGTGATAATCGAGTCAAATTCAGAGTCAACTAGTACGACATACATAATTAACGTAACAAGTAAATTTAAAAGGGAAGAGAATATCCGAAAAATGTGATAGTTTAATAGTTACATGAAAAAAATTGTTAGTAATTTGTTTACAACAGTTCAATATTTTAATAGTAGGAAAAATAATCTGTTTGTAAAGTATGAGTAAACTGTATGGCTTTCACTTCAGAAATTGGAACACGTTGAGATTAAGTAATAGTTACATAATCTGAAAAAAAAACAATGCAAAAAAATCAGTGTTGAAAAATTGATTTGCTCTCTAAACACCATAATCTTACAGTTTTATAAGAAATATAATATACAGATTTTATTTCATGGTTATAAATGATGAATATAAAAAATAAGCCAACTCGTAGAATAATTCCGAAGGAATCTCCTGCTCTGTGGTGGTGACGAGATATGTATGTTAAACTAACAAAATATTATATGCTTCCATTAATATATGGTGTTTACTAATGAATATTTTCATTACTAAAGATAACCGTGACGAAGACGAAAAGAGGTGAAAATGCCTGAGATTGAGAAACACCTTCATCAATTGACTCGCGTCATCCGGGAGCAAGATTCCATCAAACTTGTTGTCCGGTTGGAGAGTTCGGTGGGGACAAAGATTCGCTATCTCGCCGTCGTATCCTGCATCGAACAAGATTCGGAAGAATTTTGCCTTCTGGGGATCGATTGCGACCAGGACATTTCACTCGGTCTCGTTTTGGCGATCCTTTCCTTCACCACCATTCGGCTGGATGGAGATGGGTACGCACGCCACAAGATATTTGCCACCTTCAGAGAACGTATTTTAATCATGCATAAACTTTTAATTGCTTTACATTTTGCAGAGGATTCTGTGTTACGACCGGTGATGGGCTACGGAGTCATATTTTTAAGCCAGTATCCGTCCAAACAATGTGGTCCGCCTTACAATCCCTGTACCGAGCTAGTGAAGTGAGTTTTTTTGTCAATGATACATTATATGAGTGAATGAATGAATTAGAATGTCCCGGACACATGTAAAGAACATGTCCTCATCTTTTAATAATCCCTCAAATGTTTGTGACAGTCATTAACAGGGGGATTATTACTTGTTCCTAGTCCCTATGATATATTTATGAAATGACCCATCCACTTTGAACCAAGCAACTGCCAATTACTTGTACCGTTAAATTCCATTATTATTTCATTAGAGAGAGCTGCAGTTAATTATTGAGTTTGGAGCGCTTCAAAATAAATTAATAACTACAATTTTGATAATCCCTTTACTCAATGATGTCGCTCTAATTTTTTCAGTGTGCCAAAGAGAACAATAGCTTTCAAGCGTCCGCAGTCAGATACTATGAGGACGTTTTTAGCTCCTACAAGTCGGACCCCAGTTGCCTTACCGAGTGGAACATTTTACCTGGAGTTGAAAACAGGCGACCATTAGCTTCAGCCTTGTATAAAAAAAATTGATTTTGCAATTATCTAGACATGTGTTACACACCTATTTGAGAGTTGACTAACTATTCTATTCTAGTACTTCTGAGGAATTGTTCTTTCAAGAAAAGATTAGCTGCACACTCAGAGAAATCTTACTCTGCGAGAGAGATCTTGATGAAGTGACTTCCAAAGAGATTCGAACAAAGTTGGAATGGAAATTGAAGGTTGACCTTTCACAGTAAGTGCACGAATAAAAGTACCGGTTCAGTTTGTAATTACTTCGTAATCCTGGGTTTTATTTTAACCAGTTTTTACGCTTATTATAGTTACAAGTCCTTCATTGATGAAGAAATGCTGAAAATTTTGGGTCAGATGGAAGCTCCAGCTCTTATCCTTGACAATTTGTACCTAGGCACTGAGTGGAATGCATCTCACCAACAAGATCTCTTTGACAAAGAGTATAAAAAATTAATATACAAAATATTATATAACTTTTTTACTGCATCTAACGATAAGCCAATTTTATTATGTACATTGTGTGTAATTTCTACTTATTTATTATAGTATCAACTACATACTTAACGTCACAACTGAGATTGACAATTTCTTCCCAGACACTTTTCGCTATATGAACATTCCAGTCTGCGATACTGAAGATACTGATATTCTTCGGTACTTTAACGACTCTTACAAGTTTATCAATAAAGCGAGGAAGGATGGAAAAAACGTTCTAGTTCATTGTAAAATGGGGATCAGCAGATCTGCCACAATTGTGATTGGTAAGTTGGTCGGTCAGTTAATAATTATCGTAGGCCCAATTGCACAAAAAATTACATATCTCTATTCTCTATCTCTGGGCTCATGTCATTTGTGTGAGCGGCAGTACTAGTTCGACACTATATTTATTAATATTGTTGCAGCCTATGTCATGAAGACAAGAAATTGGGATCTCTCCAAATCACTAAAACACGTCAAAGAAAGGAGAAATTGTGTAAAGCCAAATCCTAACTTTATGAAACAACTGGAAGTTTACGAGGTACTATGTAAATATTGTCATTATCAACGACAGACCACCACTATGAAATCACATTAACTTTGCTGATTAATTTATCTTCAGGGCATACTAACCGCAAAGCGGTTCAGCACAACCTTGGAAAAAAGATCCAAATCGGAGTCAAACTTAAAACAGAGTGACAAATCAATGTTGCTCGCACGAAGTAATGATAGAGTCATGTGTTCATCCAACAGTGATATTACCGAGAATGGGGTCGACATGAAATCTCATAAAAAATATTTTAACACTGCACCTGCTCGCCTAAAGCCTGAAAAGAATGGTCGAAAACTAGTGGACATTCTTAAACCAAAAAGTTCCTCATGCGCAGCCATACTAACGGATAAACATGAGCTGCAAAATATTGTCCCACCCGAAGTTCTCTCATCGTTCGAAGCTGCTGTCAGTGTTCTTGAAAATCCGACCGTGACCTCAAACTCGTACTGTGATGTACAAGGTATGCTTGATTGATGATACATATATCTTTCCTTCCTTCGTTACTCGTTTCAAGAGGAACCTGTGTAACTATAGTAACTGACTTATTTGTCCATTGAGCTAATTGTTACTTGTTACAGAAGCTCCGTGTCATCGTCTTACGTCAACTACAACAACAACAAAAACAACGTCAACTTTCATTAGTTTGGAAGTTCCTGTAGTGACGGTGACTGCTGAAGAAGAAGGAGAGGACCCCGTAGAATTTGTGCCTTCTACTTCTCCCGAAAAGTTGAATTATTTTGTGTCCGAGGAACCCGTTAGTTTTCAAGACTTTTTATTGGATAACAATGACCTCACAACCTCTATGATCCCACTACCACCCCCAATGGATGAAAGTATGGACACCGAAGTTCTTCTGACAGATCATCACACGGAATGTTCAAACACTGATGATCCAAAAAAGGCAATGAATTTAAAGTGTTGCAGGAGACCATATAATGGTCACACGTTCAGCGTTTCCCCCAACCAAGTCGTCAACATTACTTCCATCGTTGACTACTCAAAATTCAGTGTGCGTCACCTGGTTAATGAATTTGAATTGCACAGCAAAGGCAGTGGTGGTTCTTCAGGCGAGAGTACAAATGCTCTTGAGATTCTAAGTCATAAAACAGTACGAAGTCCACATAGAACAAAAGTTAGAGCGAAATTATTGGATAATTGTGATACGGATTATACGAGTAGTGAAGATAACCAAGAATCGGACAGTGTGCCAATCCTTCCTCAATTTCCAGACTCTCACGCAGTGCACACCGGAACAATGAGTTTGAGGGATTTTCAAACCAATAAATCTAGTAAAAAAGTTGAAAAGCTGGGTTGTCTCCCATTCTTCAGAAAATACTCATCCTCAATGTCAAAGAGTTCTCAAAACAAGAATGCGGTCGGACCCGGGGGCAGTCACACCAAAAATTCCTCTGGGAGTAAATCTCGAAAAGGGAAACTGATGGAAAAGTTGAGTAGTGAGAGTGGGGACTGCATTTCTCCCCTGGAACAACTCCCAGCCAAATACCAGTCCACAGGGGTAGTGAAACAAAGACTGGAAGCATTCGAGGCTAAAGCATCCCCACATTCTAAGCATCAACTATTTTTTCGGTCTCATAACCGGTCTCACAGTGCCACCGGATCATCCGGTAGTCTTCAGTTTGAGTCATTGGGACACTTGTCGCAGAGAAAATCGTCAATGCCGCAGTTGGGGTCTAGAAGTTCAGAGTTTGATTCCCCAACGTTTCAACGTCTTCCAATAATCCAGTCATCGTCAGACCGGAAAGCCTCGCTCGACTCGAACGGACTCTTTAAAAGCTTTCCATGCCCGATGGTTAGAGGATTTCAAAATTCTGGATCCAAATCATTTTTCTCAACCTCTCCAAATTCAAGCAGTCGAGTACAACATGGAAGTACACATCCTCTCAATCTTCTTCCACGAACCCCGACCTTGACGTAAAATTAATTGTGGTAGAAGGTTAAATTGACAGCCGCACAAAACTCCAAAAACAAAAATGAAACCCAATAATTCACATATTTCGCAATAATAAAATTATATGTATACTTTCTTTATATTTATTATTCCCGATTAATTAATAACGTTTGTATCGTCAAAACATAATGAGAGCATAATATTGAAATTATGACATTGGATTATATTTATTACATGAAATAAACAAGTATCTACATATGCTTCTCGTACATAAGAACTGTGACATGACATGAGATTTAGCCACCATATTGCATTCGTAAAAAAGACATACGAGACTATTACAAACATTGGTATGGATATAAATGTACTAAGTTAATTGGAATTTACTGCATATTGTTCTTATGCATAAGTATTACGATTACTTTTTCAAAATCCGATTCATATCCTTAGTTTGCGATTGAACCTTGAAGTCTACATCTTCCGTCTTATTAGTAATTCGACCCAACAATACATTTTGATCTTCAATTTCTTTGTTGAGGTCCAATCCCAAATTTTTGAGCCGTGAAATGGAAAGCCCGATATCTTCTAAATTTTTGTCAAGTATACTATCAACATCTTGAGAGCGCATTGGTTCATCAGAGCGAAATCGTTCAACCGGATGAACACTGCTTTTGGCGTCCACTTCCGTCTTCTCCAAAACTTGCGCCAATCTAGTTTTAGTATCTGGAACATTGTCAACTTCTTTGTTCAGATCTCCTCCAGAAACCGATGTGGACATTTTTGCTGCATCGTTTTTGCTCCCAGAAAAATAGTTTTTCAGACTTCCAAATACGCTCTACGCATACATATTTACAAGAATAAGTACAAAATCGACTAGGATAGTTGAAACTGTATTATTTTAAATGGGTAATTGAACAATTTGTATGTACCTTAATGCCTTGAATGTGTCTTTGACTAACACGCAGCGTCGTATTGATCTCATCCAACTTGCTTTCAGTATTTTTCAGTTGTTCTCGTTGACGGTCCAGTTCCTACATATGTCAAAAAACAATTACTGTCATAAATAATCCACTCTTCTGCTGCACTATTTAAAGCATGTCACTAATATAAAAAATACCTCAGCAGTTGCTGCTCCAACAGCTTCAGACTCGTGCAATAAACCAATTGAACGGAAAGAAGATTGAATTGTACGTTCTTCAATTTTCCTTCGTTCCTCTAACAATTGCTGGTGACGATCTTCAATAGTGGATGACTCATACGCACGTCGACCAGATCGAAGAAAGGCTGCATCGTCGTCATCCGTCGTGGAGAAAAATGGGGTGCTTTTATCATATTGATAACTGGATCCAGCCATTGTTAAATTAACTACCTCTAATACTTCACAGATGTGATTCAATTAAATCGTTAGTAGTATGTTGTTGATGGCTTGACGATTCGTCAATGACGAAATTTGAAAAGAAAACTACAATAATTCTATCAGAGGGAATAACACGATGTTGAAAAATGGCAACTTCCAAATTATTCAAAGTTATAGATGATAATGATGATGAAAGAGGAAGAAACTAATTATTGTAGATTTTCAATTTATTTATACTAATTCTTCCACCCACAATTTGGAAAGTAGAGCGTATGACTGACTCACTTTTTATTACTCCACTCCTACCACCACCACCACGATCAAAACTTGTATGCATGTAAGTGTGGAGAAAGCTTTTTTACTATGCATTCTCACTACACAAACCACTTTCACCAGGCAATGCCAATTTGAATCAAGGATTGCAACAAAGAATATCCCAATTATTTTTTTAAACATTTATGAACATTTTATTTCTTCTCAACTCTTCTGGCAGCGTACAAATTTAGAGAAGGAGAAGGTAGAAAGTTGAAAGGCAAGCAGGTAATCAATTAACTGGACAGGAAATTAGAAACTAAAGTTATAATATGACAATTTTATTATGATTGGACATGTCAAAATTGTGAACTCGCTCTATAACTTCTTTTTAAATGCCTCCAACTCCTTCATATACTTCTCGATTTGGGCGCAAACCTGTCGTAGAGGTTCGGTGCCGTTCTTCTTCCCTAAAGTAAAATAATCCCATGTTTTTATTATAAATGAACGATATCGAAATATTACCTAAAGAAACAACTCCTTTGGCAAGAGGTTTACCCTTCTCATCCCGTAGCCCTAATAAAACGACATAAAGCTATAAAAAGGCGACAACGCGAAATAAGACGACTTCTAAAAATTACCAACCGTCGTATTCCTCCTCCAGCTTTTTTAGACTAGTGTCTGCCTGCGTCCTTATTACGTTGATGTGCATGATTACGCTCTCTAAAATTAAGTACGTAAAAATATATATCGGAAGCCATAATAAGTTTTACCTACATACTTACCAATGCTTTTGATCGCTTTTTTCTTTCCCTTCTTTTCTAAAGGATCCAATTTATCCATTCTCACTAACTAAAAAAATCCTTATTTGAAATTATTTTCAGAGTAATACCGGTTTTATTTTGACAGAAATGCTTTGAGAGAGGCTACTATTTATCTTCTCTTAAAATTGCAAATTTTTGAGATTGCATAATGTATGTAAGCATCCACCAAGCTTGCAAATATTCTTACCACATCCATTGGCTCTGTATATCCCATTTTAAATGTTCGTTAGTCCAGTCAAATATGCAAAAGTCTGAAGCACTCCTGAAGAAAGAATGTCACTGCTAAAGCGTTGACGAAATAGTGTAACATCTATAACCTAACACCCAACATTTTGTCATTCTACGGTACTTGGCCTTCGAAACAGTCTCCCTTTATATTTATTTATATCATTCCTAGTAAACCCAAACCTTTCACAAATATTTTCATGGACGATGTATTTATTTATACCTAAAGTCGTACGAGACTATTACAAACATTGACATGGACATAAACGAACCATGTTAAAGAATTTTGTTTACTCCATATTGTTCTTATGCATAAGCATAAAGATTACTTTTTCAAAACCCGATTCGTAATAGGAATTTCATATCCTTAGTCCGTCCCTACTTTACTACTTTGACAATCGTCGTTGTTATTTTAAATCATTTTATTCACATCTCCTTTACATAAAGTTACCAACAAATCAGCATGAATGTTGCAAATATGCAGTTACAGTAATGCGACAAATATATATTCATGGCTTTATGCTTATGTATGTGACAAAGAGTTGCAAAACAAGGATACTGCAGAGATGATTTGATTTGACGTATTTTATTTGCACTGAACATGAGTGTGTGTGACGTGACATCATCAGTTCCTTCATTTCTTAAGTTTCACACAAATTTGATTGATTATTGTTCTACGCTAGTATTAACAATGGCGTTAATATTGTTACGTATTATAACCATGTAAACTATTAGATATTTACATTAAGTGTTAATCTCAAACATTTATAATTAATTAATACCTATACAACTAGGTAAATTTAGGTCAAGAAAAAACAACAGAGAAATTAGTGTATAGTTTAGAAAATTGCATGAATGATTGCATGATATGAAATTTCTATGAAGTTAAGGTGATTCTTATCTAGTGGAAATGTAAAGATCATCTAAATGTCATAGGTATGTATGTATATGTTACCACTTATGTATGCATGTCAACTAATTTAATGCATATAATGCGATAATTTTAATCGTTCGTTTTTTTGTTGGGTAATTATGAAGATTGGTTAATTTTTTCCGGTGAATACCGCACGCTGCTGATATAGCAAAAAGTAATCTCATCGTTTCTAGATTTCATATTGTATCATCATCCAGTTCGGGCAGTCAGTGTTGTACTTAAAAATTAACATTCATACAAAATCTTTACTGTACAAACTATTGTGATATCTTAATACAAAATCAAAATTTATCCTTTGTCTCATCCTCAGAATTTTTTGTATCGTAGAGAAATTCCCCCAAAAAATTGTATCATATCCATTATTTTATTGAATCTATATATTTAAGCACATCCGAAGTGTATAGACATAAAAAGTACCAATTTGGGTTTACAACAGACTCTGTGCTGGGATTGTGAGCGCGTATGTATTTACATTGAAAACGAATATTATGTATGTAAAGAGAGATTTATTGTGTAATTATAACAAGACTTACTAATTAATTATCATCTTGACTATCATACGGCTGGTCCAGAAGTCCTCTCTTTTTTTGTCCCAAACTCCTTCATTCATGCTCGTTTCGTAATTATTCCTAAATACGTAATCCATTCATGCAGAAACCTAATAATTGCTTCGTGGGACCTAAAAATCCATATAAAACGATGCGTAATTCGAAGACCAACACGTTGAAAAAAAGAGTTTCTTTTTTCCTGTACAAGGTTATTGAGCAAATGAAAAGTTACTAAAAATAATATGAAAAAGCGACAAATAAAAAAAAATAGCAAACAAGTCTGAATTTTTCTTTTAAAATTGCATTGTGGCAAGTTGTATTTCAATACAAGATTATATCATTTCGTTTATCATCAACTGATTGGTTATACAAGACGGCGTTGAACGTATGTATTTCGAAATAATAATATAACGATATAAAATCAAATAATTATGCTATTGTTTTTACATAACATGTAAAATGCATGGTGGGTACTTGTACTAAAACACCGAGAAAAAATATTCAATAATTCACAAAAAAGCTTAAAACAATGATACAATACGAGGTAAAATTAAATAAAGCTACAAGCTACACATGTGTAAATATGCATTTTACTTATAAATGTATGTATGTAACTAGTAGCTAAAAATGTGTATGAACTAGCAATATATAAAATGGTACTACATATTTACGTAATAAGCACAGCAATAAATAAAAGGATATGAAAAATAAAATTTATAATTGCTACTCTATCCTCCTCCTCCTCCTACGTAAGCTTACACCTACATCCACGTGATTTTGTGTCCATTCATTAAAACCATTACAACTTAAAGTAAGTTTAGCACTACTGTTTCTCATACAGCTAAGTATGTAAGTAAATTGCGATCCTTCGCACTTCTTTCTGCATGGGATGCATGCATGCACTCATTTAATTTAATTATTCGATTCCGAACTGTAAAGCCATAAATTGCTACCATTAAGTGAATATAATCACGACCTTTCCGTGCTTGATGACAGTCTCAACACATATTTTTAGAGCGTGTAAGATACAAGACGAACAATGAATAAGGAGATTTTTATTCTCCTAAAATTTGGAAAGTACAAGACTCTTTCTTCTTCTTGGTATTATTGAGTTGGTTGTCTGTGCAGGTGATTTTTTGACAAATGTACTAATTTTATTAGTGGTACAACAGGTACAGGGTACAGCGTCACTTTTTTTCTCTTAAACGAAATTCACCGGTCATGATAAAAGTTAAAGCTGTAATTGTCATTATTCTGATAATGAAATGAAGACGGGGGGAAAAGAGGAAGACTGGGCTGGGAAGAAGGTCAATTGGTGAACAATTTGGTGAAAGTAAGTTTCTTTAAAGTGACCAAAGGCAAAGTGCAGTTTTGGAAATGTTTTACGAGTAATTTTGAAGTAAAATTCATGACTTGGAGAAAGCTGAATATTACTGAAACACTTCATTACTCGCACTTTCTGAGTACAAATAATGATGTATTTAGCAGCATATTTATGCATATTGAGTATTTCGAAATTCGTATTATTCTATGTATAACCAACCACCAAGACAATAATGATAACGGTATTAAAACACAGAGTGCACTGAATGATTAGCTATCCAAATTCACGCATTATAATAAATAACTACTTAACTGACACCGAAGTTAATTTAATTGGGAGTGAGTTTAGATCATCCGCTTATGAAAAATATACTTTTATGATAAGAGTATTACATGTAATTTTCAATGGAACGGCTCACAATTCAGGCCTGAGTATTTTTAAGTTTTAGAGAATTAGACAGTTTTATACGGTAAAGAAAAACCTCTTTTTGGTTGAAAGAGTCGAATTGTGACCGTGTCGAGAGGCGAGTATAGTTTTTTTTGTATAAATGGAATCTCTCCAATGGGGGATAAAGAGATGGAGGGTTGCGTATAGCAGCAAGTATGCGATAAGATAAGTAAGAGAATAATTAGAAAATGGGGTTTCGTCTCGTTTCGAAGAGTACATTTGTATCTGTTTAAATCGCCACGTGTGTTGGTGCTACGTAATTAATTACCAATAATTCAGAACAGAAAAGGCAGGAAGACAAGAAGGAGCTGAAAATTCCTATGAGTTGAGGATGACAACGACGACGGACATGTTGACACCGAGCGAATTACTGACCTTAGGTTATCAAGTGGCTACATATACACACAAGAGGAGGACAAGTGTAGAATTAAATAAAGATTACAACTGTGAGCGAACACCGTGGAGCTGAGATTGGACTGGACACCGTTGACACCGATGCAATATGGGTAACTTCATGTGTGTTTGTGTACACTTGGTTCATCAAATGGATAACTTTCGTAACTTGGTAATTTTTAGCAGTATACATCATTAAGCGGCTGTATGTATATGACGATCTCTATAACTCCATTATACTGATAACCGCAAGAGGTGATAGTCATAGTTAAGGTTTGCTAATAATAATAATAATAATGCTAATAATAATAATCGTAACTTTTCAAGTAAAAAACTTGACGATTCCATTCCACGTCAACTACTCCGCATACGCAATGTCACGACCCCAGGAATTCTGGACGACGACGTCGACGTGTACTGTAAAGCCTGATACAGAGACGACTCACTACTTCTACTGCTACTACTAGTCCTGTAAACTAACATATAACTGGGTAAAGTCATGAATATCACAAAATTAGATTCCATTGTATCGTAATCAATGAAGTCGTGTGGTTCATAATAATAACAAGCAGACCGATTAATGTAATAACTTAATACTAGCAAATTGACTCTCTACCTTCACCTCCAAATCGAGCATCGTCTCGTCTCAACAGTACATACAGGCGTGTTTTACACTACACATACACTACGTATACATACGCCTATTAGTACTTTGAAAGTGAAAAACTTGCATAACATTGTAGTAATAAAACTGCATTAATTTGTCAATATAAAGGTAGTAGTTACAAAGGGTATGATATATTATGTATGTATATTGTATATACCAAGGTGTAGAGATTCACGGGAATAATTGCATTTACATTGCACAAATTTTTACTTTCTTTCTCCCCACACACTTATAAATTATCTTAGTACTCTTTTTGTTGCAGTTGCCATCAAGATGACCTGGCCACGGGAATCATGCCCTTACACAAAAAATTGTCTTTGTCTTCTTCTTCTTTGAGTGTGTGCAGGTGTGTGTGAAGGTGTGTGGCTATTTTTGGGGTAATTCAATATTATAGGGGCCAGACTCGGGTAACTATCAACAGCAGTCTTAGAAATTTAATCCCCATTTTCATCATCGCTCTCGACTTCCTCCTTTAGCTGGACTTGCTCTCGTTTTTCCTCCTTGTCGCCATCTTCTTCTTCCTCGTCGTCGTCGGCGGCGGCGACGGCGGCGACGGTGGCGGCATGAGCACCTGGAATAATGTCTTTCTGTTCCGGAGTACTTTCCTTTTCTGCTTTCACTTTCGCTTCTTGAGGTTCATGAGATTCCTCTTCGTCACTTTTACCACCAACAATTGAGCCTTCACGAGAATCGACGTATTTCGGCTTGACAGCCTCGGACGGTGAGTTTGGTTCAGGCCTTTCCTTGTTGCCACTGTAGTTTATCGCGTTTTGAAACACACAGACACCGTTGATAACTTCCTCATCGTCAGAGTCGTCATGCCATGAGGGGTTGAACCATTGTGGGGCAACGGGCTTCCGACGGGAAGAACCAGAACCAGGAGCTACTCCGTGCTTACCTCCTGTGAATATGGGAATATATTTGGTTAATTAAAGTAACTAGTTAATTAATTATTATATAAAGAACAATAGTTTACCTGCGGACATGGACTTTTCGGGTAGCGAGTTCATTGACAAGGATAATGACTTTCTTTTGCGGTGAAGCGTTCTGCTTGAATTAGATGCGCACGAATCCTCACTTGCAACACTTCCCTGAAATACAAAAACACAATAACGTGAGACACATTGTTGAAGGAGAAAGTACAGAAAAGAAAGTGGCAATTGCCTCATTGTCATCGTCTTCATCTTCCTCTTCGAAAAAGTCATCGTCTGAGTGCACCCTTGATGCCGTGTTACTAACTGTGAGATCTAGGCCTTCCTCAATAGACTGGTCGGACTGTTGTCCCATAAATGAAAACATTGGGAACTTATCCTTGTGCAACTCCAGTAACCTCTGATGCAAAAGTAGCCGGAATTGAACAGGATCAAACGGCTGAGAAGCTTCTGAACAAAAACACAAGAAAGAAAGATAAAATATTGCATTAATTAAGTTATGCCACATTTTTATTTAAACTGAGCATACCTTGAACTAAGGGGGACGAAGTCTGCTGCTTTAATCGCATTCGATGATTGTGGAACCAATTTGTGATTGTTCTAGAGGAAAGTGCCAGCTCACGGGCCAAAAATTCAATAGCTGCAATATTTGGGTATGGATCCAGAGCAAATGCGCTGAAATTCAAGAAACAAAAACGTATAAAAACTAAGCATGAGCATTCATAAAGGATTTGCGATATCTCATTTCAAAAATTACTTACAGTTTTAAAGCTTCTTTTTGCTCTTCGGAAAATAAGACCTGTAGAAACAGTATTGATTTATAATAATTTTAACATCATGTTCAATGTGCAGTTTTTTCACCCAGTTTATTTCTGCACACTTACTCTTTGCTTTTTGTTTGGCGGAGCTGCAGCATTGCTACTTCCTGGACTGTACGAGTCGTTGGGAGAATCGTTGGAGTTATCGGACGAGCCTTGAGTCCCAGAACCGTAGGCGTCCATGGGCGAGTTCGAGTGGGGGAGTCCCCTCTTCCGCTTATTCGCCTCACGCCTCTCGTTCTTCAAATGTTGCAACCTTTAAAAAAAGAGATGCTTTGATGCTACTTCAAATCTTATTATCAGTATTTTTAACTAGTCTCGTGGTTCTTAAATGCTAATCACTTGTGATAGAAATTAAATTGATGTAATATTACCTCTCAACATTTAAGGGATCAGCCAACCAGAGTTGCATCCTGATAAATGGTTCTCTTCCTTTGATGGACAGCATGTGCCATGGTTTTGGTTTGGACAACAATTCGCTCACAGATCCTTGCGATAGACCAAGCACCGCTTCACCAAATATCTGAAATCAACCCATTTCTCATAAAGCTAATTGACCTTTGAAAAATCATTCCCAATAATATTTCACGGATTTGTAGCAAACCTTTTGCCCAATATTGTTGGCAAGAAGGGCTTCCTTAATTTTTGTCGTGATGAGCTGCGTGTCCAGGTCTTGGGTTAGGGCTGCCATTTCATACACGCTGGGCTGAGGCTGCAGCCCTGGTGGGGGTGGTCGATGGTGAGAAGCAGAATTTGGAATGGAATTTCCAGGAGAGGAGGAGTTTGACTTCTTGATAAAGTCATGAACCATGTTTGGAACGATCTGCTGAGGTGTAGAGGGCATTGGTGGAGGTGGCGGTGGCAGAGATGACGTTTCAACCTTAATCGACAGCTCGGCCGGTTTCGCAGGGACTTTTGCGGAAGTAAGTGGAGCTAAAATTAATAACACTTAATTGTAAAATTTTGGTGTTGTTATTAAATTGTCAATAATTAATTTGTGAAATACTGAAAATTTGGAATTATTTTGATAATTTTGTAAAATTCGTACTTGGATTTCCTGCATACCCACCGGTTCTCATCAATTTTTCCGGAGCAATTTTATACTGTGAAGCCACCAACTTGTGGACAGCGTTCTCATCCTCCAGAAACATTTTCATACGAATAAATGGTTCTCTGCCCTTCTGTGTGAGCATATGCCATGGTTTGGGTCTGGCCAATAAATCACTGACGGAACCTTGCGACAGACCGAGAACAGATTCCCCGAAAAGCCTCTGAGAGATCGAATATTGACTCAGTTGCTCCTTAACCTGTCACAACAAAGAGGTCCGTGTTGTACGACTCACAGCCACATGAAACGTAATCATGATCAGTACTGACCAGTCTGTGTCTTACCTTGCGAACAATATCTTCAGTATTGAGATTGTTATACTGATCGAACTGTTGCTGGGTGATTGGGGGTAGCACGGCCTTCAAAGGTCTCTGATTAGGTGATGCCACGGATGGAGCGGTGGGCTGTTTAAGTAAAATTACAACGTTATCATAATATCCAGAGAATGGTTATTTTTTTAATTTTATCACAATATTCAACAATGCATCACTCGAAACAGCATGGAACAATACCTGAGAAATGAGGGAGTTGGTGATGGATGCCATACGTTGCAGTGGGGAAGCGTTGGAAGAGTCGTCCGCATTTGACGGGGGAAGAATTGAGTTTAAGGGTGAAGGTGCACCAGAGTTTGATTCACCTGATAAATAAAAAAGACATATTTTTATTAACCTATTAATTTGGCTGATTCAAATCAACTAAAATTCTGAAAGGGTTGTTCCCACTTTGAGGAACTTACCGACGCTCAAGTCGCCTCGCTCACCTTTAGGTCGTACCAAGGAAAACGCACTTCCCACGTGTCGCATAATGTCCGACCCATCGTCCTTGTCCGACTGTATGGGAGAAAATAAAAGGATTAAGGTGATGACGTCATCCGGACAAGAGTTGCAAACTATTTAATCAAAAAGACTTACCTTGTCGTCTTTGTCTTTGGTGTCGAATGGGGAAAGTCTTTTCGGCATGGTCAGATCTTGAGCACCGCTAAGCCCATTAATATTTGGGAGTGGAGCACCGGGGTGGAAATGTGGCGGGGGAAATTGAGGGGAGGAGCCGGATGTGGATGAAGCAGCCAATTTAGCTAACTCCCTGTGATAGGCTGCAATGCAATTGATACATACACATTTAGTTAGAAAAACCTCAATCTAAACACATTCCAGACAATTAAGTCAGAAGCACCATTATCAAAACTTACCATCCAACGCCTTCAGAATACATAGAAAAAAATACGGTACAATTAATTTCACAATTCCTAATTTTGGCTTTAAAAAGTTGCAAAATTTGAGTCAATCAATTTCTCAGACTTACCATGCGTATGTCCTCTCGTTCCAACAAGGAACCCCCAAAGAGGTGAGGGAACAACAAGCTGTGGAGAAAGAAAAATGGTCACACATACTTTTACCCCCGTGCGGACGCTTAGTATCGAAACAGGGTCAGCCTTACCTCTGATAGTGCTCACGGGGTATCCTCGGGTCATCCAAGGAATGGGGCAATCGTATTCCGGCCAGCTTTGCCAATTCCTCCTGATAAATGCGAGCCACTTGCTCCTGAGGGATGTCGTCATTCTCATACTTTCTCATCCTCCTCTCACGCTCGCGGTCTCGGGCAGAGGAGGTGCTGAGGGGGGAGGGACACTGCCCATTGTTATTGCACCCATTATTGTTGACGCTGAGGGGTGACTTGGAGCCCCCACTCTCATCACTAAGAAGAAAATGTTAGCTGAATGAAGTCCCGTTTTTTAGCATAAGATCGCTGGTTAGTCTCACTTACCAGAATGAGTCTTGAGTCCCACTATTGTTCATGTTGTGACTTCGCTGCTGCAGGGCCTGATTTGCTTCTGAGAGAATGTGCGCAATGCGATCTTCTGCTCCAGAGTCTTCACATCGGAAGGAGGCTGGTAAATTGTTGCCATCTTTTCCTTCAACACCAGGAGAGACCATACCAAAATCAGCCATATAAATGTCCGTTCATAACACATTTGTAATAATTTATTGGCTCTTTGACTCAAAATGACTTTTGCGTAGGTAGAGGCAAAGTTCTTATTGGTCAACATTTTGGGCTACAACTCCCATTTTAAACAATGCATATTTCATATTTACCCAAACTTGTTCAATCCAATTCACTAACTGCGAGCCTCTCTCTGAGAGATGAGTTAAGAAGGAGGAATGCTATACAAATCGTAGAAGAATACGACGACGACGTGTCTCAGGTGAGACTGGTCTGCATTACATGTTCATGCACCATTATCCTCCTCATACACAATATTGGCAAGAATTACTAGAGTTTTTCAGAGAACAGTATGATTCTTGAAAATTATTAAACGATTATTGTTACGACGAGTAGGTAGGAGACTAGGCAATCAAGAAAACTGCATAAAAATCACATAAGTCATTCGGAAGGTGAGATTGATTGGGCATTTAGGCCGGAGTGTCATTGAAACAACACCAAATGTACAATATGATTTTGTAATTGTCAACTTTTATAAATTGTGAACATGCACAAACCAAAAAAATATACATATAATCTGTCCATCCATCCATTCAAATAAATAGATAAATATGGCCAATAACCCTTTCCTACGGCTAAACGACGTACGTCAAAAGTGGTTCAATTGAAGCCAACAAGACTTGAATTGAATTGAGATGACGAGAATTTTCTGTACTGGTCGTCACATCTGCATCATCTACGCGATGTGTAAGACATAAATCCATGAATTATTGATAATGACAGTAATGGTTTTTGCGTCTACATGCACAAAATATCGAGGAGGTAACAGAAGCAGGACGACGACAACAACAACGATAGAAAATATAGTTCCACCATCAAAAGTCCACCACGTTTCTCTCTCTTTTAAGCAGCAGCATTAACAGCAATTATTATGTAGCTTTACTACTCCGATCGTGTAAATCGAGCGTAAACAGCTTCATTTTGTGAGTGAGTGAGCGAGGAGTGGAGTTATTACACAGGATTTCCGTTCCCGAGTCGAACCAAACCAAACCGATTTACCTAGATCCAAAAGATATATCCAGAGATAATTTTATAAAAAAACTGATTTGCAGCTTTGAGAGGAAATGAAGTTCGACTGCTAACAATTCAGCACCACTTTCCACTTGATGGACTCGCCTTCAGCTTATTGGACTCGACCCCCACAACATAAAAAGAATATGAACTCTGCAACTAGTAACTACCCACTGAATCAGAAATGAACACGCCGTGTGTTGTTTCCTTTCCACCACACTGTTAACTCTCCTGACTAATAAATAGTCGAAAAATACCTGCTTTTGAGCCAATAATAAATGAGCTTTTATATTCCAGCAGCAGCACAATAATAATAATTCTGCAGAGAGAGAGGTGAGGGTATCAAATTGAATACAGCCCATCAAACACACTGCAATCTCAAGATCTCTCCTCGCGACCGGTTCCAAGTTCCAGTATTTATCTGCATTCAGCAGCTTAATAATAATGTATTGTGTCTGTCCAGCTAGCCATTACTACATTGACCAATTGCCATGCCATGGGTCCACCTGAGCCAAAACGTCAATACGCAGTCATAAAAGAGAGAGAGAGAGAGGGTTGAAAAAACAATGAGTTGGTGGGTCGACAGGAGCCGATCATACTTAAGTATCTGCATAATATGCATGTAAAAGGATTCATACATTTTGTTGCTTTGGCTTTTTTGGTGGAGGAATTCTGTGAATAATAAAATATCGGATTGAGATGAGACTGGTGGAGTTGGTATTTGGTAGGAATTGAGCAGGCTTTCCTCATTATTGGGATGCTCTGGGGTTCCCAATGCTAATAGGAGCGATGCCCATTACCACATTAATCTTGCCTTAATGTGAGTGCGTCTTGGAGTTAAAAATCAGAAACGCATCTTAAAAGGAGAGTGTCGGTTCACCTTTTCCATGTACGAGGCTAACTTATGGCTCCATAATGTCAAACGTTATGTGCAGTCATATGAATATTATTGAGACAATAATGGCTCCATGAGAATACCTTTGAGCCGTGAGCTCATCCCACCGCTGCGGACTGATCAAGTTGGTTTTTCAAAATCCTATCAGAAGAGATCAAGCTAATAACGTGAACAAACGACTATCGAGTAATCGCTTCGCACTCTTGAGGTCCATCGCGTCTTCTTGGGGCTGCAGACAAAAAAGAGCAGTTTACCCCAGAGGGCCTTCGACCAGAGAGTTGTTCCAAGTCGTTAAGTTGGATCATAACCATACTGTTTATGAGGATATTTTCTGTCCATCTTTAACTATCAAATTTACATTCAAAAAGGGTTTGTCAAGCTGCTCAAAACCACTACACCAACATCCCATTGTGCTCTCAGGATGATTCCCCATGCTGGCTGGCTACTTCTCGCTGCATCTCCATCATAACTGCAATCCCACACTGAGGGAATGGATGGACCAAGTATCAAAAACAGTAATTTCAATAAATAACGATTATCGCATTACAATACTTGATGTAAATTACTTTGATTGCACAATCCTCCACAACCCGTCAGTCAAATGGTCTCACTGATCATCCCAAAAAGCAGGACACTAATGAGCCGCCTATTCCACAACCTGCGAGCTTTAATGCTCCTTTCACACCGAACCCTCCGAGTGTCAGCTAGCCAAGAAATATCACCGATTGCTACGACATTAAGTTTTCCATTACACTTGCATAACGACCTGCTCCCTAAATAAGCAACCACCACATCTTCTCAGCAACATCGTCCAACCATGCATCGTCTATTTTCTTGGGTAAACACACACCACCACCACGATGTCAACCTCGGTCCCAGTGTCAAAACATTACGTAACACCCACCACTTACTAAATATCATCCTTTCATGATAGCTCTTTTGTCGTCGTTTTAATGAATATTAGGCCGGTTAATATTTAGAGCCCCCTAATTTGACCCGCTATGAATGTATGTACAAATGAATGACTGGCTCTCAAAACTTGATAGCAATGAGGATAAATTCACTTTGGGCAAGTATGCTATGACACGATGCAGGTGTGCGAACCACCTTATTTTTTTAAAGCAAATAGCTGATGTCATTATTAAAATGTGAACATTTATAAATGTTGAACATAAAATGAAATCCCGTTCATTGAGATCTTAATAATAATAAATAAAGACATTTTTTTTCTTTAAACTTCACTCTGCGCCCAGAGTCAACTTCTCCTTTGGTAATTATTATGTAACTTTCTCCTCGTGACAAGATGCACTTAATTGCATATGCTCATAGATACATTTAGATATTTGGAGGTATGTGTGTTCTTTTTTCTTGGAATGAGATCCCCCAATAATGACTTGTCGTCTGGCGTGCGCGTCTCCTGAGAGGTTGTTCCCAGAAGAAGAAGAGAAAGACGGGATAGATAAGTATTTAGATACACAATTAATAAAAGTGCGTGGGTATTTCCGTCCTATGCTGGCTGACACACACCTCGTCGTTCTGGCGGATCTGATCAAAGCGGAGGATGGAAATGGAGCAGGAATGGATTCGACTGACTACTGTCGGGAGAAAAGAACATGACGTGGAGAGTATCGGGAGAGGAATCATTGCATGTAAATGAGATGGTACACATAAATTTGAGTGTTACGATGATGTAAAGTGGAGCGTATGGATACTTGGCATCACGGATTGAGAGATATTTGTGTGTGACAGAGGTGGATTTGATAGACGGGGTGGATTGGAAGTTGTGATGTTTTTATTCCTGGTTGATTCGGGCAGCAGAAGAGAACGGCATTTGAGAGTCAAAATTGTTTCAAATCTATAAATACATATCCATGTCAAATAGCTATTCAACAGATTTTGAACATCTGGATAGAATAGGAAGAATCGAAAAATAGATTCGAGGATAATAATTGTGGAGTGCCGACACAGTCTCAGAGTTTTCTAGTTGACTCTCTGTGTGCCGGTCCTCTCACTTAATTGGCATACCAAACCCTTCTTCTTCTTCTTCTTTATAACCTTCCGAGATGATCCCTCGTCTTCTTCTTTCCTATCGCAGCTTTTCCCTTCCCTTCCTTTTCACATACGTGTCAATCGACTGTAAATTTTGGCGACTGTCTCCTCTAATTTGTTCCACACCAAAAATATCATCTACCACCAATCACTATCAGAGTATCAGTATATCCGTCTCTCTCTTCTCGGAACATCGGCTCATCACATAATACGACGACTTATTACATACGTACCCCCACCACCACCACCACGAACGATCGAGATTCAGATACACACACGTCTCTTCCTCTAAACGTTCCATTAACAAAGTGACAACTTGGCCCATGCGTCGTTATAAATAAATAAAGTTCATAATCGCAGACCAAAATTAATTCATATCAGAGCAACTTGTTTGCCTCATTTATTTATTACCTTTATTCCTCCCTCCTCTTCTTCGTCTTCAGAAGAAGAAGAAGGTTGTGGAGAGAAGAACAAGGAAAAAAAACTGGCCTGCTGCTTCGTTGTAATATTTAATAATCGTTCCACCGAAAGAATTTCTCACTTAATGCCTGCGTCTGTTACATGCATGCATGCATGCATATTATTCCTCCATTATTATCATCATAGTGCCACATGAATGAACATTGCCTGCACAACTTTCCTTGAGAAGTGTGCACAAAATTCTTCTCTGGCTGGACTACCATTATTCCGCTTCCTATACGGAGAGAGACCCTCCACAATATAAAGAGCTACCTACCCAACTGCTATTAATATTGGGCATGGAGTTCCTTATTGGAGAATTACCAGAGTGTTGTTGTAATGAAAAAATCAAAGAGTCGTTGATCGCATGAGTGCACAGCATCATCCTCATTACAACTAATTGTTCACAAGAAGAAATTTACGAGCCAATATCTATCTCATGATCATCTTGGTCCGCGATCCCAAAACAATAAAGCTCTTCGTCTTGGATGGGTTAGTGATGATGATGATGATGATCATGGTAGTCTGCACCGCTTTGGAGGAGATGATGATGGATGAAGGAAGGCATGATGCACATGTGGACACACGAATTTATATATATTTTCTACATATGTATACAGACAGCAGCGCCCACCTTTTGGCAGTTGGATGGTTGGCATACGATAAGACAAAGAGGAAGCTGGACTTGTTAATTGAAGTGAAATAGTTCTAGTGAAGAGATAAAGGAGACGATTAGTGGCCATTCCAGGCTACAATTTGATGTTTGTTTGTGGCGTTGATGAGCTACATGCATGGAAGTTGGCAGCAATAATAATAATACATATCTAATATCATGATCAGTAGTGGTGGTAGTGGTGGTAGCCGAGATGCTGGTGGTGGTTGTGGGGGGAGTTTGATGGAGGTATCGAAGAGGAGGATGCTTATTGTATTGTTATTACATATTACTGCGATATGAGAAGGTCTGAAGGGTGATTAAAGGGTTTGAGGAGAATAAAAATCAACGCATAAAAAACTGGGAGAGAAGTTTTATATCTTTTGACGTAATTTCCGTTTGCATTAGAAGTCATAAATTTTTCAAGGGCGACTGATTTTCTCCAGCCAGAGCAGAGCTCCTTATATATGTACCAACCATGCATGTTTGTAGCTACTATTTCGTGCTGGTTTGCCTAATATCCATTGTGTTCTCAATTCTCAATCAACGTAACGTAAGCCACGACGGCGAAGAAGAAGAAGACGACGACGACGAGAGAGCGAGGACTCAGGCAGACCATGCAATGATGATACGAATATTAGAAGATGGGAGTAAGATGGGCCCATAAATTTTAATTTAACTGTGAACCTTCTCTCATTTCTTGCCTCATTCTACCGATTGTTCATCACCGTGCAAGGTTGATGATGATGCATGCATTATTGAAGTGAATTTATTTAGTGAATCCATTCCGCAACGCACTTTTTTCCTCTTAATTGCGATTATAAAATAAATATTCTTGGAAACCACAGAAGCGTAGGATTCCTTTGCTCTGTAACAGCACACAGGATAGCGTATATCCTTGCATGGAAATAACAGATCGGTGACAGTGGCAGCCACCACGTTATTACAGATAAATGTTGGCATAATGAATAAATTGTCCTCATTCTTTTCCTCTTCTTTAAGGCATTTATAATATTTTTAGATGATGCTGATTGTTCTGGGTGTCCAGTTCACTCAAAAATAAGATATTGAAATTGTTCATACATACATACGCGCAACCTTCTTCTTTTATACATAATTGGATAATGGACCTGTTTTTTTCTCCCGTCCTACCTTCTTACCCATCGTATCAACCCTTGACTTCTGGTAAAGAAAAGCCGAGCTGTTGATATGAACTTGCCATGGAACGTACAAGTATTTAATACTCGATACGATATTTATTATTGCCATTCCGCATCATTGTAACTTGTTCCATACGTGTGCAGTTGTGGTGTGTGAATCATTGGCCATATGCGCTGTTTAAAATTCACGGATGCAGAATCGTGGAAATGAAGTGGAATTGAATGTATCGAAGACGAGCAAGTCAGTCGGGTAACATGGGTGACTTGATGCATGGCTGTTTTTTTCTGCTGCCAGGAACTGAGATAGATATCATGATTAAATCGACCAAAGACACACACATGCTTGTCGTTTTTCGGAGTTAGCAATACAAGACGTAACAAACAAGTAAGTACACAACTAGTCCTCTGTTTCTCTTCCAACCAAGCCCATTGACATGCATGATAGCGGATAGCGTAATTTAATATGGAGTGAGTTGATTCCACGGCAGGAAGACGAGACAAGACGGGACAGGAAAGTTCGATTTGTGGTAATGAAATGTAAAAGTAATAAGGAGACTCTTGTAAGTAATAATAAGTGCACATGGCCTCCTCGCATGGAGGAAAGTACGTATGTACATATTACTAAATAATATTGAGTATGTAGCAGTGTATCCGATGGGAGAGGAATATTTAGTTCGGGGGAACAGTTGCGTCGGTGGGAAAAAATGATTGAACAAGTCATATGAGACAGGAGATTAGTGAACGAGTGGAGATATCTAATCCGTGGTATTCATAATGCATGATATGCACTCTTTCTTCACATCATCCTTCAACAGCGGCAGCAGGGAAGTCGAAGAAACGGAAACTGTTTCTGGGAGTTCGGTGTGGTTGGTAGTTGGTACTTTCCTATGTACGTTTGGTGATGATGTTGGCTGATTACTCACAAAAATTCACATCTAATAATTTGCTCTTCTTCTTCGCATGGATGAAGAAAACCACTGTTGGAACAATGAACTGGTTCGTTGTGGTCCGCAGCCAGCTTGACTGATTTTTGTACACTGGCCACCAACCAACTAACTACTGCTCAAGTGGTGGATGGATCGAACAGCTCGGACAACAATGCGTACATATATCTAGAAAATATAAGCCCAGTGAGAAAATTGAGTAAGTAGAAACATCATATTTCATAAAAAAAAATAAACAACGGCGAACCCATTAATGTATTTTTGATGAGGTATAAACAACTGATGATCCCCGCCGCTACCACAGAGCAGCGTCGTCGGGAGGAGAAAAACTTTTCTTTTCCTCGACTAAATCAGTACAACTTTTCCCATCTCTTTACTTACTTTTACAACCAATCTGCCCAAGTCTCACAAAACGAGAGGTTGTAATAACTCCTAAATCCACATCTCCTCCGAAGGAGCTCACAACCATCAACAACATTAACGACAGGCCAGAAATATAATATATAATATCCACATCTAGATTCGTCATTATTACACAACATTAGATCAACATCAACCAAGCGGCGGATAATATTTGGGATATTCATTCGTTGGATTGGTAAATGGTAAATCTCTCCCTGCCACATTCATGCACAAGCCAGCTACAAATCTATTTACTACTTACTGAATATTTCTGGTGGGGGTCATGTCTGTGCTCTCCCTTTTCTTTGCAAAGTGCCCATCAATAACATTTATTTATTTCGAGGCTCATTTTGTTTTGTCGGAAAAGTACCAGATTCGTGCATACATATGTTTCTCATCCTGCTGCTGCTGCTATATCAATCTAAACTTCGATTAGGATTGATCCAATTAAGCCTCGTAGCGATTGCTCTGCTCAATCTATAATATTTTTGATTGGACCATGTTTCAATTTTGAATTTGTTATGTATGTCCACTCAACAGAAGTAGCAGAACGTATGGACCAAAAGTAGCTATGACATGGGATGTGTGATCATTATGAGGTATTCCGTTAAGTGATATTTCAATTGGCTTTTATGCAGTCAATAAAGCTCGTATTATTAATTCAGTCCAACCATCAGCATGTTCATTATTGCCACTTCTTGCTACATACATGAGAGAAAAAGTGATGCTGTAATAATCCGAAAAGGATTGAAGAAAGCGAAGGATTGATATGGTTTCCCCTTCATTCTCATGTCTGTGATAATCATTGATGGTTAGTAACCATTAATGAAATGGGTGAACAAATTTGACCATTTTATTACATGATGCGACACAAACTTGGAGAGAACTTTGCCCACCAAGAAAAAAAATTAATTACCACAAAAAACCGAGTGCAATAATAGCAGCGATACTAACAATAATTACCAAACGTAAAGTCATTTTGATCAAAAATGCAAGAGAGAAAGTGTCACTAAAGTCAGTCTTACCTTTCTTGGGGATAAGTGATTTGAGAAGCAGAACAGAAGCGTCGTCTGCCGCCCATGCATGCATTTTACGGTACGAGTCGCGTCCCTTTTCAGTCAGTTTATCCCACGGTTTTGGTTTTGAAAGGAGTTCACTAACAGTTCCTTGGGACAGGCCTAGTACGTATTTTGCAAAGAGACGTTGCCCAATGTTGTGAATGGATAAGAGTTCCCGGACACGGCGAGCGATTTGCAGCGTGTCGAGACATTGGGAGCCAAATTTGTCCATCGAGTGTCGCAACATTTCTTGCAGTTTGGCCTCCATCGGGTCACTCTTGGGGATGAGGGAGTCCTCGTAGCGAAAGGGGAGTCGCCCCTCCCCATTCCCACCCCCCACCGACCCGTTGAGCATGGACTCCCTGTCCATGTTCATGTTGGACTCGCTGTCGTGAGGGGACTCGTCCTGTGGCGGAGGGGGCGAAGGGGACTCGGCGTTGTTCATGTGGTGGTGGTGACCCCCGCCGTGTTGCTGGGTTTGATGGTGCAGGCCAGGTGGAGACGAGGCGAGGAGACTTCGTTCCAAAGAACGTCGCCACTGGTGAACAATCTCATCGCCCAGAATGGACCCGAAAGCTTCCACGGGCAGGGCGGCTGCTGCGGGTCCCAAGAGAAATCTGGCTGGCATCATTGGAGAACCTGTTTGGATTCGCAAAAATTCGCTCATCAACTTGTCAGTCATTTGTCTAGTTCGCGTGTCAAACATGGGAAATGTGTCTTGTGAATCCAACAACATCAACTCAACCACCACCCCACTTTCCTGCAACACACATTTCAGAAGCCGGGTAGCAGTTTGTGTGTGAGTGGAAGATAGCAAGTTTGTAGTTGGAGTAGTATTTAATGTAGTGGGAGTAGTAGTAGAAGTAGTAAATGTGTGTCAGCAATGCCATGTACCAAAAGAGAGAGAGATTTAGAGACTGAGAGTGAGACAGAGAGCAAAATGAGGGTGGAAAAGTGAGAGATCGAGGAGTGTGGTGTGGTGCAAAATAAATACCAAATTGGGGAGAAAACTCCCCTCCCTCTCTCTCTGACGACGAGAACGACCACGTTAATAAATATCTGGTTCGGTTCGTGGAGGAACATCGGGTTCTAATCAGACCGAATTCAGAGAACGAACCCTCTTTCCATCCACTTTGTCATGTAACGGATCACTTTGACTCCACTTTGATTCAACAGATAGGCCATTCACTTCTGCTTCGTGCGAATCATCCAGCCACTAATACCCCATCCTCCGCCAAGATGACGATTTTATTTCTTTCGTGCTCTCATAATTAAATCAATTAAAAATGAAATTACAGGAATTAAACAAATCAAGTGAGCAGTGTGGAAGAAGAACTGTGATGACACATGTGTCGGGAACTGCTTCGAACAAAAGACGTCGACGACGATGACGACGGCTGAGAGAGCAAATTAAAATGATTCAAATAGTTCATCGAGCATGTTGCATGGGAAATAGCAGCAGCCGCAACAGCGGAATATTACGAAGGACAGGAAGAAAAAGGCTGTATTTATGTTGATCATCATGCCTGTGGTATGATGTGGTACGTAATAAGACGCGGTTTGAGATATGCAATGCATGCACCAGTTTTATTGCCACAAGACATTTCGGGGGATCGAATAATAATTGGTATGAAGAGCTCAAACTATTCAATTGGGTACAATTGAACATTGTAAAAGTGGGATGCTCTCGCGATGGATGGAGGAATGACGACTACATGAAACGGGATGCAATTGTGCTCTCCAACCATATCTACGACCATATATATTCCACTGTGTGTGCGCAGTTTTGAATATTTTTGAATGGAAGTGCTATTTTTAACTAACAGAGAGACAGAGAGAGAGAGGAATAGATGTGGTGCATGTGGATATTAATTAGATCCCCATTGAATACTCTTTTCCTTTCGTTGATTTAGTGCAGTCAAAGCGGCAACTTCTCTCTTCTCCTCCTCTAATGCATGCTTAGTTATTATTATTACTGCTAAAATTCGACAACTCGAAATAGCAAAGAGACGACGAGAAGAACGACACCGACGACGATACGATATGATACCATTCTCATTATAAATATGTACCTGATGGCAAGTGCAACACCAGTTGTCTCACTTTTCTCACGAGTCAAATCTCAACTCGAAATCGAGTCGTGGTAATGTCATCGAATGGGACGGGCAGCAAATTGCTATCTCTGATGCTCGTAGTAAGTAGTAAACTCTTTTAAAGAGACGGAGAGAGAGAGAGCACGAGTACAACAAATCGGTTTTCATGTTAGCCCTTCGTCTTGTTCCCCGTGTGTAAAGTAAAGTAAAGTAAAAGACTTATTAATCATTAGGAGGGAATGATTGCAAACATGTATTTTTTACACCACCACGGGTATAAAAAACGTCTATATACGCAGTACGGATTGAGCCAAAAAGTGTAATTGGACTACGTACATAACACAATTGCTCGCATGGAGTTAAACTATGCAATAAATCAAGACAATCAATGCTATAATTTAGAGAGGATGATGCTATTTCGTAGTCCACGGACCCATGCAGCAGATCAACAACCAACACCACACGGGCAGAGAACCTATAGATAGGCTGTTGTGGAATAAGAATACGAATACGAAATCAGTATGGTCGATCAAAAGAGATGATGGAGTGTGCCGAGGAGGAGGCTAGAAGACGAAGGAGAAGAAGAACTGATTTAAAATTCAAAGGGATTGGTTTCTCGTTTAGCATTTGCTATCATACACCTGAAGCTATCATTTACTCGTTGTGTGTACATGTTATTTTACAATACATGTTGCATGCTGAGTCCAATTTCCAATTCGATAAGGAATCTCGACTCAACCCAACCGAAGCAGGCTCTGAATCTCATCATCATGCATTCTCCCAGCCAGCCAACTCGCTATCCTCGGACAAAAATCTATTCCATTCTCACCACCAAAAACCAGCCTCATCATCATCATCATCTCCTCTTCTTGACTATTATCTCACGAGCTCCTCTTCATCATCATCAGCCTCTCCTACCCGTCTATAATAGACCAAGGTTTCTGAGCCAATGGCCAATAAGCAATCGCCGATAGAGGTGTGTTATTGACTATTGGCTGGTCAGTAGTGGTGGTCCATGTATTGGTTTGCCTAGAGATGAATCCTTTCGAAATGCTTAGTCAAAGTGGACGAGTATTGAAAGAGAGATGCATGCAATCAAGTTCATTTGCTCGTTGCTTGCTAACCAGTATCGCCACCACCACGACGACGACGACGACCAAGCGTCCAATATAGGAACATTTTTTACTGACCACCACTACGGACGGACAGATAATACCATAGACTCTTTAACAGTGCTGTATTGGTGGAACGCTGAAAATGACGATGGTGTGGCATTTAATGGATGAAGGAACCCGATTGAATAGGATTATGAAACAACAAAAGTGTACCGCAGAGAGCAGCGAGTGATTGGTACAATAATGGAACAATGGGCGAGAGGAACATAGTCAAGGTATTTGTGGTGGAAAATTCTATTAAATAAATAAAAGTATCGACTTGAATATTGGGAATAAAAAAAGGACTATTCGAACGCATGAAAATACAAAAGGATGGTAAATCACCATCACCACCACCACGCCAACGACATGGCATAGCCCATCATCCCCCAACAACGTCCATGCATGGTTGGACGCGATGACCAACCCAACCAACAAGCTACAAAACTAATCGAAGCCATAATAATGCCGTCGTTCGTCTATGTATTCAGATGAATGAGCATCAGCGATGATGATTATTAGCGTATGTGCTCGCATTGGTTGTTGAAAGTTTGTGTTCTTTTCAAGTTTGGTTGGTTTTGAGCCATGTTAATATTCACAACCACCCCGAGCACTGCCAAATAAGGGGGGAACAGAAAACTAATAACAATAACAATAATAACAGTGTTCTCAAAGTCTTCAAAGCTGGACATCCAACATTGCTCATTTGACAAGCTCAAGTGCTCATAACTCATTGAGGATGATGATATGTAAATAAACTAACAATTCGACTTGAAGGAAGTTGATCATTCGCATTGTCTCTCTCGCCTCATGGAATGGAATGGATGTACGCAAATATGCATCGTGAGCATTAAGGCAACAGTTGCAGTTGCTGCTCCTCTTGTGCATTTTTATATATTTGCACACCTACCACTTTTACTTACAGCAGTAGTAGGAGTGCAAGTTAGTTAGAAGTAGTGGTGGGGGTGGATGGTGGTGGTGGAGATGAGCAAAAAATGCATAGGTGCCAGAGTCCACATGCGTTTGATAACATGCGTTAATTGCATTAATGTCCTAAATCCTAAGAAGCAAGGAGCTCTCTTCTACTTCTTCTGTGGAGAAGAATGGTTGGAGGCAAGGTGTGTAAACATGATGGTTAGTTGATCGATGGAGCAAATTGAATTAAATTAAATGATGTGCATGAAGTTTGTGTAATTGTGTAAAGTGTGAGTGGTCGATTATGTATGCTACGAAACAACAAGGAGAATAAGAGATGACTCGTATGAAATAGGTGAGTATCGAAAGGAGTGTGAGGATTTTTGTGAGGGTGAGATCTTACTTGGTCTCTTGTTGTTGTCTTTGGTATCTTTGGAATCGACTCCGTTGATTGATGGGTCGTTGAGGGGTGAGCCTTTCATTAACATGAGCTCTCGTTTTAATTCGTCGTAATCTCTTTGGGAATCCAGCCGAGCTTCCAGTCTCGATATCAAGTCCTGCTTCTGCTCCAACTGATCCTCCAACAGCCGAATTTTTGTGGCACTACTCTCACGCATCTGGTTCAGCGAGGACTGAAGCCTTTGAACATTTTCTATTAAACTGGAAATCTGGAAAAACAAAAGACACGATCAATATGTGTATAGTTTTTGATTAATAGTGCAAAAAAATGAGAGACCAACATCCTGATCACGCAATAATTATTTATTATTTTTGCATACTAAATTCGTCGCAAAATAGGGATATCATTCAGATATTGGTAACATAACAAGATGAGAATGAGTCAAGTGAGCGAATGGTAAATTATTGGCCCAACACATAGTCAGTCAGCTTATAAACCGCAAATTCCATGTCATCTACCTTGGTTTGGCAAGTAAGTAAATTTTCATGAAGCCCAATTCTCAACTCTCTAATGGAACTGTTGACCATGAGACAAGTAAGCAGTTTTGAATTGGATTTTGATTCATTGCTCAGATTTCATAAAGTGGTGGCATGCATGTTTTCTTGATTTCTGATTAAACGCGCGCCTATGCATGCAACACATGTATGTAGAATGTACATATGCACATGTAGCACTTACATAGTCGTAGTAAATATGATGATGACTTGGCCTGAGAGAGAACCGAGATTTGTAAAGTGCAGCAAATCAAGCAGAATAAATCTAATAATTTACGACCCCTTATGGTTACTGACAATCGAAATAAATCAAAAAGACTCTGACTGGATGGAATTCATTGCATCGATGAGAGAACAAGTAAGTAGAGGACGAGAATCGATTAACCGTTCTTTGCTGTTATTATCATGGATGAGCCATTAATATGAGAGCATCTATCTTGACGACGACGATGATGCCACGATGGTCCTGGTGATGAAACTCATACTTATAACACCACGCAAAGTACTGCTTGTGGGGGACGGACAATTTCATAATCGGGGACGAATGACAATAATCACACACAGCAGAAGCGTTGTTGGTTGTGGATTTATGTGGAGAAAATCAAGAAGAATTTACGTATCGCACAATCACCACCACCACGACGACCACGACTACCTCCGCGCCCCATAAAGCAGAGATTTTCTTTGTGGCAATCCTTATTTGTTGCAACGATTTTCGGATTTGGGATGAAGGAGAGATAGATTTTGGGGAGAGACTACAGACGGTTGACGATGGTGGTGGTGGTGGTGGTGGTGTGGTTGGGTTGGTATTAATCAAGGATTGCTGTGTTATGTGGCCGTAAATGTAAAGAGGATGAGAATTATTGGTAAAAAACTCCCATGTCAAAGTAGAGATAGAGAGAGAGAGAGTTGAGCTGGAGAGAGAGAAGGCGGACAACAGATGCATGGAAATGGCCAATTAAGACGGCGGGGGGTTACCCTGAGTATGAGTTACTCCCTCACTTATGCCCATGAGGTCACGTCTTGGGTCAAGCTCAACCACAATCCATCCACACTTTCCAGGCCTTTTGTAATTTATGCAGCTCAAAATGTGCTCCGACCAACTTCTCTTCTCTTAAGGCCCATCAATCCCAGCGTGAAGCTATTAAACTTCTTCTATCCATATGTCCAATACCTTTTTTCTCCAGATATTAAATCAATGTCCGAGATGTCATAACTCAACTCTTTCCTATATGTGCTCACTCTTCTCCGTGCATAATCCCGTTTCTCCGCAGGACCCCAGAAGAAGGAGATGGGAGAAGACCCACATCACTACCGACCGACCCCAAAAACTTGTCTTCCTCCAGTTTTTCAAAATTATTTAATATGCAGTCAACTTTTCTCAAAATCCAATTGTGACACGTCGACCAAACCCAATTATTATTGTTATATGGTCATCTTCTACACATGCAAATAAGTATGTGTAAAATGCTCAATCATTCCGGATTCATCTTGATATCTACTCGTTCAATTACACCCAAGTGCAGATTACAAAACGTCTCTTTGACGACACGGAGGATCAAGCTCGACGCAAATTACTTGACTTATCTGTTCTGCTCACCTCTTTGTCTTTGGCCGCGAGTTCATGCTGAGAAGAGATGAGACTGTCCTCTTGGTCTGGTGGTGGAGGCGCCATTGCTGCTGCGCCCGAGGAGCCACTCTGCGTCGCCAATTTTTCCTTCAACGATGTCACCTCCTTCTCAGCCAGCGTTGCTCTCTGCAAATAACAAATCATCGAGTCCAATCAACATCTCTTTCTCTATTTGAATACATTAACCCAATTTTCACCACGTCTAGTTGCTACTTATTTTAGTTGCTAGATGATTAAGCTGTGGTTGGTCTGGTCACTTTAGGTACCAGAGGAGACTACCTACCTCCAAAGGCACACACGCTCGTCAACTCTCGGCGCAATCTATCAATTGTCTCATTGCATTCTAACCATGTTCATTATTTACGATTGCGGCTAATAATGAAATTCAGAAACAAGTACTCAATTGTTGCTCCCAGCCAACATAACTCGGCTGGTTCGGCATGTACGCATTTGTAAAAAAAATTGGCCCGGTGATCCTCTCGATGAACAACGCAATGTGGTGGTGCTTAGCTCAACACTATTAATTATTATTAGCCTATAAATTAAAATGTTTTCAGTTTCCGCTAATTCGAAGCTAATGCTAAAAGCCTCCTGTCGTCCCTTCACACACACGGCGGCGGTTTGGATAAGGAGAAGAAGACAACAAGTTTTGCAACAATTTCATACACATGCCATTTAACCAGGCAACGGCTACGGCACGTTGCCTACGTGCACTTAATATTATGCAAAACTTACTTAAAGAACGGATACAAGATTAAACGGATATAAGTTCTTTTGATTCCATGTTCCCTAGCGCATTGTTGCTGGGAAGTGGGTGATGGGATAATTCCTCCCGCTCACCTCCTCCCCCTCATCTGCTCCCGCTAAACCCCTCCCGATCGCCTCCTCCCGTATACATTTTCCTCCCCGTACCATCTCCTCCCCGCAGATCTCCTCCCGTATACATTTTCCTCCCCGTTGTGTCTCCTCCCCTCCATATTATATTTTGTTACTTTACTATATTTCAAGACGGAGGATTTGGGGCCGTTCAAAGCAAGGTTGCTTGACAACTTTAGTATTACAAAGTATTATGATAAAGTGTCAAGCAACCTTGCGTTCAAAGTGGGTGACATGGTTCTGAGGAAACGTTCACTAATTTGATGCCGGCATCATTAAATGATAAATTCATGCATAGTAACTTTACAATGTCAAAATATGGCATACGAAAAACCTTTTGAAATTTTGGTCTGATTTTGAACTTTTTGGTACCAAAATTCTTACTAAGCTAACTGCTCACTGTAACTGTAAGCAGCTCTTTTCTAAGAAACGTTGGAGATAGTAAAAATATATTAAGTCTATTGGATAAATGGTCGAGTCACAAAAGCAAAAATTATTCTTTAAATAGTTGGTGTCACATGTCCTTTGCAATGACACCAACAACTCCAATAATTCAGGGAAATCGTGGTACAAAAATGCCATGCAATCTAATTACATATAACAAAATTTCAAATATTTCAAAGTAAAAATTCATTTTCTAGCTCAGTCATTCATAGCTAATTGAGCGATAAGGTGTCAAATAATTTTGAATTAATCCCCCTTTTGTTTTATTTTTTGAACTTTGCGAACGATGCGAACTCATAACGAATAGCACCTTTGTAGATGATTCAATAATATTCTCAATTATTCTCAAAGATTTATAAAAATCCCCAAAACCATGTCACCGGGGAGGAAAATGTATACGGGAGTAAATCAGCGGGGAGTAGATGGTACGGGGAGGAAAATGTATACGGGCGGAGACGAGCGGGAGGGGTTTAGCGGGAGAAGATGAGGGGGAGGAGATGAGCGGGAGGAATTATCCTCCAATCTGGGAAGTGAGCAAAATATTCGATAACACAATATGCAAGTGGTGGTGAGAAATGTTGAAAGTATTCACGTCTACTTTATAACAACTTGCAAATTTCTATGAAAAAAAATCCTGGTTACAATTTTTTTTACAAAATTACAATTCAGGTTTGCCTTATAAACTTTATAAATAGGCTGAATTTTTCATGGAGATTTTTGCAAAATTTTACATTAAATTAAGCAAGTAGCCGTACAACGTTTACACGAAATTTCATGTGAATTGCCTTCGCATCCTACGGAGGATCCATCCGTGACCATGACTCACCCCAAGCAAACCTCCACTAATTGAAGACGCTTTAACATTCTTAATGGGCATCAACAAAGCACTTAACTCTTTTCTTTCACTTTGAAAGCGAGTTTCGTTTATTGGGCGATAGTATTTTTTCCGAATCATTTTCCGGCAAGTAAAGTAAAGCACAAAGACGGACGCCTAGAAGATTGGAGTAAAGTAAAGTGCACAATATCGTATATATTCGTGGTGGTAACAGTTATTACTTAGGGTTGAAATTCACACTGGTACATTTATATCTACGCACCACATCCCACGCTCACTCGAGTTTGAAATCGCAAGAAAGAAAAAGAGGAATAAGTTAACAATCAATCCCACCCGATAGATAGGTAGATATGTATACGAACGATATGCCGTCGTGTGTTTGACCTCTTGTTTTCATGCTCTCTGATCACCCAAGAAATCAGTATCAACCATCCTCCTCATCGTGGTTGGTAATAATATGTGCACCCATAATATGTATGTACTTATTCCTCAATCCTCGGCATGGCATCCGATCTGACACAAGGTGCATTTTTTGAGTCATAATTGCGCAATTACACCTCCGTCAGTAATAATTTATACTTGAGTGCATACAAATTAAAATTTAGAATACTCTTCTGCGCTGCTGGTGGTAGGATAATACGAATCACGATGAACTCTCTAAATAAACGGAAGTGCAGCGGGACTAGGAATTCGTGAAATGACGCGGTAGACGTTTTTATGTCGATGTGGAACTTCCGAACGAGTAATTATTACGAGTTGATGGACAAGAAAGTTTTTCTTAAAAAACGGCAAAATCATGTCTATAATAAATTAATACTAATTGCTGCAGTAATATTTTGTCTTGGACCTGCAGCCATCTGACTTAACTGTGGTCAAGAGATGAGGATGATGCGCGGACACGTTGTCCACAAACAAGTTCCTGTCTTCTCACGTAAATGCGAGAGGAATCTCATCGTCGTCGTCTTACTAAAGTGGTGGATCAATGAAGGAAAGGGAACGTGGTGATGGTGGTTGGTCGTCGTCGTTCCTGTTGTCGGAGAGCTGGACTAATATGAGGAGTTTACGAGGTTAGGCTAATCCAGGACGAGATCTTGCAAGACGTTATTATTGTTTGGCTCCCATTGAGGCCGAGTATATTGGGACACGATTGAGACAAAGATAGCGTATTAGAAGAGAGTAAGAGAAGATATGACACAGAGCTGCTGCCTGCCTGTCCGAGAAAACAATAAAAATGAAGATGGAACTGCAACTTTGGTTAAAAGTCTGGAGTCTTTTATGACCCCATAAAAATTTATAGCTTTTCGATAGAAAAGGTCATTTTGTGGTCCATAAGGTAGAGTAAAATGACGGGAATAGAACCAAGGTGTGAGACTGGGCAGCATACAAATTACGTTGTCTGACGATGAGACTCACTCGTAATATGAATATGCCCATATAAAAATCCCCATGATGATTGTGACCACACCGCTCTCTCTCAAATGTGTTATTACCATGTGATCTTCTCCTCCCAGAGAGACAAGATCCTGCTTGGTGTGGATATGTCCAAAGGAAACCTTAATCTGGCCATTATGCTTCCCTCTCCTCTCTGATTTGGCTGGCTGGGATCATGATAAATAGATTATTATTGAGGGGTCATCAACGATTCCCGAAGATTACGTCAACCACCACGGCAGTCACCTTTTTACACAATCAATCTCCACAAAGAGTGCCACAAAGAGTGGTCTCTATTACTCAACATTTCTTCCCAGCAGCCGGATCGCTCACCATTCAACGTGCTACTCTCGGCATCCTATTTCTCATCCCCCACTACTTGTGTAACTAACCAAAAGTTGAGACTGCTGCTGCTTTTGCTTTCTTCACTATTTGCTCAACACCGAACGAACCACACATTTTATTCTTCGACATACTCCTACAACTCCCCTGAGCAAGGTACTCTCTGTCCGTCCGATTTTTCTCAATCCTACCAAATTACTTGTGTAGCACAAATCCCTTGTGTGAAAGCACGGTGCATACACAGCCCAGACGGACTTGCATTGCATCTCTCCCCCGCATTTGTATGTATCATTCATTAAACTTTAATACCAAACCGCACGGTCAAGCTGCGTATGTACATACTGGATGATTTTTGCTCCTTTTACGGTTCACAACTTTCCTTTGTCTAGTCTCCAGCAGGAGCAGGATCAACAAATGAAACATCAATAATGACATTACAAACTTCCAACTATTGTGATATCACACAGAACAACAATGCTCTCTCTCACTCGCTGCTGGACTGGACGAAGGAGTTGTTTAGGAGTGGAATTCATCTACCACAAGTACATGACTGCTGGTCACCAAAAAATAATAACAATAATAATAATAACAACACAACAAAAACTCTTGCGCGACACAACCAGCCCAACTTTTCTACTCGTCGTGATATGACGGTCATAACACACGTTTTGCCGAAAAAGTCGATCTCTAAAGATCAAAATCAGTTTTCATATTCATAAATTCATAACAGAGAATGTAGCCGATTGGATTTTTTTGTCGTGATGAATCCATCCGTGGGGTCTACTACACATGATCAGACCTGGATGACGGTGACTGGTCTCTTCTTTCGACATATGTCCGTACTACGTACGTATGTATGTATGCATCTAGTTTACAACAAAGTGACAGTCAATTACGACGAACACAAGCTGGCGGCTGGCAAAAGCGATACATAATCAAACTTTTGTCAATGATGCCGTCCCTGTCAAAACTTTATAAGTGGGCGATTTTTTCACGTTGTGCAGCCAGATTTGAAGAAGATCAAATTGTAAATTGTGGACTAAACCATGCACCAGGACCAGTTTGTCAATACTGTGGATCGTTTAATGCATGACGGAGCTTGGACGAAGCACCAGCAAATCAAAAGTTATATAATAATGTCTCAAGTCATTTCTTCCTCTGTGCGCAATAATCTTGTCCAATCTTATCAATAACTTGT